GCTTATAAGGTATAGTATACCTAACGTTACTAGAGTTAAAAGTACTAGAGTTACTAGTAAGAGTATAGCGATTATACTCCTTATAACCTCTGGATTTAGCTCCCTTAACTACTCTAATCTCTTTAATTCCTTTTCCTTATATCCCTTTTTTACTCTACTTTAAGCCCCTTTTTTATATTAGACCTACTTTCTTTTTATATTTATCTATTTCCTACTTATTTTCCTTATATAAACTTTCTCTATTACTATAGTAACCTTATCTTCTAAGCTTATTATAATAACTTTCTCTTCTATACTTCCTTAGCTCTCTCTACTTATATTCCACTGTTTCTTAATATCCTATCTACTAAATAAAGGCTCCTTAAGCCCTTTTTTTCTAGCTATTTTCTATATATCTATCTGTTATTATAACTGAGTTACTAAATAATAAAATTCTAACTCCTACTTTTACTACTAGCTTAGTTATATCCTAACTGTTTCTCTGCTTTACTTCTAGTTCCTTACGTAAGTTACTAATATAAAGAAGTAAGATAGTGCTATTAAAGTATATAGTAAGTAGGGACATAGAAGACTACTAACTAAATAGGTAGTAAGAGTAAGAGAGAGAAAATAATATATTTATTACGCGCTATCGCGCTTATCTATATAATCTTATAAAATAGGCTAACTATCTTCCGACCTAGAACTGTATTACTCTACTATATTATATAAGAGAATTAAAACTTTTTAGAGTTCTACTAAAAGTAATCTATATCCCCGGACTTCTTCTTATATATAATATCTATACTATTCTTCTTAAAAAAAGAATTCAAGAGTAGAATATTATATACTAATTAATTTACTAAGTAGACTTCCGCTTAGAACTAGAAAATATTCCCTTTAATTAAGTATAAAGAGAAAGGAAGAAGTATATATTCTAATACTATAGAGCTTTAACTAATACCTAAGAGATTAATTTTATAAGGTCCTATACGGATAAATACCTTAGGAAACTTCTATTATAATACCTTATATAATATTAGAGAGATTCCTGCTCTAGAGTTAGGGCAGAAGTCTTAGGCTATACTTAGTAGAGAGAATAGGATACTTTAGGCCTTTTAGAAGAAAGTATACGCTTATCTGTTAATATAGTAAATATATTAAGGAATAAGCGCAGGTAGAGATAATAGCACTAGTAATAATAGCGAAAGAGTTGAAGTACTCGTAAGAATAGAATTAATAATAGATAAATTAAGCATATATTAATTTATTAAAGTGATATTATAAGTAGTAATATAGTTATCTTTTAAAAAGGTTAGATCCCTAAGTAAGGAGGTTACTCTAATCCTAAGTAACTACCTAGACTGTTTTCCAGTTTAATAAACTTAGGGGATAATACCTTATCTATTATCTATATAAGCTTTATAGTATATACTTCCAATTAGTATATCTCTTATAGCGTGTTATTAACTGCTACTATATCCTTATATTTAGTTATATAAGCTAAGACTTATATAGTAGGCTTCATGTTATTCTTTCTCTTATACGAATTAAGTAGGTACTAAGGATTAACATAAGCGAGAGATTTATAGTAAGTATAAGAGTAATAAGGTTAGAAAGTGTTTAAAGTAGAATAAGCCGGGATTACTAGAACTACTAGGACTACTAGCGTTAATAAGATAGTTTAAGAGTCACTAGGCGTAGTTAGTCTTTAATCTAAAAGTAGAATAACTAGTTATTCTATAGTAGCTTTTAGAATATATTATACTACTTCCTAAGGGATAAACTTAGGTTATAGAGCGCTATAGACTTAAGGTTAGTTCTTTAAGTTAGTAGCTCTACGATTCTAACTATTAAAGTTCTTTCGCTTATACTCTACTACTATAGTAATTATTTATTATACCTCTTAGAACTAGTCTTTCGCGGATTATTTAGCGTTTATTACCTTAGTTATAAACTTATTTATCGAAGTATAATTTAATAAGTGTATATTCGATTTTAAGATAAGATCTAACTTAGAGTAAATTTAGTAAACTTTTAATCTTTTATCCGCTTCTCTAGCTTCATTATATAACTTAAGCTTCTTTATAATATAGTCACGGGCGTCCTTTATAGCTCCGTCCTTACTATTAAATCTATATTAGAGGTCGTTAGTAGCTTAGAGAGTCTAAGAAAGGTTTCTACGAAATCGTAAGCTAAGCTTCTTAACCTATAGGCTTAGGTTAGTGTTTATCTTAATTCGAATAGAAGCTAAGAAGTTATTAAACTAGTCTTAAGCTAAGTTCTTTATTATAAGAGGAAGTAATCTAAGGATTTATTAGTCTCTATAAGTAGTAGCTAAGTAGTTAAGATAATTTAAGTATAAAGTAATAGGTGTAATACTATTAAAGGTTATATCTGCGGCCTTAATATATATAGCTTATATTTCTAGCTCGATAGTACTTCTAAGTATGAACTTACTATAAGAAGGAGTATCTACCTCTAGTTAATAGTGTAGGGTAATAATAAGGACTATAGGGTTATCTTCTTCTAGTATTACTAAAGGGCCTTTTTAAAAGTAGATTATGAAAATCTACTAAGTGTTATATAATCTACTAGAGTAAGTAAGATATATAATATCTATAATAGCCTTAGTCTCTAGGTTAATACGTTAATTAGTATTAGCTATCCCGAGAGCTACTATAGCTATTTAAAAGTCTATTAGATATAGAATCTCCTTAGCCTTTATAAAGGTTTTATCTCCTTTAATATTAGCGAGGTTATAAATTATTTTAACTTAAGTAGCGTCCGCGAGCTATTATTTAAAGGTATATATAGTAATATTATTTAAGTCTTAAATTACTAGAGTTATTATAATATTAGAATAGTCGTCGGAATCGATTCTTAAGGATATTTCTGTTTTTTTATTATTAAACCTTTTAGGTTCCTGGTAAACTAAAAAGTAGGCTTTTTATAGGAAAGATAATAGTAGGTTAGAAGTGCTAGAAGTAGAGGATTATATAATAAGTACTACTAGTACTTCTAGTACTATTAGTAAGGCTAAAGTAGATCCGAGGGAGGATATTTCTTCTAGTATTACTTTTTCTAATATATTAAGTGTAATTAACGTCTCTTAGCTAATTCCTTCTTCTTTTATATTCTCTTACTCCTTTCTTTTTTAGTAACTCTAAGGGCTATAAGCTAAGACTAGAGATATATCCCTCTTAATATAATAAGTAGTTCTTAGAGCTACTAGAGAAGTAGAGGGTTCGCGTTCGAAGAGATCCTTAGATAGTAGTTAAAAAGGTATAGAAAGGGTTAATATTAAGCTTAAGCTACTAGGTCTACTAGAGCTAGAGACGAATCTATTATTTTTATCTTTACTCCTATACTTCTTTTTCTTATTATTTAGTATTTAGCTTCGCTATAAGGAGATAGTTAGGAAAAAGGACGTGCTAATTCTATTCCCTATACTTATATAAGATCTACGGAGTCAGATATTAGATACCGGATAAATAGTAGTATAGTTATTCGTGCGAGGTCGTTTAGGTATAAAATAAGGTTAAATTCAAGGATTTTAGAATTAATCGAGTTTTAAGAGTTATTAGAATTACTACTATATAAACCTTATACTTAGCTACTAGAGGGGTCTCAGGGGCTGAATTATATAGTATTAGTACGTCTAAGGAGAGAAAGGAGAAAGAGAGCGTAAGGCTCTCCTAATGTAGGTAACTAAGCTAGTGCACGTGACCCACAACACGCAGGTCCGTGAGCAGCCGACTATCGAACAATAGTTTGGGTCAACACACGGGCATTCACCGCGGAAATCCCGCTCGATTGATTCCTTCTTTCATTTTGTTTTCGGTCACTCGACTATCCAAACAACACATCCTCTTCCCTTCTTTCTCGCTTACAGCTCCAATAATTTACTTGCAATCGTCATGGGTGTGGATGATGCTCCCTCGTCCGAGGAACACAGTGACTATCCACCCACTGTCACGAGCCGTGCCGCGAGAATTTCTGGCGTCAAGTCACATCCATGGATGGTGACAGTTTCGATAAATTCTTAGTTATCTTACTACTATCCAGGAATTTTGCAACAATTTCCCCCCTAATCCTGGCCTCCATCTCAGTAGTGCACATGTCTCTACTGGATAAAAGTACTTGAAACAGCAGTCTCCGCCAGATCACTGGCCAGAATTACACAGCTTGAAGGGAACCATGACCAATCAATGACATTCGCCTCATACACAATTGATAAGGCAATGTGCCACGAGAGTCCAACCTTTGAATCGGGGTCGGGCCATAGGCCAGACAGTCTGGCTGAACGCATTGCTGACGTCTGCTTCAGGCTAATACTTTGCATCCCGCTGCCCTATCTCCTTCTTCTCCTGCTGATGTTCTAGTTACACAAAATAATCATGCTGTCATTCCATGCGGATCGCGAAAATCAAGTTTTTGGCGAGTTTGAAAGTGCAACAGCTGGGCACGTGGGTTACATTTGAATTGACATCCTACGAGTTTTGGGGATGTCCGCGTAGCCTTGTGTGATCATGGGGGTCATGATCGCCCCACTGCTGTGTTTATATTGCAGAACGTTATGCCAGTCGACGAGGCAATCTTTGTTATGGTTGCACAAAACGCCCGAGTCAGACCAGTCAGCGCATGGGCCGGGAGCCTTGAGTGAGGAAAGATTCGTTTTGATCGAGGCTACGCCGTGATGGCATATGTGGATGGCTCATATATCCAGGATCAATACCTTGGATGTAAAGTTGGACACCGAAGTGCAATTACCTCACCGCCGAGCTTGCCCCGAAGTGCTCGAACATGTTAAAATTTGATAAATACAGTTTACAACTCGGTGATAGTCCCCTGGAGTTTCAGCGAATACGCTCAGCTTTGGCCAGTCCGTCTGAACTCAGGTTCGGGCGAGGTGGAGCGTCTGGAGAGCAAATTCTATTACTAGAATTTTCACTTTGAGCCTATGTTAATACAATGATGTAGAGTTGCAGAATGTTTGATGAAAATTGATGAGCAGCAATGCTTGATAATAATGATCGTTCTGTGTGCTCCGATCTCTCAACGTGATCTGCTCACTAACTTGAGCTGCCACCTGCAAATACATGTCCCTGGAAGTATTATACATATTCCAACCTTCCCGAAACAACAATTCGACAATATAACGAAAAACAACAATTTCTAGTAGCAAAGGGGTACCCCTTACAGCACTAACACTAAAGATCTGGCTGAGTCTGCGAAAATAAACACAATTCTTCTGCTCAAGTACAGGCTGTCGATACAAAATGTAGATGGACACTAACGCGTGAACAAAAACCCGTAACAAGCTCAATGAAGGAAAAACGAAACCAAATAATGACCTGAAGCTCCAAAGTTTGCCTGAGCAGCAGAGCTACCACTCATGACTGTTGGCGATCAGCCTGTAATCACAAACGGTGTCAGGAACTTAGGACCGACTTGCTCAATGGTGAAAGATAGCGGGTGTGAGGGCAAATATGACCATCGAGATAGGAGATCATTCTTCAACGTGGCAGAAATTTCTTGGGTACCTGTGATGGCATTAGGTTGAAGACAAAGGCTTTTGGGAAATCAAGCCATTAAGAAGAATAAAACTTCTCTAAATCATTCCCCGGCGGATATAACATACTCGCAATAAATTGACTTGAGTCTTGGAGTCTTGGAGGCTTGGTTGACAACTTCTAGAGGCCTTTGTTCACTAAATGTATTGGCCGTGGAGCATTCAGAATTGGATGGCTACGTCGGGAGTCAATGGAGCCGTCTTCTGAGAACGACTTTCGCGGAAGAAATTGTTGACTCGCTGGTTTGCAGACATTACTGGAACTATCTTCGGAAGAGATGCTTGATGTTCGTCCAGTGCCCACAGGAGCCATAGTTTTGACCAGACTAGATGCACGAGCAGAAAGCCAGTCATCTTGAGCTCCGTCCTCGTACCAAACTTGAAGTACGTCAGTTTGCCATTTCTCTCGACTTGTAATTTGATCATGGTAAGTTTCATGGGTTCTAGCAAGTAGCTCGACCTCCATGGCGGATCTTCGGACCTGTTCAAGAATCCACCAGTTGACCCTGACGGATTGAATATGCGCAGCATCGTCCACAAAAAGTATGGAAGTAGGAAGAGACTTAGCCAGTTTTGTCTCCGGGCTTGGAAGTAAAGTTGGATACTTTACGTACTCAGAAACCTCATTCCTCCCAGCGTCGTTGAGCTCCTCCGCGAATGTGAGCTTCTCTTGATATTCTTGGTCAGTGGGCTCTCCATCTTCGTCAACCAGGTTTTGTTTCAGACAATCCCGTTTGAGCTTCTCTGCTTCATTCTCCGCATTTTCTAAGTCATCGATCAAACCGGCTTCGACTTGCGAGTAATTTGCAAGCCACTGCTCATTCTCATCTGACAATCTTAGCCCCACCCGTGCCCTCTTTTCCATCTCCTCCTCCAAAATATATCTCTCTTCGAGTAATTCGTCAAGTCTCTCTCTATAAATATCCACATCCCCAAGTTTGGAAAGATACTGGGAGACAAGTGGATGATATTCTTGAGCTTCCTCAGAGCCACTGTCCGAAGATGAACTTGATATTTGCTTTGCCGAGCGATGCGTAGAGTCGTAGTTGGCAGTCAAAGATGTCGGATGCTGAGACGATCGATCGTAAAATTTTCTCTCAAGGCAATCCAGTTGAAACTCCAAGACAGTAAGATCACTTTCAAGGGCATTACAATTGTCTTCTAGTGGACCATATTCCTGCCTAGCTTCCTCACACGCTTGGAATAGCTTACTGACCTCCGCTTGTTCGTCAGATAGAGTATGGTCTCCAAATATTATTCCGTGACCATGCAATCTGACATACTGAATATATCGATCATCAGCTACAGCTTTCACCTGCTGTTTAAGTCGCAAAACGCTGCGGGCTTCTTGTACCCTAGACCGATGACCCCATATTTTCGTTCTAAGTCGTTCAATTTTTGTCCAATCACTGGAAATACTTTCTGACTGTATTAATGAGAGCTCAGGGCCTATGATAGGTGCTCCTATATCTAATGTTACAAGTCCCTGATCAGGTCCTAGCTCAGTACGTAGAGGTTGGAGAGTAGCCGGAGACTCTCGTGGCGGTGTATTTGGTCGGCCTTCACACAGATCAATGTCTTGACTTTCTGGTCGACATCTCAACTCCTCTCTTGCATATGCCGCTTCATCTGGTTCGGGTCCATTGCTCGAGAGATGGTCATCTTGTGGTATTTCTGGTGTACTGATGATCCCACATAGCACCTCAAAGCCAGGTTGCGGGATCTCATGTGAATTGGCCAATGAAGCATCTGGAGTAGGCATAGTTCTTCGTGAAAGAGTTTCAGAAACTGATTCAAATTTCAAGAGCACTTTTTGGGTCTTTATCGGAACATGCATACTCTTCAATTTTCGTGGAAGATTCTGGGCCCAGCGTTGGGCATCTCGGAGTGTCACATAATGCTTTGACGTATCTCCACCGGATCTCAAAACAAGGGTTCCAGCAGAAGTATGGTCGATATTTCTTCTACGCCTGAAACCAAGGCCAATGCGATCAAAGTATGTAGATTGTTCAGTCGGCCGCGTGCCTGTTTCCTGTGGGTCTCCGTGGCCCACGGCATTGCGAGCAAAGCCAACTGGGATCTGGGACGCTGACATGTGTGTGTGCAGGCCATATGTTGGCAGTCTTGTAGAAGCTGATAGAACATCCGTCATGGTGTGTGGGATTCATTTGCTGTCGAAGCTCAACCCGAAGCAGAGCCTGATATTTGACGACATAGGTTTGGGCTGATGAAGATAGGTAGTGCTTCTTGGTGGGCGAAGAAAAACTCAAGAGGAATTCGGGACGGAGCCTTATCCTTGCCTTGCTATCCATTCGTAGGGTGCAGCCAAAAGTAAAATTAAAATTCCGGTCTAGTGGACACATGACGCCCCTTGCCGTACTGTAATAACTTTCTTTGGGAATAGTCTGGTCCGGTTTTATGATCCACACCGCACCTAAAGCGGCATGGCATGTGGCTACACCAGCTTCTGCAATGGCTGGCATCACCTCAACATCCCCAATCAACTACCCTGGATCCTCCGCACATTAATGCAATCTGTGTATCAAGCTCCTGCTTCCAGATCAGAGCAGTAATGATCAAGTTGGGGTCACACCCTCTTGATGGCGATGAGCCGCAATACTGGGTGGATTTCGGAAGGGGATAAAAGCGTGAGCTCCTGCACACATGTAGATAGTCGCGGTATCTGGAATGAGCCGCAGGACCCGTTTTGAGTCCCCAAATACGATTACGGAATGCACTCCCACCGACCTCGACGAAGTTCGGGTTGGAGTGCTTGGACCTGGGACTCCGGTCAAAGATGTCTCACACGGTCTCGAGAAAGTGGAAAAGGTTTGCTACTCCGCTGCCTTAGCAGGGTTCCACCAAGTATTAACCTGTGACCCCAGGTGGCCAAAAATGGGAATTCAAGAATGAAAAGGGACAGGTCTCCTCCAAATATGTCAAACCAAGCGACACTGTGACTTCCAACGAGGAGAACCAACCGATTCAAGGCAATGAAGAGGACGGCTCTGTGCGTGTTGACGACGCTGATGACGGCGGAGATGGTCTGAGCAGTGGGACGTTGACTCAAGAGATGTCGAGTCTGAATGTCCAAAGCGATCCATCGTCTAGTCTGTTGTCGTGGAATTCAGGAGATAGTAAAAGGCAAGATTCAGTGACCGCTTTTGCTTATTCTCCTCAGTCACCAGCACGCCAGAGCGCTGTAGACAGCTACACAGGTATTTGCAACACTGGTGGTGATTTAGCTTCACACATGATTGATAAGTATCAAGGTCCTTCATACAATGCCAATCCACGTTCTCCGCAAGGGCAATATGAGCCACCTCGGTGGAAAGGTTCTATGAGTAGTAGAATCAAAACCAGAAATCCTAATACACGGTCTGAAGTAGACGACAAACGTAGGGGCTGGCACTCCTCCATGGTACATTGTAGCAAGGACTAACAGAGTATAGATTTTAAAGTGCATGAGTCCAGAAAGTTCAAGTTCGGCAAGGTAAATCCTCAACATACTTTTGTATTTCGAGTTATCTGAAGTGGCTACAGGTGTTTAGGATCATGTGGTCAGAACCATTTGGCTCGAATGGCACAGCCATCACGTCTAGGGGCGCTTCAAGAAATGTCGGTTTCTCAAAGATGAGACGATTCGTTATTGTGAGCTGTTTTAAAGGCCATTGTTTGTGCTTGTAAGTTCCGACATGACACATCTTTCCCGTGGAAAATCTTGCAAATCTTAACATGTGCAATAGACCAATTCTCACTTACACGAACCAGGCGACATTGAAGTCCGGAGTTCATGCTGATGACCATGCGGTCATTTACACGGATAGAGATGCTGGTCCTGAGCCATGTTTATTGCCTGGCGAGATTCTCAAGAAAAAGGCACTTCGCATGGAGCCTGAAAACAGCTCCTTCAAGCTTGACACAACCTCCAGGGTCAATTATGCCAAAGTCTATACTGTGGAACATAATGTTAAAGTTCAGTTCATCGGGACTTTGTGTCGCAATGCTCAAGCTCAGCTCAGTGCAGATTACAATGATCAGCACCCTCTTATCCAGGAAATTGAGCCAGAGCCTGGGTATGTGGTGCATCGGCATCCGAGGTCAAATTATACGCCAGGCCCTATTCAGTACTACGAAGATATGAGGGGAGCACAAGACGAACTTTCTGATGCACAAGCTATTACCCCGAGCAGCGTCAATCTTCCCAGATATGTTGCAGCCGCGGGTGTTGAAATGCCCACAACTTATGAAAATACTCGGGATGCCAATATGGAAATGTATCAAGACTCCACTTACACGATTCAGCCACAAGATTCGGCAGTATATGATCTTAGCCAGGTACAATTTACAGCGAGCCTCAGTACCAATCCAAGGTCGGTTGATGAGCTGCATCGAACACCAAGGGTGGCAACGCCAGATCAACACTACCCCAATCAACAATCTAATTATGACGAAAATCAGCCACACTTCGATTTTGACTTACAGAGAGGCACGCAGATGCCCCACTGAGATATCTATACTTCCGCGTGATATCACTCTAATGACACGGAAGGATACGACACAGAGCTTCTTTGGCCAGAAGCGATTGAGGCAAGTCTACCGTAAACCCTACTTTACTTTCAACAAATAACAAATTCAGTGCATGGTCATTACAGGTGCTAAGTCCTGTATTTACGTTCGGCTCTGGTTCATTGGTCCAGAGGTCTCAGTCTGCTCTCAACATGAGTGAACATGTTCACCATCCAGCCTTGTGGTCTTTGATGCTTCTAGCCCAACGAATTTCCTTCGCTGCTTTTTCATTGTTTTCGATCTGGCATACTACAGCCTCTATTGCTTTCATGCTCAACATAAGTTATTCCATATGAGTCATACCAACGATCAACAGTAAAGGGTAACAGGCCCATGATAAACGAGTCTCCTATCATAAACTCTGGCTTGTATTTTGAGTTGCGATACGCATGCGTCTTTGGCTGGTTATTTATCTTGGACAACACTCAATTGATCTCAATGGCTTGAATCTTTGGGCAAAGGCACATATTGGGCTTTTCAATACCAATCAAAAGAATCACGGATACATTGCCCGACCTGAAATGAGAAAGCGTGCAGAGTTCTCTCACCGCCAGCGATTTGTTTGTCTCTGCCCCGCTTTTCCTTCAGCCATTCAGAACTAACTGCATACAGTTGAGCCTCCAACACTCGCCCAATCATGAAAATTTTCTTCCATTTGAGCTGTCTACTTGTCACTGTCTTTCAAGTTGGAGGTGCGCCGGGCCCAGGCATTGGGCGTATCACTCAGCTGGCCGCACCTGTCTGCCAGCTCATCGTGCCGCTGAGGGACATCAATGCATGATATGACAGCTCACAGGGCTGTAGATACCCGCCTTTGACTCCCTGAACCATGCACTTCTGCATGAAAACAATCCAGCAACCATGCAATGACAGAGAGCCTGCTGGGTAGTCTCTGGGCTTGCTAACACCCGGAGCGAGGGTCAAGTATGATCGTCAACCAATGGAGTTCGGGCATCAAAATTGAGAGAACATGGCTTTTGTGTCTGAAATCTGTTTGGATTTCACGACAAATTTCCGATACCAATGAGAGAGGACGTTGAAATAAATTAGCGCTGTCGGTCCGGGCCTTAACTTAGTTCCCATTGTGGGTCCGACTTAAGCGAGACTGCTCAGAGAACCGAAGTTAAGGCGATGTGGGGAGGTTGCATGTAAACAAAAACATAAATGTCCAATATCATCAAAGCTTATGAAGTAATGAGATGTTTCTTTTGTTGTAAGTAAAAGTCTAGACAGATACGATGTTGAGGACAGCCACGTCTCTGAACGTGGTCAGAAACAGAGGTGTGCTGAGGCTTGAGGGCATTCCAACAGATGAGTATCTGCTCTCCACTACCGACTTGATAAGGATCCAGCTGCAGGCAATATCCTGGCAGCAAAAGACTCGTCGGGAGAGTCTAGACGAATGCTCACTAGTAGAACTCTTTTCCACTGTTCAATTGAAAGGTCCCCTTCGAGGTTACACATACTGTCCCTGGGGCAACATAGTGGAGTCATCGTCTGCTGATCATGGTTGCCTAATATGCGGACTATCTATGACTGGCTGAAGACTTCCACTTCATGGGAGTCATCCAACAGAGATCAATCGCTGCCTTTATATGTGCCTTCCTTGGTATTCCAAGGTTCCTGTTCCAGGCATATCTCAGCTGGCGGAACGGCTCTGTAGCTTGCAGGTGGAAGTGACACTGGCGTCAAACAACGCCGTGTCGGAACAAATGGCAGCCAAATCTTTGCGAGTCTTGGAGCCAAATTTGAGTTTCCTCTGCAGGTTCATTTACGTTGTCTGTGATAAGATAATGACCGTACAAGTTTGAAAGTGATAAGGCTTTCTAATAAAGAGACCAGCTTGGGACCTGCACCTACGCCCGACAAAGTCGAAAATGAAAACTTGGCCCTCGGGCTCCAGTACTGTGTACCTGTGCCCTTATTTAGCTCTACACAAAAAAATCAAACCAAAAGAAAGACCGAAGACATCGCAGATGAAAATCACGCCCGATATTCCTCCCTGTTTGCTGTACGTGCTAGCGCCTCAATTTCTCTCCTGAAGATATTCCTCATCCAATTTGGCTTCAACGTGCAATATATGGCTCTTTTTTGACAGCCACGTTATTTTAAAGCTACTTGAGCTTGAAAATTGAAGACTGACAAATAAACAAGTGATACATAGACGTGTATAACAAATAAAAGAATTGTGGCGATAGCCTGCCCTCTCCGAGACGAAAAATGTATAAGCTGCGTTCTGCCTCCATAGAACAACGAAACCAGAGCATAGGCATTATTCAATATTCCGTAGAGAGGGCATTTTAGCACTTGGAACTGAACTAGCCATGGTAACTCTAAGTTCGGTATGGATGCCAGAATCCGGATCAGACTCTTGTGCGGAATTGGGAAATGAACCGAACGGAGTTCCGGCTTGATGGTTAGGTTGAGGGTGCATGTCGGTCTCAGTAATTAGACTTGCTGCGTATGGTCGTTCAATCTGTGTTTTCGGCATACTTGAACCATCCGTAAACCAAAATTTAAGGACGGCAAGCTCCCACTGTGCACCGGGTCGTCCTCCCCCATCTTCGAATATTCTGGCGAGGAAATTTACATTGAGGGCAGACCTCCGGAGTGATTGCAGCATCCAGTTATTGATCCGCATTGTGGGATTTTCTGACGTGTCGTCAGACTTAAGCTCGGGGAGGTCTAGGTCCACACCCTCTTTCTTTCGGCCACCATGCAGTGGAAGAAGAATTGGGTGCTTTACATACACTGATATCTGATTATTAGGATTTAGATCTTCCTCGTTGTGAAAGGATGCCGCCTCTAGATTGGCAAAATCGGTTGGTTCACCATGCTCATCTATCAAGCCTTGATCTAGACACTTCTTTTTGAGGTCCACCAATTCTGCCTCGAGATGTGTTATATCTTTGACAAGGGTGTCATTTTCAGCTTGAGACCCATCCAGCCAGTCTTGGTCATCCGAATTGAGTGCCATTCCCAACGTGGTACGTTTCTCCTTCTCTTCTTCAAGGAAGAGCTTCTCTTCAACGAGGATATCGCGACGCTCGTGGAGGAGATCGAGATCTGCCATCTCTGAAAGATATATTTTTACTAGTGGGTGATACTTGGGTTCGTTCAATTCGTCGTCAGTCGACACTACTGATTCTGGAACGGAGGGTTGAGATGCCGGACTGGTCTCTCGCGAGATCGTAGGTTGTGGAGGCTGCGGTTCTTCGATCTGAGAAAAGAAGGGCTGTTCCAGACAGTTGAGTTTGAACTCGAGCTTGCTCATTTGATCCTCGAGAGAGGTACATTCAGCTTCTTTGGGGCCGTAGTCATCGCGAGTCTTCTGACAATCGTCCATAAGTTGCTGAAGAGTTTTCTGATCATTTGGAAGCGCACAGTCCTCCAGATGAATGCCTCTCCCTTCCAATAACATTCTTTTAAATAAGAGATTGTCAGCCTCCGCTTTGATTTTCTCAGTCTCCTTCAACTCAGAGCGCGCTTGATGAACACGAGATCGGAGGCCTAATATCTCCTCCCGTACATTCCGCACCTTTATCCATGCCATACTTTGGTGTTCCCCCAAATCTGCCTGAAATCGCAACTCGCTAAAGCCTTTCTCAACAGTTTTGAGAGAGTGAAGCGGCACTCCAATCTCATCAGTTCTTGACAGATGGGTCGGTGGCTCCAATGAAGGTTGATCGGCTGATTGGTCTTCCAGTGATGTGATGGGGAAATATTCCTGCGATAATTTCGAGAGTTTTGAATCTCCCGGGGTTATTATATCCAACAAAACTTCTGGTGAAGGCCTGAATCGGCGCAGCTGCAAAGGAATCTGCTTTCCCGTTTGAGCTTCGTTATCGCTCAGACGCGTCAAATTCGCGTCGACGCTTTGCCCGCCGACTCCAAGAGGCGGATGATATCGCGATGAGGTTGCAATTTCTTCTGCCATGGGCGTACTTGGATCATTTCTCGGGGCATCATGGGGCGCGTAGCCGGACACGAACGAATCCAGGTCCAGATCTTCATCTCTCCACGAGGTATTCCCAGTTTGAGCCTCTGCAGCCCAGCAGGGCTCATGGAGGCCCCCACCTGCTTCTTGGCCCAAGTCCGACTCGGTTTGATAAGACATTGGTGTTGCGATCACAATAGAAGTCGACAGCAAATATTAACGCGCAATGTGCATATTAACAAAATTTGAAAGAGCTTGGAGAATGGCCAACTTGCATGGAGTCTTCAGACCCCGTGTGTCAAAAGGGCAAGGCTGACGACCAAGAATGAGCTAACACAATACAAGGCGACCAAGGAGAGCCTCACAGAACGTCGATGATTGCGAGCTTTTGGAGATGGTTGGCAAAATTCCATTCCGGATCCGTGTGGGGTCCTGCTGCAGAAGTGCGGAAAGGTTGTTGGATGGTGCGGACCGGGTAGGGCTCCAAGACATGGATGTTTGTGCACCTGTCATCATCTTCCGCCAAACGCACACCACTAATTGGTTGCTTCCAACAACATTTCTTTTTATAAAGCAGCGAAATGACCCCCATGGACATTCAAACGAATAGCAAGTCGTTGCCTTGCCGGGTTGCGCAATCTGTGGAGAGTAGTCCTCAAATGTGGCCAGTCGCTGAGCCCAAGTTGTGATGCACGACAGGAAGTCAAGTATGTTTCTGTCATACAGTGGACCATCTTGCCGGCAATTGAGGCTCAAATTCATGCCATGCGATTCTGGACCAAAGATAAAGCAGGTGATAAGCACCCCCGCAGTTCCAGAGCTGGATCACAAGCATCGTCGCCATCCAACACCCGCCAGACTATGCAACGATGCCTTCGTCTAGAGGAACGCAGAAGCGGTCTAATAAGCGATCATCCGCTTCTTCTTCATCGACGAGCCAGTATCCTACTGCTTGGTCTGAATGGGAATGGGACCTCGAAAAAATCTGCTGGAAACGATATCGCTATAAAACCGCAGGTAAAGTCGCTACTTGTTCACTCGTCTTTCTCAAGTGTTAATCACCTACAGATGACTACGAAGTTGATTACCAAGTTACTGAGAAGTCCGATCAGACCTCTGTAGACCCAAGGGATGCCCAAGAATTAAAAAGTATACCCGAGTCAAGTGGATCATATCAAACATCGGAGCATTACACAACTTCAGCCAATGCGGAAGTGGAAGCAGTCACCAGCAAATTTTCGCAGCTTTCAACAACTCCCATCAATCCTTCATACTACGCCAGTCAGACTAGCCAGCAGCCTGTAAGTAGCTTTGCTCAGTATTCAACGAGCCAGGCACTTGGTTCGTATGCCGGTCAGAGTACCAGGCAGCCCACGATTAGCTTTTCTGAGTCTCCCATGAATCCGGTACCTGGTTCGTACTTAAGCCAAGGTAGCTCTCAGCTTCAAGGCGTGCCCACTCACATCCAAACCCGTAACCCAAGCACGAAGCGAGAGGAATTTTATCCCGGTGAGTCGAATAGCGCCAGGTTTGGTTAGCATATTTGTTGACAGTCAGTAGACTACAAGGTCCATAAAGCATACGAGTTCAGATGGGGAAGAGTATGAAGTGTCCAAGTTATTTTCATTGAGAGCTCGCTGAACAAAGTCAGGTGTTCAAAGTAATCTGGGTAGAACCAAAGGGCCAAGGGGGACAGGCAGCAAGTGAAGACAGTGATGCTTCATACACCCAAGGAGAAAATCGAGATGGGACGACACAATTTCAGAAAGTTCGTCGCTTTGTCATCATCAATGCCAGGAAATGCCACTGCATTTGCCTGTAGGAAATGAGAGTCACTGTTTGTTGCTCCTGCTAACTTATTCAAAGACCGATAAATACATATTCTAAGCAGGGTGTGACGAAACATGGAGTTCACGCCGAGGACCATACTATTGCGTACTCTGAGAAGAAGCCCGTCTACTTCCATGGAGAGAGAGACAAAGGTCTGACTAAGACGCCAATCAAGATTGTCTGTTCTGCGCGGCACAAATTAGACGAGAGATCTCGACTCAACTATGCTAAGACCTATACTGTCGAGTATAATGTCAAAGTTTGTTTCATAGGGAAAGTCGATAAAACGTCAGAGTGGCATCTGATAGCCGATTTCAACATCGTTCATCCGCCTTTGGAGCATCGTGCACCACCACCTGTTGACGAAGTCGCAATGAATCACGCCGAGGGAGGATCTTCCAGCACCGAATATCCGACTGGTACGTCATGGACTGGACGGGCTGGTCCTTCGACATCGCTCAGATATAGCGCTCAGACATTTTCTCCGCAAGCTCGCACCCTCTGTGATATTCAAGATGACCAGGAAGAAGATCGAGACGATGAAGGCAATGAGCCCGAATACTCTCAAGGAGAATATTCGGGCGATGGAGAGCGATATGAGGCAGGGTACGATCACAATGCTTCAGACGGCCAGCCAGAAGGAAGTCATCAGGGAGCAAGTTCTGGACGGTAGTTTTCATTTTCGAATCTCGTGAGTAATCTCTGAGCTCCTTAACAGTCGAATTGTTGCTACTCGTGACTTTGTGGTGTAGTGCTTACCACCCTCACAGATTTTGTTTTCCGCGACAGGCGACAAATGTCGGGAATTGGCGCTACTGCAGCCCAGAGACATGTTCCCATTTTCCACCTTTTGAAAGTACCTGACTTCCAAAGTCTAAACATTTATACGTTGGTGTTGCATTCGCACACCGAGCCATTGGCTGTTCCTTTCCTGTTATATACATTCTCGAATTATGTTCTCAAACGAAGTTTTCTCTGTGTTTACATTTCCTTATCTATACTGCCGTTTGGTAATGGCTTAACAACATCGACAGATCGTGACTTCGGTTGCTCTGAGTCCAGTTTCATCTTACTGTTCAGGTTACGATTTCATGATCTCACGAAATATATGTTTATAGGCGGATATTTGTACTCAGTAAACACTTCATTTATCTTATCGTTCATGCCCAACACCACTGCATACTTATCTCACTGAAACTCCATTCTCACATCACCCTAGCTACTCAAGCAAGAGCAGTCTGATTTGAGTAAACATGTCGTCGCTACCACACCGCCCCTTGCATACAGCACCCACAAGCTACACCGATCCCGCCCCTGACCCAGCTGCCCGGATCCGACCCACTTCCACACCGCTGCTTCAACACCACCATCCAAACCCTAAAATCCAAAATACCGAATCCATAATAAACGAGCTCAATAACTGTCGGATTCGCGTAAATCCAGCCCCCACTACCTGACTTCCCGTTACCTGGTTAGTGAAGATAAGCTCAAACAAACAGGGCGGTGGGCATGGTCGACGCAACTGCCCGTCCGTGTGAGTCAACCTCATGGACGGGAAGTGACATGTGCCTGTGATCAGATGCACTAGATAGACCGGATCCTTTGAGCTGACTTGAGATTTGCCTTGACATGAGCGCCGAGCGTGACTGTCAGTAACTGCTGCCCGTTTCGGGCAGTTGATTAAGAAGACGAGGCTGACGAGGATGATGGTTCGGTGACTTTTCCTAACCCTAACCCTAACCCTTGTCCGAAATTGAGAGCTTCGAACCAAACCCGGAAATAGAAAGGTGTCATAAGTGCATGTGAAATTAAGACGCTTCGCAAAACTTGTGATCAGGATCTGAGGGATGACAGGTTCGGATTTTGGCTGGGGAATACGAACTTACGAAGGCACAGACGCGGATTGTGGCGAGGCGAGATGAGGCTGCTAATTGAGTCGGGCGTGGTGGCGGCTGACTAGGTAGTTTACTGCGGCCACTATTGGGTTTGTTTGCGAGAGCGAGCTGAGTGGGGTGGAAATTAGAAGGGCAGAGGATTGGGAAGGTGTTACAGTTGTGGCACGGGATGAGATGAGATGAGACTAGATGAAAGATAGCTTGGAGGTACGAAGTTGACGGTAGAGTGAGTAGGTGCTTTTTTCTGGCTGGTTTGCACTTTGAGGGGGCTGCACTTAAGAGGGTGAAATTGGTAAGAGTGAGATGTTCATTTATGAGGTGCGAGTGGTAAATATGAATGGCATTTGCAATATAAGGGGTATCTGAGTCTCCTAAATACACTCCGATTATCCCCCTCGCTTATAGACTTGTACATTCTGAAAAACAAAACAAGTAAAGCTAATCGCTGTAATAAAAGCCAAGATATACTATATAAACGCCTGGTGAACAAACGGACTATAAAACTAGATAATGATGTATGGTCGAACACGGACCCGCCGAGAGAAGATTGAGAAGAGAATCGTGAATCATAAGTAGAATGAGCAGATAGTGCGTAAGTGGAGAAGGAAAAATAGTTGACGGAAAGAAGCAAAAGCCATGTCCAAATTCCTGTACCTCACTTAACGCCTGCGCTGTAAAACTATTGCTGTAAAGAAGGGAAATGAGAACTGGGGAGACACCGCTCGTACATTCTAACGAGGAGAACTTTGAGCCATCAACGAGTGATATCAAAAAGGAATTGTGAAGCTATTCGCGAGTAAAGCTTGCACTCTTCCGCAAAGCGGGGTGGAGAGTCAATTGCGTCGTCAGGTAGTCAAGACTACGCCTGGAGAGATGGTGAGTTGGTCTTTTGGGGGCTTTAAGACTGGATGATCTCGATAATGTGTTTTTTGGAGCTTCGAGAAATCGTGACTTCGATGGAGGTGTTTCTGAAGTTTCGGGTTTAGATGGTTGTGTATGATAGGTTTGGGGTGATAGAAGTGGTTTCGATGCCGGTGATTCCGTAGCGTCGAAGGACGTCCGGGCACTGCGCTCCGATGGCGCCAGTGATGTGAATGAATTCGTGTTGCTTGTTAGAGAAGGAGCTCTGGAGGTCGTGATCGATGTATTGGGGCTGAGGGTATGTTCTGGTTCATCGATGCGTGGTGGTGGAGGGTTTGATCCATAAGAAATCATGGGAGGTAAGCGGGACACCGACGGACTTTGGGCGGTTGTATTTGTTAGTTCAGGCACAGTAGTTGGCGATATTGGGGAGTCGTCTGAGTTCTCTCCTATCTCCGGTGAAGTTTCGTTGATGTCGAGCGTCGTGGGTGTGTTAGCTCCATCGCCATATTTGGGTTTCGTTGGTGTCGTATCAAACCCGCCGCTTTGCGTAGCAACGGAGGCTGGATCGCTTTCCATGAAGTCAAGATCGATAGAGGGATCATAGTTAGGAGCTACATGCAGGCTGCTGCGCAGGCTGTCGCTGGATTGTGACCAGCGGGTGCTGCCAATGTTGAGCACGTTTGTATCTCCAGCGATGGCATCGAACCTGCTAGCGTTGTAGAAGTGATCTGCAAGATTTCCAGCTTCATCTGTATACCAATTCTTCAGAGAGTATTCTGTCCACTTATCATCGCCCATTTCTACCAATGTCTTATGTGGTGTTTCTGATATGCCGGGACATTTGATGTAAATGAAAGTTCGCAACATCATCATGTCAACAGTTGATTCTTGGACCCATTCCAACAGCCACTTGTTCACATAGTCCCTTTTGTTTGAAATTTCTTGCTTTATTTCTTCCGGGTGTTTGACATGCTGTGCGGCCACGCGAAGAGGAGATCGCTCTAGCGCTTCATCCACCGCGTCTAGGAGCTCGTCCCGCAACGCGTCGCGAGGTTCGTACCGATGTTCGTCTCTGGAGAACACGCCTTGCTTGATACATTCATCTCGGAGGTCGAAGATGTTTTCTTCCGCTTGATAGAGGCTGTCGAGGATTTCAGCACGCGAAGTTGGGTAATCGGCGAGGAAGCTCGACATAGTTGCGAAGAGGGGGAATCCATTGCGTCTGCGCAAATTCGCATCTTCCGACACTCGATAATAGTCATCTTCAAGATTCTGGAGTTCTCTCCTCAAGGCCAGCGCCTCATCGATTTTTGAAAAGTACTCCTGCAGTAGGTTGCTGTTGATGATGAGGATTTGGTTTGTATTGTTGGGTTTGTCATCTAGCTTTGTGGAAGAGGAAACTGCTCGCTCTACTCTCGAACCTTGATGAGAAGCTTCAAAGTATTTCTTGTACCGGTAAAGCTCATAGTATTGCTCTTCCTCCTCCTCGAGATCTTGCTCCTCGTTTTCCAGCCTGTTTTCGAGGCTCTCATATTCGTGCTCAGCAGGTCCCAACTCGTCTTGAGCAGCACAAAACTCCTCATAGTACAGTCCAATTCCTTCTTGGAGCCTGTTGAGCGCAGCCAATTCATTGATTTTCTGAGTTAACTTGTCAAGGGCGGACCGTGTTCTTTCTCTGAGTTGACCAAGGCTGTCTCGACTTTTTCGCCTGATTTGACGTGTCTTCAGGACTCTGCGACGAAGTATCACAACTCGCTCCCTTGCTCTTAGTTGCTGCTCTCTGGTGTCAGAATCGTCATCTGAAGAATCTTGGTCCTGAGGCCCTCCAGTTGAAACGTGCGCGGAGTCTTGTTGAAAAGGATCGTGGTGGAAGCCCGGACTTGAGGTTGATGATGTATACGTAACCCCTCGAGATCTTGTTCTGGGGGTTGAGTTGCGGTCAGAATGCTCTCGCAAACTCCCTCCTGGAGATTCAATCATGGCTGGAGTCTCCGCCTCCATGGAATAATGTTCATGGGATTCACGATTTTCATTTCGAAATTCTTGCCGACAGAGATATGACTCAGATAACGGCTGTCTGGGAAATATATCGGGATCGCTAGCAGGTTTTTGAGCAGCTGCACCAACTGCCGCCTTCCGAGCTATATGGCTCGTTTTTGGGAAGCTCTGGCCGTGGAGCTCTGAAGTACTGGATTGAGCCAGCAGAGTTCCGCTGATCTGTGGTCGATCCTCCTGCCACGTCTCTATCTGAGTCTGGGATATGGGTATTCCATCTGCCATTTGCCATCCCAATGTTCTGACTGGAGCCTTATCTTACATGTGGCCTTCTCCAAAGGGTGGTGCCACGATCCGTGTACCTGAATGACTTATGTGAAGGGGGGCACATGGGACAAATATGCGAAAGGACATTCCAACGCTATGGTTCGGCACTTTCAGAAGAGAATCCCAAACGTTGGCTGAAAAGGGGCCGTGTGGAGCGTTCCTTGGGGAAGGATTGTTGTTATTTTCAGTGTGCAAAACGGTGAGGAAATGAGGCTCAGCTCAGTCATCCTACAAGGATGCTTCCCATGGTGACTTGGGGTGACGAGTTATGAGTTAGTGACACGAGGTGGACGATTGGACGATTGGAGTATGCAAGGTGTACTGGCGTGGCTCTAATGTTTCTCAGGGGCATGGTATGGGGGTGTGCGTGTGAGAGATTGGAAGGCTGTTTTGGCTGATGTGGTTTTGGCTTGGTTCTAGGCTTCATCAAGGCTGTAGGCTCTAGCCAGTGGTGTAGCCACACCTCGGGTCATTGGATTATTCATTAATGGATTGAACTCCGGCATGGCACGGGCACGGCAGGGCCATTCCAAGGGGGAGACAACCCTGTATTTTAGCGGCCGGGCCTAGGGGGCCGACCCTATCCGCCCGAGGAATCTGTGCTTCACTTTTCTCCATACGAACCCTGCTCATGCGAAAGTGCACTTCACCAGACTTCAGGTCTCTCCAAGCATCTTCAGTTGACTGTCTGTTCTGCGCAAGTAAACTTCACAGACAAGTCTCATGGGCGGCTATTTGTAAATAATATGACTCCTACCAGTAGCTCCGTTCCATATACATTCCACGTCGTACTGCAGCCTCTTGTCCTCCTTCGGTCCCTCCGCATGTCCCACGCGCCGCTTTTTCATACAGTATCATCGCCGCCATGCATCAGAACAAAATTCACATGTGATGATGGGCCTATCAAGATGCCGACCTATTCTCGCCTGGACGCAGCCTGGACGCAGCCTGCAGCATTATGAGCATGCAGTCGAGCCACCATCCACTCCATCACCAAGCACAGAGCTTGAACCCCGCACTGTCATGCAGATTCGCTGCGTGAAATGCCCCATCGCTCAGGTTACTCCACTATGCTGCTTCTCCCTGCAGAGCCTCAGCTTTCCTGGGGCTTTATTAGGACTGGCCAGTCGCGGGGCAACACCTGCGTCGCTCGCTATGTCTTCCAGTCAGTAGGTAGCAGTCTGCCTCGCCTCACTGATGTCGGACCGCAAGGCGAGGTATAAAACCAGCTACGTGGATGAGTGTAAGTCCATTGCTTTATGATAATGCCTTATTATACTAGTACAGGACTAACGGGTAAGAAGTTGGGCAAGAGATTGGTAGAGATAGAGGTGGAGGAAGCTCATCGTCGTACCGAGAGCCGTCGTAAGTACAATCAAATACTTGCTCCGAAGCTGGCTGATTGATATAAAGCAGGCATCGAGAACGTCCCGAGATCCCACGATCTGAATCACACAGGGCAGATGCGCCAACAAGGTCTTCCACAGCCACGACAACACACAGTGTGGGCTCATCTAGGCATGGTAACAGGGACCGCGCAAGAAAAGATTCCGACGCTTTCAGTACGCAGCTTCAATCTGGGCCCGAATATGGCGACAGAAGTCAACCCATTGCTATACGACATGGCGATTCGAAACGATATCATGATGCGGGAGGGTTTAGTCGTTCCCGAGAAGAAAGTACAATCGATCCAGGCGACAGCTATGATGCCCCAGAATCTTCCAATGCTCGGCGCGGCTCGCATAGCACTTACAGCCCCCCACCTCTCCGTGAGCGAGGTTTTGGATCATCTCCTGATCATTTATCTGGCTCGCTAGCAAGACTGACTATGAGTGATGTTGTCGGAAGCCCTTCGTTCGTCGTCACGAGCTCTCATCAGGGTACTTCTGGGGACTACGATAATGCTGGCCCAACTCAACGCCAGATGTCACCTCCGGAAAACCTGAACGAAGACTTTCGTGTCGGGTCGTTTCGAGACAAAGGGAAAAGTATTGCAAGAGATCCTTCCCCAGCTCCTCCACTTGAAGGAATTCCTAAACATCTAATTCGAGGTACACGAGGCGACACCGAAGATCTGGACAGCAGCTACGCCAAGCGTAGTCAGGATTACAAGAAGTTTTTCCGCCCAGGACGAGTGTTCAGTACCTTGTGGACGGAGTCATACGATGATAGCCCGCAAAGTGAACATGACCAGTTTCGGAGCAAAGTCACGTACCAAGTTTCGTACAAGCAAAAGGTCTTCTCCAAAATTCGTCGCTTTGTGGTGGTTAGACAAGCCGATCGGAGCTGCACATGCCTACCTGTTACCACCTACGATGGGCGCGGCTACAAGAAAAAGGGAATCAACCTTGATGACCACGGGTTGATCTACAGCAGCAGAGATCCGCCTCTAAACATCAGAGGCATCACAAAGCAGCCGCTTCGAATCATTCTTTCCAAGGGAGCGGAGAAACTCGGCAATCCCTCCTATCTAAATTACGGTAGAGTTTATACCGTCGAGACAAATGTGAAGGTGAAGGACGTCGGTGATCTTGACACAGAGTCAAGACGGTTACTTCGCACCTACTACAGGGAGGTGCATTTCAGAGACTTTCCGGACGATGACAATTACGCTCAACCTGGTCCATCCTCAAATCCACAACAAAGAGATGTTGAAGTCGCAGGAGCAGGAGCTGCTTTCGCCTCTACCGCTGGTCAACAAAAGTATGGCTCTCGTGGCCAGTATGATCAATCTTCCTCTGGAAGATATAATCAACAGCCAAGCTGGACTAATGCAACTGGGTTTCCTCCTCCAGCAAGCAGCATGTACCCAGCTGCGCCAATTTACCCACAGCCACAGCCGACAGTCTCTGGCAATATCCCTGCATATCAGTACGCTAACGTCCCAACTTTTGATATGAACCGACGTTCATCAGCCTATCAATCAGATTTTCAGTACAATCAAGACGTGTCCTCAGCTGGTGGTTTCGCAAATCAGCAAATTCTTGCAGGACCACAGTCCCAAATGTATCCACAAGCCCCAGATCCACGTTGGCCTCGAGAGCAACCTTCGCAGCCTCAGTATCAAACAATTCAAGCTCCTCTGGTTTCCGGTAGTTTCTACGGCGGACGTGACCAGGGCTACAATGATCAGTACTCGGTCAATGATTCCCGTTATCTGCCTCCAGATCCAAATTATGGCCAGTCTCAAGGGACTGATCAGGCTGCGGGCTGGACTCCCGCCTCCACTGGGCGACAAGTCATACACGAGGAAGACGTCACGCTACCGACGTTGGAGCAAGCTCAAGCAACGCAGCGACAGCGGCGTCAGAGTTCAACAAGATACTCTACTAGCAGTCGAGGTGGATATGATGAATCACGGGATCGATACCGCAGCTCTGGATCGGGCCATCGTGGACCGTGATCATCCCCCAGCGACAGATACTTCGATTTCTTTTGTCTTTCCGTTTTGGTTCCCCGTTCTTAATGAATTTATACGTGTCTCGTTATACCGGTTGGGCTGCGTGCTTCAACATTCCGTTACAACTGGCTCTCAGAGTCCGTCGCTAGCCATATACTAGCCACGACTCAAATGCTGTTGTATTTCCTTTACTCACGATTCTGCTCTCTTCTGGCTGTTAATTTTGCTTTTTACCTATTTGTTTTCCACTATAACGAAATTCCTTGACCTATTGGGCTTTCGCACCTTGCTGTTGTTCCGGCCATGTCCCACATGTGCCGTCTAGCAAACTTGCTCAAGCTACATAAACGAGTTTCGTTAGTACTTTATGCTTCAGGAATGCCATGAGCTTCCAAATATCGACAGTCATGTCGGTACACAGAACGTTTTCAATTTATATTTACGGCCGAAATTATGAAAAATCTCTTGGTTGGGTATTAGGCGGGACGCTGGCGCTTTGATGTTTTGATTTCTCTCGCTTGGGAATATCTTTAGCGAGATATGAGGACAGGACCGGAGACCTGCTCTTCATCTGTCGTGACGACGAAATTGGATTTATTCTCTAGGTCTGCGTAGTGTCTTACAACATTAATATGCTAAATATATATATTCTTATATACTTCCAAGGAACTCGATCTTTCGCTCTGGAACAGCATCGAAGGCTGGCAGTGCTTTTAATTTTCTGATGGGAAGGTGGGTGTCTATCTGTCTGTGGCATCTGTGGAGGGACAAGCGGGTAATCCCCACTGGATAGGGTCTTGACATGAATATTGAAATTAGGTCAAGAAACAATTATCTCCTCAATTGCGGACCGTAACACATATTTATAGGGAGTTGACAGCCTGTAGCGACACAATGTAATTACTTCGTTAAGCGAAGAACGCTGAAATGTGTATGCTGCGCTGTCATTCAGGTTGCCTTAGCACCGCGCTTCAGCGCTGTTCCCTGGAAAAGTATATTTTCGGCAGTTGAGGGGATACCTCGTGATACAGAAACATCAAAGCTTCTGTAATTTATGGCTATATAAGTCTACCACCAGCGATGGCTTTGTTTACGCATGAGTAAGGCGAGGGATTCAACATGGCGGGAATATCTGCACCCACAACACATCAGTCGACATTCTGTACCTAGGTGGCTTCAACTTCGTAGACTGCCTTAGAAGAAGCCTAGCAGTGATATGCAAGCCTCCAACGCGTACAAGGGTCCTTCAGACTATCTATTGGCCGACTTGTCTCATCTAATTATGCAGGCGTTCTTGCCACGTCGAATGGCTGAGCGCTACAACCTGTGGCATGAATTTACGCCCGACTGTGGTTGTGTCGCAGACAAAAGCCCTGCACCATCCCTTGCTAATTGAGTGCTCAGAGCACAGCGAGTAACATTCTCTCAGCTGAACCCAAAAGCAAATTTTACGTTGAGTCGGTACACTTCAGCGTCAGGGGAAATTGGACGAGGATGTCTTCATCGTTCGGAAAGCAGAAAGGAGCCATGAAAGAATCCTCGCCGCAATCAGGTTATCCCTCACTGTGGTCGGAATGGGGGTGGGATGACAACCGTCATTTATGGAAGCGCTATCGCCTTGATAGCAATGGTGAGCACGATCGATCTTTACAAGCAGTACGCATGCTGTGGTGCTGATAGATCTCAGGTTCCTACGAGTGTGATTACTCTTCCCCGCAGGAAGAAGATTATTCCGCTGTGCGAAATAATCAACTTGCCAACGAACATGCTTCTTACTCCAGCTCTCAACAAACATTATCTAGCTATCAAGTGGCTCCATTCTCTAGTGTTATGACGAATGCTTATCGAAGAGAGTCTCAAGACAAGTCTAGTGATAGAAGGGTGCCTGTCCATTCAATTCACATTACAACGAGCAACCCGAGCACAGACTATGAGGAATTGGATAAAAGTTCAAGCATGCGGATACAATGAAGATGAGTAAATTTTGCTGACTGATACTAGAGTACAAAATCCACTCATCTAAGGCTTTCAGATTTGGGAGGGCAAGTGTCCAGTTCGTCTCGTTAAATTCTTCGCAAGCTGACTGTTTAGGTTTTCAAAATTCTCTGGTCCGAACAGGATGTAAATCATGAGACTGGTGGTTACCACGACTCGGAATCTATTGTTCAACGATTGAAGAGCGGTGGAACTGTTCTTGCCCCAATTCGGCGATTTCTCATAGTTGAGCAGCAGATAGGACATTGCAAATGCCTGTACGTCAGCTCCTACCATACTGCACTTATTTTCGTCAGATGTACCTCTAACAAGCACTCTGCTAGGCCAATCATGACTTATGGTGGAAAGGGTCTCGACAAACGAGGTATTCATATTGATGATCATGCGGAAATATATTCTGGAAAGCGTCCGTTCTATACACCTGGAGAAAAAGGCATGACAAAACACCCAGTGAAGTCATCATGCACCAAAGGACAGAAGTTAGACACGCCTTCTTTACTGAACTATGCAAAGGTGTATACTGTGGAACACAATGTTAAGGCTTGCTTTATCGGCCAGATCGATGAAACTTCCGAACGACATGTAGCCGGCGACTACAAAGATACGCATCTGCTTCAAGGCGCGAGACATGACGACAGCCCTTCTCAGGATGCCGATGGTGGACCCCTGGACTCGACATCTCCAGAGATGTCGGCCGAGGAAGTCGACAAGCAGTCCTTCCAAGAAGACGTCTCACCAAGTATCGATTATGGTCAACCCGGTCTCGCCAATCTGAGCCTGCCCGATCAAAATCCCTATGTTCCCCAATCGATAGCACCCAGCTACCTAAACAACAATCAAGATAGCAGCAGCATCGTACCTCCAGATTCATCAGCTGAGGCCTTTGGAGGACACGATGCTGGCGAGAAGAATGCTAAGTTAGTCAACCCGAGCACAAGTGCTGAAAAGAAAGCGGAATTATCAAAGAAGCGCTGTACGGGTCACGACTCGGTTTGGAGAGACTACGTTCTGCCTGCATCTAATGCAATCCTTGTGACATATCTGGTCGGGCGGGAGTTGAGCGGAAGTTCGGGGGGTTCCCCTGCCCGCGACCCGGCGGACCAGTCGAGCTACCAACGTTCCTTGATCAACGCGTGGCGCGAAAGAACTGGCGACGGAGCAAGCGTGGGATCTTGGTCTAGAAGATCTGACCGCGTTCCTAGTATTCGATCGCTGGAATGAGAGAAAATGCTTTAACAGGTTAGAGCTTGCATTTACGAATGACACGGATAGAGCTGAAAATAGACGATGGGTCGATGACTGAGTTTGATGACAAGTTGGACACATACGTCCCGTAGAGAGTCTCCGAGGAGGAAACTCTTGGTATTTTGACATTTTTACTATTCTGAAACTACCAGCCAAGAGAGGGTACTATTCGTGCTCTCTGCAGCGCCTCAGTACATTTTATAAATTCTTGGTTGAAATGTCAAGAACTTTATTTTTCAGGTTTCACCCAACTGAATTGTATGAATGATCAGTCATAGGTAGTCTCGAGAGCTATGAGGCATCCCTAGGCCCATTAGTACAATACCCAAAGCTTCCAGTCTAGCATCTAGCGAAATGTCTGTTTTGAAATCGCTAAACAGGGAAAGAGGGGTGCCCTCACGTGATGACTTCTTAGCGCCGTCGGCGAAAGTTCGGTTCGACCATAGAAAATTAAATTCTATCTCCAGCACTTGGGAGATGCAAGACAGCCTCACCATTTGCAACTACTCCAACAACCTCACAACGGCAATAATGAAGCGCAAATTGGATGCCAATGATGTTCCCGCGCCTGTCGCTGAGGTCGAAAGTCAGAAAAACGACAACACATTCGCTGGGCTAGGACTCGACTCCCGATTGCTCCAAGGAATCACAAAGCAAAACTTCCAGACGCCAACATTGGTTCAGAGCAAAGCTATTCCTCTCGCATTGGAAGGACGCGACATATTGGCAAGAGCAAAGACAGGATCAGGAAAGACGGCGGCATATCTGCTGCCAATCTTGCATTCGATACTGAAGAGAAAACTGGTAGGTTTTGGCTGCTGAGCTGGAGAAAACACAGCTAACACTCACAGACCTCCTCCACCCAATGCACATCTGCCTTGATCCTCGTACCTACTCGCGAACTTGCCGATCAAGTCCTGAAAGTCGTCGAATCATTCTCAGCATTCTGTACGAAAGATATTCGGGCTGTGAATCTCACCCAAAAAGTCTCTGATGCCGTCCAACGAACCCTCCTTGCTGATTCTCCCGACCTGGTAATCGCGACACCCGCCCGAGCATCAGTGAATCTGAATACCGCAGCTTTCTCGCTCGAGAGTCTCGCACATCTAGTCATCGATGAGGCGGATCTGGTATTGTCATACGGTTATGATGAAGATCTACAGAATGTGGCCAAGATATTGCCGAAAGGCGTTCAGACGATTCTGATGAGTGCGACCTTGACGAGCGAAGTTGAGACTTTGAAGGGCCTGTTCTGCAGAGATCCAGTAATATTGAAGCTTGAGGAAGCCGAGGCGGAGGGAGAAGGTGTCAGCCAGTTCGTTGTAAAGTATGCTCCCTTGATTCCGACGATGCGCATCTACTAACAAAATCTAGATGTGCAGAGGATGAGAAGTTTCTATTAACCTATGTTATCTTCAAGCTGAAGCTGATCAAGGGCAAATGTATAATATTCGTGGGAGATATCGACCGTTGCTACAGATTGAAGCTATTCTTGGAACAGTTCGGCACGAGAAGTTGTATCTTGAACTCCGAACTCCCAGTCAACTCAAGGATACATGTGGTGGAAGAATTCAACAAGAACGTCTACGATATCATCATTGCTTCGGACGAGCACGAAGTCTTAGGCGACGAAGACGAACCAAAAGAGGAGAATGGCCAAGATGAACCTGCAGCCACGAACGGGACGGAAGGCGAAGCCACGGAAAAGAAGGCAGAAACAGAACCACAACCCTCCAAAAAGAAGCGGAAGACGGCAAAGAGAGACAGAGAGTACGGTATATCGAGAGGCATCGACTTCAAGAATGTCGCATGCGTCCTGAATTTCGACCTACCCACTTCCTCAAAATCATACACACACCGCATTGGACGGACAGCACGGGCTGGTCAGACAGGAATGGCTCTGTCATTTGTCGTACCAGCGGAGCTCTATCGCAAACACAAGCCTACGAGTATCGAATCTGCAAAGGATGATGAGAAAGTCATGGCAAAGATTATGAAGCATCAGACGAAGAAGGGCAAGGAGGTCAAGCCATACAATTTTGACATGAAGCAAGTGGAGGCATTCAGATACCGAATGGGTGATGCGCTACGAGCTGTCACTGGTATCGCTATTCGAGAAGCCCGGACTCGCGAATTGAGACAAGAATTGATCAAGAGCGAGAAGCTGAAGCGTCATTTCGAGGAGAATCCAGAAGATCTCCACCATTTGCGACATGATGGAGAATTGCGACCTGCGAGGGTACAGTCACATATGAAGCATGTTCCGGAGTATTTGTTGCCAAAGGAAGGAAGGAAAGCTCTAACAGCGGAAGTGGGATTTGTGGGTATCCGCAAGACGACTGAGAATCGAATCAGAAAGGCTAGGGCGGTAAACAGGGCGAAGGGAAAAGGCAAGAAGGCCGGTGCGCGGAAGGTGGATCCTCTCAAGACCTTCAAGGGCAAGGTGCGGAAATAGGTTGGTGTAAAATAATGAGATACTACCTCCTCGCCAGACATGACGGCCCTTCCCCGTGATATGTGGATAGCAGATTAAGGTGAGCTGTGGTCGTAAGAGTTTTGTTTGCATACAGGTTTGGTCAATATCACCCAAAACTGCCCCTTTTTCGAATCACGACAGTCTTCGATTGTCATCAATTGCAACATTGTACTGAACCTCTACCCGAACTAAGGCACCTCCTTGCAAAATGATATCATTTCAGTGGTGAGTTCTGCTGCATTGCCCCATCAACGAGAGGATTTCTGACAGTGCCCAACATTTCTCTGTGACAGTATAAATCCTTTGCGAGCCTCAATAGTAATGGTGCCACGAACGTTCACATGTCATTCATGAAGCTTTCCCCTGAGTACTCTATTCTGATTGTTGACGTTCGCTTAGCTTGCAGGCCGAGATTCTTGGCAAAGGACGTTATGACTTGCAATGCCTCTGCTGTGATCCGCTTCACAACATTTTTGAACAAAGTGAGCCCTTGGGTCGAAAGAAATTAGTATTAGGTGAGCTCAGGGTCCTCACTCTCACATGTTGGTTACTTCTTACCCCGCCAGAACACACTCTCGAGGCATAGACCTACTTCAGAATCTGCCCCAATCCATATTTACTTGATTCATTGAACAATGCTGTTATCAAGCACGAACAGTGTCATGACACTAAATTTGCATTCACTTCATCGTCATGCAGAATAGGCCGCCGCTGTCTTCGCTTATTCTTACCGCCCCACCCATATCGGGAAGCTTCCTCCAACTGTTTTTGATCGTTACAACTCATCATGTCCCACAATTCTATTGGAGTCGTCAACGCTCTACTAGGATGTCTTCCCCTCTTTAGTAGTCGATCTCTCCATCTCTAACACCCCTTGGAACGCCGACAACCCATCAGCGATATCCTCACCTTCAAGTTACTCTTCTACGGACTACTTCTGCGCCATTCATGGTTTCACTATTGCTGGTTGATATTGAGTATTGCCAAGTACTCAGTCCTGCGGATTCAGCTGGAGCAGGCGATCTGCACTTAAAGCGTCAGATGGTTGGTCTCCGCAATTGACTTCACTCAACAACATACGTCAGGCCGCTCCGATGCTTCAACGCCCTTCATGCAAACCCAATACAAATCCATCAGCTCACTTCACTTCCTCTCATTCAACATCATTAAGAATCAAAACACCTCACATACAGTGATAGAGCTCATTATAGCTGAGCCGCTTTAGCTCGAAGCCCGCTAAGACCTTTCTTTCCCTCGACTCTTATAGGAAACTATCCACACAGCAGGAGCATCTTCTTCCCTTGAAACCCCACGACTCTCCTGATCCGGCCTATGCGTGTTATCAGCCAGGACATCTTTATACAGTTTACAGCAAACTTCACTTCGGCTGTTTCCCCTACTTGATAGCCTCGCTCGCTCTATCTATCCATTATGGAGATCGATACTCCTGATCAAGGTGGTCGTCGCCTTGGTGATTTTGACCCTGCTGTAGAAATACCCATGGATTACTACAAAGATATCAACCAGCTACTCCGTTCTTCCCGCCGCACGCCAGTAAAGGCCGCTCCACCAACGCCACCGACCGATGAGGCTATAGATGGAGAGATGGGTACAAAGGATACTGAGCCAGCTACTGTTGTCTCTGAGCCCGGTAACGCCCCAACTCAAGCAGCTGCATATCCAAGAACAGTCCAACGTGATAACATTGCAAGCGACGCGCCTCTTGTTGTCAACGGCTCAACTTCCTCAACACCTTATACCCAACCACGGGTAGCGAAGAGACCGGCAAGCCCTTCTATGGCACAAAATGGTTCTAGCAAGAGACAACAAATCCGTGCCAATTCACTGCTCATGCTATCACCCTCCCGACCTCTGAGCAATGGTCCGGTTGACACTCTCTTCGGTATGGGCATGGACAGAAATAAGGACCAGATGAGTACTCAACAGTGGGAGAGATCTGGGACTGAGAATTGTAAGCTTGTTGAAGACGTTGATCGTTCTCCCTTCCACCAATCTGACTTTACATCAGTGAACGGAGATGGTGACAATCGGAGACCGCACGACTCTCGCCCTGCCTCAGATCAGCAGACTCCTTCGCAAGAATATACTCCAGCTCGACAAACTCCTTTCGGAGAATACGTTACTCCAAGTCGACAACCCACGTTCCGAGAACAATACTCTTCGCAAAAGCAAAACCAGCCGCTTTCTCGACTCTATCACACTCCTCAGCAACATCCCCCACAGAATAATAACAATTTGTCCCGAAACACTATGCGGATGTCGAAAGAGTCTTTTCGTCGATTCAGAGCTCTCAGTGTCTCCAATAACCGGGGATTCCACAATGTTCACCAAGCAAACAATGTGGAGGAGTCCGATATGGACCTTGAAGACGGGGTCGTAAGAGTAGCAATGGCTCGAGCAGCAAGCATGATGAGAGAATCAGTTCAGGCTCAATCTCGTCCACCATGCCGGGGTTCAACGGCTCCTCCTGAGGTTCAGAAAGGCAGGCCTCTACATGAGCGTTTGAGCACTCCCAATGTCGATCGCATAATGAAAGCCACAAATCCAGGGGATCGGCAACCGGTCCGAGAAGTTGCTTCATACGCCTCGCGGTATGATCGTATGAGCCAGAACCGAAACACGCCCCGACCAGCGTCAAGACCTCACACCCCCAAGGCCCCCGCGGCACCATTCGAGCTTGACTTGCTGGACGATAGCAGCGACGACGAACTTGAAGAGAAGGACATGAGATCTTTCTTCCGTCGTCCAAATCACAATCAAGAACAGAAGCAGCCACAAGGTCAATCGCCATATCGACGTGCTCAGACAGCTGTGCCAGAGAGCCCCCAGACAACCAATCCATTGAATAGAGCCAATACTCCCAAAACCTTACAGCACCAGTCAGAACCCACCTTTTACGCTGCCAGACAGCCACCGCACCTTCAGAGTCCTATCTGGGCTTCTGGAGCCGAACGCAAGACAACAGGCTCAATTGCGAGAGCTCATTCTGCCTTTGATGCTTTTGGCTTTGTTGAAGAAAAACCTCGCAGTCGAAGCAGGAGCATTGCGCCTCGTGATATTCAAGAGCAGCAAAGGAGTAGAAGTAGAAGTGTGGCTCCACGTGGAGGTCAATATGAACAGCGGGGTAGAGGCCGGAGCGTTGTTCCTCACGACTTCCAGAATGAACAACGAGGTAGAAGCAGAAGTTTGGCTCCACGTACTCCGGCCATCGAGCGTGTTCGTGCCCAAAGTCAGTATGGAAGTCCACGGAATGTTCAGATCGAGTCTCAAGCCCGTGAGTCTGAAGAAGTAACATCCGTTCCATCACGATCACAAATCCTTAGCCATCAGCAGAAAAACAACGTGCCCAATGGAGTACATGGAAGCAGTGCTATCACCGCAACGAATTCCTTAGAAGTGCCTAAGGAAGCACCTAGAACACCCAGTCGAGCAACCGAACCCAGAACACCTCTTCAAACTCCTCATCATGTTGAGATACTCGATGTTGATTCTCCAGAAACGTTTCACACTCCCTTGGATGTATTGATTCGGAAGAATCAACAGCAGCCTCAGCCCCAACCGGCTATCCAGAATGGCAATGATAATCAGGAAAAAGTCTCCAGCATCTTACCATCTAGTAGCGCCTTTACAAAGAAAGTCAAATCCGTGGAGCCAAAGATAGAGTCTGTTCCGATCACACCTAAGGATCGGCCCAGTTCTGGTAGAGGTTTTGCGGCCCCAGAAGTGATCGATCTCATCACTCCAGAAGCATTGCCTCGATCAATTCCCATGAATGAACGACTCGCGCCTGTAGTCAAGAAAACAGCACCCAAGAAGACTGTCGCTCCCTCAAACACTCGATCCAAAGCATCTAAACCTGCTGCACCACCAAAACGAGTTGCGAAAGAGAAACCTACGCCCATTGATCCCGAAGAAGTCCGTCAAAAGAAGATCGCAGAATTGATCATCGACAGAATGGTTAAAAGTGATGAGGCGTCGTTTGACCTGTCACTATTCGGGGATATCGTCTACGATCAAGAAGCCGAAGACAAGAAAGCGGAAGAAGCTCGTGCCAAGGGTCAACGCGATCGTGAGGCAAAGATGGCAGCCATGCTTGCCAAAGAAGAGGCTGCCAAGAAAGCTGCAGCGGAAGAGCAGGCAAAAAGGAAAGCAGAAGCCGAGAAACGTAAGCGTGAGAAGGAGTTTGAGGAGGAACAGAAGAGAATTAAGCGAGAAGCCGATCGCCAGAGACAACTCGCTCATGAGAACCGTGAGAAGGAAATGTTGAGAAAAGCTGCAGAAGAGAGAATCAAGGTTGATCGGGAAAAGAAGGCCAAGGAGGAACAGCAAAGGGAGCTGGAGAGACAGGAGGCAAAGGAGAAAGCTGAAAGCGTTCAGGCTGAGACCAGAGAACTCGCAAAGCTCAAGGCGAAAAAGGAGCAAGCGAAGTTGCAAGCCGCATCTTTGAGTGCTGCGAAATTGACAACAGCTGTTGATCTAAAGCCAGTCGAGGAACCTGATGCGCAGATGGAAGACGAGGACTCTTTGTTTATGCCAGAAGCTCCGCCTGTTGTGCCACAGTAAGTGCCACCCTTGCTCGCGTCTGGAGTATCTACTCACAGCCACCTAGCAAAGCAAAGCCATTTGATCGATCAGGTGTCAAAGAAAGTATCACAAAAATGCGCGCTGACAAGGAAGCTGAGGACGTTCGCAAAAAATTGGAACAGTCTCAGCGAATCAAGGAGAAACTGGATATTCGATACAAAAGGGGTCCAAATGCTGTGGCTCAAAATCCAACACCTGCCCCACGACCCAAGCCATCTGTCCCAGCACCTCAATCCAAAGTAGCAAACCGACCAGATACCGTTGTTGAAGTGCCCAAGCCAGCATCCCAATCAAACTCGGAGCCAGAGCCAGAACCTGTTGTGGAGAAACCCAAGCCCACAACGGCTCCCCTAGCGAAGAATGACCGACCGGCACCAAAACCAAAAGCCATAGCAGCACCCAAACCAAAAACGGCTCGGGACCGAATGAACGAAAGCTTACAATCTCGTAGCTCCTCTTCCTCTATCGAAACTACACCAGCACCCAGCTATCTCGACCAACTGGCCGCCAAGAACATTTTCAAAGGCATGCCCAAAGATTTCTCTTCATTCGGTCGCACGAAGTCTAAGCCTACAAGACCAAAACTCCGTGAGCATAGACACCAGACTCTACTCATATCTGACCTGGAGCGTGAGGAACTCGAAAAGGCCCAGAAGGGAAAAGGGGCCCGTGTGGGGGATTATCGGTTGACCGAAGAGCGGAAGCAAAAAGAGGCTAAAAAGAGAACAGAAATGGCCAGAGAGAGAAAGGAGCAGGCTATTCGGAAAGAGGCCGAGAAGAATGGTACCCAGATCTCAGAAGAGGAGCTCAACTCCCAGGTTGAGGCGTTCATGGAGAAGCGAGCAGTAGGTCACATATCTGTTTTATTTCGGGAATGCAGTTGGCTAACGATAACTGTAGAAAGAACTCCAAAAGCGAGCAGAGAACAAAGCCCGTAAAGAACAAGATCCAGGTCATGACTTTGGCCGCGACCCCCTGCAGGAGGAACCTCTCACAGCAGCTCAACAGCTATTTCGCGACACAGAAGTCAACGGTGGGCTATCACCTGAAGAATTCCAAGTCATACAGAACCAACGCGATGAGCAAGCTGCTCGAGCTGCCTATGGAAAGATTCGCAATAATGCTTTTGATCGCGCCTCTGCTCGAACTACCGTTGATCATTTCACGGATTCTGAGGAGTCGGAAGAAGATCCAGATCCTGAACCTGAGGTTGAGTCTAGTTTTTCTGAACTCAGTACTCAGCATACTTGTACGGAAACCGGGGTATCATCGCGTGATGAAACCAGCTCCGAGAGCGAGACCGAAGAAGAGGTCCGAGGGATGTCGCCCATGCCGGAAATGAGCGATACTTTCACAGAATATATTTCAGAGGCTGAACTTGACGCTCGCGAGAAGCGCCTCAAAGCTCTTGAGAAACGACTTCGTGAACCAGAGCGTATAGTCATGAAGTATCAAGTCTGGAAGCGAGAGATAACCAGATATTTCGAATCTGATGAAGAAGATAAAGAGGAGCAGCAAATGATCAAGGAGTTCTGGTCCCTAGCTGAAGCCAACAAATACGCCTCCGGTCTCGTGTTGAACAAGATGCGAACTTGCGCTTACATCAGTCTGAAAGAATCGAACAAGAATGGTCGATACAAAGCTGTGGTCGCACACGACACCATGCATGAAAGTCAGGTCTTCATCGTCGAGATGCCTATTGGTCCTGGCGAGCTTTCCCCCGAGTTTGTCTCTAGTATCCCAAAGCGCTTCCAAGAGAAGTTCTGGGACGTCATGCAGTTCACGAGCAAAACCAGTGTGAATGTGGAGACTGGTAAGGCCACGATTCAGCATAACAAGCCGAAACGTCAAGGACAATTCACTTTGTTGGAAATGGCTAACCACGAGGCGTGCGAGAAGCTTATTGCAATTTTCAAGCCAGCTAGGGCAAATATCGAACATATCGAATTCTACCAAAAGATTTGCGAGAAAGTTAGAGAACTTAGGGATCAGTTTAATGCTAGAGGGGAGTGCTTCGTAGTTGAGGTTCAGCAGGATCTGATCCCTGTGTGGATTGGCTATGATAATATTTCGATGGTGGTGGAAGAAGTTACGTTCCAGGGACCGTTGAATTGAGAAAGTTGAGAGATCGATTGCTATGAAGATTATTATTAAGGAAGAAAGGGAGATCTGCGAAAGTGTATTTTAGACATCTCGGATCGCTCATAGTGCGGAACACCAGCAGACAATTTCACTAGCATTAATTTATACGTTGAATTAAAAGACTTACAATACTAAACTTGGGCTTCTAAGATTCCTTTCATGTGTTTCCTATGACTATCTCTCCTTGATTTTGATAGAGTGTTAAGGGGAGAAAACAGTTGGCATTGCTGTTGTTGCTGTCAATTATAATTGCCATCTTGACAATAAGGCATATCGACAACGAAAATTACGAAATCCTCCAACGTCAATCTTCAACTTCCGCGAATTCAAGTTCAAGATATTTGATGTAGAGCGATTACCAACGAGTGAAAGTTGAGCTGGCAAGACATGACGTCAATTATGAATACGAAATCAGACAGCGCTCCTGCAAATCGCTTGGAACGACAACGAGTGTACTGTAAGAAGCGCCCGCACGACGCCTCGCTAGACCAAAAACGACTAGAAAAAAACAGTCGGAGAAATTATATGAAAACACAAACATCGGGATCAATACGATCCATCGGAAACTCTACTCTGCCTACTCATCCTCGCCGGATTAGGACTCGTTCCTGCGTTTCCAAGATCCGGACTCCCAGCCCCAGCACTAAGCCTGGGACTAGGACTTCCAACACTCTCCCTACTGACCTCCGAAAATATGGGACTACTCGTGTGGGTAGGAGTGCTCATCCCCAGTCCTAGACCTGTCTCACCGCTCAACGGCCGCCACTGATCTCTTTCTTCGCCGTTCATGTGAGCGTCCATCTCCTGTGGCTCATTCGTCCCAGCAGTTTCCATACTGTACGGCGCAAAAGTCAGAGGTTCTTGATAAGCTGAAACTTCTACGGGATGTTGATTGTTGTATTTGGAATCTTGGTACGAGGGCAGTTCGTGGGTTGGTGGGATGTGTGAACCGGCCGTTGATTCGAGGGCGGCGCGACGTTTGGCATTCTTGCGACGACGGAATATGATAAAGAGGGTAATGAGGACGGCGAGGAGAACGACGCCGCCTACTGTAGCCCCAGCGATGACCCCTGTGTTTGACTTTGATTTAGAAGGTGAAGTTGGTGAGGGGGTGGCCGATGTGGAGTTGGTTGTTGAGGTGCTGGTTACGAGGGTGTAGGTTGGGGTGTATGTTGGGCGAGGGAGGCTGGGCTTGAAGATGTATCTGAATAATGTTAAGGATTATATGCTAGATTTGAGGTGAGGAGAATATTCACTGTAGATAAGCATCACTCCATACGAGGTTTGGTGCGGATGCTCCCCCGGTTGATGTTCCACCGATGAGTTTGACGACCTCAGAGGGGACGGGAGGTGTCCTGCTGGCGCCGGCGAAGTCGAATTTTCCAGTGTATGCGAGGTCTACGAGACTGAATATTTCAGCTGGCATATGTGCCTTTGATGCAATTAGTGCTTGAGCTTGATGGGGGATCAGATCGCTTACCGAGCAGTTCTTTACACTCCCTCCCTTTTCATCTGTCTGCATCCCGCCAACTATGATGAGGTTCTCCCCAACTGCATGGCATGTGTGGCCAAATACACCCCCGGGTCTGGTATGGACTTGTACCCATTGGAAAGTTGGGATGGTGAGAACCCACCTGTCTGGTCAGTGGAACATTCTCGTGAAGAGAACCAATGACTTACATATCTTCATGAGCAACAACATTATCATAGGTTTCTGCATTTCATCAACTTCTGCGTTAGTCTACAGGAGCAAGAATTCGACTTACGAATACCGGCAATGACGAAAATGTTGTAGGAGCTCCCGTCAGGTGCCGCGACCAGAACAGTACAAATGTCAGACCTGCCAGGCGGAATTTCAGGACCACCTGCTCTGTCAGCCCATAGTGTCAAACGAGAAACGACTCACCAAAGGTCTGCTGCCGAAACCAAAACCCGGTCTCGATATCATAAATATCTACAAATGAATTTTCGATGTTGTCATTCTTCTCATTGGCTTTCAAGATAGGGATACCGAACGGCGTGGGATCCTTAGGGACTTGCCCGGCAATTTGAATCACAACCCCTTTCTCACCAACAGGGACATGGATCATTGCCCCGTTCATTCGAGGGCCTATGTAGTCAGGGACGGAGATATTCGTCAACGTTGGCGGCGCTGTGTTCGTGTTGAGCTGGAGCATGCCTTCGAGGTCTGTGGAGCTCGCTCGTCAGTTTGCATCTTCTCGTATGATGGGTAGAAGGCATGCATTTGAACGTTGACGACTGTTCATATGTGGTATAATCCGCATCTGAGCGCTGCTGAACATAACCCTCAAACAAGAAACTCATGTTCAGTGACGGCGCATCGCAATTCGCCGCAGCTCCCGCACGCTCCACTTTGTTCCCTGTATTGAAGTAGCTGAATTCTGACTGTTTCCAGAGCTGGGTGTCGATATCAAACTCCCAGATTGCTGATTCTGGGATATTTTTGAGTTCGATGAAGCCGGGATCCGTCTGGCTATTGAATGAGAACCAGCCTCCGATCTGGTAGATCTTGCGAGTGATTTGAGAGTACCAGAGGGTTTGTTCAATTAAAGCGTTGGGAACTTGAGGACCTTTGTGGATAGCGGAGTATGGGAAGGTATCCTGGTTGCTGAAGTCTTGAGAGAGATCCAAGACGATGAGGTTGTCGTCTGATCATATGTGAGTGATGAGCTTTAGGGCTGAATGGGTTCTTACTCATGCCATTGTCATATTTATTTTGCTGTGGCGTATTGAAGAATGTTGTGTTCCCATTGGGCGTGAACTTTGTTCTCTGAGCCTTGGATTCCGGCTTCGGATCAAAAGACGTACCGTATTTCCGCCATCAATATATATCTTCCCATCTGCAAGTACGCCTGAAAATAGTCAGTGAAGTGAGATGGATGGGTAATACTATTTATACATACTTGCATGTCTCCATATCCGGCAGAAGTGTTGAGATATGTCGTATTTACTACTATTAATGTTCGGAGCCAGTGATGGGGTCGGTAAGGCTGCTGGAGCACTTGAGATTGCAGAACTCGAAGGAGCAGCCTGCCGCTCATAGACAGCCGCAGATACAAATATTCCCGCTACCCAGACGAAGCCCAAGACAAGTGAAGACCTCATTTCCACGAAGATTCGTCACTTCACCGAAGGTAGACGAAGTTTTACGGTCAAGGGCGGCCGGCTTGACTTGACCTGGTCCTGGGAAGTAGAAGGCCATAGCATGGTGTACTTATGCTGGCTGGGCAGCTGAGGCCTGCTTGCGGCGAAGCTTGATGTAACGTACTAGGGTGAGATAATCAGAGTTTGGGGTCAGATTTGCAGCTTTGTTGCAAAGTGCGGTGTTGGTTTCAACCATTGAGATTGATGTATTTCATGCGGATGCACCCCACTGCATGCGCTGCTCGTGAAAACCAACGCCAAGAACATGGAGGAGGCTCTGGCCAGATTTCAGACGGAAAAACAAATAAAGGATGTGGAAGTGGCTTCATGAGTTCCCTTTATTCAGCGATCTGCAAATAGGTATTCTCTTCTACATCGAGGTCTGACGAACCAATTATCATCTTTACCAAGTAGAAGATGGCTCCCCATTTTTGCACACTGAATAAAGGGACTATGACAGAGAAACAGAATTTAGACTTCGGCAAATGCTGCTATCAAAGATCGGACGGGACGGCACCTCCCTCGTCAGTTGGCAAACCTGGAGGTCGCTTGACGCATGAGAAGTAAATAAATGACTACACTGTCCATCGATCTTGATAATTTACACCACTGGAAGAATATTTTTTACACTATTCAACTTGTACCTATGCTTTGAAGGATGAGGCTGTGTTCAGCATCCATTCGTTTTGGGGTAAACCCCTGCTGAGCTTCCATCCAACAAAAACCAACATGCACGTCCGGATGCAAGTTCTCTTGGCGCATCACCAACACCGACTTGCGACGCAACAGGTGCGCATGTTCTGTCCTCTCATACGTCTCTGTATTCGATTGGGATTGAGGTATGCAAATCGGGCAAATCAGGACTTGCGAGCCGGAATGAAATGCGGTTCCGATGCACCGCAAAGTCGTGTGAGAGTGATCTGGCCTGGCCATTTCGCCCCCACCACCCGCACCTCGTTCGCAAGCGAGGTCTCACTTTCCAAGAGTGAAATTTTGATTCGACATCGATATTGACCCATTCCGCCTCGCATAGCTTATCGAGCGGAGTTCCCGTCTGCAAGAGCCGCATTCTTGGTCTAGATGCTCTATGAGACTATCAGGCTGAGAGGATTTGCGAAGCATGGTAGGCTTTCCACGCCTACGTGAGCTGTACACCATGCATGGTACCGAATGGATGGTAGACTGATGAATCTAGATCATTGGGTACTTCCCCGCCGGCAACCGTATAGGTAAAGCTTAGAATTGGGGATTTGCAAATCAATACCGGAATGGATATTCAATCTGGTGGTGGCGAATGGTGGTATCTGTTCAACACTCAGGCTCAGCATCCCCCATCGAATGACATATACGGGGTCCAGTAACGTACCTCCCGACTAATTCATCATCGCTATCTACCCTCGTCACATCATCTCTACCATCTGATCCCACACTCTTGACACTCTTCGCCGTATGCGGTCTCCCTGCAATATACGACCCCAGATTAATGGCATGTGAATATTTGGGTGGAGCAGGAAAAGCCTCGAATGTTGTCTCTTCTTTGTGATCAGAGAATGGGTGTCCAGAATAGGCACCAAGCTCGACATCGTGATTTGTCGCAGCGCTGTTACGAGCAGATGGGCGAGCATGAGACTGTTCTGGTGGGGGCGTGGAGGCGCCGAAGAGGCGGGGGCTGAAGCGACTGAAGAATTTCTTGGTTGCCGGGATGGATGCACACATCTGATCTCATCAGCTGGGAATTTCAATCGTAGATATCATGAGAAGACAATCAGGCTGGACCTACAATCCCGACATATAATTCCACCGAGCTAGTAACCCAAGCAGGACTCGCGTGCCAGGTTTTATCCCATCCATCGGTAACTTGATACAAGTAATACGTTCTCAAAATACTGGCAACTGTGACGAGTACTCCTGCGCCAAACAATAAGACGATAATGATTTGCTGCTGTATTGGAAGCTGTAGACGCCAGATGATGGGGATAGGGAGGACAACGATCACGAGGTCGCTGACTGTGTTGATGATGCCGGCGGCGAGGAGGTTCTTGGTTTCAGACATGCATTCGTGTTGAGGTATGAAGGAGAGGGTCCAGTATCTCGAGGGTTTTCTGAGAGTTGTATGTCAGGTATCATATCACAAGTGCAGAAACGAGGGCTCAAAGCAAGAAAGGCAACAACGCGGTAACATACCCGCACTGAAACATCACCCCAAAAATAAATGCCACACATTCAAGGGATATTAATATCATAACTCCGACAATTATTTTAGGGAGTTTCTTAGACGACTCAGTTACGATACGGTAGACGAGAACAAGCATGGATAGCTTGGTGAGGGTCGTCGCGGCGGAGAAGAGGATCTGAGTTGTCAGGACTACTTTGAGACCTGATACTATGGTGTCGGGTCTAACGTCCCAGACTGAATATCCATGTCAGCTTGTACTTTTCGTCCTATTATGGAAGCTTGAGGTCACTTGGGAAAGAGATAATAGGTTCAGATCCTGGGCCTTGAAAATTGGCAATGCAAGAATTCAAAGTGCGTGGGACTGCTAGGAAGTAGATATCACTTACTGTGTCTATTCCAATGAAAATGCCATTCTGCCACTAAACAGATAATCATGAAAGCTGTAGTAGGAACCTGTCTAGGTGTCAGCCTTTCCATTCTCTAATACCTTGCCCTCGAGGAGAGCGCTTACCATAGCAGTCAGGATCAACCAATCATCCCACCCAAAGCTCCTCGAGATCCTCAAGCGAGTATAACATCTGAGTCCAATGATGATGCATACCATAGGGTAGAAGATGCAAGTGGTGATTACAGTTGCTGGGCCTGTAGTAACTGGATCTTTGTAGTTGGGTCGTGGCCAGGATATGATCACGGATGTCGGTGGCATCTGCATTTTGCCGACTTGTAGCCCTGAAGGCTGTTACCCATGCGGTGTTATATAGATCGGTGTGTCAAAATCCAAAGATGTAGATCAAAGACGAAGAATATAAACGATGAAGATGAGCCAGGTATAACGAATATGGCACAGGCGCCCCGGTATTGAGATGGAGAAATGGAGAGACACAAATCCAGGTCAGGACCAGGATATCAAATGCACAGAACTTTCAGATAAAGATAGGATAGAAAGTGAAGATGGGATGAATACGACACTGCGGAGAAAAACCCCTGATACCATCCCCCAGCCATGCCCTACCAAGGACGATCGGCCAATCTACTGCAAGTGAGCTTGCAATCTTTGTTTTGGGCATCATGTCCAGACTTCTGCATCAAGCCTTAGTGCTGGTTTAGCGAGCGAAAAGCCGTCCTCCCCGTGAGCTAATCCCGACTAGAGAGCATTTAGGGAGCACTTGTTCCTGGACGGCGGGATCTTAGCGACTGGGGCGTTGCCAAGAGGTCTTGGAGGGAGGGGAAGGAGTATTTAGGTGAGAATGGACGAGGGATGGGAATGGGGTAGAATAGGATGACAGGATGGGTGACTTCTGAGGAGCTATTGACGATGATGGTGGAATTGGAGAGGGGTTGGTCATCGTAAGCGAGAAGCTTTACTTCGTTAGAGGTGAAACTGGGCGCCTAATTGGCTCGCATGGCCGCTCGCCAGACGGCGCCGAGGTAAACACCACTAAAATGCTCTGCATGTGAGAACTAGGTGTAGTGGTGGTGATCCTTCACGGGATAACTCGCCGTTCCTCACCCTAACCATTACCAACGCTCTTGTCTCTCACACTTCGAGTCGTGCCGTTCTTTCTATTTGGCTCTTGTTGGTATTGTGCCTCGCTATCGTATTCGGGAGTACAACGAACCCCAACTCGAAATCAGAAGTGCTGCACGCACACAAGGACAGTTGGTATGTCCGCGGTATCTGATATTTATTTGCGGGGTTATCTCTTACACTATTGGCTGGCCAAGCATGTGGACTCAACTGTAGACTGAAGATGGATTTGAGTTTGCATCCTGGGGGTATTTTACGCGAGCTTCGTCAGGGGTCGCGATCGCTCAGACCAAATACACGGCTGGTTCTGCGAGTCCCGGCTGTCAATCCGCGACCCGCATGGAAGGACTGGCTTGAGCATCATGGCCTGTCCATCAATAGAACCATTTTTCAAGCACACAACGAGACCAAAAGAGAGAAGAATGGAAAAGCAAGAAAAATATTGCATGCCGACTGAGTAAGTTCCGAAAACTTCGGCAGACAACCAGATATCAGTGCTCTCTTTGATCAGCATTAGCTCGAATCCACAACACGTAAGTTGGTATTCGGGCTTGCAGCTTCTCGAACTGGCTTGCTTGGAGAGGTTTCGCGTTAATTGCAAGACACGGCTCCTAGCCTGGCCTCTGAGAAGGATTGGTCTTCGTCATCTAAATGGTTGTCTGAGAACTGACAAAAACGAAATTTCAATACTTGCCATTTTTCAGAGTGGGGTGAGGGCCGATGTCCATGTGTGAGCTCGGAATATGCTGTATTTATTCGCATATGGCGGTTCAGTGCTTGTGCTTTGCTGCACTGCTCACGAGCTTCTTCTTCAGATGCTTCGGGATCTTGTCTTTTCTCTTCTCGCGCTTCTCCTCCTTCACAGCTTTCTTGTGCTCCTTGAATAGTGTTAGCTGTAGAAAACATGTGTGGATAGAAGACACAAACCTTCTTCGACTCCTTGTCTTCGAAACGTTTGCCTCTTGGAGTTCCTTTTTCGAATCTGCTCTCATCATCACTATCCTCACTTCCACTTCCGCCTTTACTTGGCGGCGAGCTGTTATCCATGGTGTCCTCCCCATCAGCCTCATTCCCTGATGACATTGGGACTTTGTCGGCCAGAAGGTTCCGGTATACGAGGTCATCTTTTTGCCCCTTTCCGATCTTCTCTGCATCACGCTCAATGTCATAGACTTGCTCTAAAGTCTGAGGAATGTACTGTTGTCGGAAAACCTCAGCATCAATCTCTTTCTCAGCAGCGGCCTGTTCTCCTTCCTCTGTAGCAGGTCTGTTAGCCAGTAATTTCTCCAGTGCTTCAGATAGGCCAGGTTCTTGTGCGGGGCCTTCATGAGTGGTTATGAAACCAAATACTGTTTGCTCGGAGAGTACTTCGACATTTTTCCTCCTGAAAAAATCCGAGACGTTCTTAATATCCATTCTCAAGAATTCCAAAGATCTTGGATGGTCATGCTCAACACTTTGCGAGACATCGATGATGAAAAGCTTCTGCTGGTGGTACAAGACGTTGTACTCGCTCAGATCTGCATGTACCAGTTTGCATGTTTGATACATTCGTCGCATGAGGCCGATCATTTGAAGGTACAACAATCTCCATTGTTGGTCAACATCATCCCCTTGTAGCTCGGCATCTCTCAGTCTTGGTGCTGCCCATCCCTTCTTGTCACCAAGGAAGCCCATAACGAGGACATGTAGTCGGAGGTAGACAGGCTCAGGACATGGAATGCCGGCCAAGTAGAGTCGCTTCAGATTTCGGAACTCCTTCTCTGCCCAGACCTTGACCATAGCTCTGTTGTTGCCCTTATTGTAGCCCGATCTGAAACGATGTTCTCCGGTAACGTAACGGTCTCGATCCTTGAAAACGAGAATACTAGTCTTGTAGACCTTAATGGCTCGGTGGATGCTTGGAGCCTCTTCGCCTCCCTCAGTCGTGGGTATTGACACTGCTCCATAGACATTTGCCTCCTTTCCAGTACTCAAACATCCGTTAACTTCTGATACAATACCTCGATTGATCATCTGTAAGAGGATCATTCGGGTCCGCGGATCCAAGACTTGCTCGTTTGTCGCGCGATCCGACTTGTCCTTTCCGTGGGTCTTGGCTCTTTCCCCTCCTCCTCCGCCTTCTAATCTTATCTTTCCCGCATGTTTGGAAAGACTGGTAATTTGATCGTCCACGCTTGCCTGAGTGTTTGCTATTGGCTTCTGTGAATTTGTTCGCGGGGCAGTGGCGTTAGGGTCGTTGAGTTTTCGTTGACGGTTGTAGGACTTCGTCAAATCGCCTGAGGTAGGGTCGTATTCTATATCATCGAAGAACTCCTCGTCTTCCTCCTCGAATAGGTCATCATAAACCTCATCCTCGTTGTCTGCTGCGTAACCACCAGTTGGCGTTTGTGGTGGGGCATCCTGAGAAGTTGTAGATGTTGCATAGCCGTGGTTCGGGACATATGTGTGCGTAGGAACTTGAGCTGCTGCTGGAGTAGACTCCTGTGGAGGAGGGTTCGAATCGGACATATTGAGAGAGTTAATGCTGAGGTCCTGTATAGGATCTGGTGGCAGGGTATTGTTTCAGCAGCAAACTGTGCATCCTCGAATATCCCACCAAGTCATCCGAAATTGTTTATTCTGCCAAGGGCGGTGACTATTCAGGGCTAGCCTGCTTAGACACGACCCGAAGCCTCTCAACCTGCACTTCAACTTGGGCAGCGCGTCAAGACCGCGTCTGCGACAAGACGAGAACTCTCATTCTTTCTCAACGACACCACGACGCGGTCTGCGATTCGAGTGTCATTATCTCCGGAGACATCTAAATACCGCTTGCCAAACTCCCTGCAAGCATCCCATTCTCCTTAAACAGGCCGCAAACACCACCGGCCGCTCCCGCGGCGCATACAAATCGCGAAGATGTACATCAAGCAGATTATCATCCAGGGCTTTAAGAGGTACGTCTGCCATTTTCGCGCAAAGAAATGCGCTAATGGGCTATAGTTACAAAGAACAAACCGTCATCGAACCGTTTTCGCCCAAGACAAATGTTATAGTTGGTCGCAATGGCTCAGGCAAGAGTAACTTCTTCGCAGCTATTCGATTCGTTCTCAGCGATGCATACAGTCAAATGGGTCGCGAAGAGCGACAAGCTTTGTTGCATGAGGGCTCGGGTTCGGCGGTAATGTCCGCTTATGTTGAGATCATATTCGACAATAGCGACGACAGATTCCCAACTGGAAAGGAGGAGCTTATTCTGCGAAGAACGATCGGCCTCAAGAAGGATGAATACTCACTGGATCGCAAAAATGCCACGAAAACGGATGTCATGAACCTTTTGGAATCGGCTGGTTTCTCGAGGTCGAATCCATACTACATTGTTCCTCAAGGACGCGTCACTGCTTTGACGAATATGAAGGATCCCGAAAGACTCAATCTGTTGAAGGAGGTTGCAGGCACTCAAGTCTACGAAGCACGTCGCACGGAGTCTTTAAAGATCATGACTGAAACAAACAACAAGCGTGCCAAGATTGACGAGCTTCTCGACTACATCAAGGAGCGTCTTGCGGAACTGGAGGAAGAGAAGGAGGAGCTGCGTGGTTACCAGGAAAAGGATAAAGATCGCCGATGTCTTGAATATGCATTCTACCATCGAGAACAGACGGCATTGGCGCAAGCACTTGACGAGATTGAAGAAGCTCGACAAGGTGGCATGGAAGGCTCAGATGAGCAGAGAGCGTCATTCTTGGCTGGTGAAAAGCTCATTCAAGAGCTGGACGCAGAAACCAAGCAACTTACTCGCCAAATGGAGTTACTGAAGCTTGAGCGCCGTCAATTGGACGAAGACAGACGGGAGGCCTCAAAAACCCAAGCAAAGGTTGAGTTAAAGGTTAAGAGCTTGACAGATGGTCAATCGGCTGCGGAGCAGGCCAGATCCCGGCACCAACAGGAGCTCAAGGCTGTTAAGCAAGACATTGCGTCAAAAGAAGCCGAGCTTGCGAAGATTCTCCCAGATTTCAATAATCGGAAGGCGAAGGAGTTGGAAGTTCGCAAAAATCTCGACACCGCCGAAGCCGCAAGAACCAGACTCTACAACAAACAGGGACGGACTTCTCAATTCAAGAACAAGGCAGAGCGGGATGCCTGGTTGAAGGATGAAATCCAGAACCTCAGCACCGCTCTGGGTGAACAAAAAGCCAACCGCATCGATGCTTCAGAGGAAGTTAAGGCAGTTCAGACAGAAATCAAGAGTCTGGAAGGCGAGATTGCAGGCCTGCGCAAGCGCTTCGAAGGTTGGGGAGGCAGCAGACAAGCACTGTATGAGGAAGTGACTACCGCTAAGGATGGCCTGGAAAAACTTCAGGACGAACGAAAGGTTCTTCGTCGTGAGGATGACAAGCTGGAGTCTATGATCGAAGATGCACGCCAGGAGAGAAATCGCGCCGAGAAGGAGCTTTCGCACACCATGGACAACGCCACATCGAGAGGTCTAGCGGCCATTCGACGTCTCAAACAGGAACACAACGTCACTGGCGCTTATGGTACTATTGCTGAGCTTCTCGATGTCCCAGAAGTCTACCGATTGGCTGCGGAGCAGACTGCTGGAAATAGCCTCTTCCATTATGTTGTTGACAATGAAAAGACTGCGACTTTTTTTGCTGACGCTCTGTACAAGCAACGGGCTGGAAGAGTCACAATCATTCCTATGGCTGAGCTCAGAACTCGCCCAACGAAGCTGCCAAATGCATCTGATGCTATTCCCTTGCTTGGCAAGCTCAAATATGAACCGAAGTTTGAGAAGGCGATGAGCCATGTCTTTGGCAAGACAGTAATCTGTCCATCCCTGCCTGTTGCGGCGCAATATGCTCGGAGCCACGGTTGTAATGCTATCACAACTGATGGTGATACTGCGAATAGAAAAGGAGCTATGACTGGTGGATACATCGATCCCCGAAAGTCACGTCTTGAGGCGGTTCGCGCGGTCAGCAAGTGGCTCGACGAATATGAGTCGTTAAAGGCTCGGTCTGATGAGATCAGAAGAGAAGTCGAGCAGAAGGACAACGAGATCACAAGTGCCATTGGTGATTTACACAAATTACAACAGAATCTCAGCCGATTGGACGAAAGCTTCGACCCGCTCAAAGTCGAACTAAGAACTAAGAGCACCCAACTCGAAAAGCTGAAGGGTTCACTTGACGCCATAAACAGTCGCAAGGATGTCGTTGATCAACTGATCAGATCTCATGGGGAGAGCATTTCCGCCTATGAACTCGACTTAGCTGCCGATTTCAAGAAGGCATTGACATCTCAAGAAGAGCGCCAACTCGAGCAGCTCAATACCTCAGTCCAGGAACTGCAACAAGAATGGAACGAGCTCAGCAAGGCTCGACGTGAGCTTGAAGGTCGCAAGCAGCTCCTCGAACTGGATCTTCGAGAAAATCTTCGACTGAAGTTGGATCAGCTAAGTAGTCAAGAGATTGACACAACCGCTAGCGGGGGATCTGGGAACCTCAAGGAAGCCCAGCGTGAGTTGAAGCGGGTCCAGAAAGCAGCATATGCTGTTACGAGTAAGCTTCAAGATGCCGAAACCCAGATTGAGCAAATCGAAGTAAAAATCTCGAACCTTGCAAAGGAGAAAGCCCAGCAAGTGGAGCAACAATCCGAGACCGCAAAGGCCATCGAGAAAGCCCAGAAGAGGATGGAGAAGAGTGTTGCAAAGAAGGCATTATTGACTTCATCTGCTGCCGACTGCGCTAAGAACATTCGCGACCTTGGAGTCCTTCCCGATGAGGCTTTCGAGAAATACTCCGACAAAGACTCGAAATACGTATGTATTGTCGTGCCAATTCTTCATTCATTTAACTGACTGTTTGTAGATTACCTCCAAGCTTAAGAAAGTCAATGATGCTCTTAAGAAATACAAAGGCGTCAACAAGAAGGCGTTCGAGCAATACAACAGCTTCACCTCCCAACGAGATAGTTTGACGAAGCGAAGAAAGGAACTCGACGACGGCCTCACGTCTATCCAAGATCTTGTTGAAGTACTCGATCAACGCAAAGATGAAGCTATCGAACGAACCTTCAAGCAAGTATCCAAGGAGTTTGCATCCATCTTTGAGCGACTTGTGCCTGCTGGCCGTGGCCGTCTAGTCATCCAACGCAAGACTGATCAGCGCGCTCGAGATGAGGAAGACTCTGATGAAGAACCTCGGGAGAGTGTTGAGAACTATACAGGTGTTGGCATTAGCGTGTCTTTCAACAGCAAGCACGATGAGCAACAACGTATTCAACAGTTGAGCGGAGGTCAAAAGAGTAAGTTCTTGATTCCTCAATCCTCTCTCTCTCAGCTAATAAATCAGGTTTGTGTGCCCTCGCACTGGTTTTCGCCATCCAACAATGCGATCCAGCACCATTCTACCTCTTCGATGAAATCGACGCAAATCTTGATGCCCAATACCGAACCGCCGTTGCACAAATGCTCGAAGAGATCTCGGCTCAGCAGAGCAGCCAAAATGCTGACAATGGCGCTGGGGGTATGAGCGGACAATTCATCTGCACGACTTTCAGACCGGAGATGCTGCTCGTTGCGGATAAGTGTTATGGTGTCACGTTCCACAATAAGACCAGTGGTATCGATGCTGTCAGCCGAGAGGAAGCTTTGAGATTTGTGGATGGTGAGGCGCCAAAGTAAGGCTGTTTGAAGGAGCATGAGATTTGATGGAAGGAGGATTGCATAATGAATGGAAGGCTGGATATGAAGTTAGGGCTCGGCGTCTGGGATACTGGAACTCTTCCTCTATGTGTAGGCTTGGCAGGCTGCTTAAGAGGGCAGGGTGTGCTTATCCAAGGAAATATTCCTGCGTGTACAAATTTTACTGCAAATGAAGATAAGTCAATGCTACAATCGCTGAAAATAACAGTCGTGGACCTCGACGGTTCGCATCTTCATTCCTTGGATCCTTTGGAATTCCTTGGCACTCACTCTGTACGCGGCTGCGGGACTGATGGCAAGCTTATTCTGGCTATCCGGGTATGTGATCCATATCGTCTTGGTCTGCAACTCGCAACGTGTGTGCAAGGGGAGCAAAGTGCTTCCCGGGACTGCGACCTCGACCGCTTAGGGGCAGTTGTGAAAGTAAATAAAGGTGCGATGTGCAACAAAAAGTCATCAAATAGCTAGACCATCATTTAGCGAATATTTACTTGGAATCGTAAGAATATAAGGTGAAAGTCTAATAATTGTTGGATTTGTTGATACTCTGGTATTCAGGTCTCGCTTGTGGCACCTGGTATATCTCGCAATGCTCACACCCATTTAAAGTTTGATCACCACTTCACGTTTGTGAAAAGTCTTAGTAAATAGTGCCCGGATGACTCAGTGACTCAGTCATCTATTGACCAGAGTTCTATAGCCGATCAGACTCTACATTGATCTATTTACCTAGCTTCGCCTCAAGAGTACTCATAGCATTGGTAGCCACGTTCCAAGAGTCCCACTCTCCCTTTGGCAAGCTTCCTTTCAAAGGTAATCTCCCACCTTCCAAAGTACCCATACCTAGCACACGATAGACAGCCTCCTTGATACCAACAATACCCCACTTTCCAACGAACTCCTCCGCTCGACTGACCGCAAATTGCAGTCTTTGAATTTCCAACAGGGTTTCAGGCTCGATTGGACGTTTTGCTGCGAGTTCGAAAAGGTGCGCTACCGTGCCGGGATAGATAGCTGCGAGGCCGTCGATGACACCCGCGGCTCCAAAGAATACGATTGGTCCGAGTTGCTGCCCGAAGCCACTGTAAACACGGAATTTGCTGTGATCGATCTCAGGATCTAGTGATACTTGCAAGTGGTGGGAGACATTGCCATGTGACATTTTGCAACCGACGATATTTGGGTGAGCAGCAAGCTTGGTGTATGTTTCCAAGCTGACTGTGATGTTGTTGGTTACACCAGGATAGTTATATCTTTCCAAAATATCAGTAACACGCCTCGCAATACAAGAAGAAGAAGAAAGCAATTTGGCACCTGACTTACATCATAATTGGAATCGGGCTCTTGTCAGCAACGAGCGTATACCACTCTCTCAAATTCTCCTGATTCGCAGCTCCCCCGAAATACCCAGGAGCAAGCACAAGTCCCCACTGCGCACCGGCTTTCTTCGCATCTTCCAGCCATTCCAGCGCCTCTTCGACGGAATTGATCAGAACGCCTGCAATAATGGGGTAATCTGGGAACCCCGCTTCTGTAAGTCCCTTGCGAACGCCAGAAATCAAATCGAAGCGCTCTGTTCGAGATAGATGGATGGCTTCGCCTGTACTGCCCAGGAGAACGAGACCTCGAATTCCGTTTTTGGCGAGGTGGATGCTGTGCTTTGTTTGGGTCTCGACGTCGATGGGGGCTTGGATTGTGGATGGTGAGGAGGGCTTGAAGAATGTTGGGACGGGGACGAAGACGCCGTCTGGTGGGGGGAGGGAGGCTGAGGCGGTCATATTGAAGAAGGGTATATGAATCTGCGCCGGAGAATTTTCAATGTTGTTTATTTGAAGATTTTGAGTTGGCTTGGAACCTGATTTGGTTGCTTATGAGTGAGTGTCTGTTGTTTTCATCGCGTGATAATGCATCCGGGACAATGTGAGCCGAATCCCCCACTCTCGATGGTTATGGTTACCGGAAAAGGTATTCCGCGTTCGGAGCCGCCACATCTTTGTCATGTTTTCTCTGTAGTGTCATCTTGTATGAATTATGAACCAATGGGATCTAGAGCAGTTTTCGTAGGCATTCTTGAAACTCCCCAGCCAGCCAGCTTCCGGCTGCCGGCGGAAAAGGATGAGCCCCCGCGCCAAGTTCACCCCACCAAGCACATGACTTTTAGCTAAGTAGTGCCTGGATGTTTATGTTCACCTCTTCTAAAATATCTATTTTGAAAAAGATATTGCAAGTGAGCTTGAGAATTTTCATATTGAAACCTCTGCAACATACGAAATCATGGCACTCAACCGCTCTTTCAAGCTAAACTCTGGATACAGCATCCCCGCCGTAGGTCTCGGTACCTGGGTAAGTGACTTGGCAAAAGACATTAAGTCGATACCACCAACGGAAACTAATATTCCGACAGCAATCAGGACCAAATGAGGTCAAAGAAGCTGTAAAATCTGCTTTAGAAATTGGCTATAGGCATATTGATGCCGCGGCTGTGTATGGAAACGAGACTGAAGTAGGAGAGGGCATCAAGGCTTCGGGAGTTGACAGAAAAGACATATTCGTGAGTGGTTTCGTGATTCAAACTTAGAAGTGATGATCTGACGGGAAAATAGATCACTGGAAAATTATGGAATACGGATCATAAGCCTGAAGATGTTGAGGCAGCTCTCGACACAACGTTGAAGGATCTTCAAACTGATTATGTTGATCTGTACCTGGTATTTATTTCTCATCCGATTTCTTGTGTTCATGAAGCTTATGAACCTAGATCCACTGGCCGGTAGCGTTTCCCAAATCTTCCGAGAGATTTCCTGTAGATCCAGCCACAGAGCAGATCGCAGTCATTGACGTGCCAATCATTGACACGTGGAGAGCAATGGAGGCGCTTGTGAAGAAGGGGAAGGCATGGAGTATTGGGGTGAGCAATTTCACTCAGGCGAAAATGGAATCCCTTCTGAAAAGGTAAGTCGGAAACTTGACAGGAAGATTGACATGAACTTCTCAGATTCTGACATTCGAGTAGTGCAAATATTCCTCCAGCAGTGAATCAAATCGAGGCACACGCATATCTGCAACAACCAAAACTTCTGCAATGGATGAAGGACAATGTAAGTCATGTGACCGAGATACCATCTATTCCCAGCGTCTGACAGAATGGCAGAACATCGTTGCCGCAGCTTATAGTCCGCTCGGGAACAACATCTACAATCTTCCACGAGCTGTAGATGACCCAACAGTCATCAGCCTCGCCAAAGAATTGGGAAAGGAGCCCGCTCAATTGCTCATCAGCTGGGCTGTTCAGCGAGGGACGGTCGTGCTTCCAAAGAGTGTGACTGCAAGTCGTATCAAGGACAACTTCCAAGGTAAATGACAGTAGCTATACCTGTTTTACGCTCAAGCTGACCCGTCATTCCTAGACTTTGAACTTCCCCAGGATGTGTTTGACAAAATCATCGCTCTGGACAAGCACCACAGATATAACTTCCCAGCTCGTTTGGGCGTAGATATCTTCGATGAGGTCAGTGAGGAGAGTCTCAAGAAGAGTGTTGAGGATTGGAAGGCGGCCCAGAGGAAGTTGAAGCAGGGTTGAGATGCATGTGGATATGTCACTTTAGCGAGAACCAGCCCCTTTCTTGTGTAAGCGAGGTGTGACAGAAAGTCAACATTGCGTCGTAGGAACATTTGTAGCATCAAAATGAAATCTGACTCTAGACAATTCTTCTATATTCGAGCGGCAAAATGATTTGTGCGCTGTATCGTGACCTGATAGATGAGCTTTTAGTCTTTTCCTGGTAATTTCCTAGCAGGTCAGGAACTGGTCAACAATAATATTGTTCGGTGGTAAGCTTCTCAATCCCCACACGTCACAGGCATGGATAACAACAACATTTGTGTCAAATCTGGTTTATCGGATGCTCCACTAGCTTCCGTGGTGTAAAGCAGCTTCCGATATAGTTTTCCGCTCCCGCGGCCCGGCCCCAGAATCACCTGACGGCATGGTTTAATGGCCTGGCCAGCCGAGCATATACAAGAAGTTCATTCGAGGATCAACGACATATCCAGCCTCAACACATCCTCTGATTAATTTTTTACATCAAGATGCCTAAGATTGCACAAATTGAATACTTTCGAGTGCCTCCAAGATGGCTCTTCGTCAAAATCACGGATGAAGCGGGGAATGTTGGGTGGGGTGAGGCGTCGCTGGAAGGGCATACTCAAGCCGTGGAAGGATGTTTAGATGCTTATATCGATCGATTTACAGGTTTAGAAGCCAAGTAGGTATCTTTTATTTATTAAGTTAGATTCTCGTTGATGCCTTTTCAGTGATATCGAACAGATATGGCAGATTGGGTGGCGGGGTGGATTCTACCGAGGCGGACCGGTTCTCATGAGTGCGCTCGCTGGAATCGACATTGCACTATGGGATCTGAAAGGTACTTCCGCTTTCCTGGGGATTTTGAAAAGCCCACAGCTCACACTTTTTGTAGCCCGAAGACTTGGTGTACCTATCTATGAGCTGTTAGGAGGGAAAGTACGAGACAAGATCAAGGTCTATGCATGGATTGGCGGGGATCGACCATCAGATGTCGCGAATCAAGCGTAAGACTTTACCAGATGTTTTGAGGTATAGAACTGACAAGACTAGACAAGCACGAAAAGACCAGGGATTTACGGCTATCAAAATGAATGGGACTGAAGATCTTGGATGGCTCGACTCTCCAGCTGCTCTCGACGATTGTGTTGAGCGACTCAAGGCAGTCAAAGCCATTGGCATGGACGCAGGAATCGATTTTCACGGTCGTGTTCACAAGCCAATGGCCAAACAGCTTGCCAAAGCTCTTGAACCATACCGCCCTATGTTTATCGAAGAACCTTTGCTTTCCGAACATATCAACGGAATCAAGGGCCTGTCTCGCTTAGTGGGCACACCAATTGCACTCGGGGAGCGATTACATTCACGATGGGATGTCCGCCCATTTCTCGAGGCAGGTGCAGTCGACATTTTACAGCCTGATATCAGTCATTGTGGAGGCATCTCAGAAATCCGCCGCATTGCAGCTTTGGCAGAGACCTACGACGTTGCCATTGCCCCTCATTGTCCGCTCGGACCAATCGCTTTGGCAGCAAATGTGCAAGTCGCAGCTACTGCTGCGAATTTTGTGATTCAAGAAATGAGTCTTGGAATACATTATAATGCCGGGAGTCAAGATCTCACGAGCTACACGCACAATCCAGAAGTATGGAATGTGGAGGGAGGGTACATTAAATTGATGCAAGGGCCAGGTCTTGGGATTGAAATTGATGAAGAACAGGTGAAGAGGCTTTCTAAGGAGGCAGCGCCTTGGGTTAGTCCTACTTTCACGGGACCTGGAGGAGAGCTGAGGGAGTGGTAGAACGCGATTTACTGGATTCGTAGCAATAAAACAATAGGACTGTTTGGCTTCACAAGAAACCCCCTTCTCTCTTAGCGACTAATCATGGTCTATGCGAGCATAGCCGAATGGTCAGACCGAGGAATCAAACAACCCCACATTTAACGCCAACTTTGCCTCTTGACTGGCGGAATAATCTTTCACCCCACGGAGACCTCGAATGTTTTCCGAGATATCCGACGGCTATACCCCGCTTCCCCAGCATTTCAAATGTGCCATCTCAACCACGTCTTCAATCGTACCATCGTCTTCGGATACATGCCAACCGGATGAACCTGAGATCTTGAATCATAAATTTCGCCCCCACATCAACAGCATGACTGACCACCATCCGGCAAGCGAACTCCTATCTCCGACCGACAATGGTGACCACAGTCCCTCGCAAGTGAAGAAGCGGAAAAGGGCAGATGCTGAACGCACTCGTGTCAGCCGGGCCTGTGACAGATGCAAGAGGTGAGAATGAACTAATTATAGCATCATAGCCGTAACTGCGTGATTGTTTCTTGTACGTGTCGCGGATCAGACTTGCTTTGGGGGCTTCACTGTGCTGTGCCCAAAGTGCTATGACATGCTGATGACATTGAGCACGGTTTCTAAACTTGATAGACAAGGCTGATCATCTCAAAGGAAGAAGACTAGGTGTAGTGGAAGGCTTCCTTGTATCCTGTGTACCACTTCTGGCTTGGTTTGCGAGGTCGGTATACTTTTTTCTTGTTCATCCCTGCTCCTTACTTACAATAGTGTAATCCCCACCAATGCCTTAAGTCAAGTCTATCACAATTACAGGTTCGTAAATAGCAATACTAACTTCAGGGTTCCAGTTTACGGCCGCTTACACGCGTGGGCGACCTCCATCTGTGCTCCCAGAAGATGGCTTGAGTTACACCGACTCGGGTGTCTCTAAAGTTCCGGCTCAGGTGAACTCCAATCACGATTCCACCGACGGGGGTCCTGCATTACATAACATCCAGTCAGGCATGCCTCAGTTACTTCATGTGGATCGAGTAGAGTCTAGGGTGCAGTCATCGAGGAACTCTCCAGAGCCCCCTCAGTAAGTCATCTCTTCCAGTCAACGTCACGTATTACCCTAGTGATCTCGGAGCAGCTTATCTTGAACCTGCCAGCCTAGACCCCCAAAGCAAGCCAATTGGTCCTCTAGTAGCAATTAGCTGACTTCATTGGATAGGACTGACTTGCAGGGCCACTTTGTAGGCCCTTCCTCAGGAGTCTCTTTCCTATTACGGGTACAAAAGAAACTCCATCAAAAAGTGTCATTCTCTCACAAGTCATCAATATTCACATTTGGTGATGCCCCTTTACCGAAATATGACCCCTCGTTCTTTCTGCTGCCGCCAAAGGCAGACGCAGAGATACTCGTTGCAAGATATTTCGATTTCGCTGTCGCTACACATCGCTTCCTTCATAGACCGACGGTTGAGTCTTGGCTCGAGGAGTTTTATGATAATTTAGGGGTAATGATACAGAAGGATGGTGCTAAGGAGAGGATAGCGTTGTTGTTTATGGTTTTTGCTCACGCAAAGGAGCATATGCATGACGATGCCAGTCAGAATGGTGTTGATACTAGGTAAGAGAATCTTCTCTGGACTTTAGCCGCCCTTTCGAATTCATCGCTAACAACACACAGTGCCAGATATTTCCAAGCAGCCGATCAACAACTGTCTTCGGAAACTGGAGAAATTCGTCTGACGAGCGTCCAAGCCAGACTTTGCCAGTGCTTCTATCTCCTCTCTCGATCCAGGGTCAACCATTGTTGGAGCCTGTTCGGTACAACAGCCCGGTTGATTCTAGCAATTGGAATCCACCGGAAACGACGTTTGGAGACGTCCAATGGATCCGATCTTATCGATTTTGAGTGCAGGAAACGAGTCTTTTGGTGCGCATACGGGTTGGATAACTACCTCAGCGCTGCGTTGGGGAGACCGAGGACGTTTCATGATGATGACATTGATCAGGTAGGCATTTCTCCGAGGTGGTGTATCACTCTGAGATTATATGGTCTGATGTCATGACAGGAACTTCCGACTTGCGTAGACGATGCAGATATTACGGCGCAGAGTATCCAGCCTCATAAATCCAAGGGACAGGCCATCATGGCAGCTTCTGTAGCCCACAATACGTACGTTCTCACACCGTAAAACCTTCGGTCCATCTTGAAGTCATATTCATACCTCATGACATTCCCGTGGGGAACTGTTCTTTATTCTGCTGACTTATTTCTTCCAGATTGTCGAAGATCATAAGCCCCATCCTGCGAGATTTATATGCTATCCGAGCACCGTCTCTTCCAGATCGAGTCAATCTTACAGCGAAGTACGCGGAGGAGTTATCCAATTGGAGAAAAGGCCTTGCCCGGTTCTTGAACGGAGACTCCGTCGATACTTCGCTGTTGATTCCTCTTTTCCAGCGACAACGGAATGTCCTGAATTTGGCATACTACCACGCACTTATTCTTGTCTATCGTCCCTTCCTCCTCAGTAATTTTGCCAGTCTCAATAGCCGGAACAATCGTCTCCGTGGAGCACCTGGATCACCAGATATGTAGGAAACCCATTCTCAGATCTTCGAACATTTCAAACATTTTGACTATATCGTTTACTTTTGACCGGCCACTGCTGATTTTCCCAGGGATAAGAATGTCTCCGAGTGCCTCAACGCAGCCATGAATGTTGCCTTGATCGTGGATGAATTGCACGAGTCCAAGCAGGTATTCCGTGGATTTTGGGTAAGAAACTTCCCCAAAACTATCGTCAAAATACTAACATGCCGAAGTTTACACACTACTTTGCTTTTTGTGCCGTCGTTATCCTGTATATCTACACGATCCAACAACGTAATTCGCCCAGAGAAAAATACCGTGCATACTTTGAAGCTGCAGAGAAATGCCAACGCCAAATCTCAGCAATGGCCGGACATGAGTCTTTAGCTGAGCGATACAGCGTGGTTCTTGAGGAGTTACGCCTCGAAGCTGTCAAACAAACGGAAACGACCCGAGACACCAATAATCAAGCACTTCGGATGAACTCAATGCCCCAAGTTGGACAAATTTTCCCGACAGCAGTAATCGACGGATATCAGCAATCCCATCCTAGCAATGATAGGCGCACGTCTGATTTCGACCTAGCGACAAATGCCTACGCCCATGATCATGAAGGTGGTGGTCCTGGAGAAGGACAAAATTCTACCACACCTTCAAGTCTGATGGCGGAGTTGACCAGCTGGGGAGAGTTTGACTCATTGGTAAGCACTAGAATCACTCCAAGTCTTTCATACTGCCAGTTTCTAATCTTTACAAGGTAAATGCTGGGATGGGAGGCTTGGACTTCCTCTCGATGGGCGATCAAGGTGGTATGTGGGAAGGAACTCTGGACAACACCTTTCCTGGTAATGTCGGCATATGATGTCTATTGGATCTCGGTCTACAGTGTCTTCTACATATATTTACCTTCTATTGCAACATATCACTGCACTCTGAATAAATGGGAAATATAATGCTCTCGTTCAATTTGTGCAACAGACCTCTCATGACTTTTCCACGAGTCCCTCTAAAACACACAAGATACCTTCCGCACCAGGATCAGGCACCTGGCTCCACGCACTTTCTTCAACATATACAGCTCTTCCAAAGGCTGCTTGCATTCCTTTCGTAGCCTCGACCCCCTTCTTGGCTTTCTGCAAGGCGACTTCTGCCCCTTCTCCAGCCTCGAAACTTACGATGAATGGTTCCAGAGCATCCATCAAGGTCCGATCACCTTGTCTTGCGGGTGTAGCAGCTTGCAACTTAGACAAAGCGCTACTAGCTACCACGCCCCACTCAGAGGAGCCGAGTTCACTGTTTGTTGAAAGGGATCGAAGGGCGGATGCAAGGGCATTGAAGAAGATGCTGTACAGTGCTCCAGATGTACCGTCCATACTTTCTTCGATGACATTTGAGATGCCCAGAAGTGTTGAGGCGGCAATTGGGCTCAACTCGGATTTATCAATGTAAGCCAGAACTGCTTTTGCTCCGCGAGCAAGCGTGATTCCGCAATCACCGTCGCCGACGATGGTATCGGCTTCAGTTATCCGAGCTTCTGAATCGATGAGATTCTTACAGGCTTTTATTACTCGAGACTTGAATTCCTGTACGTTCACTGCAAGCTGTGTCAATACAACTTCGGAACAGAGCTCGGAGAGAACTTACTCTTGGCACCGTCGTGGGATCCTTGAACATCTGATACAGAATGTTGAGATGCTTGGTCTACTTGTAACGACTTGTCTCGCTTCAAGGACAGAAGACCTTCCGTTGAAGGCCATCCAACAGCATTGGAAGGTGCATCGAGGTACTTCAGCATTTCCGAGTTGGCCTTCAGAAGTGTAATGCTGAAACCTGGGCCATCAAGACTACTCATGAAGGTCCCAGAAAGTACTCTCGACAGTGTGAATTTCAGACTCTCTAGTACATCCGTCAGCAAGACTCTTGAAGGGGACGGAAATGTGAAGTGCTCACCAAGGGCTGAGACAACAGCTTTTGTGATGCCGCCCAGTTCCAGCACTGAGATGCCACCAAGATTATTGATGAGCAGGACAATTTCTTCTGCATCGCTCATGTTGACATACGATCTGTCGGCGTCCGTGGTGCTCAATAATTGGTCGAGCATCATGTCGATAAGGGTCTTCGCATTAGGTGGTGGGTTGAGAATCCGACTGCCGGATTCGTTGTGGATGCCCATACCGAGCTCAATTTGGTCAGGAGGGGCAGTGGTGGGATCAGACACTGCACGACCCGGAACATGCACATGTCCTAAAGATGCTCCAACAGTAACTAGGTTCGAGGCAACTAGTCGCCCCATACTAGCCAACTTTTCCAGAGAGGCATTTGGGTCCTTGCTCATGGCACCCAGAATCTTATGTACTAGCACAGTCCCAGCCAGCCCTCTTCGTCCAACCTTGCCACTCTTCTGACGTCCAACCGAGACATCGTCTCCGACAACTATTATCTCGACCTTCAGACCATAGTTCGCTCGAGCCTTCTCAGCTGCAAGATGAAAGTGGAATACGTCTCCTGTATAGTTCTTTATTATCAGAATTGTTCCAGCCTCTCCGCCGACTCGAGATATGGTGTTGACAATCTGCGATACATTTGGCGACGCGAATATCGAGCCGGAAACAGCTGCTGTCAAGAGACCTTCTCCCACGTAGCCTGCGTGTGCTGGCTCGTGTCCTGCACCTCCCCCGGATATAAGTGCGACGTTTTTCGAGGAATCGTGCCCGGTGTAGAAGACAGCTAAAAGTCACATCTTAGTCTGGACCAACTTTGGGCTCGGCGCAGTTTCGGTTGTAAAATATTTACATTTATTCGCTCTGTCAAAACCAAGAAACGTGTTGGTGAGAGTCAGACTCTCAAGACAATCCAGCACTAAGGCCTCGGAGTCGTGAAAGAAATGTCTTGTTGACATGGTGTGGAAGCGAGATCAGGTCACGGGGTTTGGATTCGTAGTGGTGGTATCACACGTAACAGGAGCGCGGCCTCAGGATATTATGATTCCTCCATTCTACAATCATGAATTCGGTCCGTTGCCGAAAGCTCCGGGTTTCCAGGATTCATGGCCCTGAGCGACGAAATACGTTTTCCGGGCTGGGTTTTGCTTTTCCGGAATCATTCGCCACCCGGTACACCGTGGAATCACCCACCAATTGTTCCGCAATATGCCTGGAACAATGGCCTCCGACTCTGGAACTTAATGAACGCGGATACATGTACATTGCCCCTCCTTAGACCTCGTTATTTTATGCATGGCATTCTCTTTTGAAGATTCATCCAGCCCCCAGCATTTGAGCCTCACTCTCTGATTTCTGTTTGCCGCAAAATCGCATCATCATGTCTGCCACGGTCACAACAACAGTTCGATCTGTCGGCACCACAACACTGGATAAACTTGATGCCCCTATCGGCGTCACTGTGCGATCTCTCTATACAGTCGATGACCTGCTATATAACAGAAGTCAGACGATTCCCGATGTTCCGTTAGTGGCGTATCCTGCGACAGCACGGAGTCGAGCAGACTATATTCACTACACAGCGAAAGATCTGGATCGCTTTGCCGACCATGGAGCCAGGAAGTTTGCATCTTTGGGCTTAATCCCTCAAGTATGTGGTCCCATTCAATCAGTCTCATAAATTCTGAACATATTTGCAGGGCTCGGGTTCAAAAACGGAGGTCATTGCTCTGCTGGCGCCTTCAAATCTGGACTATGTTGCTTCCATTTTCGCCCTGTCGCGCCTAGGTTTCGCTGTTCTATTACTCTCCAACCGCCTCGCTACGGAAGCATATGTCCACCTACTCAAAGGAACAAATTGTCGGCGTATTGTCAGCTCCGACAATCTTAGCAAAGCAGTTACCAACATCCGATCAGAGTTAGATATCACAAGCTACCCACTGCTATCCCAGTCAGACTATGATATCCGAAATGCAACAGTTCCTCGCTTCCCAAGAAGAATTGGTAGCTCAGATCAGTCTCGCAAGACCGCTTTTATCATTCACTCGTCTGGCTCGACAGGTTACCCCAAACCGATTTTCCAAACCCACGAAGCATGCCTCTCCAACTACTCCAGCAGTTTCGGATTCCGTGCATTTCTTACTCTACCATTGTACCATAATCATGGGCTCTCCTCATTTTTCCGCGCGATCTATTCTGGCAAGGAACTCGCCATGTTCAATGCCAACCTGCCCTTATCTGGGACTAACCTCATTGAAGCGATGGCAGCTGTAAAGCCGGAAAGTTTCCATGGCGTCCCGTACGCACTGAAATTATTGGCCGAGTCTGAGCGAGGGATTCAGGCACTCAAGGACTGCAAATTGGTATTGTTCGGTGGCAGCAGCTGTCCTGATGATCTGGGTGATGAACTCGTCAATAAAGGTGTCTATCTTGTCGGGCACTATGGAGCGTACGTTGAATGATTTGCATACTTTTGACTAGATTGCTAATTGTTTAAATACAGTACCGAGATGGGACAACTTATGACCTCGTTCCGACCAGTGGAGGACAAAGCCTGGAACTATGTCCGACCTCTACCTGCGACCACACCATTCATCAGCATGGTACCTCAAGGGAACGATACATTCGAATGCGTGGTTCTCGACGGACTTCCTTCGAAAGTAGTATCAAACAACGACGACCCACCCAATTCGTTCAAGACCAGTGATCTCTTCAGTCCACACCCCACCATCTACAATGCATGGAAATACCTGGGGCGATTAGACGATCGTGTAACACTGGTGAACGGTGAAAAGGTCCTTCCTGTCCCATATGAGCATCAAGTGCGCCAAAGCGAACTCGTACGAGAAGCTTGCGTGTTCGGTGTGGGCAGAGCTTTCCCCGGGCTGGTCATAGTCCCCAGTGAGCATGCAACAGGCATGAGCAAAGCACAGATCCTCGACTCACTCTCCGGCGTCGTCCAAGCAGCAAACTCCAGAGTCGAGGCATTTAGTCAAATTTCTCTTGACATGGTCAGAATCCTCGATGTCGGTGCCGACTATCCATGCACCGACAAAGGAACGATGATTCGTGCAGCGTTCTACAAGAAGTTTGAGTCGCTCATCAATTCCGCCTACGAAGAATTCGAAGCCCCACGTGCTGAAGACACCACTGGAGGTCTGGCACTGGAGACTCCAGAGCTCAGAAAGTATTTAGAAGCCATTTTCACGAAGCATCTGGAACTCGAATCGCTCAGTGATACTGCCGATTTCTTTGAGATGGGCGTGGACAGCTTACAGGCGATTGCAGCACAGGCTTCGATCATGCGGGAGCTTGACCTTGGATCCAAACCACTTGGGCAGAATGTTGTTTTCGAGTATCCTAACATCGCTGCTCTTGCGGATCATCTGTATTCTCTTCGAACCGGAAGTGAAGTCCGACAATTAGACGAGATTGAGATTATGCAGGAGCTCATTCAAAAGTACTCCACCTTCACCCCACATACACCTGGGCAGGCAGTTGTCGACGGAGAAACAATTGTAAGCGACTGAAGAAGACAGTACTGTACTTCATCTACTAACACTGAATTAGATCCTCACAGGTGCTACTGGGTCGCTCGGAGCTCATGTACTTGCCCAGTTAGTCTCGAACGAAAATGTCAAGACCGTCTACTGCCTAGTCCGAGCCACTTCACCAGACGCAGCCCAAGACAGAGTCCTTTCAACATTCTCGGCAAAGAAAATAGACAATATTTCCCACAAAAGCAAGATCATCTGTCTTCCATCCGATCTTAGCCGCGAAGATCTCGGACTCGACAGCCAGATTGTCGAGACTCTCCAGAACTCGCTGACGACAGTGCTTCATTGCGCCTGGGCTGTGAACTTCAACCTGGGAGTTCGAAGCTTTGAGAAACAGCATATCAATGGGACATTCAATCTGTTGAATATGTGTCTCAAGATTAAGACTCCATCGCCAGCCAAATTATTTTTCTGCTCCTCGATCTCCGCTGCAGCAGGTACCCCGCTACCAGCTCAGATTCAGGAGACCTACATCTCCAATCTCTCCCACGCACAAAACATGGGATATGCGAGATCAAAGCTGGTCACCGAGACGATAATCAAAGCGGCTGCTGCGCAAACTGGAATGACCGCAAAAGTTCTTCGTGTTGGTCAAATTGTTGGAGACACCAAGATCGGGTTGTGGAACAGCACAGAGGCAATTTCTTTGATGATTAGAAGTGCAGTGACGATACATGCATTGCCAGCTTTGGAAGAGGTGAGAATTTCCCCATCATTAGATATTGATACAGTTTTTGACACGATTTACAGACACCATCATGGCTCCCAGTAGATGTCGTCGCCCGCGCAGTTCTAGATCTCGCTCAAGTCAACCACCAGTCCAACCCCACCACAGCCCTTGATACAGACGACTTAGAGGTGGTTTATCACGTCCAGAATCCTCATTTGTTCCACTGGACCAATGATTTGCTGCCCGCACTCCGCGAAGCCGGTCTCGACTTCGAAACAGTTTCTCAAAGAGAATGGGTCACTCGGCTACGGAACAGCGAGAAAGACCCAGAGAAGAATCCAACAATCAAACTCCTGGATTTCTTTACAGAGAAATACGATAATGACAGGCCAGGAAGGACAGGTTTGGTGTTTTTGACAGACAAGACTGCAGCGAAGACAAGTGCCATTGGTGAGGGGTATGATGTTGTTGGAAGCGGCTTGGTGAAGAAATTTGTGGATAGTTGGAGTTTGGAATGGTAATCTGTACAGGTTTGCATTTATATTACGGCCTTTTATGTTACTCTAGAATACAATACAAGACATAAAATTGAGATAATTCAATTGACTTCCATCTTGTCTTTATCTTTGGACTTTAACAAATTTTACCATTCACATTGGGTATTTGAGAACATCTTCTGGATATCTTCATTGCCCAGAGTTAACTCTCCAATAATACAGAGTCGCAGACAGTAACAAAAGTCTTGAAATACAATTGTATTTCATGAAAACCATTTTTAGATACCAACGATATGGTTCTTAGCGAATTGATGAAATTTCTGTCACGCTGTTAGGAGGAAGTGTGGTGTGCCCTGCCTCAGGCCAGCAGCATGTGAAAGTCAACACCAACAATCCCTTTTCAACGTTGTCACCTCCAAGAATTTCTTGGGTTCAGTGAGTGCCACATACATTTCCGCAAGATTACACATGACCTAGATATCAGCGATGAGCTTTTCCATGCCAATTTGCACTGTAAACATCGATCCGGAAAAGCGGACTTGGTCAAACGTGAACGCACGTGGTGAGACGGGATCTGCGCAGTTACGGAAGTGTTCTTGGCTCGACGCACCTCCAGCAAGCTATCCGAGCCGCAGTCTCACTGCTGCGAATGAAACGCATATCCGGCCCTAAAATATCCGGAAAAGTCTTTGATTGGGACGTTGTCTTATCTTCCTTGATATCACTCTGTTGGTATCAGACTACCCCATGGAGAAGTATCCGCTTTCGCTTGGCAGGGCCCCGTGGGGGAATTTCCCCGCATCCGCTGTGCTTAGACTTTCGGCTAGTCAGACTGTTTTTCCAGGTCTGACAACAAGTCGTTCGAGAGGATGACCAGGTATATATGACAGCCATGAAGCATCAGCTAATCTAGTGGGAGGAAGATCACCTCTTATCAGAGTTGCATACACCGGCGTCTAGAACTGTCAGCTTCTCGGAACTCACTGCCTGTCGGTATACGCAACGAGTCTTGCAAGAGGACACTCAACAAAATGTCTGCCCCTCAAGGAGACGAGAAGATGATTGCTACCGTGGAACATGTCGACAATAAAGTTGACAAGGTCGATAAGGCGGATTCGGGATCAATGTTGAAGGAAATTGGAGCCGAGGACAACCTCGATCGCTTCGGCGCCTGGAAGAAGACAGATCCAGCTGAGATTGCTCTCGTCCGGAAGCTTGACTGGCACATCATGGTAAGTTTGGAGGTCCCCTAGATAATGTTAAAGATCTTCTAACAATATGTCCTCTACAGCCCATCCTCTGGTTGATGTACTTCCTCAACTTCTTGGACCGAAATGCAATGATTAACGGAAAGCTGGATGGCTTGGCGGATGACCTCAACTTGGAGGGGACTCAGTACAATACTTTGGTATCAATTCTGTTTGTTGGCTATCTGCTGGGTCAAGTACCTTCAAACATGATTTTGAACAGAGTCAAGCCAGCGTGGTACATGTCAGGTTCGTAGAACTCAAGGTGTTCTCTGGTATGAGACTGACGATTATCAGGATTCATGATGGCATGGGCTATCGTCTCAACTTTGACTTGTCTTGTCCACAACTTTGAAGGCATGTTGGCGGCTCGCTTCATGTTGGGTGTTACTGAAGCACCAGTAAGTTTCATTGATCCCCTGTCACAACCAATGAGTACTGACAACTCCAGTTCTATCCCGGAGCCCTGTACATGGTGAGCCAGTTCTACACTCGGAAAGAGGTTGCAGCTCGAATGGCTATCTTCTACACCGGAAACATGCTCGCCAGCTCCTTCTCAGGCCTCATCGCAGCCGGCATATTCGCCGGTCTCGGTGGCGTTCATGGGATCGCAGGATGGAGGTGGCTCTTCATCATTCAAGGTGTCATCACCGTCGCTGTCGCAGCCGTCGGCATCATCCTCTTGCCCAACGCACCGCTCGAGACCAGATGGCTCACACCGGAGGAGCGACAACTCGCACACTCACGTATGGAGCGCGATATGACCGGCCGACGAGCTGGAACAAGTACTTGGGTCGGTCTTCGCGAGGCTTGCACAGACTACAGAACCTGGATCTTTGCTCTTATGATCAACTTGCATCTGTCTGCCAACGGCTTCAAGAACTTTATGCCAACTGTTGTCAAGACACTTGAATTCAACACCACTGTCACTTTGGTCTTGACATGTCCACCCTTCCTTCTCGCCACAGTGCTTTCTGTTCTTGTCTCCTGGTCGTCGGGAAAGTACAACGAGCGTACTTGGCACATCACAATCTCGAAACTCATCGCCATTGGTGGTAAGTACAACCCTTTCATCTCGTCATACATTCACATTCCTGATCATATCTAATAGGTTTTGCTTTGGCTTGGGGTACATTGAATATCCCCGCTCGCTACTTCGCAATGTGTGTCTTCGTCGGCGCAACATACGGTGTCAACAACATTGGCATGGGATGGGTTTCCTCAACGCTCGGACAAACAAACGAGAAGAAAGCAGTCGCTGTCGCAATTGCCAACACGATGGGCAACTTGGGCAGTGTTTACACACCATACCTGTGGCCTGATTCCGATGCGCCACGATTTGCAACCGCCATGGGTGCGAGTATTGGCTTCTCGGTTGGTGTTATCATCATTGCCTGGATCATGAGATTCATTTTGATGCGAGAGAATCGCAAGATTAAGGCGGAGGAGAATGAGGTGGTTAATCTGTATGCTTACTGAGCGGATGGAGTTTTTTGGGCTTGTGATATACTTAAAGCAGCTGAAGAGGCGCGAATGAAACATAAAATGTCGAGGATGGTACATTAAGTAGCCTCCCTTCCTACAAGGGACAGTGGCAAGTAAGTCGAGCAACTTGAGGTTGATGCCCGCTATGGGAATAATGTAGACACATACCAGAGACATTCATCGAACATATCAACTCAGCATCCTATCTTCCAGTTTTGTTCTTGCATCGTTTTCCCCTCAAATCTGCCCGTGGTACCGTCCTTTTATGACGACGCCGCCCAAGATTAGTTAGCTTACGGGCCACTCCAAACGCTCCTGAATTTCCTCTACAGTCCTGTTCATGTATTTGCAACGCTCCTCGGAAATACAACGACATCTGCGGCATCCTCCGGCGATCCCATTCTCTCTACCACCACCAACTCCTCTCATCTCAGCGCCAGCCTCCCTTCAGTGTCATGGAAGGGATTTCAGCCAATGGAGGGGTAGTGGGGGCTTACCTAAGCAGATACTCAAACACACCTGGTCTTCCTCCCAGCGTTGCATACCAATTTTCCACTTACTCTTAATGACTGTGAAATTGAAAAGTCCGAGTAAATGCTAGTGTTAATTTGGTTCGCATTCCGAGCTCCTCCAGTCGTCATCTGGTGACATGATGAATTTCAGGTTTGAGAGTCCCTCCTGTATAGCCGCGAAGTTTCGCAAATAGCTCTGAGGCATCCGAAAGCTATTCCTCCTGTCCACAGGAACCAAATAAAATATGCCTAAAACAGATTTGTTGTTCAGTTAAATCGAGAAAATGTCCTTTTAAATCTTGCTTTCGACCACAAGCAGGCGGTCAATGGGGCAGTTTAAGCGAGATTAGAACACAGCTCATGTCAACAAGCCATTGAAGAAGTCGATCATCGCTCGAACAATGTATTGAGGATGTTTTGAGATCTCGCAAGAGCTAGACACTGCGGTTGCTCAAACTATGATTGATATGAACTGCTATACAAACAGATCGTGGCCAATCTTTCATGTTCCATGACAACTACTTCTGCGATATTGCAGATCAATTGCCAGGCTGCGCTACGTGTTTACGAAGTCACAGCATTATAGGCGTATCTTATCTAAGATTCTCAAATAATTAATACTTCTTTGAAAATCTAGCAGATGCTTGGACGAGTTCTGGGCGATTTGATTACCGCTCTTCACAGCGCGCCACAACACTTTCGAGCAGCTTGTGCAGCCAATCTGCAAATATTTGAATATCAGAGGGGAGTTTGAGGAGAGTTTCTGTGCAAAATTGAAAGGCAACAATCATTATTGTGTTATATTAGAATGCCACTGTTGGATTATGTCTTCGACGAAATGGAGATAGTTTCAAGGTGGAGGTCACGTGCAAGCTTTCACTGAGGACAGTGTAAGTTGAAATTCTATTTCACGATCTCCGATGCTCTTGGGGCAGATAGATATATAGAACTTTGCTATTTGATTTCTCTAAATCAAGGGTCTAAGACACCAAACTCCTCTATGCCAATTTCGACACCACCCAGAATGAAGATCGCAACTCCAGTTCAAATCTCCTCTCTCCACAACCACTTTTTAAACGCGGCAGGTTTAAGACCTTTCGGCACATCAGAGGCTTTCGTCGCCCAATTCTCCGTCGATCCAAAACTATCATGTTTCTGCGGATTCTTCACATATGGCTTCATCTCCAGAACATTCAAGCTATCCGGACCCTCAGCCATCTTCTTCGCATCAGAATAATACTTGGCAAAGCATCTCGCCCTCGCAAGATCGCTGTGCATGTTACACATCTGGAACAAGTCGTAATACAATCTCGACAATCTACCGTCTTTGATGCCATCAATCTCGTAAAGTTCAAACAGCTTGCGAGCACATTCCATGACTTTGTCAGGTTCGTAATGCACCTTTTTAGAATTGCCGATTGTCTCGTCTAATTTCTCGGCTTGGGAAATGCGCTCGTCACTTGCCTTTAGCTCGTCGGCTGGGAGAGAGCAGAGCTCGCACATGCAATCGAACTTGAAAAACTCCTTGAGAGTATCTTTTCTCTGGGATGACGTTCCTCCAGGTTGGTAACAAGTAGTAATTTCCTCTCCCTTGGCAATGGGACGAACAGCATAGATGGTCTGCTTTCCGAGTAATTCGTTCCAGTACTGGACGGCATTAGGCAGACAGCTATGATTGATTCTCGCAATGCCAGCGAAGAGCCCACCAACGTCTGTGTCTGGACCTAGCGGGTACGCATTGGAGCGGATAATGCCGATGAGTTTCTCGTCCTCGTTTTCAGGGAAGTTGGTGTGCAGGGTGCGGAAGTTCTCCTGCTCGGTGATTGAGAGCTTGCTAAGGGCATTCTCAAGATCTTGCTCGGCGCTGGTGAGAGATTGGACCACGTCGGTTTTGATTAAAGGGGCTTCGCTTAGGAGGAGAGTGCCAGGGGTGATGTTTTGAGTGACGACTATGCCTTTTCCTTTGTCTGGTATGTCGACGATTTGCCAGAGAGGCTTATCAGAAGATTCTTCATTTTTGTGATCCGATGATCGGACGGGCGAGTCAGTGCGTGTCGTAGAGCTAGGCGCCATGATGGATGTAAATAGATGAATGGAAATGTAAAGATGGAAATGTGCGGGATGTGAAGAGCAGATAGGTTTTGTATTCCTCTGGCCAGTCCAGATATCGATAAGACAATTGCCGGTTCCATAATTCCGGCGGGCTGAATTTTTTTTGAAGCTATTTCCTTTTATGGTAAAATAGTCGAGGGGATGGTCAGGATTCCCCACGGAAAAGCCTCCGTAGTGTCCCACGTGATCTTGGCTCCCCCCATTTACCACATCCTTGGTACAATACCTTATACCGAAGGGCTTCGTAGGATCCTTTCACGATAATGGATAATCAAGCTTGAAAGAATTGGATCCATCCAAGCTCATCTGACTTCATTGTCACGGATCTTGTTCATATGATCTTGATGGCTACCAAAGTATATAAACTGACTTGATTCCATGATTCACGATGTCTGGATGATTTTTTCTCATGATCTCTTCTCTCTTTGGCTTCAGAAACTCAGAAGATGGGCACGGAAAGTCAAAATTGCTTTCATTCGCGAGACGTCTCAGACTGACAGAGTTCCCGTAACGAGAATGGTCGCCAGCAACCACACTTCAAAATAGCCCACCTAAAAATTGGACATAATGGCCCAATGCTTCATTCCCTAGTATCACTATTGATGCATGTATCTGTGGACTGTTAATTCAGCCGTCTTTGCGATACACTGTAACTATTCAAGTGTTCCAGATGATAATTGTGTGGAAGCGAGAAGTCATCCACTGGTTTGATGGCTCGTCCATAAGTGTCAGAGGAACCAAAAAAAAGCTTCCAAAGCATGGCACCGAAACCATAACTCTATAAATGAGAGTTTCTCCAATAGGCCGTCATGGCATGCTATGATCAATTTTATTGATGTTTTCGCTTCCCGACATACGTAGGTTCTGAAGCAGCCAGGGTTGCACCTTCCAAACCACCATGAAAATCGAAAGCGCCGACCCCTGGAGAGCAAGAATGACGGACATGAAAATTCTAAGACCCGAATCCTATTCTTGGAACATATTCCCAAAAATATATTGCCAATATCTGCATTATTGCGACAGCATTCCAGCCCGCATTCCTCGCGAAACCAAGCATTAAACCGTCAACAAAACAACCTGAATATTAACTGCCGCGCATCCGCCACCATCCACCAAACAACAATCTAGTTCCAAACATGATGGACTCCGGATTCCGTCCTGGTATCTTGCCAATATCGCAAACCGATACCATGACGTCAAAATACATGTCTCCCGCCCTCGAAGCATCGCCATTTCTGCTTGGCGCTTTTGCTGCCACGCTCTGGGAAGCCTTTCTGCCTGGACCGGATCGCTTCGAGCATTTTATCGATTACACTTGGTGTGTTCCTAGGCTGTTTATGATAAGTCTGGTTTCTGGATATCTCTTTTACCATGGTGAGTAACTTTTCGTGTCTAGGAGGTCCAGAGCTAGGGAATTGACGGATTCAGGTACGCATCGTCGGTACCAGTGGTATCCAATCGCTCCCCTCACTCGAGCATACCTCGATATCACGCGGACGTACTCTTCGTGTTATATTCTTGGTCTGATTGGTATATCTGCGGGTTTCAAGATGATTTTTGTAATGGTCTCGTACATGGACCCGTATGATAACACATCAAAAATCCCGACTGCGAACTGTACGATTAGGGTTGTGTTGTTGTTCTTCGTCTTGGCGTATTCTGTTTTGGGACTGGGTGTTTGCATTTTGGTGTCGAAACCGCTTGGGTACGATAGGAAGCGGTTGCGGATTTTGCAGGAGGGGTATGAGGTGATGGAGGGTTGATGAGTGGCTGTATTGTTTTTGTTTTTGAGGTTGCATATTTACCCTGCATGAGATGATTGAATTGAGGGCATGTTTAACCTGTTTCGCTTGCACCTCCTCAAACACCACACTTTTATCCACCGACGAGGTCAAAACCTCGTTTTCTGCCAACGGCATAGTGTCAACACCCCAGGGACAACTATTGGCCTCATCAAGTGTCACAAGCCTCATTTCAACGTCCCCATATTACCATTGTAATGTCAGTTGACAGAAACATAAAAACATTCCTGCGGCGAAATCCACAATGCTGCCAAAGTCATCTCAGCAAGACCCTTAGAGTATTTGTGTCCATACAACGACATTCTTGGCGAGAAAGTACCCCGTTAAATTATTCCAAGGCGGTGAATAATACCTATCTGTTCATCTGATTGGACGCTCGAATTTCCCAAAACAGAAATATCTGAGGCTGCATTCAAATTTCCAATCATTACAGCGAAGTTCAGCAGCGAGAAAGAGCTGCAGATCTATATGTATACAATTGGGGATATACTTTACAGCAGACGTCACATCGTGCCAGTTGTTACACACCTCCTTGTGAAACTTCAGCCATTCGATCAGTCGTGCGTGTATGGCATTTCTGGCGCCAATGCGGGGTCATCAGCCATACATCAGCCACGACAAGAACGAGAAAGATGAGAAGCGAATAATAATAAACGATATGAAGCCAAGCCAGAGAAGCAGAACTACTGTAATCAACCACGTAAGCAGAACGTGTGCCGGGGTGGCTTGACGGCTTTGCCATTCTTGACGGCTTCGGCTTGGGAGCTTGGTATGCTTGTGTGTGGAATATGGATGGACAGAAGCGAGACTGGCTCACTGGGTGACGGTGAGTAGTCAGCTTGGGGATGTCCAATGAGAAAAGCTGTGCAAAGCCACAATTGAAAGTTTACCTTGGGTCATGGAATTGGGAGATGCGGGAAGTTTGATTCGGGGATGATTCCTCATTGTTTCCATATGCGCTTATTCCAAGTCCCGTGCCAGGTAATCTCCCGGCACTGGTCTTGCTGGGTCTCTGTTTTCAAGCTTCTCTTACGCGTCCGTTTGATTGAAGTGCTGAAAGTAATTCCAGACTTAATCAAACATAATTCCAGCTCTCATTCCAATCGTAACTCCGCCATCAATCGATGACGATTTCTCGTCTTGCACAAATGTCACCCAAGGTCACGCTTCCATCCAGTCCAGACTCGGACTCCCGCTCAGTGGATGCGCACGAAGCTCGGCACTCTCGGCACTAACTCTGCGCCTTGTGGGCCAAGCTCAAACCAACCTTAAAGGGTCGAGAGGGTCCAGCACTGATCATCACGCCCGCTCCATCTTCGCTGCGGGTATTATCCAGTAATCCAGCCAATGCCGCAGTTTCTTTCGTTCGAACCCTAATCAAGATACTTCCCTATGCGACAACAGCCAGGCATAGATTCTGCTGTCATTGGCTTACGGTGCATGATCTGATGCGTGCTTTGGTGCGTGCATTGCTGAGTCGGATGCGCGGGAGTTACAGTACAGTAGGTAAATTAAGTTAGATGGGAGGAAGCGGGAGAGGCTTTTCGCGGGTGCGCTGTTTAGGGTTCTAGAAGGGGTGCGATCTTGCGAAGACCCTGGTGACCTCATGGCGTCCAGTCAGGAACGGGAACATGCAGGTAAGGTTAGGGGTGGAGGGATGGTGATGAAGTAAGAAGACTGAGGCTGGGCGTGGTTGCTCGGCGTAGGGATGGGACACGCGGATGCTTGTGGCCGATGAAGGTTTGGACGCGAATACATATTGAGCACTGATCCCGCTGTGTTTGAGTTCTGGATTTTTGATTCTGTATCAAAGAAGTCTCTCACTACTGTGAACGGGATCAATTGTTCTGTTCATTCGTCTCTAGATACAATACAAGTCATAACTGAATAACACTACATGAACAATAACACAACACAACACAACTCATCGAAACAAAACAAAGCAAAAACAAGATGCCATCCACACACCAAAAACCAACCTACCTCACCATCTCCACCTCTCCCTCATCAGCTCCTCCCTCACCACCACCACCAAGCGAAACAGAAATCTACTCCGTCGCCAAAGTAGCCTACTCCAAACTCGTCTCCGAAGCCGCCCTCAAAGACCAGAATCTCCGCCGGCTAGTCTGCCACGCAAACCTCTACGACAAACTCCTCGATGAATACAACAATTGCTTCTCAGACGAGGAGTCCGATGTCGATACCGAGACGGATTCGTGGGATGGTGATGTCGAGGATGTGGAGGAGTTTGCCACGCAGGCGTATTATACCACTGCTATGACGGCAAGGAAGGTGGGAGGAGGGGGAAGAGATGCGGTGCAGGTGAGGGAACAGGTGGTGTATGTTTATGAAGATAGGGAGCAGCAGAGGGGACGGGGAAGGGGAAGGCAGGTGGTGAGGAGTGGGGAGATGATGGAGGAGGCGGTGTTGTGTAAGGTTGCTTCCCATTCGACGGATTTGGGGTTGGGGTATCATCCTTTGGGGGGGCATGCTGAGGTGGAAGGAGATTTCGATGAGTGAATGGTCAAGCGAGACCTCATTGAGATGTGAGGTGGAATACTACACAAAGCAGGAGAGCAAAAGAGCGTGGCAGTTCAGAGGAAGGCCGGCAAAGCCCCTTGCTTGATCATGGGCTCGCAGGAGAAGAGAAGATGAACTGGAAGAGGATGTTTCGCCTGCGCGAAAGTCACAAGCTTGGCTAGATCTCGGGGAAAGAAAATGTCTGAAGAAATCAAGAAGAGGAGAAGTAGAAAGGGGGAAAGAGGAGAGTTGAAAACAACTGGAATTTAGTTATACCCAAGCAAGCGAGCAAGTCTTTTAACCATTTCAAAACACCAATACCACTTCTACAAAACAATCACGCCTTTCGTCTTTGTAGTGAGAAATCCTTCATCGGACCACTTTCGTACCTGTCCCATTAACTTTTAACAATAAAACAAAATCCCATACCACAGCCCACGGGCAGCGCCAAATTCGTATGCGTAATGATCCCGAGCCACCTTCCTCGACCTGCTTCCCATCACTGACTGTATTGATTGGCTCAAGCGAATTCCAGCAAAAGCCAGCGACCATGTGCGATTTGCAACAAAACGAACATGCTTGCGCGAGAACGCGCAATTTGCGACGTGCAACAAACTTTGTGGGGTAGGTACCTAACTTAGGAATGAGGACGGGAGGGGAACTGGCATGTGACTGAGCTTGGGATGACGACGCTCGCTTGAGGACTTTCCAGTGAAGATGAAGATGAAGATGAAGACATGTATGATGAGACTGAGAGATTCTTGACATAAGGAGAATATCTAGGAGAAATTAAAGGAACTTTTCGTTTGATAAGTGTTGATTTTTTTAATGATTGTGAACCTTTCCTTACCTAGCGAGCCTAGGCAGGAGGAATTGTCTGCTGCGCGGCGGTATGCACAGTAAGCACCACGAGGCGTGTCAAGATCGACAGGACTGAAAAGATTTACTTTATCCTCTAACAATAAGATTCGGAGGCTTAAAGGTGGAAGATTTTTTTTCCTGCATCCATCTTGCATATCCTGCATGACATCTCCGATATTGATTGACTCTTACGCCGACGCCGAGGATATAAATCGGGAGCGGGTCACGTGGATGTCCCGAAATCGGGCCAACGTCGGAATTGGTCGGGATGAATGCAGCTGGAGAGTGCAGAGGGATGATGGGGTGATGTGACTCTTTCAATTGATGATCTCATACTAATTGCCTCATAACAGTCATTACGAGGTGAGATGCTGTCTGTTGCGAGTGGAATGCATGGGAGAAAATAGGTGGAGGTTTCAGGAGTCAGGAACCGAAGATGAATGAATCCGTCCCCGATGAAGAAAAACAGATTGAAAGGTTGCAAAAACTCGCTTGATGAGATGCCAAGATATCATATGGGATGGTGAAATCAACTTCGAGATAGGGGCTCGCCTAACGATGCACTTTTTACCCTTTCACCCCAAGTCTTCATGAGTCACTCGCTGTATGAACAACCATAGGTTCCCATACTTGGGTACATCAGAAATACCTGCTCGAATTTCTTCACTGCGTGTCATTGCGTGCTGTTTAGAATTTCTGCCTTTGTGGTCCAAATATCTCTCTTCTCAGTCCTTCCCAAAATGGCATCAGCCTACACACCCGACCAACTAACCCTCTACGAACAACACGTCTCCCTCCCCTCCCACTTCCATCACATGCACAACCCCCCTCCACCACTCAACATCTCCTACCTCACCGTTCTGCACATCCACCAAATCTCCAGCTGTCCCTACGAGAATCTCCAATTACACTACTCAGCCAGTCACGCCGTCTCGCTAGACCCCCAAGTACTGTTCAAGAAGATAGTTACTGATAAGCGAGGGAGAGGCGGGTACTGTATGGAGAATGCGATTTTCTTCCATCATGTGCTGAGAGGGTTGGGGTTCAAGGTTTATTTGGCGGGTGTGAGGATTAGATTGAGGGAAGGGGGTGTGCCGAAGGGGAATTATGTTGGGTGGTGAGTCTTTTGGGGTTGTTTGTTTACACTCTCGCGTATGTACCTTACAGGTCATGAGAGAGAGATGAGAGATTAGATTAGCAGTGAGCATTGGATTTCATTACATTGTAGTAACAACAGCTCGTTTCTACCTAGGGTCCACATAATCAACATCGTCACGCTCCCCACCGGCTCAAAATACATCTCGACGTCTCCTTCGGCGGCGACGGCCCAACCCTCCCCCTCCCGCTCATTTCCGGCCTCACACACACCAACCTTGGCACACAAGAAATTCGACTCCTCCACTCCACTATCCCGCAACAACTCGACCAGTCTAAACTGCTCTGGATCTATCAGTACCGGAACTCGCCTATGCAGGAATGGAACTCGTTTTATGCGTTTCCGGAGACGGAGTTTACGGAGGAGGATTTCAAGGTCATGAATCATTGGACGAGTACGAGTATGGCGAAGACGAATTTTCAGACGAGGAGGGTGCTGGTGGTTAGGTTTCTGAGGGGGGTGGTTGGGGGTGGGAAGGAGGAGGAGGATAGGGCGGATGAGGTGAAGGGGGGTGAGGGGAGGGAGGGGATTGTGGGGAAGGTTATGCTTGTTGATGGGGAGGTGAAGAGGAATGATGCGGTGAAGACCAGGGTTGTGCGGGTTTGTAAGACGGAAAAGGGGAGGATTGAGGTGTTGAGGGGGGAGTTTGGGATTGAATTGACGGGGGAGGAGAGGGAGGGTATCAAAGGGAGAAATGTGGAATTAAGGGGATGAGGATTGAGATATTTTTGTGGATCAAAAGGTAGTTTTAAAAAGATTGATAGACGTAGATTAGACTTCGGTTGGTAGATTTGGTACAAATGTGGATAGTTCGATGAACTTTTATTCATTGGCGTGGAAAAATCCAGAGTAAGATAAAGGAAGCCCCTGATTTCCCCAGGGTTTACTTCGTAGCTTCAGTCCACATCTCCACGATTACAATCAATTCTTTATGGCAAAGCCTCCATTTCATGCTCGATAGCTCCCTTCATGGTACCTCAGCCTATGACAGGCACGTCATGTGACTCTCCCGAATGACTTCAGCCCATAATATCAAGATGGTAGCTACAATACCCTCCCAAATTCGTGCCAACGTACCAAATCAAATTTAGGACTTAGCCATACCCTGTAATACCACCGACTACTTCCGCTTTTTTCTATCCATCTTCTGTCCCAGAGGCTTTGCCGAACGATATGAGCATCGACCAGCCTGTGACTGCCCATATGCACAGAATCATCAGCATCGGCGTGAATTTGCGCATCATAAACCTTTGATTTGGCTTCAAAAGGGTCCATGCTTGTTCAAGTGCTTTGAACGGTGGTGGCGGGTCGATAATTCCACAATTAACAAAATCTAAAACGTGCCCAATAAAAGAGTGGACGGCCCAGATGGACAGATGGACAAGGAAAATTATCCAGAGAAAGTTGGCGGTGTCTAAGTACTCGTTGAGGCGTTCTTCCAGAGTGTCTTTTGCCACGGCTTGTGCGATTTTGCTGGCTGACATTATGATAGTGAGGTGAAGGTGAAAGGCCGATGCGTTGAGCCATCTAGGCAGCAAAGGCCTGGAAATAGATTGACTGTTTGGCATTCGCGCGCTTCTGTTCTGCGTGGATTGTTTAGGTTGAATGACTAAATATAGATGGTAACGACAAGCGAGCTTCTGCAGGTACAAACTCTTGTTCTATCCTTAAACACTGTGATTAGAAATTAGAAGTGTGCTGCCTCACAACGCCAGTGACGCTAGTTGGGCGACCTCGAGACGGACTGTCAAGTTGAAAAATAGTAACGTCAGGCGGAGGAGTGCGGTACCTATTTAGCTTCGTAATCTGACAACGACCAATCGGTTATGGATTGCGCGAGCCACATTGGATTTTGGGCTGCTACCTCAGCACTAACCTTCGCATCGGAGTATCCAATCAATCAGGGTGAAAGTGTCTCTTCAATGCTATAGCTCTAGTATGAAAGTCAACAACGGTGGCACGATTTTTCCAGTATCCCCTTACCATTTAACATGGGAATGAAATCAAGAGACTGTGTATTGTAAGACTTCTCAAGAGATCGGAGTTGGACACGTTTGCCTGCGCCCTTACCCCCGCCAACCCCCAAAAATAATTCATCAATTCTCCCTTCAAGATCGTAATTCTCACGCATCTTCCTTCAGATAAAACTTTTCTTCGCTGATATTCCAGTCCAATATCGTTAAGTACTCAAACATGGGCATCTCCCCACCCCATGCACTTCTCTCATAATCCCCTGCCTGCAGCTTCTCATGCTCCCTATCCATCGTTTTGCTTTGAAGGCCAATCATGAACATAGCAACTTCCAGTCTGAGATGCCGGCGAGCATCAAGAGAATGGTAGGCTTGTGCGTGGGCAAAGTAGTCCTCCATACTGAGAAGCATTGTTCGATTGTCAGGTGCCAATGCACACAGAGGACATGCGAAATCCTGTGGATATGTTCTGTCGTCTGATATTGAGCAAATCCATGTAATTTTGCGCAGTTTGACGTAGTCGAAAAGACTTTGAAGTACAATGAAGGGCATCGGAATAGCGATTGAATGAATGATGTCTTTTTGGGCGAAGTTCTGGATAAAGGTCTTGGCTTGTATGGCATTGAAATCGTTCCAATTCAATGGGAGCCGAATGTATAGGGTGTCAATCAACGGGTGAAAGTAAGCGTATTTTGGAATAATTGTATTTGTTTTGAGAATTTCGTACATTTGAAGACCTTCCATGCGGGACCAGCGACATACATGTAGGATTGGAGGCACATCGGCGGCGAAATCGTAAGCCTGAGAAGACTTGCCGAAGCGGACTTCGACGGTACGAGGTAAGATGCTAAGGCGTAAGATTCTGAGTCTGAGCTCTAGAGGAAGACGTGGGAATGGTATGAAGATGTTAGTGCAAATTACCGAGGATGCTGATGAGTTAACATTATCGGTGTTGAACTCGTGCTCAACTTCCCTAGCCAGCTCAGGGATCGTGGGATCCATATTTCGATCATTGGGCGGCATCGCGTCCATATCTGGGCAGATGCACCTATTGCTGATTATTCTTCTAGATTTGACATCGAAATTCAAGTTAAAAAGAGGTAATGCCAGGCGGCAAGAGTTCGGTAGCTATTTATAATAAACAATCGTTACACCGTATGACAAGCGAAGGTGTGGTGGTTAGGCAACCTCGCCAAAACTTGGCGTCTGTAACTGGGCCCCTGTGCATTAGAGGGAGATGCACTCAAAACTTTGGCGGGGATGTCCTACATTTTCAAGTAAATTACAGTTTGCATGCGGCTTGGGTTTTACTGTCGAGACGTCTTATTATAGCGGGTCAGTGCTAGCCCAGTGCTACATTGTGTTAAGTATATGTTGTGCTCTTTTGTCATTTCCAAGTTTTTGCGAAGTATGCTCGGCGTGGTGTTGAAGATCTTTCGAAGATTTGGAAAACGTTTGAGATGACCTGTCACCCGAGAAAGCGGGACTGCAAGGTACTGAATTTAATCTTTGTAAGGGATAGTCTTCATGGTGTTGAAGCCTGAATAAAAAAAAAGTCGGCTCAGTGTTTCTAGGCCATGGTTCCGATGATCTTCTTAATCTGACAACGACCAAATCGGTTATGACTACGCGAGCAACGTTGGACCGCTAAGGTAAATTTCCCTTGGTGGTCCAGCACTAAGTCATGCGTATAATGGGTAGAGCTCTGTAGTAGCCATTGGAAGGATTCGCACCTAAGCCAACTTTATCAACTTTGCATATCCACACGCCTCAGTACCAAGTTCAATAAATATTTTCTTAGTCTTACCGACTTGCCAGCTCGCGGGCTCGGCAACTCCGGTAGCCTGCATATAAACACTGGAACTTCCTCTTGTCAAGGACACCCGTAAGTCCATAAAAACTTCTCCAATATATTATCCCTTCATCCTCTGACTCGATTTAATCAATTCCGTCATCTATGTCCAAATATTCTGCTGTCAGATTTTCGCTTCTGGCAAGGTTGTGTACATCGGTCACCACGTGATATCTCCCCGCATGAGTCAAGGACACTAAGTGAGACTAGATGGTAAAAACAGCATAAGAAGAACCAAATCCTCACTCCACAACTAATATTACATCAATCAACAAAATTTCTTCAGTCAATTATATACCTGTACCCCAAATTATCAATTAAAATGTCAACCGATACTCCCAACACCAACAAACTCGTCGAAGAAAGCTACGACAAAATCGCAGCCGAGTATTTGGACTGGACGCTCAGCACGCCCTCTCCACGGCTCGAGTACCTCGCTACTCTATTCAAACATCTCTCCGATCCAAGCAAAGCACGAGTTCTTGAGCTTGGATGCGGAGCAGGAGTTCCCGGAACGCAATTTCTCGCCAAATCATGCGCGCATGTAACCGGTGTCGATATTTCCGGGGCGCAGGTCAAACTTGCTAGAGAGCATGTCAAGGATGGCAGTACCGAGTTCATCCAAAGTGACATGCTGGCTTTGAATTTCGAGAAGGGGACGTTTGATGCTGTGGTTGGACTGTACAGTATCCTGCACCTGACGAAGGAGGACCAGGTTGTGTTGATGGAGAAGATCCGCGGGTGGGTGAAGCCAGGAGGTTACTTTGTTGGGAATTTTGCTTTGACTGGGAGTGAAGGGACTTCCACCTGGCTTGGCGGTGAGAAGATGTTTTGGGGTGGGTGGGAGAAGGAGGAGTGGCTTGGGAAGCTGAAAGAGGGGGGCTTTGACGTGTTGAAGGGGGATGTTGTGAAAGACGTTGAAGATGGGAGGGATGTTAACTTTCTGTGGGTCTTGGCTAAGGTGTGAGTGTATTTTAATGAACATAGACAAAAGCGGATAGGTAAAAAGCATCACAGTTATTGAGGACTTGCCAGGCAGGCACTCCATGGTATATTTCGAAAGCTGCCCATTACTTTATGTAAAGCAACATGAAGAGCTTGTAACATTCCCCGTGCAGTGTACCACTGGCCAGCCATATGGTATCATCAAATCCATTCGTCCATTTTTCATTCCTCGATGCCTTGGTTACATGATTCATATCTCTGCCCTTCCTAGCACGGTTCGACTGTCGTGCACCTTGTGCAAAGACCACATGCTACCATTTATTCCATATCCTTGAATCGTTCATCGAACTGATTTCTTGCTGCTCATAGATTTCCTTGGCGCAGCCAAAATAATTCGATGGTTTTTCCAGTTAGTTGCCTGGAGATCTTTGATGTGACCGGGTAGCCAAGACATATCTTTTGCAGCCTCCTTCTCTGCATTTCGGTGCTCATTCTTCCGTCTTTTCTCCCGATCCTTTATCATCTTTTGTATCTGGACTGAAGTGTAATTATACTTCCAATCATCTTCTTCTTCGGCATCTCTCTTTCTCTTGGCCTTCTCCAAACGTTGTGACCCGCAGAACATCTTGCTGGAGCGGATCATATCGAGGCATGAGCCTTTGTATATGAACTTGGGCATCTTCCAGACAGGTGTGCCCCATTCGCCAGCTTTCAATCGATCTTCGAAATCCTTTATCAGGTCTCGGCAGCACTGGACTGCTTCGTCCTCGTGGGGTTGCGCAGCAGAGATGTAAGAGCGACCGTGTGCAGAAGTCCACAGTTTTGAGTTATGCTTGCAATCATGCCTGCTTCGAACAAAAGACATCGTGACCGTCTTCAAGTTGTTGAACATAAGAAGGGAAGGGAATATAGACCAGTTGTAGGGGAAGAAGCTCGGCGAGACAGATAGATGTCGAACATCGCTCTTGTTGGGCATGTGGCAAATAGTCCGACCGATCTGCATAATGTTGATTAAGGGGGTTTTCGAGCTCATTGGAGAACGTCGTATTTCAGATCTGATATGTAGGATATCAATATCAGAATTGAAGTAGGCAGGTGCACGGGACATTTTATGTTCGAAAAGAACTCTGTACTTCTTTCGGAATTCTTGGCGGACTTTGCGGTTCACCTGGATGATTGCAGGAGTAGTTGAAAGGAAGTCGAACTGATCGGACCAGATATGGTTCAAGAACTTCATCTCCACAGTATGTGGCTCCAATGAAAAGTTCCAGACTATCAATTGAAGCTCTACCGGGAATTTGGGGAAGCGTATGAAGTCTCCTGTCAAAACGTTTGAGTTTCCTTTGGCATGCTTTCGGGCTTTTGCAGTTGACTTTGCTTCCACTTCAGAGGGAAGGTCATAGACGGAGAATGCTGTTTATATTAGCAATTTGTATTAGTATGGAAGCAGATGAAGGTGTTTACCAATTGTCGATGAAGATAAGTGGCCGACGTGATGGAAATTTGTCATGATCGAGGACGTCGCAGTGGGGCTTGACTCGCCATTTGACTCGGTCTCTATTGATGCCATTGTAGAACCCCAGAGCAAGTGATCTGTTGAAGAAGTTTGAAGGCTCGTCGGGTAAATCTATCTCATTTCTCGGGTCAGATAAGTAGCATCAAATGTTCTGGATTGAGCGAAGCTTCTGTGAGAGATTCAGATCGAGTCTGCTCACTTGCTGTTCGTGAGAGACGATCAGATGATGTGAAGACCAAAGCAGCCAGAAGTTTTTGCTTATGGCTACTGCCTAAGTTCTAGAAGAAAGTGAACAGATCTTAGCTTTCATTGGAGAGGTGGAGTTCACCTTAACTGAAGGTGTCAGCATTGACAGACTGCGACCAATGTCTCAATGTCTGTGGAGGACTCTCTATGATTTCTTGAGAGACCTAGAACGAGATATCGGGATTAACAAAGAGGATAGAGAGAAGCTATGGAGCCTGTGGTTTTGTGTTGAGTGATCGTAGACACGGGCACGTTGTGGTGTTGGAGCCCGATTATCTGAGAAAGTCTCAGCAGTATGCTGGTTCGGCATGGTTCTTGTGTCGCATTTGAAGAGACTAACGATTAGTTTTGATTCGTGATTAACTTCTAGGCTGCTTCCATCCTGTCTCCACCCTTTCTAATTGCAAGATGAGATCGCCCCTCGGATCGTCCGTGGCCAGATTCTTGAGATGCACGTGTGCCGCAGGAGGCACTCGGGTTAATTCCTCCCTCGGACTCTCCAAACTCCTCACCTCAACGTGTGTCTCAGTTGCAACCCTTGTCAAGCTCCTTCCCTCTTCGCTGTTACTCTCAAGATCCCGGGAGACTTTTAGTCTGCTCATCTTCGTACTCGAGATATATTGCGAGCGGTTTGCCCGCGCCGATGCTGTCTTGGATCGATCGAGGCGGTGTTTAATGAACAGAAGATTGAAGGCTGGCAGGCATGTACAGATTATACCAATGCCTACTTCGGCAACACTGGTTTCCGCTTTATGTCAGTAGTGTTGTTTTCTGCAAGTGCTGCTCAGTGGAACATACGCGAGAAGGTTGAAGCGAATGAATGAAACGGTCTCGTCAATGAAGTCGTTGGGTTGAAACACAAGCTGAGCACCTTATGTTAGTTTCTAATCTCATGGACTTGGCTAGTGATGTCTGCGAGGAGATTGAGAGAGCTTTTTGTACATCGATTCGCGAAGAGTGAGCTGGAAGTCACAACTCACAAACAGACGCACAATACTCGCCCCGGTGGCAAGACCTCCAGCACCTAGGAGAGCGGCGATCTGAATTTTTCGGTTGAGGGGCATTTTCAGAGACCATACCCTATATTCCATTAATCAGTGGCTATCCTGTGCAAGAATAGTAAGTATCGGTTGCCTACAATGGAATCGGTAGCACCAGAATGACAACATCGGTGAGTGCACTCATGACTGTATCACAATAGAATAACTTGACCCTGTCCAAACAGACAGCAGGTAGACCTGGAGTCCATAACACAGAGATAGGATTGCAGATTCGTATTTTGATGATCATGACTGGGAGGTAATACATCAACATGAGGACGATGAAGACATAGATGAATCTGGTTGTTTTACGGAATGGCGTAAAGACCCTGATGAAGATCAGAAGAAGAGTTGTTTTAGTTGCCCAAGCTGCTGGGCCATAGGTAATGGAATCTGCGTATAGTGCCTATAGGTCAGCGGTGTACAGAATATATCTCGAGGGTCTTGAGCAAGTACTTGTTGAAACCCGACCATATCGTCTTTGGTCACTTCCCAACTGTGATTACCCCCACCATGGATTCCCACTAGAAACATTAACGATGATGACTCTCAAAATGAATTTACTCACTGAATATTCCGGTAAGAAGGTATCCAGTGCTCAGTGCCCACGCCAATACACAAAAGTCTGGACATAAATTCAGATGATAGTCCTCAACGAAGTGATGCTAGACTTACAGTCTTCCACATTAAATACCCTGGTGATACACAGTTTAATAGTTACCCGTCCAGCGACTAACGGGGCTATGACGGCGATAGTCGCTGCGACCGCCACAATGTTGACGGTTTTGAGTACATCCTCTGGATGCTCGAAATTTGGAGTGATGCCTGGAGGAGGGGGCACAGGCCACCCCTGCACGGCGGCCATTCTGACTTTGCAGCAAATATTGTAAACAACTTGGCATAGAAGTAGCTAGTCGGACGACGGCAAGATTTTCTGGGGAATCAGATTCAATATAACGACAATCAAAGCGTTTAAGGACGAAACGATTTCAAAGCACCCCATGATTGCGCTCAAAGCTTACCAGCATCAGACTGGCATAATTATGCTCGCCCCAATTGAAACAGGAGAATCGAAAATAATTCTGCAGAGACCTCACTCAAAGATAAGGCCTCATAAAATTATTGGACGGCTTGTGGCCACGACTCACCATCCACCATTAGCCTTTCTGGCCAGCAACAGAAGGCCCTGGGTCTCGCGTAGATTTCGAACAAAACAAGCTTTTTCCGCCTGTAATCAAAACTTTCCAGCGATATCAGACTCGGTAACAGCCAACCAAAAAGGAGGTTAAAGTTTATCTACCTGTCATCATGGGGTTTTCCGTAAAGGAAAACGGAACTCGCCATACGCCTGGGTCTCAGGTTATGTTGAGCCTGTGCTCAACGTCAGAATGTCTGGCATCGCCTATCAGACGCGGTTTTTGTTAGAAATATAGGGATTGTAGGCGTAGACTTAGTACTGTAGGCCGTACTACTAAGTACGCTACCCCTTTATATAGGAGATTCTCTCTCTTTGTAGTAACTCCTTATGTAACTGCAATTCTGACAGTTTTATTTACTGAGGTCATATTCGTGGTATATGCGGAACATGCCTTGGATGAATTTGTTTTTGAAAATGAAGATATATAGCTCATTTGTGAGAATTAGCATAGCTGTTGGACTGGGAAAGACAGAACGGCATGGATACTATATGCTTTAGATAGATTTCCGGCCATCACATACTATCCCCCCTCCGGTTTAAATGTTAAATGTGTAGAAAACTGGAGTCAGTGTGGGTAGCTTTCTAGGGTGTCTATCTAACAGAAATCTCTACTTTAAGCTCTCGTAGTCCTCTCAAACCTTCTACAGCTACCCTTACTTTTACAACAGACCTAATTCTGGCTCGTGCTCTAGCTTTATCCAGGGCCTCTGACCACTCAGCACTTGAAAGTCAGGCCTCTGGCCCGCAAAAGTTCACATTTAACATTCAAACCGGGGGGGGGGGATAGTATCAAACTTTGCGTGATACTCGATTTACTTTCTACGAAAATTCTAGTCAGGCCACCAATGTTTAATGCTCATTGAAACCCGATATCAATGGTAGCAGTCCCTCTGCTAAGATCCACAAGCCAACCACCCCTCTCAGTCACAATTCTAGATGTTGTAACCACAGGAGTACCAAGCGATCCCACCTGAGCCATCTTCTTCACTTTCAAGATCGTACTGCTAGCTGCTACCATGCCAAATACACTTGCAACCTTCGATGCAATTTGCACCGTTATCGCTTTTGTACTCTCCGAGTAAGTCACCGTCTCGATGTTTCCAGCTTCGACAGCAATCTGCGTTCCAAACATTGCGAGGTAAACTTTTCTCCTCACAGCATCATTCGGCACGACGATGACACTATTCCCAACGGAAGTCGCACTTCCGCCGAACGACAGCAAGCCTAACTCTTTATCATGGACAACATATGTTCCGGCCCCAAAGACATGACCAAGAAAATTTGGCCCATAATCTCCGGAATATGCATCCCATGCAAGAGTATCAGGCCAAGAATGGAACGCTGCTGCGGCGAAACCTTCTTGGTCAATATTCGACAGAGGACCGGAATTTCCGCCGTATCCTACTCGAAGGGCATACACATCTGATGGCTCTTGCTGGAAATGCTCAAGCAACGGCAATGAGTTGAGTCCAGAGCCGTAATGGTGGATCTGGCGCTCGTATCGTTGAAGCTTTCCTCCATACCAGAAGTCCCAGTACCGTCTAGCATTCCCATTCCATCCCCAATGACTGACTGTAGGCATGTACCCGAGAATGCTATTGATTGTTTTGGTTGCCGCATCGTTAAGCCCGAAATAGTTTGTCCAGTAATAGACGCCTTCTTGACCAGTTGAGTCCCAAGCCATTTCGCTGCCGTAAGGGACAGCTTGGGTCGACCACGCTTCGGCTCGCCGCTTCATTCGTGCTTCCAGAGCATTTGCTTGAGTGGTGTAGTTCTCGGCTTTAAGATCATCGAGGAGATACCCCCATACTGTTTCGCCCATCAATCCCAGCTCGCTATATGCTGCGTTGGGCTTTCCTCGATAATTTGTCCCCATGCAATACATCACGGTGTTGTATGATTGCGAGAGATACCAATCCCAGCTCGCTTGACGTACAATATGCGGATAGAATCTTGCGACACGATACAACGCCCAGTACGCAGCGCTGACATGAACATAGTCGTAAGCTCGATTGGTCGCGTACGCATCAGCGATATTCCAGCTCCACCAATTAGACCAATCGATTTTGTCGCTGTAATGATCCGAAGTTGAGTTTGGTTGGTAATAGAACACACTCTTTCGAACAGCTGAGCTGTTCCCTGGTTGTAATGTCCCAAGAACAACCTGGTGGATAAAGTCCTCAAGCTTGGAGACTTCTGCGGCATTGGGTTGCGCTGCTTGCTTCATGGCTGCGGCAAGCCAAGCCCCAGCTCCGCCCTCATCGCTCAGACCAGCAATCCAGACTCGAGGATCTTGAAGCACATAGTCATTGACCGAGCGATCATAAGAAATGATAGATGGCGCTCGATGAAATGGATCCGAGGTATTTGTGTAGTATTGGGACGTGAAGAGGAAATGGCCAAGGTCGGTGAGCTGCTGCGGTCCAGACTTGGTGATGAAGTAAGATACGGATTGCTTCGCTCCGTTAGCATAGCCTATATTCACCCTCACTCGTCCCCAAGCTGATGGTGATGGCGTGAGTGTGTATCCTTGGCTGATAGCATTAAATCGGAAGGCACCAGCAGGATCAGATGTAATTGACGAGACAGTGGAGTTGTAAAACAGGTGAAGTTGTGCTGAAGTATCCCCGTGGATAATGTATCCAGGAACTCCGATGGCCAAAGGAGTGTTCGTCTTCTTCACTGTATCTTCAATACTTCGCACATCTCCTGCAAGCGAGAAGCGTAGTCCATATGTTATTGACTCACCCGCAGCAAGAATTTTCGATGTCGGTGGATTCCATGGCGTTGTTTTATTCCACTCTTGCTCGGCATACGCCAGGGTATGAACTTCCCACGAGTAAAAACCCTCAAAAACTTGACTTTGGTATGCAAGATCGGTATCTTCATCCTCAGGGAGAAACCTCCATCCCTCAAATGCCGTGCCCCTCAGTGGAGTTACGACTAACGAAGCCCCAGCTCCCTCCAATGGTGTCACACGAAGGTATCCTCCCGCGAGGCCGATATTTGGATCCGTGAGTGAGCAGTTTGCTTGAGTATCTTTTGCAGTTCTGCTTGTGAAAATGCTGTTGAACTCTACTGGAAAGCCGAAGGAACCGATCTCAATGGATAAACATTCAGAGTTCTTGGCAGTGAACGATAATGTCACATCTCCTCCATCGACACCCCACTCTCGAGTGATATCGAGTGGTGAACCTGCTGAAATTGTGGGAGAGAGATCAGAAGCCGCGACGGAGCCGCTTTTCTGGAGGGGCAGGACTGGCTTCCGTGCAGTTGCGGAATTCAAGTCTATCCATTGTTGGGTGCCAACGGTCCTGTATCGTATGGCGACGTCACCAAGATGGTAGTTTCCGTTGGCTGCTCGCTTGGCCAGTACGTCGAATGGAGAAAAGTCGAACGCAGGCTTTGATTTCGGCGAGATAGATGCCAACGTCTGTGAGCTATTAACGACTTTGACATTGAAGTCGCTAGTTTCGAACGATATGTACCCCCTCGAGAGTCCCAGGTCATCAGCTTGAGCCAGAATTGGCCCTGAGCAAAGGCAGAGCAACGCTACAATATTTATGATGCCCATCGTGATGTGTTGATGCAGTCCAGTGACGACTATTGCCGGCTGGTCGATGATTGTCAGAACATCATGATCAAGCCTACTACTTATATCTCCAGACAACCATGTATGATTGCCAACGTTACATAGTCATAAGCTGTGAAAACCTAATATAAAATCATACGGTCATCATTTGCATTTACCTGCATCCTGATAGCGTCAGAATCAAGTTAAGTGCGGGGTGGCGCAACGAGGTTTGTCTCTCCACCATAGCTGTCATAGCTATCTTACTGGAGCGCAAGGAACTTCAGTGCCAGATCAACATGACAAATTCGCGCGCCAATAGTGGTGAACTTTGTGTTGTGATCGCTCTATCCATCTTATACGAGCTGCCTTTTCGGGTTATCCCCCGCAATACGGCAGATCGGCAGAGGTGACGGGATTGAGAATTCCCCACAAAAGCTCGCCTTCGAGAACTGCCGAAACCCGTTAATAGGTAAACAAGCACTGAAATGAGAGTAAATGTCATACGTGACAGAGAGAATGTAATGTAGTAAGTATCGGAAAATTTGGAGACAAGTACGCTTGCTCTAAGGGTAACAAATCATGTATCGCTACCCCCAATATTAGTGGGGGTTAGGTGGACCTAACCCATCTTCACTTCTCTGATGTTTACCTGTGGCTTCATTTTTTGAGAGAAAGTATAGATACTACTCGGTATTTAGATTATATCACCGCCCAGACTTTAGATACCTCGTATCCGGTCACGCTGGATTGACCCTTCAGGTATTGATACCTCATCTAAGCCGCAATAATGAAGTGTTTTGTACTCAAAGATGGCGAGATTAGCCTGTTTAGAGTTATTCAGCATAGCGAATCTGACTGCTAGGTCGCTATTATTGCGAATTCGCCGAGAAAAACGTGATATTTCTCGGTTGTGGTTGACAAATGAGGTAATCTTACCTCTCGACACGAAAGTCTTGCCACTCACAGAAAATAGGAGACAATTGAGACCACTTAGAGCAGAAAGAAAGCTTACAACAGTAATTGGCCACTTCTATAACTGAGATCTGAGTAGTTTCAAAAGTGCTCAACCTGAAGAGACTGCCAGCGCTGGATTCATATGACTCGCAAACTTAGAGACAATCTTTTGAAATCTCGATTTACATGCATTTCAGAACGCTTTTGTCTTCCACCTCCACTGAGCAGCCTGCATCACTCCAAATGAAAACTATCAGCGTAGTAGTCAGTCTCATGGGCTAACGTGCTGCTGACGTGGCGCTTCAGAGGATCCACGTACTAATCAAAAATCATGTCACTCCGCGAACGCAGCTCATTATTCAAGAGACCACCGGTGTATAGAATGGAATATCGTTTGGTCACAACGCGAATTAACAGACCTCTCACAGAATCAGAATCAGAACGGAACGCTAGTCTGTTATTGTGAAACGATTTGATATTTGCTCCGAGCATTAGGTGGTTTTTGCAGAACGTAACACTTTCAAAAAAACAGTTTTCTGTCCGCCCACTTTTTTCCTGATTCTACCTAAAGGCAGTAGGGGTTATCAGCCTCAAGTGGATTCTAGCGTAGAGTTTAGTATGACTTTCAATGACAAGGGTTTGAAAAGTGTTACGACCAAACACTTTTCTGTTACAGTTTTCGACCCTTGTTTGACCGAAAGAGGAAGTCCGAACAAGTACACTAGCTAGGTATCCCCTGGATACCCCTTGTACTACGTTTAATTATGTACCTTTCGTACCCACCTAAAGCCCACTCAGCTGTCCCTTTTATAGTCGAGGCTATTCTACATTAAGCCGTGCACGGCCGGGAAAAGTGTTTCTCGAGAAGTGTTTTCCACTGCAAAAACCACCTACTTCGTATTATTCTGTATGTGTCGATGCGGGGAATTTCCCTTGTAGTTCACCGGGAATAGTGGACCGGACCGAAACTCTAAACTAGATATGAATGTCTATCTTATGTGATGCGTTTTGTGGATCCGATTTTAAAAAAAAATACTGTCACGTGCAAGATCCTGATTGGACACGTCGGATTAGCGCGAGCCTGCGAGCGATGATTCGACTTGATTGGCTGGACCATGGCGAAGCGAGGTCCCCTGGCCCCGGAGCTTGCGGAGGGCCGCCAGGGAGAAGACCTCGTATATACAATAAGATACTGTATTGATAATCTATATCGGATTGACAGCAGTGAGTACTCATGCTCAGGTAGGATTGTTATGATATATCAGGTGGGCGGTGCAGTCAAAGTAATTGCCCCACGCCTCCATGCACTCCTCAGAGCAGATAAACTTCTTTCAATAGCTTTCCCCGGATATTATACACAAGGAAGAAATACCGTGTGAGCATTTTCTCTTGGTTGATGCACCGTCTGCCCATCAAACGGACGACAGCTGGATGGACTATATATATGAGGACTGTCCCCGCTCTACAACCAGAGTATTCACCTGACCACCTCTTTGTGAAACTTAGTTAACAAGACATTCAGAGCCAACGAGGTGAATTAAGGGATCTTCATGCAGGCTCTCTGACACATATTTAAGCATCAGAATTGGCGGGCAGATGGCACTGTAAATAGCATTTGCCTGGATCAGTGATCTGGAGCTTATTCATGACCAATTGGTTGCCATGAGAGCAAGAGAGTGTCACTCTGTGAGGAACGTGATAACAATTGAGCGGGAAGAGGTCTTTTGTGAGGATGAAGAATTGAGGAGGTGAATGAAATGTTTTCTCCGTGCAGTGGTGGAATACTAAAAGCAGGATAGTGACAACAATCAGCAAAATGACAACAGCATCTTCCAACACAGTTCCTCGCAGGGACTCGACTGAATACATGTATTCGTCCATCAATTTTGCAGTAAGAAGCTGGCAATTAGCCCTGAAATCTGCAGGTGATGCAGATAACGTACGTGACCACTTAGCCACGAGACGTACCCCCCGCCTTGACTTGTTCTGGTTCGCTTACATTCAACTGTGGATGATCGGAATTAGAGACAGGTGGCCTTGGGGAATATATATACCCGAATACACAGGAACCCTTCTCTTTCAAAGACAACTGCGAGGCTGACGTGAGATCCTTACACCAATCCATTCCCTTTAATACAGTTTCATGCACAAGATAAGCATTATTTTCAAATTCACCATAATTCCCCCTCCAGGTTGTTGACAAAAGCAGATAGTTGTCCAAGCTCGGCAGGAGAATACTCAGTCACGTTGTAGCCCCAAGAAATTTCTATATGTACCTACCCCCCCCCCCGCCAGAAAACTTTTGCGGTAATCGAATATGATCAGATCACTACGGAGTGATGAGTGGATCAGTGAATGTTGATTGTTACGACAAGAACAGCTCGATTTTTGAAAGTTGGTGAATAGTACGGTCGAACTTCTCACTCTGAACAGACTGTTGTGCTGATGGTTAGAGATTGAAGACCTCTTGCCCCTAGCATTCATAGCTGATTATTCTTTGGAGAATGATGGGTTGACAGCAGAAGAGAACATGGCAATAGAGCTAAGTATGACAGCGAAAACCAGCTAGCCCAGCGAGGTTTGAACACCAACACGGCCCAACCATTACGTCGAACGAAAACATTTGCAAGTGCTTGGCAGTAAGGTGTGGAGGTAGGAACTGTGATCTAAATGCGACAAGGAGTTTTATTGTCTGGGGTTGGGCGAGACAATTCCTCATGCTGTGTCTTTCGGTCGGCAATCTGCAGGTCTTGTTGGTGACGGAATTGGAATGCAATTTATACTTGCTGAGCACCTGTATTGAAATCGGGGCACTAATCTTCAAGAGTAGAATGTGGGTATTGATAGTGAATACAATGAAGTAGACTTTGCGCTGTGGAAATGAGACTAAATCTGCATCAAACCTCAAGGTAACGTCCACAACAGTCACGTGATATAACACACAGGTGAGATCTTGTGTTCTGTCCCTTTCCTCGTCCCACTTAGTGCTCAGACACGAATACACCTGCCATTCCTTGGCCCTGTATTGTATAATCGTTAGTTTTGATTCTATATCATGCAATAAAGTCTTGGTTATTGGTCGAGGGTGGATGGAGAGGTCACTTACAGTTCCAACACACATGCTCGTCACAGCAATCCTCTTATCTTGTCTCCTGAGCTCGGAAAGCGCAGTCACTACTTGTCGGGTACCTGTACAGCCGAGAGGGTGGCCGAGAGCTCTGTTATCTGTTGTTAGTACCTGAAAAACTTTTAGAAGAGTAAGACTTACATTGCTCCGCCTCGTGGATTGACTTTCGCTGGATCCAAGCCAAGTTTCTCTACACAGTAGACACCCTATACACAGTTAGCACTCAACTCTCAACGGATCAGATAGACGATTAAGGAGTATTCAGACTTACCATACTGGCAAACGCCTCATTAATCTCAAAAACATCCACATCATCCCTATTCAACCCTACCTTCCCCAAAACTTTCGGAATAGCAAACGCAGGACCAATTCCCATGATCCTCGGCTCAAGCCCCACAACCGTAGCCTGTACAAACTTCCCAATAACCTTCAAGCCCAACTCAGCAGCCTTACTCCTCTTCATAAGCAGCACAGCCGCCGCTCCATCAGTAATCTGCGACGCATTTCCGCCAGTGGTCTGACTCGGTTTCCACTGCGGGAAGGCAGCACGAATCTTGCCCAACGACTCAGCAGTAGTACCAGCTCGAATACCGTCATCCGCAACGATGATTCTCTGAGACGTGACGCCAGTCTTGGGATCAGTAAACGAGACTTCCACAGGCACAATCTCATCCCTCGTCCACCCCTCCCTCTGCGCCTTCTCCGCACGCTGAAAACTCCTCGCCGCAAACTCATCCATAGCCTGTCTACTAATGCCAAAATCCCCCGCAACATTCTCGCTCGTCTGGCCCATGGGCTGCTCATTCTGGCTCGCGAGGGGATGACTCGTGATTTTGGCGCTCGCTTGCGGGGCGCCGTTGTCGGGACAAGTCGACATGCTTTCTGCGCCTACAGCGAGCCCGACTTCGATGGAGCCTGCGATGATCTGGTTGGAGATTTGCTGGATGGCGAGGAGGCCCGAGGAGCAGAAGCGGTTCACGATGGAGGCGGCGGAGGTGGCGGGGAAGCCGGCGGCGAGGACGGAGGAGCGGATTACGTAGCCTTGGGAGGGGGCGAGGACGTTGCCGAGACAGACGTCTTCGATTAGGGAGGGGTCGATGTTCATGTTTTCGCGGACGGACTGGTTGTGTTAATTGGGGTTCTGGCATGGAGAGAAATGTGGACTTACAGTGAGGAGTGAGATCAGGAGGTCGTCGATTTGAGTGTCTTTCAGACCGCCCTTCCTCGCTTTCGTGAGGGGAGTCCTGGCGGCATATGTTATAACCTGAAGCTTGTCAGTCATGTCAAGAAGGGAATTTGAAGGATCGTACAATATCATCTGGGTTCTTCTGAAGAAGCTTGGCCTTTCCACTGCTTTCCGAAGATAAGGGATTGAGGTGCCCCAACACCGAAGTGAGTCGCTGTCCAGCTGAAGCCATATTGAAAGTCTATCTGTCCGATATTCAAAACACCAAGAAAACACAACTGCACTTCAAATGTAGAACAGACAAGGAAAATATACAAGAGATAAAAGCGAAGAGAGTGAGGTTAAGGTGGGATAAATGATCAGCCAATATCTGCCGAGCTGCTACACCCTAGTATTCCGAGGCTGTTCCGGGGTGCATTATTGGGGTTGCGTGGCGTCGAGTCGCGGGGAGGAATTTTGAGGGGCAGCGCCGCAGCCACTGAGCCATGGGGGAAAAGCCCCACATTGCCCAGCTGGATGTGAATATCCCGTCCCGTCTCTGGCCATCAGGACGTCGAATCCCCAAGAGTCCCACCCGTTGCTCGGATAAATCACACGGCAGTACTGTGGCTTCCAGCCTCTGAAACTTAGAGTGAAGTATATCGCTCATTCTCCATTTACCGATCTCTCCGAGGCATCTTTTCTATCATTGCCGAAGCATGATGTTCTGAGAGATTACTTATCTTCTTCCTCTCTTGAGTCTTGTGATCTGGATCTTATTTGTTGACACTGACACTGCCAGTGCGCACCTGTGATCTGTATATCCCTAACTGTGAGGGGAAAAGAACTTCAAGGAGTTTGAAATAGTGATACGTTGAGAGCAAGACGATCGATATGGATTTGGGTACTGGAGCAGTCATCTCAGCTGCTGCTGTGGTAGCGACTGCGTATTTGAATGCGAAGCTGTCTGTCAGCTTAGATATGCAGAACCTGCGCCATGATAGGGACTGGGGACAGCGACTTGGTCAGAAGATCCAGTCCTTAGGCGATACTTGCACGATATATGCGATGTTCGATTCTGTGGATCCTAATGTTGAGGCATTGTGGTTTGAAGGCCGTACGTGGACTTACGGCGAGCTGAAGAGAGGTGAGTAATCAATACTTCCACTGATGAGTTTGATATTGACCGTTGTACAGACGTCGTGAGATTGGCTGCGTATTTGGAGAGCCAGGGCGTCGGGAAGAACGATTGTATTGCAATGTTCACGAGTAACTCGCCGGAGATGGTGACAGCCATTCTGGCGCTCTCAAAGCTGAGTGCTGTAGCTGGATTGGTCAACACCAGCCTCCGAGGTATGTGTTTCTCGCCGTATCAGATCTAGTATTAATTTCGTAGATGCCACCTTAAAACATTGCTTGAATGTCGCAAACGCCAAAGCCATAATCTCAACACCAGACCTTTCTCAATATCTAGACGATACAACACAACACTGGGCCTTGAACCTAGGATCATTCAACAACGCACCCCCACCAACGAATCCATCCATCACACTTCTCACATCAGAAAACTTACCAATCCCATCAGTCGTAACCCCTCCAACAAAAGCCACTCCCACCGACCTAGCATGTCTCATCTACACATCCGGAACGACAGGAAAGCCCAAAGCATGCGCGATCCGCAACCACCAAATGTGCGTGACCGCCAACGCCACATCTCAAGACATGCAAAACCCCAAAAAGTACTTCCCCATGCGCATCTACTCACCTCTACCACTCTTCCACGGCACCGCCCTCTTCACAGCCCTCTGCTACGGCATCGGAACAGGATCTACCGTCTGTCTAGCGCGGAAATTCTCCTCGTCACGTTTCTGGAAAGATGTAACGGAAAGCAAAGCAACACGAATCCTGTATGTCGGAGAACTCTGTCGATATCTCGTAAACTCCCCACCTGGTCCGTATGATCGTGGCCATAACTGTATCGTGGCAGCTGGCAATGGCCTCCGTGGTGAGATCTGGGAGAAATTCAAGGATCGGTTCGGTGTTCCTGAAATCAGGGAGTTCTACCGCTCGACTGAGGGGCTTGCGAAATTCGATAATGTGGCGTCCGGAGCTTGGGGAGCGGGTAAAGTGGGATTTGCTGGGCCTTTGAGGCGGTATATGGAGACAGATACGTTGATCGTGAAGGTTGATCCTGAGACCGAACAGCCGTATCGGGATCCCAAAACGGGGTTTTGTGTCCGGGCGAAGATTGGAGAGCCTGGGGAAGTGATTGGGAGGATTAAGAATCGAGCGCTACTTACGGAGTATTTGAATAATCCGGGAGCTACGAATGAGAAGATCATGTATGATGTGTTCAAGAAGGGAGATTCGTGGCAGAAGATGGGAGATCTGGTTGTGCATGAGGAGACGGGGTGGGTGAGGTTCCATGATCGTATGGGTGATACTTTCAGATGGAAAGGAGAGAATGTGAGTGCTGGAGAAGTGAGGGATCATATTGCCAAACTTGATGGTGTACTGGATGCTGTGGTGTATGGTGTGAAACTCGCGGGGTAAGCAGCGCCTCCCCGTAGAAAAGAACTTTCACTGACAAGGACAGATATGATGGTCAGGCGGGAGCAGCAGCCATCACACTCGATTCTAGTGCCGATGTGTTCATGCAAAACCTCTATCCGGGACTCAAGAAGACAGGACTTCCAGGATACGCGATGCCCCGTCTAGTTCGCATCACTCAAGAGTAAGCTCCCTCCAGCCCTTGCCCCAGGCCAATCCCCAATTCCATCCATCCATCACTCCTCCCTCCCTCAAAAACAGGATCAACGAAACAAAAGAAATCAGAAATTGGACAATCTAAAATGAGAAATACTGACCCCCAAACCCAGAATCGAAGCCAACGCCACCTTCAAGAAAGCCAAAAACGACCTCATCAAGAAATCCTGGGTTGCATCAGACCCCAAGAATTCAGATAAACTGTACTGGCTTGATGGGCAGGTCTATAAGCCTTTAGATGCGCCGAGCTGGGGCTCGATTGAGAGTGGGAAGGCTAAGTTGTGATGTGATGTGATGCGTGAGCCGTGGTGATGGTCGGATTGCTGGGAGAGGGAGGGAGGGGTTGGGTAGCTCGGGATGTGGGGGAGAGGGGCTGGTGCCCGGGATGGGATGGGAGGGGATGGGGATGGGGAGAGTGCTTGTTGGATGAAGATAGAATTTGGGGGGTTAGTAGAATGTTGTGTTAATGGGGGTTTGGTATCTTGGTGATTGAGCTTGAGCTTCTGTTCAGATAAAGAGGGAATGCGAATGTCAGAGGGTATGATATGATAGCTAACAGAAGGAGTTTTCGCGAGAAAGAAAATTGATTCTCAGCTTCAGCCACACCTCGCTTGCTCGCACGGCCTCACCTGGACGAAATTTCCTGAGGACTTCAACTATTTGTTGGTTCTCTCTTTATGCACTTTCTCCGATTTTTCGTCTTGTCCTCCTATAGATCTGTCGTGAAGCGGCTATGAAGGTAGCGTATTGGATGCGAAGCATGTATTTTCTCCACTCGGGCAGGACGTTGGGATACATACCGAGGAATTGGAATTGCCTACTCGTTGCCTCTTTACGTCTTCAATATCAGCAGCTCCAAGGCCTAAAAGGGGATGGGGTCTAATACTGATCTGGTTTACTGTAAACTTAACTCTTAATATTCAACTGTTTCCTAGATCATTGATCAATAATCCTAGATGGATTCTTGCATCGAGCTGGAAACGGTCATATAGTGAATTGCTTACCCCACTACCCCGCCAAGCGAACTTGTAATTGCGTGAATATATAGATCACGCTGCGAATCAAGATTGAAAGGTAGATAATAAGTATATTTACCCCAACTGTCTCTACAAACCCGTTCAGCAAGAAATCGATAGTCCTAACTCTCACACAAGCTGTCGACCCAGCAAATCTCCTTACAAGAGGAATAGATTAGCAGGGGAGCCAGGTAAAGAATCAATTCACAAGAAAGGATATATAGCATTTTCAAGTAGAGTAACACGACGATGGAATTTGATAAACCACTTTGGAAGAAAGAAGATGCTGAGGATTGACTGTTATCACTATTCTCCCCATTGTCAAAATCCGCCACTCCCTCCTTCTCCTCCAACAAAAATCGGCATCTCATCTTATCTTATCCTGGCTTTAAAAAAAAAATCTGCAAAGCATTGGTGATGCATAAATACTCTTTATCATTCTTTTTTTTAAGATGAATGGAAAATATCACGCATGGAAGTACCAGACAACTTCGTGGAGAAAGTAGGCGAAATGTCTTGAACCGTCAAGAAAATTTACATTCCTGGCTATCAGGAAGAGGGGGGGGGGGGGGGGGGGGGGGAGCCGTCGATAATGTGAACCATGATAGGACACATGAAAGAAGATCTGCAAGACAAATGGGCGAGGCTCGAGTAAGAGCCACGCATCGCTCAACTCAGCTTGAGCTCATCTTTTCAATAATCGGCTTGAGCTTGGAAAATGAGCTTAAGCATAGTCACATAAGAAGAACACACATGCTTCGCATAAGCATCTTACAGTATGAGACCTTGAGGAACCCAAGAGCTTGCTATCAGTCTCGCGAGTGTTCTCCTAGGACAAGGACAGGCTCGCGAGGTCAGGTCGATATCTCGAGCATGTTGACGCCCGAGATCTACACCCCCGTCGAAGCCTAGCGAGCCTTCTTTCCAACAGCCCGTTCCGGGCAGCAGGTTCGATGACAGCTTGATATAAAAAACTCGGGTAGATAGGTGTACTCCGGGGAGAAGCACTCTACCTTAAATCCGAGATTCTCTCCCAAAGGCTGATCAGTACCCAACCCAAAAGCTTCAAGTTACACAGCACTTCCCGCAAAGTTGAATAGAAATCTGATTGACACATTTCCAACACATTTCAAATGCACCGTCTAAAAGAGATGTTCAATCCAAAGGTAAACACATCGGTCCCGTGTCCTGGTCTCACGACCAATACAAACGACAGCACGAAATCCACGATGAAAAAAAAGGAGAATCGACGCCGTACTCACGAAGTGCTTAGCGGCTTCGCTGGCAGTACTCCCATCAACGTCGACTCCGACGCATGCAGTGAAAATCAATCCAACAAAGACAATGCAATGCCATGCCATGCCATGCCATGTTGCCCATTTCCAGGCAATACACAACATGAGCGGCAAGACGGGATCGCAAAAGCAAGGCTGTTGGTAAGCACTCGCCTACCTGCATGCCTAACCTCCATTTTCATTTGCAGGATCGTGGCCGTCCGAGGTCCTGTGGACGTACTGCTTATAGAAAGGAGAAGGTTTTGTTTCGGATGTGGAGTACAAGGAAAAACTAGAAGCACGGAAGTGTTTTCACTCGGAACAGAACGAACTTCGGATGATCTCGATCAAATGGGACGCATAACCTCTCGTCTTCACTGTACCGTCCGAAGACTAAAGCGCATGAGGAGTCCTCACAAACGCCTTCTTTGGAACCAGGCGACTCCGGTAGCTGCTTAGGGCGGAAATGAGTGTAACTGTTGGCTTGCTTCCATTGGGAAGCAAACAAAGCTTGCACAGCTGAAGTTGGCCATTGGCTCCCTCGTGATTTGGATCTTGGAGAAGATCAGATCATCGTCGGCAGCCGCTTTTTGAACAGCCCAATGAATCGACGTCCAGTGCTCGACTAGACGAGCCGTCTTTTCGGTTACACATAAGGTTGAAATTCATTTTCAGATGCATTGTCATCGCTTTGTTGGAAAGATGTAGATAGACAAGATTTGTCATCGAAGTCGCACAGAAACTCATCGTCGATCTGATTAAGAAAAGCAGCAGGTGATGTTGCACAACATGCAGACCTGACGCACGGATGATACAATGGAGCGCCCTGCATAGTGAGCCATGATTGGTTATGCTTAACGAAATATCATTTGAAAGTTAAGGTTTGTTGTTTCCGAGAGCCGTGAGGGAGAGGATGTTGAGTTTTAGCGGAAAGGGGCTTTCTGTCCCTATTCATACGTTGGATACTTTGACATGTTGAGCCGAGAGACGGGCCGATGTGTCGACCGTGGGGTAAATCCTGACAGCATTAACCACGGTAACAAGAACTCGGTAACGATCGAAAAACAGGTTTGGCGTCGAGGAATTTACTCTAGTGCGGCAGCACAAGCACCACCTGTCTGGTCAGAGGCCAGGGAACCTGCGGTGTCACGTCAGGCTAATCTCAGCAGACTCTCGCATTCGTTCAACGAGAATGGCTTCTGCATCTCGGCTATATCGTTGTCAAGAAAGCAAACTTGGAGGTCAAAATAAGGCTTGTCTGTGAATCAAGGATCATCCTCGGCGAAAAAAGATTCGCCAGAGTGGAACATGGTTCACAATAATGTCCAATCTGTTGGTCATATAACGCGGGTGGTGTTTTGTGATGTCTTGGGTCAGTCAATTGACGGCGAGCTTCCGATCACAGCAACTCGACAGCAACCAAACTCTACTTGAGTATTGCAACCTGGTTGTAACACCATCGACGTGTTTCGCATTGCAGGGTACTGCGGTCGGAAAATTGCGATGAGTTTTGACCATACGGTTGATCTCCTGATGGCGGAGACGCGGGATGACTTCGAGCGGAACGTTCGTGAGGCTTAGCGACCTAGAAATCCACATTTTAACAATTTTTTCTAGCGGGATTGTCCGGCACTTGTATGATAAAGTTTCAACGCAATGATGTGTTTGAAGCTTGACTCCGTTCGCTTGGACCTTGTGGTAATTGATGTGTACTCCGTAAGCCCGTTCGGATGGCATTTATTCCAGGTTCCGCCGCACAGCCTCAAGGAAGACACTTGAAGGTTGCCGCACTCCGCATACTCTTTTGTGGTCTCAGGAATGTAATGTTCTCCAGACGTGCCAGCTGCGGCCGCACGTTTTGATTTATGCAAGTCTTATTTTCCTTCCCGCAGATAGCGTCAAAGGGTGGAGGGCCCAATAAGCTATCACCTCTGGCTTATTGCAGTATTCAGCACTTGGCAAGCAACTCAAACCTGTTCTTGTCTGTCTCCTGAGCAAGTTAAGCTCGATGTAAGTTGCCACTCTTGCCTGACCCCTGCTCAATCAGGGCAGAGTATCAGACCATTTGGCTATGCCACATGATAGAGTAGTGCAAGTCAGAAATAATGGCGTTAAATTATTCCTTGACTCGAGAGACAGTGATGACTGGTGCGAAGGACAGCAAGGCTTGCTGCAATAACAATATTCACATCCTGGTTCTGGGAGCTTTTTGAGTCCAGGAAATCGGGTGTCAGCAGCATTCAGCCCGTTTGTCGGTGCTGCCTTACCTGCAGTGAGGCGGTCCAGCATGATGGGCGCGTAGTCGGAGACTGTTTCTTGGTATGAAATGGGCCTCTGTTGGACGCCATCGATTTCAGTGTGAGCGAGCTGACCATTTGGGTTCAGACAGGAGGTGTGTCTCGATGATTCGACGCCAGCCCAGTTGTGTGGTGCTTTCTTCAAGGAGCCTCTCGAAGCCAAACCTCGGTTGACATCTCGTTTAATGACCTGTCATATGTCAAAGCTGCCAAACATTATAAATTCAGTGGTCAGCATGCCATCAGGTAAAAAACTCCGCAAAATATGGAGCAAGAATAGTTTGATACCTGGGGTTTGTTACTCCTTTCAAGGTCCAGTATTTATCCAGGACCTTCTGTCGAGTAGAGACTCATGGGGTTCGCGTCGTATCGAGGGATGAAGACATCAAGCCCGAATCAGAGCGCTACTGTAGCTCGGTAATCATGCAGCTAAAAGTTGTGGATTGAGTGCTCGGATTGATATTGGCCATCTAAAAATTCTATTCAGGGACGGATCTTCAGTGGCTTCGGGCGGCGCAACCCATGAGAGGATTAATTGACTCTTCAACCTCAATGCACTGTAGTGCTTCAGTTCAAACAGCTTTCTCTGCTTGGTTCGCCGGCAGATACAGGAAGCGACCAGGGGAAGTCTGGTCTGGATGGCCCTCCATTCCGGAAATGTGGAGATACTCGTAGGATGTCCTTTTTACCTGGCTTCGGCCAGTTCGATGCCAGCTCTCAGCACGGCATGTGAGGAAAAGCAAACTTAGAGACATGGATAATGCAACGTCTACGGGGCGTCTCTCGTCTCAACTTTCCCTGACATCAGGAGGGAGGGGCTCATCCTAGTCCTCGCAGCTCTTCAGGGCTGGTATATTGACGTTCTTGGTAAGGCTCACCAATGACCGAAGCTTGGAGTCGATCAATTGGGTGATTGAGGGGATCATCTGTGCGACAACGGGTGAATGATTGTTGGTGGCGTCGAGATAGATGGACAGAGAAGCTGAGACATGGTGGCAAGGGCCCTGGAATGAAGTATCCGTGTCGTGTGAAGGAACCAGTTAGAGGCGGGGTAGGGTTACATTGTGAGGTTGGCAACGAACCAGGAATCTTGGAGAGAAGAAGTGGAATGAGAAGGGAAACGAGTCGGAAACAAAGTGGGAGTCTTACCAGCGATTTGGAATTCTGGTTGCAATCTTATTTCGGGAGTTATGAATAGACGTAGGTGGGATGAAGTGGGATCAAACGAGGAGGAAGATTGATGGAATTGGGCATAGAAGAGTTGGAAAAGAGTAAAAGAATCTGGTGGGGTACCTCCTGCCTCCGTCTATCCAGCTCGCTCTCACACTATGAGCACAAGCGAACTTCGTCACGTAAGCGAGACATTCCAGCAGTCCCAGAAGTCAAGAGGAAGTCGACAGGCAAGAGCTTTTCCTGTTTACAAACATACGGAGGTACGGTACACTGACAGTACAGAAGCGCGTCTGATAAAGTCTTGTCGCCTATAAAGTTTAGACCAGACTCAAGTGGACTACGCTCCACGCCCCTTCTTCACAAGACTGACAATACTAAGGAATGGACCCTCTCTTCTCCATGGCTCTCGGACGAACCAGTACATATCCTGTCCGTAGGAGTGGATAGCTCATGGTCGGAAAAAGACCCGGCTTGCTTGTCCTTGTCAAGATAATGTACATGGTTTTGTCGGAGAGAGAGGAGAGGCCAAAGAACATGATATCGGCAGAAACATCCGTCTTAGTGCCATGTACGAGGAGAACCAAAAAAAAAAAAAAGACTCTTTCGTTGACATAAATCTCAACTCACCCCAGGCTAAAACAAGAAACATTATTGCGCTGTCAGTGTGCGTTGCTGCAGTGGACACGCGGGGCGGACGGCCTGCACCGAGCCATGACAGGCGAGACAGGGTCAGTTCTGGTTCGCCGGGCTAGTTTAGCAGCAAAGCCCCCCCTGAGAGGACCAGAAATGCCTCCCCGGTTTCTGGAAAACTCCAGCAGTCAGCCGTAGGGATGATGCCTGTTATTGACACTTCCTGGGTCTGTTGGCTTTCGTAATGGTTGCGTGCAGCGCTGGTCAGTGGGGGGCAGCCAGCTCGAAGTGGAAGTGTCCGTGGAAGGAATCATACCCTGCTACAGTAAGCAAACCAGTACAGTACGAAGGACAGTCATGCGATTAGATTAATTGCACCACCAGCTGGGCAAAGCTAAAACTACTACAGACTCGCAGATGATACAGAGATGACTAGGCAAATAAGGTACCGGCATGAAGAAACAGAACAAAGCTACTTCGTATCATGGGTAAATAATGTGCAATTCTAGTCTGTGCACACTAGATACTTGGCAATGCTGCTTTTATTACTTTTCCTAATATTTTGTATGGCCTCCTCCTACCGCAATCACTGCTTAACATCTCTCTGGCATTTCCCGAATCAATTCTCTGATTTTTTCAATACCTATCGATTCCCACGCTTCAATTACAGCCTCACGTAGTCTTTTATATAAGGAATGAACCTTCGGGTAGTTGCTCTCGATATAATCCTTCATTTCATCCTATATAGTCTCGATTAGGTTCAAATCAGAGGAATTCGCTAGCTAAAAGATCGGTTTAATTCCAATTGCTTTAAAGACCGATTGTGTATATTTAGAAGCGTGTCCTTTCGCATTATCCTGTTGAAATTGAAGCTTAGGATATTGTAATAAGATCTCTTGAACCTTCGGGATAATAATTCCGGAGTATGATCCTTCATTAATCGTTTCCTAGTCCTTCTCCTAAAATAACCCCTTATACCGGCCGTATTTACCTGATATTGTACCCTAAAACATCCACCTGATCTTCTTTTTATATCGATCCTTGACACAATCAGGGTGATACTCTTCTTACGGCCCTATCTTTCGTGTGACCTATTCCTTCGTATGTTTTCCTGGTTTAACCTACGTCTCGTCGCTCCATAAGATCGAAAACTATTGCTCTTTAGTCCAATTCTCGTGCTCGATAGCCTATTGAAGTCGAGAGATCTGATTTGCGTAAGTTAAGACTAGTTTTCGACGTGCAATTCGTCGAGCAAAGCCTTCCTTTTTAAATGCCGTGCGAATTACGTGAAGACCGATATCCCATTGAAAAATCGAAGGAATCTCGGCCTAAGGAGTACGACGATTCGCTCTCGACGCTGTTACCTATTGAACAAGGCGTTTTCGTTGAGGAGTATTCAAGTGAGCTTTACAGCCTCGTAGGTAGTGTTAAGGGGTCAATCGAGTCCATAAGGCATATTTTACCTGACGTCGAGTGAGGTTTAACTGAAGGGCAATTTAATCTTAAGTCCAGCCGGCCTCGAAATACAAAGTCTGGCATCGTAATCGCTCGTCCCGAGAAGTCTGTTTAGTTGGAGTTTTAGGCGTAGGTACACTAAATGAAAGCTCCATAACGAAAGTGCTGATTTTCAGTGCAAAAAGCGGCGAATTATCATCGTTATATCATTAGTAGTTACCCCTGCACGAGAGCCCTGTCAACGGAAACCTCTAGAATCGCGCTCAGACAGCGGCTGTACATTATTTCGGGCCTGTACCAAGTAGAAACCTTCTAGGGCCTCTGTCTCCCAAACATGTGTCAAGCTCTAGCCTCAACAACAGAGGTCCAGCCAGTCCAAGTCCGTCATTTTAGCGACCCTTTGCGCTGGCCGACCCGAGCACTTTGCTTGTGCTGGGCTCTACTACTGTAAGAGCTGTTAGCCCTGGGCCTGGATCCGCCTCCAGCGCTTGTCCAGGTCCTGCGCATCTTCATCCTCGTCCATCCACTTCTATTATTCCCCTTCGTCTTCGGCGGCTCCCCTTTTCCCCCTCCTCCTAGGACTCTTCCGTCCAATACGACTCTTTGTTCGATTTTATACCTAGCTATCTCATCAGGGATCGTCCTGTCACTGTGGATCTCTATCTCTCCAACTCGTTTCCTCTCCTACTCGTACCCCTCCCCTGAAGAAAAATGAAATAAGGAAATTAAATCTCCGCAACCCATTCCTCTGCCCGCTTTGCTATCACATCACCCTGTGCACAGCATTCGTCGCCTCCACTGCCAGCGCTACAGTACCACCTCAGCCAGCTCAGCCCAATCACAGCCGAAATCCAGGCTGCTGGTACCCAATAGCCCCTCCGAAGACTCGGTCAGCCATGAAGCTGTAAATTGGCTTCTGTCCATACCCCGTTTACGCTCTGCTTTCGTGCGACCACCGGACCTTTGCGTCCCTTGCTCCCGTATATAATTCCAGCCGGCGTCTGCTCAGGGTTCCGGCCGACCTCCTTCTTCGGTGGACCACTTCTTGTACTCTTTGATAGTGTCTCTCATCGCATAAGTCTCTCGTCCCCGTGCATGAACATTTCCAGTGGAGCTCTGCATTCTTCCCTGACCGCCTGAACGGATTTATTTCACAATATTCTCACCGACCGTGCTTCAAACGAGCACCTCTTGATCGTCGTTGCCGCAGCACAATCGCATTGTGGGATCGTGTTTGATTGCAAGACTCGCGAGATTCTGCCATCGACCCTTTGACGAACCTCGGCCCAGCAGGAAACCACACGAACCGTTCGTTTGCACGAGGAAACCAGGTCAAGGCAAAGCAGATCAAGATCAGTTCATGCAATCCAGCATCTCGGTGGAGCATCTGCGATTGAGGTATATCTGATCTGATATTATACTTGGTCTGTGTTCTGACATATCTGCAGACCGAATCTCCCTCTGTCGCGAACCTGGCATGAACACATTCGACCTTTTTTTCCCCCAGCCGGCTTAGATACATTAGCGACCCCAAGAACATTGGCTTGCTCGCCACGAACACGACAAGATGTCTTTAACACAACCACCAGGAGGGTTTGGAGGGCCACAGTCTGGATATGGATATCCGGCCGGCAATGATCGTCCTAGACCACCTCCTCCTACTCTTCCTTCCATGTCCTCTCTTTTGAACCAAGAACCTCTTGAGCAACAGCCTCGACACAACCAATTTATGCCGCAACAATACCCACCACAGTACAGTAATATGTCAAATCAGTCACATCCTTTGTGGCAAAGCCAGCAGGATCCAAATGCCCCTGTACAGCACATCTATTACCCACCTCCAACGCGGCCGAACTCACACTCATCACAGGCCCCTTCAGAACCCATGTTCATGCAGTTAGAAGGCCAGCACACATTGGCAAGACTCCAGAGAAATGGAGCTCCATCACCGAGTAGGCAAGCCAAACCAGTTGCACAGAGGAGGGCTGATCACCCAAAAGAACATGATCAGGAATTGCGATCTGAGTTTCCACAGCGCCTCTACCCAGCTCAAGTTAGCCGATCGCCCAGTCAAGCCTCCTTCGAACCAGAAGAAACTCTTTCTCGCCGACAGTCTACTTTCTCCGAAGCTTCTTCGCGAAGCATGCCTCAAGTTCAGACTGCCAGAATGCCGATATCGAATCTCTTGAGTGCCGAGCCAAGGCAAGTGAGCGTACCATTCGTCAGTGTCAAAACTAACTTTCTCAGTCCGTCCATGGATCGTCCAGCACCAAAATACACCCTTCGAATGCGTCAACAGCCTGTTGCTGCAAGAGCTTGTGGCTTTGGTGAGCGTGACCGTCGCGTGATTGACCCGCCACCAATTCTTCAGATGAATGTGACTGCACCGCACCTGAGTGCTGCTGAAGTCAACACGTTGATCCGATCGCCATTCTCAGTGATCCACTGCATTCTCTGGGACTCTGACAACAACTGTGATGCAACGGCCATGCCGGGCACAACTGACAAGCGCCAACAACGAAGACTGATGGGCACGCTCGTGTCGTCGCCATTCTTCGGCAAGGACGAGCACAACGTAGATGGATGTTTCTTCACATTCCCTGATTTGAGCGTCAGGACGCCAGGCAAATACAGCTTAAAGTTCTCTCTTGTGAGCCTCGACCCGGCTCGCATGCGACCAGGCCAGTCTGAGCCTGTCAGGGCCTTCATCATCAGCAGCGATTTTCAGGTCTTTAACGCCAAGGACTTCCGAGGCATGAGAGCAAGCACTGCGTTGACTAAGACGCTGAAGCACCAGGGATGCTTGATCTCCGTAAAGAAGGGAAATAGCAAGAACAACCGAGACGATGAAGAGGAGGATGACGAAGATGACGAAGATGACGGAGATAACTCCAAAAGAAAGCGGTCGAAGCGGTGACCTGCCTTCATGAAGATACTTGAGCGACACGAAATGCACGCAGTGCTATGAGATCCCCGTACGACTAACGTTCGCTATAAACGAGACAACGAATGGGAGGCAATCTGAGGAATCATTTCTTTTGAGGAAACGCGGGCGAGTCAGTCAGCCAGCCAGCCAGCCAGGCAGCCAGCCGGTCAGTTGTTTTCGTTTTTGGGAGGCAAGGAGTTTCTGGATTTCATGATGAGTGAAACATGTGATGGATGAGAGAAACGATGAATGGGAGGAATAGAGGACCGAATAGTGTGCTTGATTGCTCGATGCAACTCTTTCTTGGCCGGTCTGCTACTGCGCGATGGATGGATAGATGGATGATCTGTTACGATCTGATATGATTTTTGATACCCAGGGACATTGAGTTTGCGTGTCGCCTGTACCGAGACGACGTGGTCGATTGAGAAATGATTGAAATGAACAGGGAGGATATTTACTGTTCAAATATTATATATTATATTATATACTTATCCCTTCCCTCGCTCTGTCACCCCTTAGCTCGTCGGCAACCACCAAAACTCCTCGTGTTTTCCTTCAACCCCGCCAAAAAAACACGTCGCCGTCGCGAACAGCTCTCACCGCCTTCGTAGCGAGATTTCTTAGCGCGTCTTGCCCCACCAGGCAGTCTGGAAATTCTTTGCACTGGCCACAACCGAATCTCTTCCTTCCCTCCCTCTGGCAGAGACCAGCAAGGGCACCTCTAACATTTCAATTCGCCATCATTTACTCGAAATCGCAATCATGAAGTACGTTCTTGTGTCTGGAGGTATGTATTTGTTTTCCTGTGTGTGAATAATTGGAGGGGTAGCGACTGACGTGGGTTTTCTGCAGGTGTTATCTCGGGGATTGGGAAGGGTGTTATCGGTATGTGCTGTGCTCGAGAACTTCGAATGGGACGCGAGGACATTTACGGAGGGATACGGGGAGGGATTGAGAAACAGTGGGAAGGATATGGGCATATGCTGATTGGTATGCGCAGCTTCTTCGACGGGTCTGTTGCTGAAGACGATTGGACTTAAGATAAGTTTTTCTGCCTGGGGATTTTGATGAGGGCTAGGGCTGACGAAACTACGTCTCTTCGATCAAGATTGATCCCTATATGAATGTTGATGCTGGGACTATGGCGCCTACAGAGTGAGTGTTCAATCTCCGGGCTTCTGGCTTGAATTTGGATCTGGTTTCGGCTGGGGGGTTTGCCGTCTCGAGTCCACGGCTAACCGCCTCAGACACGGGGAAGTCTTTGTACTCGATGACGGCGGAGAAGTCGACCTCGACCTCGGAAACTACGAGCGCTACCTAAACATCACACTCACTCGTGAGAACAACATCACCACCGGCAAGATCTACCAACACGTCATTGAGCGCGAGCGTCGCGGTGACTACCTCGGAAAGACCGTCCAAGTCGTCCCTCACTTGACCGACGCGATTCAAGACTGGATCGAGCGTGTGGCACGTATCCCCGTCGATGATACCAATGAGGCGCCAGATGTGTGCATTATCGAATTGGGAGGTACGGTGGGAGATATCGAGAGTGCACCGTTTATCGAGGCCATGAGACAATTGAAAAGAAGAGCAGGAAAGAACAATTTCTTGCAGGTCCATGTTTCGCTTATTCCTGTTATTCAGGGAGAGCAGAAAACTAAGCCCACTCAACAAGCTATTCGCGATGTTGGACGGGCTGGCTTGGTGCCGGATTTGGTGAGTTGCTTGCGGTTCAAGATGGGGGGAGGTGCTGACTGGATTAGATTGCTTGCAGATGTGATATCCCACTAGAGAAGGGAACGATCGATAAGATCGCCATGTTCTGCCAAGTCGAACCCGAGCAGGTCGTTGCCGTCCACAATGTTTCATCGACATACCACGTTCCCCTCCTCCTCGAGAAGCAAGGTCTGGTTGAGACTATCCGAAATATCCTCAAGTTGGACGATATTCCCAAGGCAAAAAGCTTGGTTGACAGAGGACAGCGAACATGGACTGAATGGAAGAATCTCACCTCGCAGCAAGACCGACTTTTCGACACTGTATCCATCGTCCTGGTCGGCAAATACACGAACCTCCACGACAGCTACCTTTCCGTCATCAAGTCACTGGAACACAGTGCCATGCGCTGTGGCAAGAAACTCAACCTTGTCTGGGTTGATGCTTCCAATCTCGAGGAGCAAGCCCGCACCGACGACCCCGCGGCATTCCATAAAGCCTGGCACAACGTTTGCACCGCCAATGGTATTCTGGTTCCCGGAGGGTTCGGCCAGCGCGGTACAGAGGGTATGATCGCCGCTGCAAAGTGGGCACGTACAAACAAGACCCCATACCTGGGTATCTGTCTGGGTATGCAAATTGCCGTCATCGAGTTCGCCCGTAATGTTTGTGGCATTACCGGCGCCAGTTCCGTCGAACTCAACGAGCAATGTTCCGACCCACTCGTCATCTTCATGCCCGAAATTGACAAGACCAACCTCGGCGGAACTATGCGTCTCGGTCTCCGCCCGACGCTCTTCCAACCGGGAAGCGAATGGTCTCGTCTTCGCCAGCTGTATGGCGAGAAGCTCGAGATCCAAGAGCGTCATCGCCACAGATACGAAGTCAACCCCGAGTACATCGACCGCCTCGCTGAAGCAGGCCTCAACTTCATCGGCAAGGATGACAAGGGCGTCCGTATGGAGATCATCGAACTCAAGGACCATCCCTGGTATGTCGGCGTGCAGTTCCATCCAGAGTACTTGAGCAGAGTCCTGGACCCAAGTAAGCCGTACTTGGGCTTCGTGGCTGCTGCTGCCGGGTGTCTGGAGAAGGTCACGGAGGATATGGGAAAGAGCGCTGCACTTGTGAATGGAAGCGCGGAGGCGAGCTTGGTTAATGGCCTCAATGGCGTCCGGATTTAAACTCGGAGGATCTCGCGCATGTTCTTGGAATTTGCATATGTCAAGTTTTGTTCGGTCGGCTCTTGGACTTGGTCTTTATAGGCACTAGGTAGATAGGTATAATGGCGTTTTTTTGCAGGATCTTGGGCTCTGGTTCTGGCATGCATTGGGATGGTTGGGTGGCTAGGTGGCCGGGTAGATACCTCCTTCGTTCGTCGATCGTAAATACAGGATATGAAATGTAGAAACAGAAAAAACATTATATTATCATCGATGGGGGAGCTACGCTCACGCGCTTTTTGAACGGCTCGTAGTGCATTTCATATGTTGGAAATAGGATGGGTGGGGAGGTGTTGCTGGGTGGGTACGTGCTTTCGTTTTGGTCGTCTGAAGACGTGCGTTTTACCCGATCAAGCAGTTGGCTTTGTAGGCTGGCCAAATGATCTGCGAGTGGGGTTTCAAGATACCTACTGAACACGACCTCCTTGATCCAGATGCAGAATTGTTTCATTTCCCTTTTCAAGGCGCAAAATCGCTGATCCCCCCGAGTTGAGGCACAAGGATTCGTAACAAACAAATTCGGGATGTCTCGCTTAGTTGAGATAGTGTCAACAACACGTTCCTAATACTCTGTTTGTTATTCACGAACATTCGACCAGACGTCAAAATTGATTTCATACAAGTGACTCACTTAGAAACACGAAATCTAGAATGAGCTTCCAAGATTCTGTCTAATAAGGAAATATGGGGGACGGGTTTGTATGTGGATTTCATGATGGTGTCAAGATAGGTATGTGTTGCAGTTTATGATGCATTTGTGATAGCTGGGATTCTTTACTTCTCGCTTTTTTTCGAGTCTCCGGTAACAGGCTTGGGAGGTTTTCTGTCCTGACGGAATCTATTTTTGGGATACGACGAAATTCTTCCCTCTCCAGACCACCGTATATCACATCTAATCGTTTTGTAATGACATGAGTCGGTAAAGATTATCAATACAGATTTCTAGAGCGTCATACTAATAGCTCTTCCTAATTCTCAACTGCCAGGTCAATCTAGTAAGTATAACACAACAACTCACTCTCCGTCGTCATTAAGTCCTTAACCTGGAAATCCCTCGCAAGTCCCCTCATCGGCAGCCAATCCTCCAATTCCGCTTCCGGCGGTGTAACGCCATCGAAGTGGTCTTGCGTTCTGATGCCACTGTACTCGCTGTTCCGCTTCGCTGGGTCTTTTTGTTGCCAGAGATACCATAGTCTGTCGACTTGGGCGTGGTGGAGGAAGAAGATGGGCTCTGTGGGAGGGGGTAGTGTCAGTTGGTGTGGTCGCAATGATAGTTTCATTCAGGATGGTACTGGGAAATTGAAGAAGGAGGTGAGAGGCGATGAGAAGAGAGAAGAGAGAAGAGAGAAGAAGAAAAGACATACCATTCGGCGAAGTACTCGGACCCAAATCGCCCCCAACAGCCGCATGAATCGCCCCATGCGGCGTCCCCTCAAGCTCATACCTATACTCGGTATACGTCCCCAGCGCCTGCGCCCCATCCACAACCTCCGGCGAGTAATACTCTCCCAACATCCTCCCCGGCAGCGACGTCCCGTTGTTCCAGTTCCGAGTCAGACAATGCGGGGTATAGCTGTTTGTGATGTATGTTGGGCGGAGCTTGCTGAATGGGCCGTCGGCGACGCATTTTTGGGGACTGTATTCCCCTGGTTCGGTTACGTTGGGAGAGCCGTTGCCGCCGAAGCCGGTGGTGGCGTCCCAGATGGGGGAGGTGGAGGGGGAGAGGGAGTCGAGTGTCCAGTCCCAGTAGCTGAAGATTTGGGTTTAGATTGTGTTATGTTGCAAGCTGGCTGTGATGATGAGAGATAACTTACGTTGCACTGCCGGTGTAGCCGCATTCTTTCAAGGCTGTTTCGTAGACGTGTACGAAATATCTGTGCCATGGGAGGAAAGAAGCAACAGAGTGAACTAGGTTTCGTTAGTATATTTGATCTTCTCCCAATGTAAGATATTTTGGGGAAACTCACTGTCGTTATTTAATTGATTATGAACATATGGAAAGTCATCATAGAGCGGAGATGACAATCCAATCCTCGAAGGCTTGGTCGTTAAACAATTAACTGCATTCACATAACTTATTTGCTCATCTCGAGACAGTGTGCGCCATTCTTTCCGAACAGTAGGATTCGTGCAATTCGAGCGACGGTGGATTGGAGTTGGCGTCGCGCTCGCAAGAGGAATGGCGGAGAGAGTGAGTGCGAGGAGTGAGACTGGGAGGAACATCTTGTCAGAGATTTTGAGGATGGCGGATTTAGAAGAAGAGAATTGAGGTACCGACTTTTTTCATCTGATGGGCATTTCATTCATCTTATAATTCCTGGATCGTGAATTTTCTTTCCCTCCTTAATTGCAGATCCCCTCGTATCCCTGGTGTATTTCGTCCGATGACATCGTTAGCGAAACTTCAACATAGTTCGGGGATTGCAGGAGGGGCCATGAGCCTCACTTTGAGGTGTCAAAAATAGCTTTGGTGGATATGCGAAATCTTGGCTTTGCAGATGGGGACTTCGCTACCGAGTTTCGAACGTCAACTTCAGATTCCTGTGGCGAATGATGGGCCATGGCGGATGCAGATGGGATATCCTGAAGGTCAATCGGACTTATCTCTCCTGTACTGGCTTATGAAAAGATTTAACTTGCCGTATCAAGTTCTTTCTGTGTGACAGGAGTGCGGTCGATGCTCTGGCGCTGGCTCCCATGCCGGTATCTCTGCTTTTCGTGATAGTGGGGCATCTCCGGGGATGCCGAGGGCTGTACGCTGGTGATCAATCTACCGAGATTTGGCCTGCACTCAAGCTCGGCGCAGTTTAAATACAAGATCATGCGCACCCCATCGTGAAAATGTACTTGAAACTAATTTCCTGGGACGTTCTTTTACTGAGAATTGGTAAGAGTCTGAATGTCAATAAAGGATGACGTTCAAGCGAGCTATTTAGGGGGGGGTCGCTAAAAGTCCTGCTTCAGGCTACGCCTCGCTTCTGCAGCGTGCCTTTGGGACTTACGTGATGTGGCTGAGAGAGAATGCTGGTAGCTAAATGTCTATGACTGAGCTCAACTTCACATGTCCTTCTTTCAACTTGAATCATTACAGAAGGAAATTCGATAACATCAAGAGTCCTCGTCAGAATAGTTCTCATCTACCCGTTGCGACGCCAAATCTAAGGCCGCCCGCGTCATGGACGTCCAGGCAGAAGCTCAATCTCTCCTTGGAGAGCTTGAAAAGCTCACTTATACAGAACGTGTGGCTCGCATGGTAAGACTGGGGGCAGAATCTCGACAGAATCAGAGTGTGAAAGTACTAATTAGCCATTTGGCCTCAAAATCACCATACGAACAGCTCCTGAGCTTGAAATCTTGCCATGGTAGCCGGGACATCACGTTTGCCAAGCACATCATCGAGCTTTCGTCATCAAAGCATCTCAAGAAACGAGCAATCGATCTGTTCGCGTTGTATGGCAATGACGAAGACTTGGTTTGGGCTTTGAAATCCGTGCCGGAATATCTCCAGGTTGCGACCATTCGCCGCCTGCGGCATGCACGTGGAAATCGAAAGAGACCGGCTGTCATCGAGAAATATCTGGAAGATTTGGAAGGAGTCGAAGAAAACTCGAAATGCGTCCAGAGATTGTTCCTTCTTGGGTCGCAGGCTCTGGTTGAAAGGGGTCTGTCCAGGTTTATCGACCAGTTTTCAAATCAGCAATGGCTCGATTTGGCCAAGTATCATCCCAGAATCGCCTAAAGGCTTCTGAACGAGTTGATTGAGCAATCAGAAGAGGCCGATAACACAGTGATACCGAAAATCAACTCTGTACTTAACCAGTGGTTATCTCACGAATACACAACCAGCATCGCCGTTGAGGTTTTGCGCCATGCGCTAAACAAGATCAACATTGCGCAACTGCCAATCATCACATTGATGGAGAAATGTCCAGTCAAAGCTGTGGATCTTATTCTAGGTTTTGATCATAACCTTACCAAGGATACCATTGAAAACCTACACTGGCGGTCCTTGCGAAATTTACCCATGTCATCCTTTCAGCCACTCTTTGAACGTTATCCTGGCATCGTGGACAAGTACGAACTCAGCCTTTTCCGACCCAAGCAACGTCTTTTAGCTTATCAGAAGTACCGGAAGGGATGGCGTGCCGATAATGGAAGACTTAATGCAGATATTCTCGAAAGATTGCCAACTCAAGAGCGCGTTGCGGAAGCACGCCGACATCTGAAGCTGCGAACATTCGAGACGAAACCTTCAGAAAAGATTCCGTACATCGCGTTCCTTCCATGGGATGAGTCTATCGAGCTACAAACGCCCTTCATCAAGTCAGGTGATGCTCAGATCCGGTCGGCTGCCATCACCGTACAGATCAAAGCTGTAAAATTCGATGAGACTCACATCGAAGATGCCTTGAAGATTGTTTTATCTCGGAAGAATGAACAAGATCCTGTTAAGAATCAATTGCTGTCAGCTCTGTGGGACATTCCGCCAGGGAGATGGAAGGAGAGCCACCTGGAAATTCTAGACGAAATTATCCCCAGCTTCTTGAAGTCCACGGACGTTTCGGCAGCGACTCTTTACGAGATTATCGCTCTTCTCGGTCGAGCTCTCTCAGTGCACCCTGAGTGGGCTGCCAAATATATGGGCAAAATTATGCGAGAGCGTGACAGTGTCACGTTTCGTCTGACGCTCTTCGGCCCTACGCCCGTCAAAGAAATCATGGGTTGTATCCAGAAAGAACTATCGCCCTTGATTGAGCAGTTGTTGCGCAAGAAAGATATTCCTTGGCTTGTAAACCTGGAGTATGTATTCAATGACTACACCAAGCATTGGCCGGAGTACCTTGATGCTTGCGAACAAGCACTTCATCTGCCAGACGTTGATGGGTACATGTGCACACGACTACTTGATATTCTCAAGAAGCATAAGTCTGGATCTTGGACTCGTATCCTACCTTCTGTGATCTTCGACAACACCGATATTGCTTCAGAGTCTAGCGTTGCTTTCCATATTCACCGTCGACAGCAGAATCTGCTTGATGCTTACCTGAAAGTTGAGGAAAAGGAACCGAGAGAACGGAGGAATGCGCTCAAAGAGCTTCATGATGGCTTCTGGCGATGGACACCGGGTCAGCAAGAAACACTCACGTAGATCATCCTCAAAGACATTGGCCACGAAGACGTGTCCACAGAAGATATGGTGAAGTGTGTCAAGCAGCTAAGCCAGCTGACCTTTGTGGATCACCAGCCTCTGTTAGATTTCGTACATAGTGATGAGTCAGTCATTCAAGAAGCAGCATTGCGTTCTCTGGGCCATCTTGATGGTGACCAAGGTCTTCCGCTTCTCATAGAAGCGTTTTCCGATGACAGAGCTCGAATTGCCATCTACTCGCTAAGGAACCAGTTGAGGATGATGTCCAAAGAGAAGACTTACGCGCTTCTTTCTTCGGTGCCGCAAACGAAGATTACTGTTGCAGAGGAGACGACTCGTCTCATTGGCGAGCTGAGAACAGATCAAGCTTTCCAGTATCTGTTGGAGAAAGAGCAGACAGATCTACATTCCGATGTCAGAGTTGCTCTTTACAGGGCTTTGTGGACATATTTGGACCGTGATGAGACATGGGAAATTTTCAAGCGCGCAGCTGAGAACATAGATCCCAAAATCGCAAAGGCAGTGTGCTTGATTCCAGATGATGGACTCAATTCTCAGCAGAAAGCGCAACTCCTCCAAGTTCTCCTACGCCTCCTCAATCACGAGTCACCCGAAGTCCGAATTGCTGCTCTCCAGCGCTGCGACGAAAAACCTGTTCCAGACCCTGATAACGTCCTGGCTCCCCGTCTCTTCCAGCTCATATCTTCAGAATTCAGCGATGAGTGTGAAGGAGCCGCCAAAGCCATCTTCGAGACCTACGCCAGAACAAATGTTGAGCATATAGGCGAGGTCTACCGCAAACTTCTATCTGATGATGGAAAAACGTTGAAACGCGTACATGATACGTACATGGATATCGTCTCTCCTTTTACAGGACGCAAGTACTTACGACCAGTCACTCATCTCCTGCTCTCCATCTTCAAGACCGATAGACTCTCCGTTACCCGTCGAGTCAATCTCATGTTCAGCGGTCTTCCTTGGGAGGAGCTCCAACCGTATATCTTTGATATCATACCGGATTTACATGCAGATGCGCTACATGCTGCTGAAGAGTTCATCGAGAAGAATGAGACAGGTTGGAAGGAACCTCAAGATTATTTGTTGGAAGTGGAATTGGGATTGGCGGAGAGTAAAGACGAGAGGGCGAGGAGATTGGCCTTGTCGTTTCTGATTGGTGGCGTGGATGAGGGTCCGGGGTGGACGGATAGGGAGATGTATAGATTGGAAGGCTATAGGAATGATTCTTCGGTGCTGGTTGCTGAAGCTGCGTGGGAGGTTAATGTTTCGGAGAAGGTTGATGAGAGTGATGGAGATGGAGATGAGGAGGATTTTGAAAGGGAAAGTGTAGGTAGAGATAAGGACGAGGGTGAAGATGCCATACTACAGGGAGCGGACTAGATGAACGAAAAGTTCTCAAGCATGTCTCGCCATACCCAAGCCTAGCACAGTGAGGAATATGTCACAAACAGTGAGGTGAACCTCAGTCTGGTTTAGCGAAAGATCAACGAGAAAGTATATGGACAAAACTATGCAATTTGCCCCTAAATGTTATATAGATAGATAAATATACCGTTATGAGTAGCACTCCATTTAATTCCCAAAGTCAACTCTTGTTATTTCCACACTTCATGATTATTCGCTTGACAGCGTGCCCTGAAATATCCATATGCAGGGCATGAAGCGCTGTATTTTCAGGCACCTTCGCTTAATTTTGCAAGTGCGGGGTAAATCAACAACCCCGCACTTAGATGAATATCAATCACAACAACATCCCGCTGGTGTCTGCACAATTGTATTCTTCCATGACTGATATACACCAATATTACGAGCTCCCAGTATCTAAGAATCCCCCCCAGAAAATCATTACAAGTAACAGCAAAGCTACTTCGAAGAAATCCTCACAATGCCCCTCCCATTTGCCAGCTTCTCAAACTCTCCCAGCTTCACAAAATCGGCCATCAAAGTCCTTCCTAACATCCATATCTGCTTATCACGCGGAATTTCACATCCCATATCTGCTAAGAACTCTTTGCTAGTCAGAACCAAAGTTTCGGGGGTGACGTTTTTGATTGTATAGGATTTGAATAGATGCGTGCCGAAGAAGTTCTTCGACTGGACTATGCATGTCACTTGTGTTATGTTGTGCAGTACAAATCGACGGATTACTGAAGCAGAGCTGGGTGGGTTTTCCATCGAGGGTGTGTTTGTTGCTGGGATAGGAGATAGACCAGAGCTTGGAGTAGTTTTTGGTGCCGGGGTTGGAGTAGTGGGAGCAATGTTTTGTATATATGGTGGCGGAGGAGGTATATTCGATACTCGTACCTGGGAAGCTCCTCGCTTCAACTTTTCTCTCTCTAGATTGATTTTTTCATTGTGAAGTATGTCTGCGGCCGCGATTTGTTTCGGCGTAGTCGGTGACGATTGGGCAGTAAGATTGTTGTGAATCTGCCCAGAATACCATCTTGCTGAGAGTACAGGATCAGTATATGGTGCAAAGACTGTATTTTGAGGTCCTGCATTTAGCCCACTCTTCACATTTGTTATCCCAACAGCCTGTTGAGTTCTCCTGAAGACTTCGGGAGGGGCCGGACGTCGATATGGATTTATGATTAGACATTCATGTATAAGCGTGCGCAGTTCCATGCTGTAAATAGACATCATCGGGTTTTATTCGCAGGCTTGATCGGTACTGTTGCCAATTGTACATCCGCTTATTCGTAATCGAGTTGATAAACTCGAGTTGTAGCTTCGCAGTCTGTCTATGCTACTAAAATTCCAGATCGGATACTGACATCGAGACATCAAACAATGCATGATAAGACCTACTTGTCATATATTTGTAGCACTTCCGTATCGGACACCAACAACTGTGCAGATGCCATTGGCCTGATAGAATTGTTAGTTTAGAGTGGCGACATGTGGGTATGGAGCTAGGCATAACTTGCATCAAACCACGGTCTTGGGCCGCATTGGTGATCTGTCCTTATTAATTGTTCCTGAATTCAATTAGAAGGACTACTTTATAATTATTGGCTGGAAGTTTTTCGTACTGGGGCAAAATATTCCGGTGTCCCGAAATCTGCATACTTGTTCAGGTACTGTGGCATTTGGGTGTGCGGCACTCTTCGTGCCATACCAAAATCGCCGAACTATGTCATATTATCAGCTCAAGAGATCAACAATGTCAGATCTTTGAGCAGATTATACCTTAAATGGGGGCATATTTCTGTGCTCGACATCAATTGTTGGGGCTGCAACCAACACTATTATGGTCAGTAGCAGATTGATCTGAGGACCTTAGATGTCTCTCACCATTCTCCAATTTGAGATCAAAATGGACCATCTCTTCTCGCGGCCAACCCGGAGCGGGAGCGTCTGTTCACTCCCTTGATGCATGATGAGACAAGCCCGAGCCAAGCACTGGAAGATAGCCCATAACTCTACTTCAGACACATTCGTGTTGCTGTGGTGTATTAGCGGAAAACTTCTTTGGGGAGGATGGACTGACTTTAGCAAGTGTTCTGTGATCCACTGCCACGTATCTCCACCAGGACAATATTCCAGAAATATGCGATGCACCAGTCCCTTATCATGTTCGTTGGTTCTCTGCCCCACTTCCTCATACAAATGTCTATACATCCTTACTATATGTTGAGATTTCGCCTGTCCCAACTCCAGGAGATTTGCAGCTTCCCATTCTAACCCATACCCCCCAGAAGGATATGCCATACGAATAGATTGTTTCACAGCAACGTCCTTCAACGATTTGGCATCTCGATCCGGACCTTGGTATGACCAGTGACCAACGACACCATAAGTACCCCTCCCAAAGAGTCTCTTGGGAACCCAGCCTTTTCCAACTCTATTCTTCCATTTCCACTCAGTTGCCATCCAAGCATCCGTGGCGACTTTCCTCGGACCTTTCTTGGCTACTCGATTGTTTCCAACATCATTCCCAAAATCCCAGACCCAACTTCGTCCGAGCTTCGAGAAATCTGCAGGTCGAGAATTAATTTTTGTAGGAACAGCATTGGATCCGGCCATGCTAACTTGTGGCAGTGGTTGATTGGCGGGCTTAAAGAAGTGGTTCGGGGCTAGTAATGATGTTCAGCCGTGGCGTGTTTGCTGGCTTGTATGCTGAAAGCCTGCAAAAGGAGATAATGAACTTCGAGGGCCAGAGGCGCATATTATTTGTCGAAATAACCAGATATCATCGCAAAACGTTATAATTACTCTTTGGCCGGGTGCAAAGAACTTGGGCTGTCCGAGCCACTGCCGGGTCAAGAGAAGATCGACTTGCCAATTTTTTGTAATGAGAGCACGACTTCGTGTAATATCAATGCCACTGGGCATGATTCGGAGTATCACTTTGCTAAATATCAAGCTCTTTTTTGATTTTTTGGAGATATGATTGTCATCTGCCACCGCTTCCGGACGGGATCCTTTATCATCCCATCCTGACTCTCCTGGTCGGGGTAAATGACACCCTAATAACAAATAAACAATAGGAATGGTACAAAGCCATGACCTGAATGATACAGAGGTTTTCCCACAGAAGCATGTATCAGAAGAGGATTTCAGGAAGATGAGCGAAGAAAGCAAAGGGAACAAGCCTAGCCTTAATTAGAAGGAGCTTCAGTAGGCGCATTAGCCGATCCACTCACCACCTTCATCGCGGACAACGGTAGGTAGAACCTTAAATCGACCCCTTCGAACACACAAGATACATCGTTCCCACCTCCTGCGGACCCCAAACCGTCTTTGGTTGACCTCAGTGCGACTTAACAGCTATATCACGGGCTTGTAAAGATGAGCATGGAACCGTCTGATAAAGCCCTTTAGTCTGCCTGCTGGCCCCCAACCCTCGACGAGTCCACGTATGACTCTAGACAACGCCTTTGAGTTGAAACAACAAATCAATCCAAGCGCCAATCATTAAGGGGAGACCAGTTCTCCATAATTAAGACGTTCGCATTTCTTCGAAGGAGAAAGTGAACATGCTAGATATCCAGCGGTGGTCACCGTCTTGTTAGGACTCATAAGGCGTCGCCATTAAAAGCTGGAAGTATCATGACGATGAAGACCACCCCGGGAATTGTCGATTCAGAGGAAATATAGACATGAACCTTATTCTCTCCATCGATGTGGTGGGTTTCAATCTGTCTGGACATTACATTGCCCCTATCGATGGTATGTGCACGTGATCTTGCTTGCCCTCCAAGGTATCTACCTACCTTATTTTCGTATAGGCTTACTTCCTACAGTCCAGCTCTGGGACGGCACGTTCCTATGTTCGTTTCTTGAACCAATCTAGATGGCTATCAGATGTGTGTTGACGTAACGGCACGCCGGTCGCTTGGCTGTTAATAGGCGTGGCGTCGTTTCCCGATGTCGACTCCTGGGTTCGTCAAAACATGAATGTACTAGATCTATTCATTTGGGTGCCTTTCATCTTAATATTATTGAAGTATTGATAGATGGCAGAGAAGTGTCGCACATACCAATCTCTGGATCATAGAGCTTCAATTGTCCGGCAATCAGTACCAACATTCCACAAGCCAAAATGGGTATTCTTTCTCTATTCCATAAGACCTTTCGAGCACTCAAACTGCCACCCCCTGAGTCTTTTGCATCCCAAACAGTCCTGATTACAGGCGCAGACTTCGGCTTGGGTCTTGAAGCAGCCAGACATATCGTCAATCTTGGAGCCTCGAAAGTCATCCTTGGTGTCACGACTCGTGCGAAAGGGGAAGCTGCAAGATGCGATATTGAGTTGACAACGGGACGCACTGGTGTTCTCGACGTATGGCAGGTTGACTTCCAAAGATTCAGTAGCGTCGAGGCTTTTGCAGCTCGTGCAGCGCCTTTGGAACGACTGGATGTGGCTATCATGAATGCCGAGCTGGCGAGTTTGCACTGAAATTGGTATGTTCGCGCTCGAGGAATGTCAGCTCCTACCCCTCGGGGCTTCAAAGGGTTCTTGCTTTCCCAGATACCTCTCTCCAGCATGCATGCGAATGAATATATATTGACTTCCCGTTCGTTGTAGGAGTCCAGAGGGATTCGAAAGCCAGCTTCAAGTCAATTTTTTGTCCACAACCTTGATGATGCTCCTCCTATTCCCAGTCCTTGTTCAAACCAGACGAGAATATCCGAGTGTAAGGCCGCATCTCGTAGTAGTAGGGACCGACTCGCATACAGAAGCAAAGTTCGAAGAGCGAAAATATGATGACATTATCGAAGCTCTCAACGACGAGGAGAGGTGGGAGAACAGCCAGGCCATGCCTACGGAACGGTATGTGGTCAGTAAGCTGCTCTCTCACTACATGGCATATGAGATGGTCCGACTTACACCTTCCGTCAACGGTGAGCCTGCCATTGTCGTCAACATCGTCCCTCCGGGTTTCTGCAAATCCGAGTTGAAAACACACGACTCGGCTCCGTCGTGTCTGCTGAACTCGATACCTTTCCTAACTCTGAGGACTCCTGAAGAGGGAAGTAAAACTATCGTAGACGCTACCGTCCGCGGAATAGGTTCCCATGGCAAATACATCGAGCATCAGAAGGTCGCGAGGTATGCCGCTCCTTCAGTGAATTGTATCACATGACTTACAGCTCCCAATTTTTAGGGTCGGAAAATTAGTTTCATCCGACGAAGGGCTGAAAATAAGAAACAAGATATGGTATGAGGTTGTGGAAATTCTCGTTTCAGCTGTACCTGCTGTCGAGCGCGTGGTTTATGGCGATTTCTGAATAAACTCAGACTCTCCTCCCTTCCTCGATCGTGGGACCGCCTGCTGCGCTAAGCGAGTCTTTCATTTATTCCTTCAGAATCTACACACATGGATGGGGGGCAGTCTACTCGGTGTCATTCGTAAATGCAGATCAAGGATCGTGCAACCAATATCTCTTCAAGCAGTTCCTGTGCCTGTTCAAGCCGTTTTATTCGACCTCGTGTGCTTAAGAAGATAGTCTCCCTGCACCTCCTGCGCACAAATCGCCTCTCTTTTCCTATTGAGGCTGCTTTATCAAGACATTTCAGGGGCATGAGATTGACAGTGAAGTCCTAGCTTACGTCCAAGTTCTCGGGATAGACGAGCTTCAAGGAAAACAAAAGTCGACAAGAGTAGTCGAGCAGAAGATACCAATTCTGCCCTCTTGGCTCTCCAAATCTGTTTTTCGAAGTATCTCGGGTTTCGAACTCAAATCTGGTCAGTTTTAGTTGTTCTGTCTTCCAAGTCTGATTATTGGGATTATTAAAAGCAGCGGGTCCAATGGTACTGTGGAGAGTTGTGGGGAGGGCGTTTGCATGAAGGGCACGCCAGTATGAACCCAGCCACCGAAGACACGGCAAAGTAGCCCTTGCGATGGTAACAGAGCTCGGCCGTGTATTGATGTACCTGAACCAACAGGGGTTCGGTCATCACAAGGAGCAAGGCCGAAAAGGGGGATCGTCCCACGGCCATGAGCACCCCAACCCCTATCCTGCACAGGCCGGGCTCTACACGAGGCAGATAGGAAGCTACTCCTGTCTTTTGATTGGGATCTCAGACTGCATTCGAGTCGGAATTTCTTTCAAACATCGTCTGAGCCATGCTGAGGAGTGACGTGTTTGGTCTATTTCCTTGTTGATCAGGGATCCCGCCCGATTCCAGCCCTTATCAATGAGACGGAGCTTCGAAATACAAGGCACCACAGCCTCCTACGAGCAACTATCAGACAGTATGGATACCATTTGGGCCATTTCTCACGATGCCGAGTAGCTTTGGATTTTGTTCCTTCAGAAAACAGAAGACATGTGGTCTCCAGGGAATAAGGCAAACGAACTTTGCTCACCGCCGCTTCACCGCGCCCACGAGGCAACCAGACTCGAGCTTCCATATTGGTCCAGATCTCCAAGGCATCATTTGGTAAGCCTCACTCCTCTGTGGGAAGTCAATCGCAAGAGTTGACAGCAGATCTGACAAGGATAATCCAAAGTCTCGCAAACGACGCTACCCAAGGAAGTTAAAGCAAGACTCACGATTTGAGCATGGCTTCCTCAAGATCATTCGACTGTGGATAACCGCTTATGTACTGCCACTTCCCTATCCGCCGGTAACGAATGGATCATTTGCACCTCCCCGTCTGGTTCCGCTTGGCAGAATGCTCACGATGCTGGAGTTGTGTTGAGCAGTCCACGGAGGGCGGCCTCGTTGTCATTTCTTGAGCTTTTCGTTGTTCGAGCAACACGATAGGGCTCTCCCTGTGGGCAGCTTGCAGGTGGCGGAGTGCTTGCTATGAGAATTGGAACTTCTCCTTCATATATATAAGTCTGTTGCACAGGCTCGAAAGCTAGAAGTAAGACACGCAGTCGATTGTCGAATTGCTATCTAAGAAATATGGCACAACAGACAGGCACTCAACCCCCTGGGTTCGGTTGCAACATCGCTGGCTGCACTATAAACTTCTCGAGGTTCACAGATGCACAGCGTCATGCAATAACAGTTCATGGTTCTGATCGGTTCTATTGCCATGTTCCTGGATGCACATGGAGAGGAGGGAGTCGTAAAGACAAGTTGAAGGGCCATATGGACAAGGAGCATTCTGAGTTGATAAGTATGTTTCAGTGGATCCATTGGGGCAGATAGTCTAACACTTCTCTTCTAGGTTTTCCTTTGGAGATACCAGACGATGGTTCCTGGCTTGCTTTGTCTCCAGCTGCCCATGCCTACAGTCAGACTCCAGGTGTGCATTCATGCCCAGCGTCTACCAAGCCCTTCGGTTCTTTCTGTGTACTAACTCTGAGATTAATTCACAGTAGGATATAATTATAGCCCCCAGGTTCAGCAACCAGTACCCGCAAACGCTTCTGGAGCGTCCACATATGAGGCCCAGGCCCAAGCTTCGTACATCCCAGTATCTTCGTCTGCTACCCACAACAGCCAGGCGGATACCAACTTGGGCACACAATGGCACCCGATACATTCTTCATCCTCCCAGAGTCATTACAACCGTGGAGATATGGGACAGTATTATACCAACCCCGCAGACCATCAGGACTTGTCCTCTACTCCAGCAGGTGAGTCTGCTAGCGAAGTTGGTCCCCGTTCGATGGCGGCAGTGCTAACTACAATGTTCCAGCTGGGGACGAGTGCAAACGTATCGAGAATGAGGACGGAGCAGCGGAGACTGAATACTCTCAACACTGATGATTGTTTTGATGCTTGACTTGGACGGAAGATGCTGAGCGGCACGGGAGAGGCTGGAGTGGGACGGCTTTCTTGTTTCTTACGGGTTCAACACCCGACGTGTCTTCAGAATTGATATCATTATAACCTCGCACTTCTTTGTCCTGTCAGTCGTGATTTTGATCACCTCGGGGGCGCTAGTCCTCAATGCAACTCTGGTTCAAGTGAAGACTTCAGTGAAAGATAGCTATGTCTCTCTCTCAAATCTCTCATTCCTTAATCTGCAGTATATTTATCTGGTGGGACGAGTGTACTCGCAGGCTCGTCAGCTAGAAGTTGTTAGCATGTTCCAAAGTTTTCCGCATCCACACGGCGAAAACCTAGGTTCCAAAAAAGCCCCTCCCAACTCATCTGGCGCGAGGGAACTGGGGCAAACATCCGAAGAAATATAGAGGTAACAAAGTGAGCCGGAGCTTGTGCATCTTCGACGAAATGCGTCCGAGGCGCAGCGGGGATGGGACGCCATGAATTTCTTGTGAGGAGTGATAGCTGAGCTCGGGTGGCTTCGCCATGCTGCTTGATCCTGTCATCTGTACATTGATACGGGTTCATACATCCTAGTAACAAGACGGAGCACGTATTATTGTTTCTCAGACAGTTCCCACGAGATGATCATGTAGCATCACAAGTCCCTGCATCGGGACGTGACTGTCCGATCCGTACAGCTCTATTGGCGAACGGACCATACATCCATGCATCCTAAGATCACCTGGCCCGACTAGTATGATGCATCTTCTCAATTCAAATTGTTTCGACTCTCCGTGTTTGCTCCTCTCTGTGACGCTATGTGGCGTTCGGGGCCGCCCTGTCCTCCTTGTGCCTGCAGAGGTAAAACGATAATGGCAAAAGTACTGCTGAACCAACTTTATCTGACTACTACCTATTGAGAAGTATATAAATTACCCGAAGTGCTCTTCAAAGAAGCTAAAAGAACTTGTGGACTCTCAAGATCTGGCTGTAACAGCTTCATGGCGTGCGTGCCGATGCTACTTGTCTGGGTTCCAGCGTGCATAAACAAACGGCCTGAAGAGAGGTTAAAGGATTATGGAAGTTGATTGGTTCAAGAGATGGGTTCCTAGAGACAACACTTTCTGAGTCACGCAGCGAATATTCCGAAGCGTAGTGGTGGGCGGTCTAGAGAAGCCGGCCTGCAACCCTCAGAATCCGAGGCAGCCTCTACGATGACCCTAGGGGGCCGGCTCCAGCAAGGTAGGCTTCGCAGGATCATTATTGCTGCCTGAATAATAAAAACATAGCCACAACAGGTACCCTAGCCTCCGATGTTGCAGAGAGTCATCCAGCTGTGCAAAACACCTCAAGACTGAATTGGACAGCACAATAAAACTACATTGAGAGAACAAGCATCTTCCAAACTAAGTATTGTTATAGATCTCAACAGTACAAGGCTGTGATTGCCACTCTTTCAGGGGATTAAAAGTCGTGTGGATGTTGGCGTTCCACGAAGCGCCCCAACTTCGCATCTCGTTGAGTTACCTTCTACCCACCCATTCCAGAATAAAATCATCAATATTGACATCGCCATCTACCTCCATTCATAGCTAAAGTACTATGCTGTCAGCTACTTCAGCGACGTCGACCGAATCTGCGAAGTAAAGATCCGCCCCACCTTACTGAAGTGGAGGAGACAATTTTGGACGGCACCAAAACGTCTGCACCTTTGGCTTCCCCTGATTGATTGACAGCACACAAGAAGTGTCGTGCAACCCATCACGGCACTGCTTGGACTATAGGTAATATATATACCGCAGTGTTCTCTCGTCTGAGCTTCGAGTTCCGTTTCAGAGGCCCAGCTTCTCACGCAAAATGCCACAATCCACGAGCCACAGCCGGAACTTTCTGCTCTGCCTCACGATTATGACAGATGAGTTCGAAAGGCAGTTTCATTCATTACTTAAAGATTACATTGGCTTGAGTTCAACGTGTCGATATTGGAGTATGTACGTTCCTGCTCAGACACGTTAAGTCTTGATCTCTGTTGACTGGCTTGGCATCCACAGAGCGCGACATTCAAACACGATCGCAACTCGCGAGAGATCTTCACGAGACACGAAGCAATACCCTCCACGATCTGATCTTCCACAAATCCTGTATTTAATACAGTCGCAGTCGCCCAAATTCCATTCTTGACCTCTGCATTGCTGGCAGTACCCAATCCGGAGCATCTACGGAAACAATAAGGTTAGGAGATGGACAGGAATGAAGATCCTCGGGGCTGAAGATACACACATCACCGGCGCGAAGTGGTACAACATGAGAGCCAGCATTGAATAGGCTCTGTGGGAGCTCCAAAGAGGCGTCCAAGATCCGATTGTTGGTATCAAACAGTAGTTCCTATTTACACAAGTCGCGAAGCACCGACATCCCGTCTACAAGCTACGGACAAGCCAACATCCTGGCAATCAACTTAGCACAGATGCATGCCCGCACGATTGAACAAGTGTTTGGTACTAGAAGGTTTGGAACTGTTAATAGTGTTTGACTTCACTTTCCATTGGGTCTATCCCACCATCCACCTCCCTTCATCAGAACACGTCTTCACTTTCCCCGCCTCAGCTTTCTAGGAAATTCCTTAACACAACGAAAAGACGCTGCTACGTAGCGCAATCCAGAGTTCTTTCATCTTCATACAGCTTGTCTGACTATTAAATGGAATCGTCCGGCGTGGAGGTGAAAGCATTCCGGTGCTCATGACTTGATGAGTGGAATTTGTTGGTGTATTGCGCCTTGATTCTTTGGCAAATAATACCATTGAAAGCTCTGCGCGAACAAAAGATGAGGTACCTCTGATTTCTGCCAACTCGCAGATAATACACCTTAACCTTATCTGGTCAACTTTCCCTACTGTACAGAGTTGAAACCCAGGAATCCACGTCTATGGACTCGCTTAATATACCCAATCAACATCAATCAATCAGGGCTCGCATGGCACACTTTCGCCACTCCTGCGTATCTGTGAGATCAAGGGGTTCAATAACCATGTCCACGACACATTTAACGCCTTGGATCCCCTTCAGAACTTTAGCAGATCCAAGTCTCCTGGCAACAGTTGATGCAGGATTTCTTCTTCGTCTTCTTCCATTGGCCTGGATCGTGAGTGGCGACTGCTTTTAGGCAGCACGGGACATCAACAAGGATAATTTGAGTTATCGGCTCAGCAAACGACCCCCACCACCCCCAACAATCGAGAAAAACTGACGGCCTTCCTATCCAATGCTAGTCTCTTTGGATACAGGGCACTGATCATCTGACCTCGTGCCATACTCGCGTCTGAAGCCTGAAGGTGGACGGGGGAGTGTCGATCCAAGAGCTGACATTGCCACCTCGCGCAGGAAATCTACCTTTCTTTCCCTCCAATAATGCTGCTTTCAGCACTTTTTACAGTGCTATTTGTTGGCACTCAATCCTGGTTCTTCGGTATTCTTTGACAGTATTGGTGGGTATTCGAGCGTGTAAATGAGAAGTGTGTGGAGGTGATGGGCTTGGGGTGGTCCGCAACTCAATGCTCCTGTTAGAATCCTGCTCCCACGTCGTCACACCATCTCTAGCACCTTGCAGCTCTCTATGCGCCGTGCCGGGTAAGCTCTTCCTTCATTGCCCAGGTTCCGCAATTATACTGGGGTGAATGACTTCAGAACTTGTCTCTTTTGTACTTTGCACCGTCATGATCCAGGGATTTCGTCCTGCTGCTGTGGAACGTTGACAAACAAGAGTGCTTCATGTATCTTCCCTGTGACTCATGTAGGACGAAGATTGATAAGACCATGCAATGTGGTAGATACATCAGCTACCGGGTCGGTGGGTCGAACCGGCCAGAGCAGATATTCGAGCGTGGGGTTACCCGAAGGAGGACGGTTTGCACCCGTAACGTCGATATGCTACTTTATTCATAGATATTAGCTTCATGTATGATTCTTATCTCCCGGCCAAAGGAAATTCAAGTGATACGTCGCTGAAGATATGCTTTCCTAGTCAGCCATCTGCTCCCCGCCTGTAATAACGAGATACCATATTCTGTCGTTTTCTCATACTACTGGTCACATAAAGCTGCTGAATATTTCATCAGTGGCTCCGAGCGTCGATGCAGAGTGGCAGGCGCTGGGTGATCCAATGGGAGCGTGACTGTCTTGGGCGGATGGTTGGCATTGGCCTAGCCCCAGTCGATCTCAGCTCAACACCCTTCTTTATACATACCCCCCGTCCAGCAGCTGGACGGTCTCTGCGTAATCCTAAGGTCGTACAGGGCAAGAAGAATTAATTGGATGACTGGTGCGGCTAGCTCAAGAGCGGACCGGGACGGAGCCTTGTCCTTGTCTCAAACCTAGGAGCCAGCTGCAACATCTCTCCTTTTATCTCCTTGCAGAAAATCATCATTTTTGATATCGCAATTTTCAGGGCTAGTGGTTGGTATGCTACAGACCTAAGACGACCAGAAGTCGTATCTGCCTGCTCCATGGTACTACGTGGAGGGCGAATAGGATGAATCCCTTGCTTCCCTCGCGAAAAATTTCAACAAGTAATGGCCGGAGCCGGTGTGAACGGGAGCATATTTTGATCAATCCTCTTGAGATACGGTAGCTATCCTGAAGAGGGGTGTGGCTGTTTGACTGTGTATCCGGTTGCCCTCTTCGACTCGGACCTTCGAGACGGCTGCCGTCACCCTAGAAACAAGCAGGGAATATGCAGCACTTTGACGCTCAATATCTGCCCATTCGAGAGGTTCAACACTTTGTATCTCCATCTGGATCCTCTTGCGTTGTTTGCTGTCTGTATTTCAGGAGCCCCAGTTCAATCCCCAGCTGGATCGCATTTTCTCCTCACCCAGGCTGTTTCCCTAGAAAGAATTTTATCCAAATGTTTGCTGTAATGCCCGACAGATCACCATGAACCCAAGTTTTTGCCAATCATTTCTGCTGAGAAGGGCACATACATTTGACGACGGACTCGAGTTTGATGACTGCCCACAACCCCGGATGGAAATCGCAGGTTTATGAGCTGTTTGCTCCTTGCCCGCTTTGAGGGCGTCTTAAAGTAAAAGTAGGCCATGGTTCTCTTTCGAAAAGTCAACATACTAAACTAAGATGGAGATCGTGTCTAGAGGCTCTTACTATAGTACAAACTCGTCTCTACACGGTGAAGCGCATGCCCATCCCACATAAACGCCTGGCGGTCTTTCTCAAAGCCTCCATCGAGCAGAGGCATACCCATAAGGGGCAACAATCATATAGCCATATTTCTGGTCCTGCTCGAAGTCTTGTTCAACCGGTTGAGCATACTGCTATTTTTCACAAAGTCGCTATCACCATGTCACATCGATCATCTCGACGTGCCCGCTCCTCTCGCAGATTTTCCTGCTCGTTCTCCGGGTGTAATAGCACATTCACTCGTTCCCGAGATGCGAGAAGACACGAACGCAATGTTCACGAGACAGAGAAGAGATACTGTCCATACGCAGGCTGCAGATTTAGAGGGACCGTACGCCAGTATATATTGCGCAATCATCTGAATGAATGTCACTCATCTCTTTATTCCACCGGTAAGCGTATCCATGAATTGAGATAATCCTCGCGAGTCCAAAATGCTGAAGAATTGCGACACCAAGCAGGACTTGATGATTCCTTGGATATATCTGCAAACAGCTTACCTCCCTCACGCCTACGCCCCCCGGCAGAGTCCTCAAACTCGTCGTACCCCTTCGTTGAACAATTGAATTCCAACTTCATATCAGACATCTACGCTGCGAGCCAACAGAGCCACAATGAAACCCCGCTCGGCGACTCACCATCTGTAAAAGGATATGGAAGCGTTGGCTACAATGCATGGACACAGAATGAAGTAGAGTTTGGAAGTTTTTTTATTGATAGCGGGTTCGAACATGAAGTCTTGCCTGTGCTTCGTCCCATCGCACTGCCTTTGCATGGCCATGCAGACTACCGACTCTGTTGGCTCAGCAAATGCAATGTAGCTTTGTCTCTGGATGGAAATGGGCTGACGCATTGGGATCAACAAGTGAGATATGGTATACATGACGGTGGCAACAATGTTGTGATGTGAATTTGGTTAGGACGCGGGGCAATTTTGGGTTGAAGGGCTACAGGAGCCATGTTCAATGAGGAGACTTGAGTCTATTGCTATTCTGGGTTGGAGATGTAGCTTCACCGTTTAATCATGTTACTGAAGTCTGCGAAACTACGAGTCGGTCGGTACAGTTTCTATGAGGGACACGTCTGCAAAGATTACCACTCCACATTCATCTCGAGACTTTGATCAATCAGTGTGATGCAAAGATGCAGATATTATCCATTCCAAGCTGATTTCGGATCATGATTCATTGAAATCAACTTCCGTGCAAGTCTCTACTCAAGTAAGGATTTCCTGGTTCTTGCTTTATCCCCCCAAAGTTGTCCAAGGTCCCCCTATTTTTATTTCGCCAAAAGCGGGAAGAAGCGAACGAGTTTGTTTTGATCTAAATAGCACTGGGGTTATATTCGAGCCTGTATTTCGAATTTAGCTACAGTGGTGTGACGTTAGATCATCTGATCCAAGGCTTCTTTTGAAGCCACTTGGAGAATGCACTCGCCGTTTCTACGATATAGGCTACTACAATGGTGTTTGTTTACTTGGGCTCCAGCCACGTGACCAACAGACCACGGATCGTCTTCGTATATTTCTAGCCATCAGCGCCATTATATATAGGATTATACATATTACAATAGGTTTGTGAGTTCCAATGTGAAGTATAAGTGTCATACGCGAGTAAACTGCTGAAGTATGATCTCGTCACGCTCAGGCACGTGCAGCGCTTTTCACTAAGTCTTGAAGACACTCCACAATAACTCGCCCGATCGGTCTAACCCACGCAGGTCTTTCATTACTATGACCTCAAAGCCTCCCACGGAATCGCGTACTAGGAGCTGGAATTGAAAATCCTTACGCGACTGTCGATCAACACTTACAAACGAATCTGCTTTTCCAGGCACATGGGAGATCGCAACATCTTTGCAGCAGTGGCAAGCGCGGGAACATGAAATAAGTCAGCGTATCCTGGCTCTAAATCCTGATGGATTTAGCCTGAGTGCCACTGGCAGATGTAGCCGAAGAGTGGCTGGTCACATACGGCCTGACCATGGCCAAGAAGCTGGCCGCCTCCCAAGGCCAATGGACAACTGGCTGGTTTGGTGGCAGCCTGATAGAACTCATGCTACTTTTATACACCTTGAAAGATATTCCACTTTTTGAATGTTTATTTGTACCCCTGGCAGGTCCCTAAGAAGGATGTAATTTTGAGGCAGCACAAATTGCCGCTAGAGGACAAGTACCGAAATATTCCCATTCAATTTGGTCAATAAAGTCTCAGTTATGCTCCTCCATGAACACGGATGAATGGGTCCCATCCATACCTACGTAAAGCAGCGCCAGGAGTCGGCTACATGGCCAGTACAGGTTCATCCTGAGCCTGCAGCCCATCTTCTTTCAGGGTGCCGGGCGCCTACATACGATTAAGATTTCCTTTGAATCTGTTCCGGCGATCTGAGTCTCTCTTTAAACGCCCAGGTCGCCTGTCTATCGAGAGAGGGCACCAGAGCGGAATTTCTAGTCCCACGAGCGGTCTCAGCTGCATATTTCTCGGGACCCCTCGCTATGCCTCTCTGAGTGCTAAGTCCCTAAGATTCATCTATGTAAGTTAGCATGAGGCCTTTAAAAGCTACCTTCTTTCATTCCGTTTTTGAAGTTGAATTCGAGACATGGTTTCGGTACCAGTTTGCCAGTCGAGCCTCGTCCAAGCCAAATCTATTCGGCCTGTGCGCGCTCTTTTCCAAGAGCCTTAGATCTTACAGTTGTTGGAGCATGTAAACAGAAAGTGATGTAAATTCACACCAGTTGTATCTACTGCGATAGGCAGGCCTATACTTTCTCACATCAAAGTAGAGGTAGCTTCCGAGTGGTGATACCCAAGACCTTACACACTACCGATTCACCACAGCAAAATCACAATCAAAGGGGTGATATTATTGATGCGAGAGGTGATGAGGCTCAACTCCCGTCATATTCCACAAGGACGTGCCACGTTGCACGGCGGAACGTTCCATGCCATCGGCACGCATGCTGGGGGGAATACTGGCAGGCTCGTGGAGAGACTTGTGCTTCGCCCACGGGCTTATCGTCAACTTCGATTCAGCCGGACGACCAATTTCTCGGCCAGGAGGGGTTCACACCGGCCGTGTGCAGTTGCGCATGACCTCAAAGCGAGCTCTGCTTTCTCCACCCAATACTTGTATCTCTCGTACCCCCTGTCAACGACTTCATGCATTCACCCTCAAAGCCTTAGAGTGGTGCTTGCTGGGAAGATGGCCGGCTTGACGTGTTTTGAAACTTCCTAGCGTTATCGTCAAAATCACAGGACCTACACGATGCGTATGCGTTTGAAGTTAGACCACCTCACCGAGTAGAATCAATTTCCTTTTGCCTTGTTTATCTTGACATGACCCAGTTGACTGGGTGTCTAGTACATTATGAAAGGACGTGATATCCCCATACAGGTGTCATTAGTTTAGAGATCAAAAACAACAACTCCGAAGAGAACAGCAGAGAGATGACACTCTTTTGTCCCAAAAAACACTGCTCGAGCACATTCAAGTCCAAAGAGGAGCTATTAGCCCACCAGGAGAAGTGTCACTCAGGGTCCAATATGACCCTTTCAAAAGCCGCTGCCGAGGAAGCACGAGGAAGGGATGGTGCGAAATCAATGGCAGACGACTCTACGTGTAGGTGCAAAGTCCTGAAAACTTGAGCTATCCTGAATTTCCAAAGACTTCCGCCCCAGGGATGAGGATAAGTCGGGTATGGAAACTCCTTTCAACGAACAACAAATAGTGGATGTACCGAAAGGTCAGTGCAAGAAATCTCCAAGACTGCAGGCAGCACTGTGACCGGACCGGATTGGTCGTGGGTCTCTATCATGCTGATTTCTCTCCCAGATCACTGCAACGCCTGTTCGAATCCTTCGGCCATAGATCAGAATGGTGTTCAGCACAGCGAAGCACCAACATCGGCGGGCAAAAACCTGGCTAAAGATAGAGATGCGAAAGTTGCCGGAGAAAGAGTCGAACACGCACAACATTCTCGCGAGTACAAGCTGCTACCCACCGGTATGTGTCCGAGGACTTCTGAGACAGGATTGAGGATAATGAGTATGGATTTGAGAATTCTTGAGGATGGTCTCAAGGATTTGAGCTTGGAGGAACTCCTGGGACACTCTTCTTCTGAGCAAGAAAGTGATGATGGCGAATCAAATTACTCATGGTAATGGCTGGAAGGGTTGTGCTTGCTCCATGCGTTCGCACTTCGGTCGTGGTCGTGGTCTTCCCAAACTTACTGTAAATTATTCCTTACCTGAATGGGGGCAGTGCAGACAATTGTTCGTGGTTTGTATACATTTTTGGAGTCTATACTATTCAATGCGTTCGGAGCTCTGGAGACATACCAATTTGCTTCTAGTTTTTGGGTAGGATACCGAGACATGCCATGTCGATTGCTGCGCATCTCCAGTGTGCTCACTGCTTACACAGCATTGTACACAAGCGTCACCCGACCCAGTGGCCTGGAATAGTGCGTATGCAGTAAAGCGTTACGCACGATCTCTGCGCGACACAGAAGCATGATCTCAGAAGTACCCTTGACACGGCACTTCGTGAATGAAGAGCTCCAGTACTGAAGAGCTCTTACACCCAACAATCCCAAAACCAGGATACTAGGGGCTAGACGCACTGTTCAATCTTTAAGAAATGGTAGGTAAATAACGCGCTGGGATGAGGTTGCTGCGCTGGCAAGGCGTTCTTCTTCATTATGCAAGGAGTTCGTCAGCGGTCCCTTTTAGTGCACCACCTTCTGCATTAGTCGCAGGCTGCATCTGCAAGCTGCAGGAGAAAAGCCCACCCCCCACAAACCTGCATCTGGATCTGCATCAAATGCGAGTACACTGAGGATTCTCTGTCAAATAGAAGTAAGAGTTACAAGTCTTCTTGTAAAATAATCGTTTGCTCGAAATTGGGAATCGCTCACCGTGGTTTCTGTAAGCGAGAGCGCGCTAAAAAAGATAAATAAAGAGGGCGGTAGGTCGATGTGCTCTGACTCGAGGTTGACTTCAGGGACAGCTTCTTAGGTATCGAGATAGCTGGAAACAGTGGAGTAGACGCATTCGAATATCAAAAACTACCTAAAATTACGAAGAGCAACAAAGCAGTAACGCAAAACAGGAAAAAGACTGTTGACTTTCTACTTCGGCAAGGCATTACTTTAACTGTGCGTCTTCTAAATCAGAGACCTGTAGAAAAGTCGTGAAGTTCTGGGTTGCGATGTAAACTTGAAATCCAATCCCGACGGCCCATTGATCGAAGGCTGTGTTGGTTGGGGGCTCCGCTCCCGTACCTCATCCCCGACCAGCTTTTTTCCTAGCCGCAGTTTTGTCGATCAACCTTTTCATTGTGACGATTTGAGTCGAGGCTTTCGGTGAGTGAATGGGGTAAAAATAAATTGGAGAGTGTGTGGCAGGGTCGGCCTAGCATGCGGCCATGATAGTGGCCCGAAGACTCTACCCCCAACCGGTTGCCAATACTTGCGAAAAGGGGCATGAGTGCACTATTCAGAGCAGTAACTAGTTTAAATACTCGAACTGCTGTATATCAGTCTTACGTCGCGCGAGTCCACAGCCTGCAGCTCTTGGAAGTGGCCTGACAAAGAGGAGTCATGGTAACCACATCCTAGTCGACGCACTCTAAAATACCCAGGTCGACGTGATAAGAGAAAAGGCTAGAGTAGTGAATTTTTAGAGCACAATAAAAGTTAAATTAATGTTCGAAGCTAGTCTGGTTGCGTTATCCAAACCATTGCTGCTCGCCAGAGAAATCTGAACTGACATTTGCTTTTCTTCAGCACCGTCCGTAAACCCCTGACAGTCCCAGCCCCGATGTTTCTAACTTCATGGGTACAAATTCCATATCAGGGCTTCTTTGTTACGAAGGCACCTGTTAACTGGTACAGCCCTGTCCTCGACGACTGGGACGACTAGGATGACGGGTAGGGCACGTTGAATCCTGGAAAGGGTAAGTCTGAATGCGGAGCTGCATATGAGAGCCCTAAAAATATGGAGTATTTCATAATGACTCCATAAGACCAGCCCTAGGCAAAATGCCAGAAGACTAGGATGTGCGTACAGAAGACGGGGAGCTGAGAACCACAATCCCGAGATGAGGTACCCCTGGCCCGCAAGTACGGGGGAAGGCAGCTGCTCAACTCCAAGCGCAGAAGGATTGATAAACATCGGGTAATAAAAAATACCTTGATATGGCTTAGTCTTAAATTAAAAAGGGCACCCTATGCGTTGTCCTTAGTCGGACTGCGCCCCTGGCCCGTTGCAGCAAGACTAAGCGAGCTCTCCGGGACTGTGCCGACTTCCATTGAGCTCCAGAGAATCAAAAATAAAAAGAACTACTCAACAAGTAAATAACATGGACAGAATGAAGCGAACACGAGGTCCCGGTGGTTTGGGTACTGGTGGATGTTGCTGAAGTCACACGGTATGCCAAAGTGGATAGCTGTCAGCTCTCTGTCAGCCACCTCCTGGCAATATCCAGAGCCTGCAATGAGAATTTTCAGCTACGTCGTGGCCTTGGAGGTATGAGTTGTACAGGATTAAATTAACTAATATGATGATCGCCGTGAAGCTGGATTCCATTACTGACTGAAGTGACGGGACAGCGATGGTCAATCATGGACATGAACTCAAGACAAAACCACGACAAGGCGACCCATCAGACAGAGAAATACAAAACTGCGTACAGAAGAATATTCGTATAGATTGTTGATTTATGCCTCGTCTAATCAACGTGCGAGGAATGGCAATGATGACGCGCTGCCCGGAAGATGAGACGATCTCATAGCTGGATCTGGCATCGGGACAGCTTCTTGGTATCACTTTCGATCGCCTCTGTAGGATTCACTGCTCCGACACGCATCTTTATCCTTGTCTCTACTCGGTCGTCTTGATAGTATGGCACTCCCATCAGTCTTAGAGAGATGCTGCCTAAATAAGAACAGCTTCGTCCTCGAAAGACTCGTTCGGAACCATCCCAAAGGGCCTGCCTAGGATCAAATGCACTGCAACAGCGGTTCACCGCTATCACCCTGTATACGATCCCCTTGAGGCCATGCAAGCTCAAGCCCCTGCCGGCCAGGGGGAGACGCCAGCTTCCCGTTTCCCCCGGAACGTTTTTCCACATGGATCCGGCATATTGGATGAACCATCTCATATCACATTCCTTCCCTTTGAAACCTCTCGTTTCAGCCCGTCTATGTCAAGCTCTCGGCTTTTTCACCGCTTCCACTACCTTTGATACGACATGGCATTACTATTCGGTGGCCACCAGGCAAATTTCCGCCTCGTCTGGAACAGCAAGGCGATGCTGTCAGTGCGAAGTGAACGACACCGCTTCTCTTAGATTGTCTTCTGAGCTCTAAACACCCTCAATAGTTCCTGGCGAAAGCGAAGAATCGAAGAGCCTCAGACTGACGTATAAAAGCAATAGCGACTCGCCAGCAAAGATGGAGACCACCACATCAGTCTCCCTGCGAAGATGGCTCTCCACAGCGACAAGTCTACGAAGCTGGCGGTCCACTCCACCAAGAAATGCGACCGACCCCAGTGCGCCGCTTGTGACAAAGATTTTGGAAGGGGAAGCGAGTTGAATAGACATCTCAAAGAGACTCATTCCTACATGAGATATTCTTGCCCAGTCCTCCATTGTTCGTTCCAAACCAAGCGTTCTGGGAAAGTCAATGCGCACATGAAGAAACAGCATAAGAATGATCAAGGTGCGTTCCATCATCCTTGGGATACTAGATTAGGCAATGACAACAGACTGCAGATGGACAACTCGAAAGTTCAGAGCCACAGATCGCCGTATTGGCCATGGGAGGCACTGGATCCAGCCCAGAGCTCCAATCATCCACCTCACTTCCAGGTAAATTTCCCCAGGACTCCAACGCACTGCTTAGCACATGTCACTCACGGTATTACTTCTCAGACAACAACACCATCGCCACAAATAACAATACCTTTGGTCCACACCGGCACTCTTTCGAAAACACTGAGGGGTTTAACAGAGCTGCCAGTTCCGGCACAGCTCTTGCCTCAGGGCAATGGATACACCAAGGCGACACCGAAAGAGCACAGACGCCTCCACAAGGCCTCAATTCCTTCCAGCATGACAATTATGCCCACCCAAATGCCGAAACAACTTCGACAGAATATCCAGCGAGAAACGAGCTGTTAGGAGGGACTGCAATGCTGAGTCTCGACAAGGAGCCAGGTTTCCCCACAAGCTGGTCTGCTGCACTCCACGAAGATGGGTGGGATCTCCAAAATTGGAGCTATGATGTCGTACATAATTAGTTGTGGTCTGCTGGCCATATCGTCGGCGATGTCAGGTCTCCCATTCACTCTTTCCATTCATCTTCCACAATCTTTCTTTGGACTTGGGCAAACATGGCAATTGTTACGATAGGATATTGTGTAGGAAAAATGTTAACAGGAAATAAAGTGAAAAGGACAAAATAAGAGTAGAAGACTCATGCTTTGGTTTGGGACAAAATAGAATGCGTGTTTATTTCCAATTGGATCATCCCCTCTCACCAATCTGTATCAGCCACGTGATGTTTACTTTACCCGCATTTGACCCTCATTTGCCGAGTCCATCGTTCACAAAGGACATATCTCAGAGCAGAGCAGGAAACAGTAACGTTAGGGATAATAAAAACAGTAGTACGACTGAAATAGCATACAGATAAGGAAGAAATACTAGTATGTTCCGTACGACATGAGAACAATCCCTCAATTAAGTTGTTTGATTCAAGGGCGCGACAAGGAGTCATCATACTCTCAAGTCCTTCGTTCCCCGAATACATTTCTTTTCAAACCCATACGAACCGGAAGTCTCACTGGAGCACTCAGCACACACAATGCTCTCTTCAAGCAACTAGCCTCAGTATACAGAAAAATGCACGAGAGAAGAAAACTCGAACAGCCAAACGCGAAGAGAAAAAGGCAAAAAAGCAGACACGAAGGAAGAATGTAGAAGGGCAACAGGAAAAAAGTCCATTTTTGCTCTTAATTCCCGTCCGGAAATCGATGACATACTTGTTTCCCAAGAAGATTTGTCTCCTCAACACCTCTTTAGCTTTTTTGGGTACTTGAGCTTCCCAGATCACCTGGACGCAGTCATCCCAATAAACACCCACGCCTGTAATTAACAGCGTTCATTGGCATCTACCTAGCACATCTACAAACAATCGTCCATTTTTGCCTCTCCTCTCGCCACTCCCATTCCCCTTCGAGCCACTACCCACCACCGCCAAACACAGCCAAACACACCCACCGTGCCAATCGCGGGAGAATCAACAAACAAGGGCGGAGCGAGCGCTCGCTTCCACCACTGCTCTCCTACCTCAGCCTGAGATGAGAACGACAAGGAACATTCCAAAGCCGAAGGAATGTATCAGAGCACTAGAAAAGAAAAGACGACAGAAGAGAAGATGGACTGATGTACAAGTGGTGTTCTCCTTTTCAGTTTCTATTATGAAGACGCGATATGCAAGATGAGCGCTTTTGCAGTTCTGCCAGTCCAGTTCAGTCCAGGACAATCCGCAAGCGCATACATTAAAAGGGGGCAGGTAAGCCCAAGCCACTGCAATTACTGAAATTCAGTGACAACATCTATCTATCGCACATATTTTACCCTCTCTGCCGCTACATCCTCAGCGAGCAAGTGGAGATCAGAGATCCTCAGCACAGCCCATAAAGCCCCAAATGCAGAATATAATTAGGCTTAGCCCCATCTCGCACTCTCCCTCTCCGCCTCCAAGCGCGCAATTCTCGACTCCTCACTCTCATCACCAAGCCCCGTGCCCCTACGATTCTTCCTGCCCTTCTTCCCACTGCTTCCTCTATTCTCCACTCCCTCGTCTCCCTCGTCTCTGCTTCTCTTGCGTGCCAGACCGCCACTTAGACCAGCCATACGCTGAGCTTCCTTCAGCAACCTCTCGCGATTTCTGGCTTCGCGTTCGATTTCATGGGGGTCTTTGGATGGTGGTGTAGGGAGGGCCTTGGTTTTGGTCGAGGTAGAGGCGGAGGTAGATTCCCGGTCTTTGTCGCGACGGGATGAGTCGTGGCGAGAGGAGCGGTGGTCCTCATCGCGGTGGTGACGGCTTGATTTGTCTCTGTCTTTCTCTCGTGGCTTCTCGTAGTCACGCTCACGATCACGATCACGGTCTCTTGTTGAGGATGTGATACGTTCTGAGCGTGGGCCGGTTGGGAGGGTAGGGAGGTGATCGATAGCGCTCTTGTGGCGGGAGCTAGCTCCTTTGATTTCAATGCCGTTTCCAAGTGTTGAAGGCCTTCGAGAGCTGGATTCGGGCTCTATAGGTGTTTGGTGGGAGGATGAGTCGACGTCGGATTTAGAAAGAGGCTCTTCGGATTGGCGACGGCTGTGGCTGTGATGCCGGTGTCTGTGCCCTCGCTCCCGCTCCCGTTCTGAGCCCCTGTCTCGGGATCTTGACCGATCTTTCTCCTCGTGGCGGGATGAGCGGTGTGACGAACGATGCTTGTAAGATGAGGAGGATTTGTGGTCCCTCTCACTCTCACGCTCGCGATATTTATCTCTGTCTCGTCGACTTCGGTGACTGGTGCGTTTCGAGTCGGATGGTGATGCTGACCTAGATCTATCTTCAACAACATCACCTTTTCCGTCTTCGAGTCTCCCCCCGGCTGCTTCCTCGGCCACTGCATCCTCTTCCTCTCTACGTCGACGGCGCTCTCTTCGACGTTCTCGTCGTCTCTCTGTTTCCTTCTCGTCTTCGCTGAGGGATGTTGAACGATGTCTGTGTCTTCTGGATCTGTCTCTACTACGTGATCTCTTCCTGTCATGGGATCTTGACCGTTCTCTTGAAGGTGATCTGCTGCTTCTCTCCCGGTCTCTACCTTCCTTCTCGGTTGCGTCAGGGGCAACACTTGCACTTACGCTGCCACTCGGCCTCGAGTTCGCTCGGCCAGCAATTGAAAAGCCTTGTGTTCTTAAACCAGAAAGGCCTGTATTGGGCAAACCTTCTCGCATGGCCTTTGGCCCTGTGGGAGCGTTGATGGGAACATCGACAGGCTTCACAATTGGAGGATGCATAGGGAGAAAATTGCCACCCCTGCCGCCATACGAATGATCTTGATATCCTCCTCCGTAAGCATTTACGTTGTATACATCACCGGTACCGGGATACGGGTAAGATGTTACGTCGTCCAAGGTCTGTATTGGCATTGGTTCAGAGCGCTCAGGAGCCTCAGTCGATTCGGCTGGGGCTACTTCTGAGGTCACTTCGGGTCCTGGGCCATCTGCTGGTGCAGTCCCTGGCTGTTGAGCTGTACTTTCGTCATCGACAGGTTTCGGAGTTTGTTCTGCTGTTGCTGACTTCTGGCGTATCTCTCTACCAAATTCATCGACATCTCCGTTATCTGTCTTCGGTCCGGTTGGTACAGATCCTGTTTCATTAGGGGCGCCACTGGGTTGGTGGCCAGAACCAAATTGTTGCGGCAACTGCTGTGAGAATGCATCATGAGAGCCATAGCCATAGCCACCTCCTCGAGAGAATCCGCCACGGCCTCTGCCTCGACCTCGGAAAGACCCGAAGTTGTTCTGATGGTTATGGAACTGGTTTGAGCCACCATAATTACCTGAATTGTATCCAGACTGGGGACCATATCCAGAGTTACTCGATGCAAAATCACTTTGACCCAAGTTGCCAACATTTGACGCGTTGAAATTATCACGAACATTCCAACCTTGTTGATTGTTCCAACCGCCACCAAAGCCTGCTCCAGCACCTCCATCGAAACCCATTCCCATCCCGTTCATCCCTCCTCCAAACCCGCCATTCATGAACTGCATCGACATAGGATCCATGCCCATTGGTGGCATGCCTGGCATTCCTGTAAAGCAATTAGCGTTGACTCCTTTCACATGGTACGTAGGACTTACCTATCATCGGGAAGTTATTGAATCCGCCAGGAGCCATGCCATTTTGCATAGCCATCATCATCTGCATCTGGTTGAAGTCCCCACCAAATCCCATTGCAGGGAATCCTCCTGCTGCGGACGGGTCGAAACCGAAACCATTTCCAAATCCAGGAGTCTGTGAGATAGCTTGTCCGCCTGTGTTTTCTTCGTCCGTCTTGCCCTCTTCATTTTGAAAAGGAGTTTCAACCGCCTTGTTGGTATCGGAGTCAGCGATAGGCTCTTGGCCTGGGGCAATCTCCTGTTATTCTGTTAGCTCTGGCCAGAACAAACTAAATAGGAGGATCATACCTCAATTGACGGCTGAGGAACATCCTGTTGGTCTCTAGTCGGCTGCTCCGATTCTTCGGTAGTAGCAGGAGTCTCGTCCAACTGTGCCACAGGGGTCTCCTCAGTCTTCACATCCTCCGCAGACTCAACCTCCTTACTTGGCTGTTCAACAACTGGCTCAACTGGCGCTACAGTATCCCCTGAAGCCGGTGGTGTAGCAGGAGGCGAGTTCTTCTGTTCTTTCAGGCGCAGGGCTTCGCGCTTCTTCTCTTCGGTACGGAGAAAGACCTTGATGGTGGTGCGCAAGGATTTATTGGGCTTGCAGTCGGCTGCCGCAACAGGAGTGTGTTCGCAGACCGGGCAGGAGGAAGGGAGAGTCGACTGGCCTGTTTCAAAGACTGTTAAAGACTGTGAAGCAGAATGCAAGAAACCTTGGGTACTCACAAGTCTCGCAGATTGCTTGATCGCAACAAGGCAATCGGAACGCATTTACAGCAAGCTTGCTGCAGATGGCACATCGAAGCTTAATTGGAATCTCATCTTGGTTGAGTGAACTGCGCCAGTATTAGCAGAGCACCTTACGGATTGGTGTTCAAGCGGAACTGACTTTATAAGCTCAGTCTGAGCTGCTGTTGGAGCAGCAGCTGCCATGCTGACGGAGGGGTGACGCGCGAGCTCTTTCGAGGCTGTCAAAAGGCGGAATTGTCGTCTTTATCTCATGGTCGGAAGGTCGCATTCGAAGGCGAAGGGCATCAAAGGAGTGTTCTCTCGATTCAGACGTGCGGTGCCGTTCAGGTGAATCATGTGAGATTTTGCGATGCAAAATTCGACGTTTGAACAGAATCGCGACTGAGGCGTCTCGGGAATCCCAGTCAAATCTCCGCCTAGCGTCAAAGTCACATGACGACATGTGAATGCAACACACCTGCACAATTGATAAGTTAGTTTGCAAACGTTCAAATGATTGCATTTTGCTGTCTGACCACTGCACATCCATTTCCACCAAAATGCGGATTAAGTCTTGTGCGCATCTGTGATTGTTGTTTCATTACACTCTATACTTACCTCTTGGCTGGTATCTAACCAAGCATCCAGCGTCGGCTAAGGCAGACCGAGGGGCTAATCGTGTCATCACTTCATCCAACCTCACGTCTCCCTATCTACGTACCTCTAATTCTCTGTCCTCGGTCCATCTCATTGATCGCTATGAGGCAGTGCCTTTCCATAGAGTCCTAAGCGGACTGACCATCATCAAACAATGATCCTAGGACAGGTCTCCTGGCTCGATTGCTTCGTCTTTCTTGTCTTCCTTGCACCTCAACTCATCATCCATGTCGGCTTCTTTCCGACTCTATTCTGCGGCATCAAGGCACTGCCATTTCTATGTACGAACCCGATTATTCCTCCCATTTCTTTCAACCAGCCACTCCTCAATAGAACAATCAGCCACAGTTGTTGTTGTTCAATCCCTAGTTGACACCTCGCTAATCTGTCACTTGCTGCAGTGATCCGCATGCCCCTGACTTTTATGTATGAACGTCTCCTCCTTTCTAAACCTCACCAACCACCTTTTGTCCAGCAAGCTTCATGGTTTGAAGATGCTGTTATCAGATGTGTAAGATATGCCTTTGCATACATCCCTGCCGACATCGGGAGGGTCTTCTTCTCAAAGGGTGCTTCGGTACCGTTTCTGAGATGGAGGATGCTGAGGCATGGGTATGTAAGGAGGCCGGTCCACTGGGAGGAGATCCAGAGGAAGGACTTTCAGGGAGTTTGGATCATCAAAGATAAAACAAAGATGCCTGATGTTGTAGTTTATTACGCTCATGGTATGTCCACATGATGATTATTGCTACGCCCTTCGATGAGAAGTCCGTTAATGAACCAATTTCAGGTGGAGGCTTTTCCATGGGCACATCATATTTCTATCTCGAGTTTCTCCTCGCATTCCACACCCTACTCTCAGACTCCGCCTATACAGGCACCAAATTCAGCAACCCCGCCATCCTCGCCCTAGAATACACTCTCGTGCCCAAGGCATCCTACCCAACACAACTCCACCAAGCAATAGCAGGCTACAAATTCCTACTCACCAAAATCCATGATCCCTCACGCATTGTATTCAGCGGCGACTCCGCCGGCGGGACCATTATCCTCTCTCTGCTCCTGCACATCGGCAACACGAAAGCCAACATTAAAGGAGCTAAGCCACGCGCGGTATCAGACGGGGGAAATGATATCCAAGGCGTGATTCCAGCGTTGGCGGTCCTGGTCAGTCCGTGGACGACACTTATCTCATCCAAGGATAAGAATACGAAAAGTGATTACCTGGATGCAAATAATCTGCATCATTATGCACAGCAATACGTCGGATCGAGATACTCGCCTACAGATCCGTCAATTTCACCGGGAAATTGTAAGGATGTGTCGTGGTGGCGACGTGCGGCTCCAAGTAGTGGATTGCTGATCCTGTGGGGTAGAGAGGAGGTGTTTGCGCCTGAGATCAGAGAGTGGGTAGAGCTGTTGCAGGAGGCGGAGGTGAGTGTAGAAAGTAGAGAGGAGAAAGGTGGGATACATGCTTGGCCGGTAGCAAGCTTGTTTTTGAGTTCGACGAGAGAGGAGAGAATCAAGGGGTTGGCACAAATGGTCCGGTTTGTTGGGGAGAAGATGGCGGTCGAGAAGGAACCGAAAGGAGTAGTGGAAATGGATGGGAAGTATATGTCACATACATGATTAGAAAAAGAAGAGATCTTGAGAGAACTTCCGGTCAATTTGGCATAGAAGTTGACTTTACTAAGTTTCTCATGAGTCATGCCTCCTCTCAACTGGCAAGTTGTCCAGTCCATAAGCCAGACCACTCCATGACCCACCAAAAATTACAACATAATCTATCTGGTTGGGAGGCGTCGAGGTAAGATCACGATCCCTGAGCCGTAACTCAGGCCGCATGACCGCTGGAGATGTAACTCTCAGCTGCAGAATTTTGTCCCGATTGTTGATCACGACGCGACATCCATATCGTGGATCAATACGACGATTGGCACGTCCAATTGCACCTGGCAATAATGACTGGGTGCCAGAATTCGCCCCCGAGGTACGGCAATGACTGCATATGTAGCGCTTGTCAGAGATACACGCGTGATTTTCACCTGAGCTTACACAGGCTGAGTGTTGCCAGGCATAGCAATCGGAGCACCACAACCCATCTCCACCATCACCGTCCTTTCTACCACAACAAGGAATTGAGACTTCGAGTTGTTGGATGGTCATATATGAAAGCTGTGGAAGGGAGGAGTAATACCAGGATTCAGCAGCGAACGAGGCTTGAGCAAATGAAACAACATCGAATGGATCCAATTTCTCGAGAACCATTCCAAACACTTCTGGGGGTAGAGTAATGCTGGAATTTTCTCGCGCAACTAGATTCCTTCCACCCCACTTCATATCGGGGGAGGACAGAAATTGCGTTAGGATCCGAAAGCCTGATGTACACTGCGTTGCAACTGAATTAGATACCAGGGGAAATACTGTAGAGCACCGAGTCCGTCCAGTAGAAACATGGGCGAAAGCGATCTCAGCTACTGATATCAATATGCATGGCACTCCACAGCTTGTATTCCTCTGTCCCACCGACTTGTTTAAGAACTCCTCCGCGGTCGAAACAGCGGCTGATATGGTTGAAGGCATTTTGAGACCTTCGCAAAGGACCACAAGATACCCGTGAAACCAGTAAATATTCGTAAGGGGAGCATCCCAATCCGGAAATGTCTCGGCTCCCAGAGGTAGTCTTGCCGCAGCAATATTGCCTTTAGGGGATACTTCCAAGTCCCAAGCCGCGAGACGTAAGAGTGCGATGCAGAGTTGCCGGAACAGCAGTGATGATGATGTACCCCAGATAGTTCGGTCATCGATAAAAAACCGCCACTGGTAAGCGAAATCTCGGAACATACGGTGTTGAAGTTCATTTAATGAAGTCGGTTGTTTCATATGAACCTCTAATCGGTCGTATCCGACGTCTGCCGGCAGCATGTCTCCCTCTTCTGCCCATTCAGAGAGAGGATTGCTTCCTTTGTTCAGTAGAGCTTCCAGTCTCAGATCTGATGCCCTTTGATGGCATCAAGGTTGACTCGTCTCATGGTCAAGGTTAATATTGGGTTATCGTCCTCCTCATCACGGTGCCAGAATGCAACAGTCAAGTGTGCCGAGTCGAGATCGAGTGTATAAACAAAATTGAGATGCTGCTGGAGGGGAAGAGGATACGGGATCACTACCCCTTCAGTCTCTGGTGTCGTGTCATTTTGCCACTTTGTAGCATTCGCAAAGATTGATGCATCACCAGGAGAATCGATTCGTCCGCGTGTTTGGTGGATCTGATACCACTTCGCTGAAGATAAGACATGTCAGTGGAGAGTTGAAGATCAAGGAGAGATTTCTCACCCTGTTTACAGATGTTCCAGAAGCCTCTCGAAACCATGGGTAGACTTCGATGAGGAGCAATCGTTCAGGGTGAAAAACCAGCGGCAAGCGCAAAAATGGAGGCGGAGATGGTGATGGAGATAGCACGTTGTGGAGTTGAAGCAACGCCGATTTATTGTACGTACTCTAATGTAGGTAGCTTAGCATGAAGCTGTGTAAGCGCGCGCTTGTCCTCAAAAGATCCAAGAACAGACAGCACGTTAGTGTGTTTACGCACGTGTGTGAAATTGAGTATGAAGACGGGATACTGACCTCGGGTTGTAGTTTGCATTCAGCATCTGTCCCAAGGTCGTTGTCTCAAAAGGGAGCTTCATGTCTTTGATTGGCTGATGTGAGCTCGTTTGCGTGCTGGCCTGAATAGCCCACCCCACTCAAAGTTCCCCTCAAAAGTGAAGTTCGAAGATGCAGAAAAAACTTTGTGAACTTTTTCTCGAGACCATCACGCACTGAGTCTCGTCCGCAACTGCACAGCTAAAGCTGTAAGTCTGAGGCAGTCACTGATCATTTACACTTGAAGCTGGGCAGACTACCAAGCTTCCCAGCCCGCAGATCCTTACCAGCAAGCTCACCAAGCATAACCTCAAGAATGCTTTCGAAGCTCCACGCTTTCTAAACAAGATCCGGACGCCCGATCGAAACTCTGGCTCCAACGGTCTATAAGGCGCTAAGCAAAGACCAAGACAACATGGCGTTGAATTATGTGTCAATCAATGCATTCAACAAGACATACTCTGTCCAATGAACAGTAAATAAAGGTCATGACAACATTTTAGTTGGGTATTGCTCAAATATACAAGCTTGCAGACGATTTCGTCGCCTCAGCCAAGGGTCCTGTGGATGCATCAACTCAGGTAAGCTCAGGTCTTCAATTAAGCGCTCAAGTTCAAGCTAACTTACGAAGCTTCTTGTGACGGTAGATGACCTGGTTAAAGTTGAAGGGCTTGACCTGAACTGAGACTGTCCTGCCGCGATTGACATGTTGGTCGAATATGGCAGTGGTGGACAGTACGGAGTAGGTAGGAACAACTCCAAACATCCTTCACTTCGCTCAAGCTAACTTCCACCCAGGCCATCAGGCTCTGCAACAACCATTGGAACTTGACACGGCCAGCCTAGCAAAACTCCTGTTCTTGACCGAGCTGCAGAGATCTCTTTTCCCACCCAGCAAGTACCGCCCAGTCCTGGAGATTGAACTTGCTCATGGTGTGGCTTCTCCAACTTCCAGCGCAAGTACGCAATTCCACGGACTTGCCTACTTAGCCTTGGAAAACAGCGGCAACGACCAGCGGCTCCACGCCCCTCCAACCACGGCTTCTGGGTGCTGCCTGTCCTTTGCTCTAGCAAAGATCTTCTACGATCTCCCAGTGATTGTCCTGAGCCTTCTTTAGTACTTTAGCTCGCACCGATGACGATCTCTGCGGGTCCATTGATGTTCATTGAAAAATGCGCCTCGTTGGGTGCGCGGACATCGTCATGGGTGTGAGCAAGGATGGTAAAGGAAGCTTGGGACAATTTATGGGAGGTCGAGGAGTTCTGGAATGGTAAAAGATGGGAGAGTAATATCGGAAACTGTGCCACTGTCATCTGGGACCTGCAGCATGGCCAAGTTTTGCTCCTGACGGAAGGCCAATTGCTGATAACCTCAAACCAGAAGTCAACTAGTACGTCCTGGTATCGCTTTTCCAGGTTCGTGTGCCCTCCTGGAAATTGGTCGAGAATTTGACAGATCCCATTTCTGGATGGTCTCGTGGTTCTGGGTTCGGTCGCTTCGCAGACGAGTAAGATCAACAACGAGCCTTAACCGAGACAGGCATCCTATTCTGTAGTGAATAAGCGCCTTTCAACAACCACGCCAAAGAAACAAGCTGGTGGCAGGGTCTCGAGGCAATGTTCATGAGCTGTTGTAAATCCTGCGGCGAGCAAGAGAATGGAGAATAAGCTTGCGCGTAAGAGATGCTGTCTGGAGGCCCGAAAAGCTGAACGTTGGTCACCTTCTGGCCATCATCGTGCCATCAATATCTTCTAGACAGCAAATATCAGCTGTTGGCACGCTGTGCGCACTGTCGGTGGGTGTGCCCATTTTGATTCGTGGCCATGGATGGGCTCTGGCATGCCATCTGCCCTAGTCGCATTCATCATGGTGCATTGCTGGACGTCGGTGGTTGTGAGTATGACATGGCACTCCTCAGCCAATGAACCAGCTCACCGATCCATGTCTGGGTTGGTGACCTCTTTGGCCATGGTATTGCTTCCCGGGCACCAGCAATGGCAACAACACCATTGTGGAGGCGGGAGGCCCAAAAGCTCATGGGAATGGTCGTCGTAAGTCAACGTCAGCCATGGCATCGCCCACCAGGATGATTTTTGCTGACATGACTTCAGCTGAAAAACATTCCGTTCTCTGAGTATCCGACCCACGAATACACCAAATTTCCCGGAATCATTGATCTCTAGTCCTTGCGGGTATCGAGTGGCGTTCCAGTACGACCCCAACCAACAACTCTCCATTCTCTTGACAATCTGAATCAGATACAGTCCATAAAATGTCTATCCACGTTGCTGGGGCTTTTCTTTTGCTAATGGACCATGTTTCTGGTCACAAGCAGCTCCTGATTTGAGCACGCCATGAACGTGTCACAACGGAGTCTTTCGATCATTGAGAATGGACTGCTCTGGACACCAGAGATCTGGGGTCTCTCCAATGCAATTTCACATCCACAGGCCGACAAGACAAAGAAGAGCGGGTAAGTCTGTTCTCCTCAATCCAAACCTGTAGTGCTAACGCAAGATAACTGGCTGACTGATTGGCAATAGGGATCTCACCATCTCATGGTCAGAAGCTGGCATGAACAGTACAGTTCTGATGAATTCTCATGATGAACTTTTCAATTGGTTGTCAGCTTCATATACACCCAAGCCAGGCTTTCTCGACACGATTACCAAACTCGAAAAGAGTCCGCAGCACTTGCGACGAGTTTCACTTCACTGGTGTATGGATAAACAAGAGAAGTGGTTGCTTCGTCGGAATTCTTTGTGTTGGAGGAGGGCAGTGGTTGGTGGAGATAGTTGTATATTGTTGATGGGACGGGGTGTGAACCTTTCTACCCTTATCAAGAGCGAGCGCTTCGGTAAGCCATGCCATAGGTGTAAATGCAGTATTGCAAGCAAAAATTGGAATTTCGTTGTCTTTCGTGAGGGTTGCTTGTTAGCTTGAGAACCAACCTTTGCCATTGAAGAGATTGCTTGTGGAAAGGAAGTCTTGCAAAGAGAGGTGCCAAATGTCGATGTCGTGACATGATAAAGGAGCTATCTGAGTAGACCAGAGTGTATTCACCCTTTGCCTCCATAAATCTCACATCACAGATAGAGTCTGGGCTAATACTGTCATCTCGGCAGTAAATGAACATTACATCGTTCCATTCAATGTGTGTCTATTTTCTTCTCCAGTCAACCCAACCTCCTCTCCTTCTCCCCTTCATCACCTCCTCCCAAACGCCTTCCCAAAGGCCCTCCTACTCGGATCGACCTTCCCCCCAGTCCTCCCCTGCAACCATGCCTCCTTCGTTGACCTCGCTGAGAAGCTCGACTTCGGAGCTAACTTCGTACTCTGCCTCTTCGCAACCCGATACGTCGTCTTACCCACTCTCCTATCCTTCGGCTCTTTCAACGCTGCATCGATGAATTTCGTCTTCTTGGCTTTCTTCTTGATGATGGTAATTTCGTCTGAGAAGGGTACGAGAGCTTGGGCGTCCTCATCGTCGTCGTCTTCGAGGTATTCGGCCGGGAGGAAGGATGGGAGGGCGGAGCGGCTTGTGAGCGCATGGGTGGGGATTTGGATGTTTTCTGGTTGTGAAGAGGGAGATGGTGCGTCATTGTCTGAGTCGGAAGATTGTTCTGGTGCAGCCGTAGTTGTGACTGGTTGTCGCTTCTTGCTTTTGGAGGACTGTTTCTTGAGAATTTCGTCTCGTTCTTTGCGCTTTTTGCGGGAGGCGGATAGTTGGCTGGAGACGAAATTAATAATTGTGCCAAGTAGGTTGGAAGGTAGGCACTTACTCTTTGACGGCTTTGGCTGTATCCCTTTCCTTCGACTTGATCTCCTTAGCAGCATCCTGGATCCCAATGGCTTCTGGAGCATCATCTTCACTGTTGCTACCTTCCTCACTATCCGCAATCTCCTCGGCAACATCAGGCTCCTCTCTCGCCGTTGAGAAGAACTCTGGCTCCGGTTCTTCACTGCCAAATTTCTTATGCTTGGTCTTGGTGTTGACTTCAACCTTTTCTGGTTCCTCGCTCTTCCCCTCCTCCGCCACCGCCTCCTCGCTCACATCCTCATCACTCCTCTCCTCCACATCATCCTCAATCTCAATAGGCTTCGCCTGACTTCCACCCTGAACTTCTGGCTCGGGTATAATCTTCTTCGCAGGAATCTCTACCACTGGAATCGTCTTCGCAACAGCCGGACTCGAGTCCTTCTCCCTGACTGGTAAAGTCTTCCGTTTCTTCGTTGCGCTGGGTGTTGCAATCACTTCCTCTTCGTCCTCCGCGTTGTTCCCCGCACTCCTCAATTTCCTCTTCTTCCCTGGAGAAACATAGGCGTGGCTTGCATTATCTTCGTTAACCTCGTCCTCTCTCCGCGCCGCACGAGACTGCGAGCGGGATGTGACCATTGTGGGCGAATTTTTGGTGTCTTGTTCGGTGGAGGACGCGGAACGAGATCTGCTTTGGGTGGAATCGGTTAATAGAGCTCTTGCGGATTGGTAGATTCGGGAGAACATGAATGTAATGAATGTGAGTAGAGACTTTTCCTTGGATTTAGGTAGGGGTGGGCGTGGGTGTGGGGGGTTTAGAGGTGGGTTCGAAGCTGTCTGAACTTTTTTTTTGGTCCTGCAGTATTTTGGAGTTGGGAGTGAAGGCGGTGAGAGCGTCTTGGCAGTGGCAGCCCACCTTCAACTCTTCAGCTTAACAGCACCTCGTGGCTTCAAGAGCACAAAATAAACCCCATCGGCATGTTGAAGGAAAAATATTCTTGTTTTGGTTAATCTAGGTCCGAGAGGCTACTCAGCGAGGTACCGATGTGTCAACAGATCATAGTCCATTTGTAACGGTCCACAATCCTCAGCTGATCTTCCCACTTAAGTCATGATTGGGTTGATCGTGAAGACATGAGGCTACTTTAGAGCTACGGATAGTTCTGTGCCAGTGTTGGCTGTATCGTGCCGCTTCTTTCAAGAGATGAGATCGTGAATTACTATATCGAGAAGTAGTCTAATACATAGCCTGTACGGAGGTAAGTTAACATCAAAGATCATTTACGCCAAGCTTCATTACACTCTTCAAATAATCAGAAGCACTCCGCTGCATAGTTGCCTGTACTTACACAAAACTCCGTTGGCAAATTTGTTGCACAAGAATCAAGCCATGGACACGAAATTCCAAGAAGCGCAGGATGCGAATCATCGACCAAGAGGTCAGCTATGCCTAAATCACTCAATTTCTTCAGCTATTCCCGCGATCTCGCTCAACGCCTTCTCAGTTTCTAACCAAAACACGAAGCAAAAAAGACGATTTATCTTCTTTCCAAATACCTTCCTCTCCAGGATAGCTTCGGCTCGCTTCACAGGAATCATCCGCACCACTGTACTGTACGGGATATACGAACCCGAGCAAGTACCGAGATTGGGTCTGTGGACTGAAGTCCAAATCTGGTCTGTTTCGAGTCTTCTGGCGATGTTGATCGTTTCAGTTGTCCGATATTATGCTGGATGGTCAACTATGGATGATGAGATTTCTGAGACTAGCAGGTAGAAGATTGGCGGGGATGCTGGAGTGGCTTGATGTTGGATTGGTGGTCAAGATCAGAGCGCTGTTACGTCTTTTGTATTTGAGCTCGTTCACCACGAAGTGGAAATATTTGATAGATATCCGGAGCGTTCGAATTACTGCTTCAAGTATCTAGAGTCTCTATACTTTTATACTTTTATGCCCTGCTAAGGGAGCATTTCTCATACAAGTGATTGTAAGGTTGAGCCCTGTTACCAGCGCCGTCCAGTGATCTTTTTCCTTGTCAATCAACAAAAGCTCTTACGATAATAACAACGAGAGTTTTAGTCAAAAGTGGCGGGCAATAGCACTGTCATTGAGCTCTTACAAGGAGCGATTTCATATTCAGCAGAAGTCCCAGGAAACCCGCCAAGACATCAAGTAAACAAGCAGGGGCAACAGGAGGTTCGGCATCAAGATCGGCGCGCCGTTTTATCAACGTTTCTACACATTCAAGTAGTCATGAACATCCAATAGATAACAGTTGTCTTAATACTACAGAAGGAGGAAAAATTGCATTATTAAACATCGCTGCTTGCCAATATCTGAATGTTTCTCTCCAGCCAGCAACCAGAGTAGAAGTCTGGTGGTAAACTCCTCTGTCGATTATTGGGAGCGTAGTTTTGTAGTTTCATTCCGCAAATTACTATCATCCTGATTGAACCGCTAGGCATCTCATCGAAGGCATCCGGTGTTTCCTTCGAGTGAAGTTGCTGGCTAATGGCTCGCAATTGAAGTCACTGGGTTTCTGCCGGGCGGTGGGATCTTGGCACGAGACAACATCTCATCTCAAGCTTTTGGCAGTCGTTTAGAGAACATCAACATACATGATTCGAGCAATCTTTCCATCAGTGTTTTATCAATTATGGACTTCTCATGAGGTGGATATCTGACAATAAAACTAATACCAATTGAACCTCTGGCCGCAGCCAAATCAGGCGCACAAGATGAACGCATCAATATGTCGGCCAATCACTAGACATTCTTGCAGGAGGACCACAGCTCTCGTCAGGCAAGGGTTCCTCGGAATAGCGGTGCCCAAGAATCTGGCTCTACCAGAACTCGAGTTGAACACTTCCCCTATCCACGGTCGCCGCCTCATGCATCATACTCCATGGCTGTCCAGCTCCCTAAAGAGAGTAAGAATACGCAAAACAAGTGGGCCTGCTCGGCCTGAGCATATCCTACCACCAACTTCGATCCTGCGAACAGCTTATAAGTCCGGAGCACTTACAATAGCACCCGAAAAAGTCCTAGAATTTCTTCAAGAGTTCCATACTCAGAGCTTGGTGAACACCCCAGGATGGGAGCGAACAGTATGCCTGGGTAAGGAGCATTCACATTATCATCGAAAAGTCACGGCTAACGAAACCCCAGATCACGATATCGATCCTTGGACTTTAGGCATAATTGCTGGCATCCTAGACAAATGCGAGAGTCCAAACCAGAAGAGATTCGGTAGAGACCTCCTCTTCACCGCTGCGTCGTTCGGAGATCTTGCATCCAATTTCAACCTTGTCTATGCAGCTACTAAGCAAGGACGACTCGATGACGTTACGCAGCCATTGCAGCAAGTCGGTCTCCTTGCCAAGACGGGCCACGATCCTCAGGCTATGACGCTCTTGGGAATGGCTCTCTTTTCGCAGCGGAAAGAGGACGATGCGTTGGTGTGGCTCCGCAAAGCCTCGGCCGGCTTTTTGGACTTTCCAGGTGCCGCCGACGCGCTCGTTCTTGAGGGTCGAATTCTCATGTCATATGATAAAAAGGGTGCTATGGCGGTGTTCCAACGAGCCGCTGACGAATTGGACGACCCTAACGCATATTTCTACCTTTCAAAACTACAGCCGCCTGGATCTGCGACTCATGAGATGTACTTGGCTAAAGCCGCTGCTTCAGGGGTATTGGAGGCATGCCATAACCTTGGTGCTCTGGAGCTGGCTAAGATCAATAAGAGAGTACAGAAACCAAAATCAATGGATGATTATGGGTTGGCGAGGGACTGGACCGAGGTTGCCGCCGTGGGAGGATTTGGTCTGAGCCTGTTGAACATGGCGTTGATGTGTAGGAATGTTGGGCTGCGAGCGCAGGGATTGGTGTGGTTACAGAAAGCTGAAAAAGATGCTAAGGTACGCGATGAAGTACAAGCATGGAGGCAAAGATGGAAGAGTGAAGACACCTTACGAGGATGAGGAATGTAGATGAGTATGGACTGGTGACAGCCTCAGGACGACCCAATTGCTTCGCTTGAGGATCACAAACATTGATACTGCACGCTAAATGTTCAAATATCGTGGCTTATGTAATTTCTAGAGGAACATAAAAGGTCATGGAATGTAAATTAGAAGGTTTTTGAAGGAGACGACTCGTTCCCCAGACACAACGGTGTAGGACTGATGCTTGGATAACGGCCTCTCTTCAACCTCATGTCTGTGTGCTTGCTCGTATTCAGACTTGTTTAAGACAAGAATATTTTACGCTGAATACCGAGGTCTCTCATAAAGAGCTCGTCCTGCATCGCTAAGCGGTTGATGTTAGAAGTACTTGGAGACTTTTCAAGCTCGAAGTGCTACTGGTATGACGTGTGTTTGCTTTGTCTTCAAATAAAGGAGGGGTACCAATTCTGACATTAATTTGAGACCTATTCTAGGTCCGGGATTGGGCATATACTTGTCTAGGTAAGTCACGATATGTGCTTAGCCTTTCCAACATAGATTTTAGCACTTGATATGTCGTGTGCTCGTGTGAAGGGGTAACATGCCCATTTAATCATTCCTGACGATCATCAATCCGGTTTCGAACTTGTTCAGCCGGATTAAGCAAGAAAATAGATTTCACGACAAGCAAGCGGGCCAGAAATGGCAATTCCAAAATAAATGGATATTTTCCACGTGTGAACGCGTTGTCTCTAAGAACGAATATAGCTACACACCCAAATTTCCACTGGCCACTAATGGCTCAAACCCTTCCATACAACAATTGATTCGAAGCAACTCTTTGAGAGAAAGACTGTGTTTGAATTGAACCACCAGAGCCTAAGCGACTCTCCACCTCCAGTTGCACGCATTAATCACAGGAGCCACATGGACCTAACCCTCCTGTGAGTGCTTCACTGTCAGCATCGATATATACACACACACACATATATTTATACGTGATGGACAACGCAAAGGAATGTCGACTCACACAGGTTCTCTTAATCGTACTTTACCTTGCCCCAATCGATATCCACATCGAAATCCACGGCTCTATCATACTTTGCCTTGGCTCTATCATATTTTGTTTTCCCCGAATCGATATCCACTCCCCAATCGTTTTCCTTCTTGACAAGGTCGACCTCGACTTCAGGAGTGCGAACGAGTTTATCAGTGCCGATGCTGACCTCTCGCTTGAAAGTGCCGCGTGGAAGGGCTACGGCCGAGGTCGTGGAGATGCCAATGAACAAGATGAAGAAACTGTTGAACTTCATAGTGGAAGTGATTTTGGAGTGTTTAAAATTGGTATGACTTTGGGTAGATTGATGGCGATTGATTGCAACAGAGATCAAGCGGCAGCCCAGTACTTAAAGTAAGACTCGGAAACTGCGGATGAAGGTTTCCTTCGGACATTGACTAATAACATATTTAACATTTCTCTTCTGTTGGGCCATGCAGTAAACTTTGTTTGGTCGGACAGAAGTATATCTTCTTATCCCTGACGCTGATCATTTTGTTAAGGATCGCAGTAGAAGAAAGATATGAGAACCTCAGAGCTTCATACTCTGTTCACCACAGTCAAGTCTCCGAGAATGGAATGGGAAGGTCGTAAATTGCAACAATGAAGCGCAGTATGTTCCATTGCAGCTCATGCTGCGAAGGTGGGAGAGAGAGGAAATCTACTGGGATAATCGTAAGCAGACATCAACGAGACTCTCCGTGACGTGCATTGCCGGGAACTTCAATATGATGAACCAACAATACGGTACAATAATCAGATGGAACATACCGATCACATCATTCGAAACCAACTTTGAGTTGCAGCTTATCACGGTGAGCAGCTGCAGGTAAACCGTAAAGGGTGAAGTAACCGAATCGTACTTGTATTCTCGCCCCTCATTGTGTCGACTTCAATTGCGTAGCAGATTGGCCTTCCTTCTTCCTTTCGTTGTTTCTTGTCGCGGATATCATCCACAAAATGTCGACAGAATATGTGGCATTGAAGCAAAGGACATTTGATGAGGAGGCTAGTGAGAATACCGAAGATGACATCCCAATATCGCAGCATGAGGTACATCGCAGAACTTGGACGCTCTCTGGTATCGCCCAGTGAATGTTTTGGGGACTGAGTATTGTTCTCTTCGTCCTTTCTTTTCGATCAAAGACATGTTCAGATCTTGCATGCTCATTCAAACTCTCTGCCTACTGTGAGGTTCTCTGTGCGGAATTTCGCGACGAAAACTGCTGACCGTTGGATCTTCACAGCACCAGGACTTTCCCATATGGCCTACGAGATGCGCTACTTTGACGGCTTCTATGATTCTTCTCCATACAAAGGTACCCCGAATGCGACGCTCGACAGAAATTGGGAAAAGTTGGTTCGCAGTACGTGGTGCTTGGTGGCCAATTATACCTCCTTCAGCTAATCAGCTTCGTAGGTGGTTATGTATCTATACCGGCTGAGGCCATGGAGTCCAAACTGCATAAAAGTTTGAATTATGTCCAGCTGTCTAGTGAGCATGGAGGAGAATACCTAGGCAATTTCGAAGTGTATCATCAGGTTCGTCTAGGACCCAGTTCTGGTGTCAAGGCTAGGAATCATCTACTAATTCTCACGTCTTAGCTCCACTGCCTGGACCTCATCCGAAAGTATACTTATGAAGATTATTATAGACATCCTGACCGATTGCCGCTAGAGTTCACAGATTCAAACAAAACTCTGAGGCTGCATGTCGGTCAGTGAAACATCGAACATCGGTAGATCAACACTGACGTACTGGGTTGTCCAGATCACTGTATCGACTACCTACGACAATTGATTATGTGCACAGGAGACGTGGGAATACATACATACTTCTGGAGGAAAGACCGTGATGGGCCATTTCCTGACTTCCGGGTGGAGCGCAAGTGTAGGAAGTGGGATGTTGTCGCAGATTATGCTGCATCAGCGCGAGGCAATATCTCTGTGCCAAAAAAGCCAGATGATGCTTTTGAGTATAGCGTTTAAGTATAGAATCTTGTGGTGCAGCAACCTTGGAGAGAACAACGTTTATGCGATTGCGCACAGGAGGTTCATGAAATGTATTCGTCATAAATTGATACAGCTTGGTGTTGTCAGAGTTCTACTCAAGTGAAAGTCAATGGTGATTCAGAAATCGGAGAGACAGTTAAATACTCTCATGCTGTCAGATAAGTCTCGTTGATATGGCATACTCTCTATCTTCACAAATGTCCTATCGCCTTGGCTCACGCATCATGCAAGTTGAGACGTAAGCAATTTCTCCATCTAGCCCACGGCATTGAGACACAATCGTCTCCTTGACTTCGAATCCGAACTTTCTGTAGAGAGGAACGGCTACAGCTGATCCTTCAACCCAGCACGTCAAGTCATTCTTGTCAGCAAGTTCAGTCGCCCATGCCAGCTGTAGAGCTGCAACCCCTTTTCGCTGGTACGAAGGAAGAGTTGCTAACATCTTGAGCTCTATCAACCCATTAGATACTGGAAATTTAAATCACGTCATGTTTCTTTTCGAAGACTTACGGAGTTGTGGCCTTTGTCCAAGAATCCGATCTCGGACTTCAACAGCATTTCGAGTAAACTCGGTTGCAAAAGCATCATCTAAACCTTCAGGAGTCGAAGGCGGTTTGACTTCCACATTCTTTGGGATATCTAGAATTCTTTTAGACTTGTTTTTAACTTCGGAACCAGAAGATATATTACCAGAGTACCGTTTGAGAACTTGTCCTGCGTCGGTGAATGCAAAGCCCCATTTCGAATATCCTACAGTCTCCCCGGAAGTCGTGCCTATAACTTTCTTATAGAACGCAGAAATGTCGCCGTAGTTGTTTGGCCATCGTGAAACCACACCGGCGACTTGCTGATCAAATGGCATATCTGGGAACAGGGTTCGCTGGAAAGGATCATCGAAGAAAGCGCTGATGTAGATATTAGCGATTGCTTCGCCATCAGCAAAGTTGACATCTTGAAGGATGAGTGACATGGTACGACAGTCAGAGATTTTGTCGCCGGAGCACGCCGATATTGGGACACTGAAAGAACAACTTCGCCCAAGACTTGTGAGGTTTGGAAAACTCACAATCTATCTATGTAAAAGTAATGATTAGGCACCTGCCTATTTCAGGCTCCATGTCGACCTACGGCGGAGGATGAGCCAAGCGATTCGTACATGTCAGGCGACGAGTCGGGTAATTTAATCCCAGCTTGACAGGAATACGTACATAGTTTACTTTAGAATGTCAAAGGACGTGAAACAAAGCTTGATTTATTTTAACTCTTTTCCTTGGAGTTTTCCCCCCGATCTCGAAATTTACACCCCGTCATTTTGCAACAGTCACCATGCATCTCCACCTCTGCCCAATCTTGCTGATTTGGCTGATTTGCATTTTGCTTGTGAAACCTCCCTCAATAAGCTACCTTTAACATAAATTATAAAGTCGAGGCTCATTCCTCTTTGGACCAGGTCTGAAATCATAAATTGCCGTACTTGTGGTTCCAGATAACGCAACGGGAGTACATCTTGACCGCCACAAGTCACCAGAACCTAGACTAATCCCGTGTCCATCACTGCATGAAACAAAGCTTACATCATACGTTTTGATAGCAACGAACATGCAAGCGTCCGAACAAGCCCAATCTAAGCCGCTGTCTTCCGCATACAGTACATGCATAGTCCCACGAATCGTAGCTGTGTACCAAGCCGTGGATCCGAGCTAGACAGCACTTCTGTTCAACGATCCAATGAAACACTGAACTGAGTGTCAGAAACCGTCCAATCAAGATATCATGGTTGCTTGAGGGCATTGGACGAAAGGGCCGCCCTTTTTTGCGAAATGCAACAAAACTTCAACATCATGGATTGACATTCCAATAACACGTGATAGGGTTCAAAGCCGTATCGATTTTGTTCCTGGTCACAAGCTATACCAAGAAATCTTCATCACTGAAGAAAATCTTGATTCTCAAAGCTATTGGACGTGCTCAATGGGAAAATCGGGACCAGTCCATCACGTGTCTTCCGCAGAGACCGCTTCTGCTTCATCGCTCGTCTGAATCGCGTGTTCCGTTTGGCTTCTTTGTGGTTTCACCTGACACTCTTTTATCAATTTAAGCTTCCACAATGCTTGAATTCCCAGTAACCAGGTCTTCCAGACCCAATCGCCCTCCTAAGGTAGGTCTGACCGTATCTCAATCGTCTAGCTTGAACCAACCCCCAATCTCGATCTGTCGCTACTTGCTATCAGCTGCGAATCTCTCTTGTCAAACATTGGAGAGTTTCCCGGTTTTGACTCCTCCGAAAAAACACAATTGGACTCTCTCAGATCTGTGAGAAACTATGTTGTGCGAGATAAGATGCGAGGAACTCGGGCACTGTCCAAAAGTAAGCATTGGCAAGACATGACACAATAGAGTTCACCGTTCTGAGGTTCCCATCACTACCCAACACCATGCGTCTGAGAACATCCACTTCCGAAACCATGTGGCACTCAGCGACACACAAAACCGCCTTGTTTTCCTCCACATTGTTAAAAGTCGATAATCGATACCGATAGATTTATGGCCGAGCATCTTCCTCCCTGATTCTACTGTCTCTTCTCGGCAGGACCGTCGGATAACAACAAATCGACATCAGATCGACATCGATATCAAGATCGAGCTTGGCATCGGGATCGACGTCGAGCTTGCACGGTCTTGCTGAACGTTATTTAGATGTCCAGCTCTTTGGGAGCCCCACCACCGCCTGGTGTTATTTCCAATCTAGAAAATCCGACCGATGTTCTCAGAACGATATCGCTGTTGACGAATGGGCTGGTTTTGAGGTGTTCTACTCTGGTGACCCTTGGTCGCTTTTATGTTCGCTTCTGGATTACTGGAGCAGTGTTCATAGAGGACTGTGAGTACATCCTTTATCATGACTGGTAGTGACGACGAGGCTAACACCAACTAGGGTTTTGTTTCGCATCGTGGGTGAGTGTCCCTGAGACATTAACATATAATATAGACTTACAGTCAATAGATCTTGACCGCTGGGAACTGTATCATTGGTCTTCTAAGTAGGCATAATTTAATCGTCCTTGGTATCTTGACCTGACAATTTCTAGGCAACATTTTAGGGGGAGGTGGGCTCCATGCGTGGGACATCTCTGCGGCTTCTATGGTCGGGTATCAAAAGGTGAAATACATTTCTCAGCGAGAACAAAACCACTTGTATTGATTTCAACCAAAGTTTCAATATGCCGCAACGATCATCTATGGACCATGTGTATGGAGCATCAAAGTCACCCTGCTCTTGATCCTTGTTAGGGTCTTCACGCCATTCCGCAGGATCATCACTGCGGTCTGGTCGTTCATCTTCGTGATGCTGTTGTACTACATAATAGTCACAATCGTGAAGATAAACGTTTGCAATCCAATCAGGGCAGCTTGGGATCCGACTGTGCCCGGAAAATGTCTCAACGACTACCTGCTATTCTCCATCGACACTTCTCTGAGTATTTTAACAGATCTCATCGTTTTGCTTCTCCCGATCCCACTGTATGTCTAACCCATCTTGAGATCCTTTTCTGAAGTCCAGTTGCTGACATGTATTGCTCAGTGTCTGGTCTTTAAAAGTCACAGCCAAGAAGAAACTACGCACCATCGCCCTCCTCGGCACCGGCGGCGTCGCAACAGCATGCAGTATCGCCCGCCTGGTCCTCGTCCTCAGACTCGACAACTCCCCCCACCAACTCGGCGACCAAACAGTCTCACTCCAACGAATCAACCTACTCGTGTAAGTCTCCTCTCCTCTCCCACCCACATGCCAAACCCCACCCAGCATCCCAACTCCCCTATCATTTTGTACCTGCCCTACTCCCACAAATCAACCCTCCATCCTCCATCCTCCATGCCCACACCTCAGCAGCTGAAATAAAAATCCACCCCCACAGCACGGCCGAAATCGGCATCGGCATAATCTGCGCCTGCCTCCCCGCCTTCAGCATATTCTTCTTCACCCCAGGGGGCGACCGCAGCCGCCGCGGTGGCGGGCGGCACCATCCACGGTACATCGACAAATCGATGAAACTGAGCAACCTGAGCGGATTCACCGGGGGAAGCAAATCGAAAGGAACGAGTGGGACAGGGGAGAGTAGGGCGAGGGAGAGCTATGTGGAGATCGGGACGCCGCAGGATCTGGGGGATTTGATTAGCCCGCCGCCGGAGGCGATGAGGAGGGGGAGTTGGCCGCTCAGGACGAGTGGGAGGGTGGAGAGTTATTTTGAGATAAGAGCTTTGGGGGAGGTGTGAGTGTAATTAGTATGGTAATGGTAACGTTTAAAATTGTGTTTGGAGACTTTTTCATGTCGGGTCTAAAGGGTGGTTGGTGTGGAAGTTCTTTTGTTGACGATTAGCGACTTGGGCGAGCCGAGGTGTGCTGTTACTAATTGATCACTGGCTAGGCACGAAGCATTGAACCGCTGACGAGATTTTGCGTGGCGACATGAAACAGTTGGATTCTAATCGTATCCGTGTGGATAAGTTCATTAATATTTTGTTGCGGCCAGGTGCACTTGGTATTTTGAAGCGCTCACTTGCTGGTGAGGGGAAAGAGCTTGGTTGCTGTTATTTATGTGGATGAATTAAGCGAGGAATTCCGAAGTGAATGACATCTCTCAAGATTCTGCTTTCTCGATCTAGATTTCGTATGTACTTCCTCCCCCACCCGTATCAAGAATTTACCTTCATTATCCAGTTCGCTTACCAGCTCACGCTCCCACCCTCCCTATCTCCATCCTCAATCCTCAATCCTCAATCCCTCCGCACCATCTCAAAGCCCATTCCAAAATCATACACCTCCCCATCTCACTTTACAATCATACACCAACCCCTCCATCTCACCATCTCTCAATCCCCATCAAATCCCCTCCCTCTTCCTCAAAACCACATTTAACGGCCCCTTATCCCACAACGTCCAAGACTTCTGATCCAACCAATCCTTACTCTCTTCTCCCTCAGCAAACTCAATATCGAAATTCCAGAGGACACGCGCAAGAATGAGACGCATTTCAGCGTAGGCGAGGCTGTCATTTTACGTGAGTGTTAGTTATAAAGTGTTAGAAGGGATAGAGGAGGAATATAAAAACAGGGGCGGGGAGAGATACTTCTTGCCAATACAATTCCTCGGTCCCAAACTGAAGGGATTCAAAGCTTGTCGTTGATCATTGATGAATCTCTCATCGCCGAGGAAGCGTTCTGGGACGAAGAAGTCTGGGAGGTGGAAATTGAGGGTTGAGAGGTTCGTAGCGATTTGTGGGACGGAGACGATGGTCTGTTGACATGAAGTGAAGAGTCAGTCAGTCAGTCAACCAGAGAAATCTCACCAAAGAAGCTTTCGGAAAGCACGAAAGCTAGGAGGAGCAACTCACACCACCAGGCACCCACACCCCAGCAATCCACGCCCCCTCTCCAGGCACAATCCTCTGCAATGCCACCGGCGCAGCAGGATACATCCTCAACGCCTCCTCCAAACAAGCCCCCATATACTTCAACTTCCCCACTCCTCCAGCACCAAGCACAATATCCTCCTCCCTCTCAAACGCGCCCCTCACCTCCCTCACCACCAGCTCCATAACCCTCCTATCCCTCAACAGGAAATACGTCAGGCCCGATAACACTGTAGCTGTCGTGTCGCTGCCTGCGAGGATGAGAAGTGCGGAATTAGCGATCAATTCTTGGGTGTTCATTCCTGTGCGGAGGATATCATTCTCATGACCAGGCCCAGACCCAGGCCCAGACACAGACCCAGTTTTGCGCAAGATGCAACCCAGTAAATCATTCTGCTTCTCCGGATCCGTGACAACCAGCCTATTCATAACCTTCGACACCGTAAGTGCATGATGCGCTTTCTTCTCCTGCAACAATTTCCTCGGGATGAAGAGACCAGAGAGGTGTTTCTTGATGAGGGCGCCGCAGGGGAGGTACGAGAGGGCTTGCATGTAGTTTCCTGTTTTGAGGTTGGCGAAGATCATGCGGATCCAGGGGTGGTAGGTGGAGGTGGAGAGACAGTGGAAGGGCTCGCCGAAGGTGAGGTGGCCGATTAGGTCGAAGGTGGTGTAGTTGTACCAGGCGCTGATGTTGATTGGTGTTGGCTCGGGATTCTTTCATCTTTTTTGGCATCTCCATGTTCATCACCGTCTTCATCCTTTGAAGATGAATTAGAGTTGTAGTTAGAACTACAGCTCGAACCTGCAAACGTCTTCAACCGCTCAACAAGCCCCCCAGCATACAACTGCAAGATCCCCTCCTGCTCCCTCATACTCGCCTCACTAAACGCATGACTCAACGTCCTCCTAAACCGCGTATGGTCCTCCCGATTCGCAATCAAGATGTGCGTACTCCCCGGTTGCTGCGAGTAAAGTTGCAGATTCTTCGCCATCTCGGGTCGGCCTTGATGATGGGCGTAGATGTCCTTCCAGGCTTGGGGAGAGGTGAAGGAGAGTTCGTTGGGGGCGATGCGCACGATGGCGCCGTATTGGGAGTGTAGGAGAAGAGGGAAGCGGGATTGGTGACCGCGGATGAGGGCGATGAGCCAGGAGAGGCGAGTGATGGCGCAGATTGGGGGACCGGGAAAGTGTGAGAGGGGAGATAGGTAGAGGCGGTAGATGGTTGTGAGGATGAGGTAGAGAACGAGCTGGTAGTATGAGTTAGTTGTAGTCATGAGCAGAAGTGGGTGGTGACTTACAAGAATGAGGAAGGTAGTGAAGAGGCCTATGTTCAGACCGAAAATCTCCATGTTCAAGATGTTTTGTCAAGTTACGTTGTGAAGGTTTGATGGTTGTTTACTTTTCCTTGGAAAGATTTTTGACAAATATACCAAGAATGAAAGTGAGCTGAACGTGAAGGGTAAAACAAGCCTGTTGGCGGTGGTGAAGAAAAAGAAAGATGAATTCAAGTCAAGCAACTTGAGTACTCACACAACGAAGGAAGCAAACCCATGACTAAAATAGAAGGAACTCCAATTCTGGAAGCTGAACTCGGCTACCATTCAGATTTCACAATCGGAATCTCAAGCCATCCAACCCACTTCAATCCACTCCAGCATCACAGCTTCGAATAATAAAGCCTATCTGGAAAGAGCTATGAGCTTTTGGTGATTTATAAGAAGGAGGGATACTTTGTTGGTTTGTTAGTTCGTTGCCTTGGCACAGAGGGATAGGTACCTTATGCACCTGCAGTCAATAATACGGAGTATCCAATCAGCTCACGCAAGATTGCTGTGGAACCTGATACCCTTTCAAAATGGGAAAGGCTCACTAGAGTCATTTCAATCATTCGAATGTTTTTTTCATTGGAAATAATAACACACGCTCAAATGGAAATCACGGGAAGTGCTGCATTCATTCATTCATTTGGCTACCCGCCCATCTAATCCTCAGACTAAGTTAGTTGTTTGAAACGAGTAACTTCGTAAACAGTGCTAGCCGAAACGAACGCCGCCCCCGCGCGCCATGTCGACCTTTTTCTTTTTCAAAACACATACATACATACATACATCCATTTATTCAAACACAAACACAAACACAAACACAAATACCTACACATCAAAAGCAAAAAACATAAAGTACTCTAAATAAATAAAATAAAGCCGCTATAAAAGGAACAAGAACACACGAAGAAAACCGCAGAAAGTACCTTACTTTGTAGAGGCAAAGAAAGGTAGGTAGGTACCTAGATGCAAATAGACTGTCTGTCCACTGACGGTCGGCGGATAGGTAGGTACTTACGAGAAACAGTTCTTTAATTAAGGAAGCAGTCTTCAGGCTGTCTTGTTCTGTCTTTGGACGGGTTTTCTACCTCGGGGATAGTCTAGGATAAGATGAAATTGCTGCTTGGATGCCTTGCACTTAAGCTAAATTTCTTGTGACTAAGTACAGTACCTGTCTTAAACTGACTACACCTAGTTAGACCTCATACGTTAACCTCACAAAGGGGACTTTTCCTAGATTAATTAATTTAAGAATGTCGCTTACGCTTGCGCTCGTGTTCTTGGTTCAGTTTTGTTTCTTTTGTATGTATGTATGTATGTATGTATGTATGTATGTGTGTGATATTGTAGACAGTATTCCATCGATGACTCGGTCAATCGCTCGTTCGTAACCCAAAAGTACGCCGTGTATATGCTTATCCCCTTCAACGCCATACTAAGCAGATTTCCTCCCTTCCCATCCCATTCCTTCCTTTCTTCCAAACACCCTGAGCAAACCCTATCCACTACTTGCTATTCCCATCCCGTGCCATTTCCCCCAAATCAAGTCCCCTAAAACACCATCTATTCATCCCCCTTCTTCTTCCTCCCCCGTCCCTTCTTCGGCTTCTTCTCTTCCTCACTACTCTCACTATCCTTCTCCTCCTTACCCTTTCGCTTCCTACCCTCTCCTCCAGCACCCTCCTGCACCTCAGCCACACGCCCTACAATTTCTGCCAAGAAATCAAACTGCTCACTGCCCAACACCACACTCTTGAGATGCTGTGCTGTAACCTTCTTTCCTCCCTTCTCGCGCGCCTTGTCAGCCGCTCCGCCTACTAAAGCAATCATGAAGAGCTCGAGAGCTTTAGACACTGCAACCGGGGTAACTTGTGCGACTTTTCCGACTTCTTCATCGGCTTGCATGATGCGTTTTATGCGGGCGACGGGGAACTTGGTGCGGATTTCAATGTTAAGAGGATTGGGGTCGGTATAGGTCGGTGGTGCGGGGGCAAGGTTTTGCATGCTGGCTGTGGAGGGGTCGGGCTTGATGCGGGGGCCGCGGGACGACATGCTTTGTTGAGTTTGTGGTTGTTCTTGGTATGGGAATTGCTGGCTTTGTGCCTGAAAGTGTGCTTGTGCTTGTGGAGAATTTATGTACTGTCCTTGGTCTTGCTCCCAGGATTGCTCGGGGGGCTCAAAGTCGTCGCTGTACGAGGCGATATTGTTCCTTGCTTGGCGGTGAGGACGACCGTACGCGGAAGAGGAGTGGGAATCCAGGATGGAGGTTTGGTTGGGTAATTGGTTTTGGTGCTGTATCTGACTCTGCGCGTGGAAATCGGAATGCGAGGATGGGAGAGCTGGGATCGGGGGCATGTAACTATTTGATCCGTACTCTGCGAAATCGTTTGCACCGTCAGTCGCGAATGCGAATTGATTCTGATTCGAAGCAAACGCGTGCAAATTTCCTGGCTGTGTATTGAAGGATGGGATGCCTGGAGATCGAGGCGCGTAGGACGAGGATTGCGATTGTGCTTGTGGTTGGGTGTTGTAGGGTTGTTGTGTTTTGGGCGGGGAGGAGAGGAAGCTCGAGAGATCGGGGGACTGAGGCGCATATGTACTGTCCATGTCTGCCAAAGTTTGATGTGTTTGTCCTCGCTGGGATGGGCGTTGATTGGATTCGCTTGTAGTCTTTGTGTCCTTGCTCGAGGATGGCTGCTTTCGGAGGCGGTGGAGAGCAGAAGGTGGATATGCCTTGCCCTGCCTTGCCTTGCCCTGCCTTGCCTTGTCCTGTCCGGTGATTTGATGTGGTGGGCGTGCGTGCTTGTTGTGGATGTGGATGGATGGATGTTGTGTTATGCAAGGCTAATGCAGTGGTTGTGTATTAGAGTAGAGGGTCGGCTTGGATGGCTGCTTGCGGCGGGGCAATGTACCTTTCGATACCTGATGCTTTGTGCTGTGTGCTGTATCCACCACCTTTGCACAAATCCGTGGAGTGGAATGAATGTAGAGTATCTGTTTCCGACCTGGGATGGAGGGGTAAAGTGTTCGCTTGAAGAGAAAAAAAAAGATCGTCAAGTCCAGTCCTAAAAAGGAGGATTGTCAACACTGCTCAATCAGTTGCTCTGCCTTTCCTGCCACTGCCCAGTCCGGTCCAATGCAGCGCTCAAAGCAGACAAGCGCAGCACAACTCTTTAAAGCGGTGAGTTCTCGGAACAAGGCGATAATCCGTGCCGATAACCCAATAAGAGCCAGTCCGTGTTGGCCGTGTGGAATCCAATTCGCTGTGAGTGGCCGAGAGTGGCCGTCGGGGTGGGAAGATGTTGTTAGTAAGCAGGATATTTTGTGCTGTGCGCAGGCGGGGTGGATTAAATTTCCAATCGGCCGGCGCGGCGAGGGAAGGGGAAAGTCTGCCGTATTTGTAGCGAGGAGACCCGCAAGGGCGGTGCAGGGATAGGCATGCACTTGTCTGTTTGGGGTTAGCGACACTGCAGAGAAATTTCCCCTGGACTCGACTGGCGTGGAAGGAACGTTGATGACACTTTTGAAGCGAGAAGGAGTGACAGCTGAGGTAAAGAGGCTCGAGGACGGGACATTCACGACGCAACAGGAGCGCAGTCATTGGAGGTCGATCAGCTTGGCCGTGACTGGGTCGACGGAATGCTTGCGATGCAGTTCAGTGACTGTCGCATTGCCAGGTGAGGGCGGAATGGCTCGTTCCCCTCCTTTACGCGCGTCAGCCTTGCAGTCATCATGATGATCCTTCCTCAGCCTCACCATCACCACATCATGTCCTCTGCTTTGCATCAGACACAAGCTCTCCAAGACCGTTCACATGTCTGAACCCAGCGCCTCGACTTTCCTTCTGTTCTTCCCTTCATTGCATCCTTCCCTTTCCTCTAATCCTTCCCTCCATATGTATATCCCTCACTACCTATCCCAAAACAGCAGCCTCATCCACTTCCGCCTACCAGGCATCAACACAACAGTTGAATGATGATACCAAAGAGCCTACCTAAACCACACCTGTCTCTAAAGGCAGGCTACAAGACAACCCGAGCTCGAAGCCGCGTCCTTTCTGAAAAAAAAAAGGATGGATTGCTGGTTCCTACTCGGGGTAGTTGTGGTTCGTGATGGAAATAACTTGATCTAATCTGACAACTGTTGTGCTGAGTAGCTGCCTTTCTTTTCTGTCTTGCTGGTGAAGAGAGGGATGTGTTGGTTGAGAAGTGAGACACTGGGTACTATTTGGCGGTGGTCGTGGATACTTTGTTGCTGTTTTGCTTTAGTTTATGATGAAGGAGAAGATCGTTGGGTTACTTGCGCGACAAGACGTTCATGCTATGGGTAGATTGTCAACTCGGCTGACTTTTCAATCCAGCCTAGCTTCTCTTATATCTAAAGGGTGTTCTTGCACTCTAGCACACCGTCAGGTTCAAACCAAAAGTGTATCAATGCTTCTAGTAGTGTATAACGCACAGCTGCAAGTAATCATAAGTCCTGTACATACATGCCTATCCTCACCCCCAAAAATATAATAAATGTCATCACAACTTTCCATAACTGCCTTCCAACCGAGCTAGTTTCGTCGATAAGCTAACGTTAAGTAACAAGCAACGCTACAGAATGGCAAAGCACTTGCATCTGACAATACTAATCATGTCGTCAAAGAAATACCGAATCTCTAAGTCATTTCTTAATTCTTATGGAGATGATGAAAAATCCAATCGATTTCACAGACGAGCGCGCCTCACCAAAGGAATTACGTACATATTATTAATTACCTTACCATCTTGCCTTCAGATTCCACAACACGCTTCCCTTGCGAGGCGATTAGACATAGACAATCACATCACCTAACATGTACATATCATCATCGGCTGGCCGGAGGATGGGCGGCGCAGGATTTGGGTAGACAATCTCTCGACTGCGACACGACCTTCCTCTTCAAGGATGTTCCTTAAGGACTGTATGAGGAGGGTTGTGACTATTCGATGCAGTTGGGACTTTTTCCATGGCGTTTTAAATGATTCGCTGGACATGAAGGGGGGGTTTTGTGAGATGCGTAGGAATGCTGGGGTTGTGTTTTGAAGGAATTCAGGGGAGTGTCTTGAGTTTGTCAAAATTAGATTGTTAGACGAACTTGACGATGAATATACAGGTTGAGCGGTGGGTTTTTTAGAGACAGTATCATATGTCTTAGTTGCGAGAACGTTCGCAGGTGTTTAGACGCCATGCCAAAGACTGCAGGAACCAAAACATTTAGGCGAACTTGGAGCTTAAGTTGCGAAAGGCTAATAAAAACAATGCTATGACAGTGAGTTGAGCTGCTCAATTCAAATCCAGACTTATATGAGCTAGTAAGATTGTGAACAAACTAAGTCCAAGTCTTGTCGACCTTCCAACCAAGCAGAGTTCTGTGTTCTGGCGTCCAAAAAAAATGTGATATCATGTTGCTTGTAACCTGTAAATCTAATTCCAAAATAAGAACGAAATGATATATTTTCCCATGAAAGGCATCCATCTACTTGTTGCGGCAAAGACTTCGGTGTGGTTGTTTGCAACACCTTCTCACCTGGCGGACTTTGTTTCTCTTTCTCCCTGGCTCGCTCACTCGCTCGCTTGTTCCAGGGGCTTCGGTTCGGCTCCAGTTGGCAAACAACAGTGGCGGTGGCTTCGTTACCTTATTCCCGGCTGGCTCTAGTTCAAGAAAACAAACACATCAACCAGCAACCAAATCTCAAGCCACAATCCAATCCTCAGCTACTGGAGAGGTCATTTCCATCAAGATCCAATATATCCACGAAACGCCTCTTCAACCACAAATCCAACAATCTCGGATATTCACTTTCTATCTACACACATGTCCAACACAACAAATCCCATATCTTACCCTCGGCAACCGGCACCCATCCCCTTTACCATGGCTCCCACTCTCACCCAACGCTCCTCCCCGCGCCGCCAAGTTCCCACCCCCTCTCTTGGCGAACTCCCTCACTCACCATTGACATCACTCCATATCATTTGCACCCCAGGACCCAGATCCCCCAGATCCCCAGATTCGCCTGTACTGTAAGAAAGTCTCGTTCCAGACTACAAGATGTAAGTCTCGGCGCGGGGAAGGGAGTATGCGGCCAAGAGGTTTAAGCCAAAGTATTGGGGGATGCTTGCATCTTTCTTACTCGGTGGGTGAGTGAAGCTTGGTATTGGGATGGGCTGTCAGAGTATTTAGTTTTAGGGTGTTCCGGTCCCATGGTTTGTTTGGGATCAAGATCAAGAAAAGTTCTTAATTTCTTATTTTGATCTTGATCTGATCTACATTCTCCAATCCCTGGAGAGATTCTGGCATCTCAATCCTTGACCTTGACCTTGACTTTGACACTTCCCTCACTTCTGTACTCCCAGCCTTTAATATCACTCTTATTCAATATTACTCTGAGATTGGAGCGTCATCACATCATGGCGTCTACAGCAGACAATCGAAACTCCAGCACAGAAGACGTTGAGATCGCTCTCGGCGACGAGAAGCACGATGCTATGCACATGGAGAAGGTAGAGAGTGGGAGGAATCCACAGGTGGTGTATGGGATTGATGAGGCGCATCAGAAGAAAGTGATGTAAGTTAAGAGTCAAAACCTCACCCGGCCTTCCTTGTCAGGTGGAAAGGACTGTCTGGTTTCTGACTTGCCTGCAGTCGAAAAGTCGATATCCGCTTGTTGCCAATGCTGGGTCTGATGTACTCGATCTCACTCGTCGACCGGACGAACCTGGGGCTTGCGCTGGTGGCTGGTATGCAGCAAGACTTGGAACTTGCTGTGGGGGATAGGTATACGGTTATTGTGATGGTGTTTTTTGTGGCGTATATGTGAGTCCTTCATTCTCTCCGATTAGCCAGCCAACATCTAACCATGATCAGTATATTCGAGATTCCTAGCGTAAGTTCTCTTCCTTGGGCAGATGACTTTAAGGAAGAAGTGTAACTGACCATCTGAAGAACATCATCCTTCCTAAAGCCGGCCCAGCAAATTGGCTTGCATTCCTCGGCGTCGGATTTGGATCTGTTCTTATCGGTATGGGATTCGTCAAGCACTGGGGCATGATGGCTCTTTGTCGCGCCTTACTTGGAGTTCTGGAAGCTGGATTCTTACCAGGTAAGTCACCTCAACAACCTTTCTCAAACTCTTAGCGAAAAATGCTCATTCACACATCTCAGGATGCACCTACCTCATCACCTGCTGGTACACCCGTTTCGAAGTCGGAAAACGCCTCGCAGGATTCTGGATTCTTTCTGTCATCCTCGGTGGTTTCGCAGCGATCTTCGCCTATGTCCTCACTCTCCTCAAAGGGAGAGAAGGATTGAATGGCTGGCAATGTAAGTCCTCCTCTACCATATCTCTCACACAACCTCCAACTGACCCAAACCAGGGATCTTCATAATCGAAGGAGCCATAACCGTCTTCGTCTGCACCCTAGGCTGGTTCGTAATCGTCGACTTCCCCGCCAAAGCCGGGAAATTCCTCGCCCCCGAAGAAAAGAAATTCATGATCGACCGCATCAACAACGACCGCGGCGACGCAGAAGAAGACCAGGTCAACGCGCGACGTATTCTGCATCATCTCAAGGACTGGCGATTGTATTTCTGGAGTTTCAATCTTATGGCTTCAACGCTTCCAGGCTATGCATACTCATATTTCCTGCCTGTGATTCTGAAGCAGGGGATGGGATATACGACTGCGCAGAGTCAGTTGTTGAGTGCGCCGCCGTATGTGCTTGCTGCAATCATGACGTATACGTCGGGGTGGTTGGGTGATAGGTTTCATATTCGAGGACCTATTATTGCGGTCCATCAGCTTCTGACGGCCGTGGGGATGTTGATTACGGCTTTCGGAGGAAGTAATGGTGCGAGATATTTTGGGGCCTTTTTGGGGATTGGGTTCTTGCAGTATTGTATTCCGGGAGTGATTACCTTCCAAGCTAGTAAGGAGTCTCTTGCTGTTGCTGTCGTCGAAGAAATTGAAGGTTTGCTGACTGCTTCAACAGACAACATTACTTCACACTCCAAACGAGCAGTTGCTGCGGCTACTTGCATGATGGGCGGAGGACTCGGCGGTATCTTCGCAAGTGTCGCTTTCAAGCAGACAGAAAGTCCGAAATACACAGTAGGTTCAAGCCGCTCATTTTCCCGGACCATTTTCCCCGGTTGACTGCTTGGATTGCTTTGCTGACGTGCTCCCGCAGACTGGTATCTTCGTCACACTCGCTACATCGATCACTAGCATCCTCTTGATTTGCATCATGGATCTCTATTTCTGGCGCTGCAATAAGAGAGCTCGTGCTGGGACGCAAAGAAATGAGGGCATGTCTGATTGGTATTACACATATTAGATAGAATCACGAAAGACTAATTAAGGGAGTGGAGCTCTCAGCTTCCAAACAGGGTCTCGTAGATTCTTAGAGGACGATAGACTGATATTTTTATCAAACAATCGTATTGTAGATCTGAATGATACGAGTTTAGAATTGCGTGAAGAAGCCATGGCGGTCATCGAGTTCCTCAGCTCCACAAAGGGCGTTCTCAAGCTGACCCCTCATTCGTGGGTCGTTACATGGCGTTCCACTTCATGCGCTGCGGGAGAGGGGCGTCCAATTGGAAGCTCGATCCTTCGAGGGCATCGAATGCCCTTTTCATGCGACGTGCAACAAACTGAGAAGTAGAAAAAAAATGGTTGGGGGCCAGAATTCCACGTGATGACCACTTTGGTGACTTTCTCGGCTTCTAATCGTTGTAATCTCAGAAGTGTTGTTTTTGAGACAATCTTGGGCAGCATTTCTAGGTCGCTAGGTGGTTCATGAAGCGCCACGGTATTTCTTCTTCGGCATGTGGAAGCTACTCTGCCACTCAACTTAGGAAGTTGTCGTGATGGTAAATGAAGTGAAAAAGTTCGGTGCAGAGGATCTCAAATGCACAGCAATCCCTGATTCATATGTCTCAAGTAGTTTGTCTTGCTTGGATTCAGCTTTCTTTTTTGGGGATCCAGCTTCTCTTCCACCGGGAATCTAACCCTGAAGTGTAGAGTCACCAGCTCATATTTCCAGGACTTCATCCCAACAACAAACATCTCAAAACCAGTAACATTCCAGAAAAGTACTTCGAAATGACAGAAACTCCCATTTTGAACAAGATCTTGCTCGTTGCAACACTCCATCTGCCTCTTTGGGATAAGAAATAGATATTCCTAGAGGCTTCAAGACTTCAGATTCACGGGCTGCAAAAGGCTGTCTGGCGTCAACATGTTCGGCAAATCACGACCTATCTTTTCAGAATACCATCTCCGAATACATCTTATGGTAGAACCGTGCTGTTGGATTTGATGAGTGGCAATTCAAGAAGTGAAGATTTCATACCCGCCACGATAGATGGGCGGGCTAGGATTCACGTTTCTCGTTTAACACTCATTACTGCGTATCTAAGTAGATGTTGTGTAGCAAGGGAATTGGGTAGGCAACAGCTCATTAATTGGATCTGACAGGTATAAATAAGGCATGGACTTACTGCGGAACAATCCAGCCACAAAACAGACCATTGGACAAGATTTATGTCGCTGAGTATCAGAGACTCAATTGATGATCTTTGATGCTAGTATCATCGTTTGTTTAGCTTCCATTTTGACCCTTTAAAAGTCCTTCTTGGATGTGGCAGAACCCTTTTTCCCGCACTGCGTTCAAAGAACTCTCGATCCATGACAATTTGACAGTACCATTTAGCCTGACAACAGCAACATCCCGTCCGTCGAGTTCACCCCTGATGCCGTGATCTGATCTGGTGAGTTGGAATAGAGACTTTTTTGAGAGATCATCCAAATGAGCAAAGCAGGAATAAAACTTCTTCCATATTCCGAAACTCCATTTACCACACAGCCTGTCTCACTATCTTATTTTTTCATATCTTCGTCGATTCTAATGTCAGCGTTCTGGTTGAAGCTCCACTCTTGATGCAACAGAGGGTTTATTTATATGCTTTCTTGGCTGTTGAATGCCAAAATGTCTACGATCTTCTGATAACCTATTTTCTTTTCACCTCGATATTCACCAAACACCACACTCACTACTGTCGCATTTGGAACATGCTCTGTGTTCACAACTTAGCATCTCTGTACACATACATATAATGCTACTCCCATAGAATTCTCTTTCCTCAAAGGTATCATCAGGGTTTTCGTGCCATCCATATTAGAGCCGTGACTCTCGTTTGGGTCGAATGAAAACCCCACAATCTTTGCAGATTACGGCTGCTTGGAAAATCCGCGTGAGGGCACAACAGAATGTGACAATATGTCGTGCTTATACACATCAAGCTTGTGGTTCCTGCTCCGTGGACATTCTTCTTGGCTAAATCGAAATGACAATCAACTGTTCTTCGACAATGAGACTGTAACTTACCTGTTCCTAATACCAGCAGCCTACCACTTGAGTAACATTTCAACCTCTACATCTCCATCGGAACTATATTTCTACCACAATCATGGTGAATGTCACGAAATCTGTTAGTGGTAGATCAGAATCTAAATGCACGCAAGCTCTTGTTATCCTTTTCCTTTACCTTTTCAAAGTTTCTCACTTTCTCTTCGCACTCACGAGGACGTTCTTATGTACCCAAAACGCTGTGGCATCTTTCCAGATCCAACAAATTCGTTGCAAGTTCCCCAAGAGAGTCAACTCACCATATCTAGCCTTTTAGATCTCAAACCTCTGACCTCAACGTCCATAACTTACCTCTGATCTAGCTCAAGATTCACTTCCTCAACCCGCCTCCCAGAAGAACAAAATACCCATCTTTCAGGAACATCACATATAAAGCACCACCAGACAATTCCTCACCATTAACTTCACAGCACACAGCCAAAACAGCGTAAGGATTCCCAGAATGGGACTCAACCATCCTCACGTTCTGGCCATGATGACAATTACATTATATACACCACCTTACACAAACAGTCCGGCTGATAAGATTTGCAAGATTTTTGATTCAAACCTGTAGAGTTTGCATGTGAGAATGCAGCCTATGATATATTGTAAGAAAAAATATTTGGTTTATCTTGACAACACACCACCACCTGACAACACTTGACACATGACAGCAAATCATCACACCTTCACACCTCACCCCCCCCAACCTAACTCCAAACACAGAAACCAAATATAAGTAGTTGAACTCCACGCAACTGTCATCATGAGAACCAAACCACAACATCTGGATATCATGCTCGATTCAGCTCAACAACACAAGTGACAAGACCGCAACACCCCACCGACCTCAACAGGTTTATTTCCAACAGGGCTTCTCATGCTGTCTAATTCTTACAGTCCTTAGCTTATTTATACCCTCTCCTCCTCCCCATCTTAGCAACTGCATTGAGTGAATGGGTGGATTCATATCAAAAATTGAGTTGAAGCATCGAGTTGGGGGCCAAGAATGCGGAGTACTGGGGTTGAGGTTGTGAAGTAAACAAAATTTCTCGCATGTAGAGGCTGTAACCAACAGCGTTGAGGTCACGTAAGCAGTGACGAAGAGTCATAGAGTCAGTATTAAGCATTCGATAGTTTGGGATTAACATCGCTTTTATTGATTCTCTAGCTTAGCTATTTAAAGGTAATCCCACTGATAATGAGAGATTCAACAGCCTGGCTAGAACCACCGAACAGACAGCCAGACCAGAAGCCCAAATCGTCAGATGATCCAGCGAGAAGATAGATGTCATTAACTAGCCACCATGTAGAACTGCAAGTCGTAGCTCAAACGCTCATAAATCATTGCTTCATTATTACCCTCCCCAAGCGATTCATTCTCGAAAGCAAGGTGGGAAACCCAGAACCTCTGGCAAATAGAAAGGCATTGCCAGCACAAAATTGAAAGAAAGGAGCTATCAAACGTCCACAGTGACAATTGAAAGCTGACTTTCCCCTTCCCAACTTCATTAAACATAGTAAATGGTTTTGAGTTCAGTGAGGTGAAGATAAACCACCATGTGAAAAGAAGCCATTCCAGGTGTAAGCGCAAGACTCCCACCAGAACCAAATATGGAGTCTAGTGGGACTCCAGGGCAGCAGCAAGGTCAGCTTCAAGGTGACCCATGCTGATATCCTTACTCAACTCATTCGCCAAATCCTGCTCAAGGGATCTGCCGAAGTCTTTCGGAATACCGCCCTGCATCTCCTTCTCGAACGACTCATTGAAGGCTCGAAGAGGAGAGTTGTCTCCATGAGATTGGACACGATAATTGTTGGAGCCACGGAACACAGGGGTTTCGACCTCAGGAGACAGCCCCATGGTGGAAGAAGCATCGTCGATGAATCCTGGGGTGCTGGAGTAACGGCTGATGGCGGTGTAATTGTCAGAGCGGCGAGCATACTTGTTGAGGTTATCTGGAGTGACGGGGTCATCTCGTGAACTACGGTAAGACTCGTAGGGAAGACGCATACGCTCTGGCTTGTCATGGTAATCAGAAGTCTCGGATCCACGGGTACGGGAGAGGTCTCGAGTACGAATGCCAGCTCTCTTGAGAGGACGATCGGTAGTTGACTGGTCAGACCGAGTATAGTTGTCTCTGTTAGCTGCTCGATCAGTAGTCCAGTCAAACTTGCTTGAAGATCTCAAGTTCTCAGGAAGGACGCGGAAGGAGTCGAGGTTGGTCTTGGTGAGGGAAGGCTGTTTGACTGGAACCATGTCTGGATTTCGGCTATCGAAACCTCGGTCTGTCTCGCTGCGCCATCTGCTTCTGTCAGAGGTGGAGAGTGTTGCAGGTTCTGATCCCTTCCAAAAGTTGTCTTGGGTGATAGTAGCCACACTTGTCATTGCTGTTCAAATGTCAGCAAAACTCATATGCCAGAAGTAATACATAGACTCACCAGCATCTCCATCTTCTGCAGTACCCTCCATAGCACCCTCAACCAGAGGCGCCATAAGACCTCGCTCAATCTTGTACTGCGTCATAACCTTCTCCTTCCTACCCTGCTTCCACTCACTCTGCGTACCATCGAAATCAATAGCTGGCTCTCTATTCCAAGCCATTCTCAACGCTCTCGTAACCCGACCATTACGCTGTCTCTCGACCAAACCACCTTTGCCGGCAACATGCTTGCGCTCAGCCAACATCTGATCGAGCATACGGGTGACCTCCTTCTTGGGTATATCGCTGGTGTAGTTCTTACGGTGGACAGCATCATTAAGGGCCGAGTAGAAGTTCTCGTAGGCATTGGCACGAGTGACGGTGGGTGCTTCGGTGCGCTTGTCTGGGCGTTGCTCGAGATGGACACCTTTGGCTATGAGGCAGAGCATGGTGTGGAGCTGTGAGAGATTGAGATAGCTGGGATATCTGATTCATTTAGATATCACATACCTCGAATTGCGTCCACTTATGCTGAGGAGGAGGCATTGCGGCGACAGGTGCTTGCTCTGTGGCTGGTGTAGTCGTCTTGTTGACAGGAGGGGGATGTCTCAAGATCGACGACGAGATCTCGAGGCTCAATATGATGGTGGTGTTGTTCAGAAAGTTGGATCAGGAAGAGACACTGGCTATATGTAGGAAATTTCGAACTGTCGTAGATAGCCTATCTTTCCTAGCTTGGTCGTAATGTATGTCAATAAAGTGATTCAGGCCGAAAACCCTAGGGGAAACAATTATATGCCTGATTGCCGAAAATAGAAAGGATCGTGGTCCAGGGCGTGATCTGGTGGCCCGAAACAGGATAGGAAGCTTGTTGACATCAGGGGACATAGACCGGTTTTGTGTTGATTGGGGAACCGACGTGGCGTTAGGGTATTATGATGTTAATGAATTGATATTGGGACAGGCAAGAGAATGAATAAATGGGCTGAAATCAAGAAGTGATCTTGCAGAGGATGATTAGATTTGGAGTTATCTTTGTCGAAGTTGTCGAGCAGGTTTGAGGAGTCGTCTTAGGCAAGTGAGAAAGGGAAGGAGCGACCTCACCTCGCTTCTATTCCAGCCAATCAATGCCTTCATCTGCGAAAACGTCAACATGGATCTCTTTTGCAGCTGGCTAGGTAGATAATTGACAACAACAACTGTGATGATTACTCCTCGCTATTTGACGCATCAACTCAAAGGTTAGTAGTATCATGTGAGCGATACAGCACCAGCGCAAGCACCTCCTATTCAATAATTCTCATATTCACGTGACACATACATGCAAATGCCACCTCGTCCTCCTATCCTATTATGCCGCTCATCTAAAGGTAGACCTTTACCCGTATGGCACAAAGCAGTCACCTCACAACATCCATTCACTCATGACTTTCCACACCTCTCCCCTATACCAGTCCAGAGATTACCGCCCTGTCTGCAGCACCCGTGCAGAGAACCGCACCCGTGTAAATGCAAGCATATCAAATCCTATCCAAGATATCCAACGCCTCCTAGTATGCACGCACCAGCTTATACGACAAAATCATTCAGGGGTGGAGATCCGACAAGTAGAAGGCTGCTTCAGTAAATTCCTTGTGTGCGGTACTGGAAGGTATCATATCTGCAGTGAATTAGCATTATGTCCAAGTGTCACGAACCACCTTGGTGAGATTAAGGCGAGGCCAACATACAATCGCGTGTAGTAACTCCCCAACGACTTCCCAATCAGATCCGTTTCTACAAACTGCTCGGCCTCATCTGCGCTAAGCTGTAGCTGGAAGCGCTGCCGCAGACTGTTTGTCGCTTGGAGGACACCATATGAAAAACATGGCATCTTCGATTCTCGACCCATCATATTTACAAGGTCAATCAAGTTGTCTGCAGACCGCCGAAGTGCTATTTCCTATTAGTAGAGATCCACATTTCGGTGTCAGCAGTCGTACCTTGGAAAGCCTGTTTACAAAGCTTCTTGTAGTCATCAAAAGCTGGCGATCCAACACCACCCAAAACATCCACATAATCTTGAGTCAACTTAAAAGGTGCAGCTTCAAAACCAACTGATCCAGGTGAGTTCGAAAGCATGAACCCAAAATCAATGTGGATAATGTGCCCTTCGTTGTCTACGAGAACATTGCCATTGTGCCGATCCTTGAGTTGTAGGATGTAGGATATGATGCTGTACGCTGCAAGCGAGCGTTTGAAACATCCTTGTGCAGCCTGGTATGCCTCGGTCTCGGGAGCACCAAAGGTCTTGACAAAGTGATCCTTCAGCGTGGCAATCCGCCTTCGCGGGTTCTGCCCAGACTCAATCGTTGCCAGCGTCAGACTACGTTTCAGTGAGTGCAAAGAAACACCATTCGTGATGGTTTCGATCAGTCCAGAGGACTCTCCGGTCACTAGAATGCGCATTCGCTTGACCCAGACTGGGGTTTCAGCATCTTGCCAGATCTTGTCGCAGACCTGGATGAGCTGACAAGCGAAAGCTTCCTGTCTCAAATCATCTCCAGTCTTGACAATGACGCTCAACACATCCCAGTTCTTCATCCAGCCATATGGAGATGACTTCCGGATTCGTTCCTTCTTCAGATTCCATGCTTCTCCAAAGGTGGCAGCGCTTGGATCATCTCTGTCGCCTTTCCTTTGTACACCGCCAGTTTTCTGATCGTTCTCCATTCTGGCAGCACCGGCTCCAATATTCAGAGCCGAATCCGTTGTAGTTCCTTCCTCGATATCTTCAGGTATAATGTTGGCAGCAGCAGCATTGGCATTTGCCATTATCGTATCGAAGGTAGGCGCAGTCATCCCATCATCTATTTCGAAACTTTGCTCCTCCAAGCTCTGCATGCTAGCAATGATCTTTGCACGAATAGCTGCTACTTCATGCTTCGGTCGTTTTCCACTGGTCGAATCCAATTGGGCTAGCATTTGAGAAGCTGTCCTCATGTGGGTTGCCAGAGCAGAGAAGTCCGGTTGATCAGCAGCTCCAGACCGGCCATGGCTGGGTAGAGTCATCTTTCTACCTGGACTACTCGATCGTGATGTTGATGCTCCTGAGGTTCTGGGTGTGACAAGACCAGATTGCGTAGATAATGTGGTACCACCATTTGAGAGTCGTGGTGGGTGAGTAATGGGTGCATTCTCCTTCTCCTGGATGCCACCAACATCGTTTATCAGTGGAGAGCTTCCAATATCCCCGGAAACTGGCTCGAAAACACTGTCCGTAGCCGTCTCGGTGGGTTTGTTCCCATTCCGTGCCCGTCCAGATTCCGAAAGATCAAATATGCGGCGTCTACTTGATCCTTGCTCAGACATGAGTCTAGCTAGTAATATCTTGTTCTCGGCTGTTGATGGTTCAAATGAAAAGTCGTCCCGTAGGACCTCAACCATGAGCAGATACGGCACCTTCTCCGCACTATTCAGGACCGTCGCTTCAGCCGGATTCAGTCTAACTATCCTATGATGTCGACTCTTACTGGGAATACCATCTACTAATGTTGCAGGGCATATCACTGGTATGTCCACTTCGGCCGGTAGGTCTTGGTCAATAAGTGCCAGTTCTGCTCGGAGTGCACTGAGACGTGCTGGCTTGGGGACGATAACCAGTCTGGTGGATATGTCTTCCAGGGCTGTTATGAACTGTGTCTGGGAGCGAAAGTAATTTTGTCTTAGCAACTTCACTTTCTGTGCATCTGACAATGCCCCAGGGGTAAGGGGTCTGGCAACATGCACATGTTTCTTGTGGACTAGTTCTGACGGTCGTTGAGCTAGACCGGCAGTCGCTGGTGTAGGCGGCCTTGTAGCTGACATCCGCGGAGACCGGGCATCGGGTAATGGCAGAGAGGACGAACTAAGTCGAGGATCTGCTGCTTGGAGGTCAAGATGTGTTGGCCGGGGCCTAGGCTCCAACGGTTGCCTACGACTCGAATGCGAGGATGACGGCCTCGAAAGGGATGTTGTCCTACTCGGTCTCGGCCGAGCATCAGAAAGGAAGTTTCCGTTTACAGGTGTGCTTGCTGTGCGTCCAGCCTCCTTCGCCCTTCTCGTTCTCGTGGATCCCGGAGTCGTAGTATGACTCCTTACAATTTTCTGCTGCGTCTGGCTTGCATCCGAAATAACATCTCCGGTGGACTGGGGTTTCCTTGCTTGAGCAATCGCTAATGGCCCCGCCCATTTTGGAAGAAAGGGAACTGCAACACTGGCCAACACAAAGCTGGCCAATACCGTCACTGGCAGGACATTTTCTTTAATCTTCTCATTTCTCGCCGGTTCAGCCAACCCAAACACAATATGCTGCACTTTGTTGTATATCCTCCTGCACGTCTTAAAGGCTTCTGATTGCGGGTTCGCGGAAAGATCGTGGAGGTATGTTTGGAAAAGCCAGAATGTCTATGCCTTCGTATTAGCGATCAAGTCCGCTCCCCGGCCAGATGCGGAACCCACCAGCAGCGCAGCATTCACAGATTCCTCGCAGAGGTCTAAAATGAATTCCTCCAATGCCATAGACTCGTTGTCGACGCTAATGATGAGATGGCAGAGCTGCGGGAGGAAGAATTCGATTTCCTCATAGCTGAACTGGCGGAGTTTCGAGCAGAGGACATAATGGATGCCGACATGGTCCGCGTATCGTCTATATTCAATGTTAGTATACTCGGCCAGCAGATACAGAAAATGGGGAGCCATACGACAGGTATGCCACGGAAAGGAACGGGTTCTGGTTGAAGACATCGCTCTCGATGAATCTCTTCAGTAGGTCCCACGACATTGGGCCTACCAGACGTTGGCGGTATGGAGGGAGCGAGCGAAGAGGCACAATGCCTCTGATAATCTCGACATCAACAGGAGCGGCGAAGGGCGAGGAGCATGGTTAGACGAACCATGTAATGTATTCGCGACAGTCAATTCGATTCAAGGGCAGGTCGTCTGGTCCTCTGTCCTGTAAAGTGCCAAGTTGGGAGGTTTCCATCATGAATTCGGTCAAGCCACTTGAGGCGTTCCGTCGGCCCCGGCAGAGTTTATCCGAGCCCCACTGCCTCCCCCTTTACCTTAAGCACACCTGTCATGCTTAAAAGTAGGGTTTCATGACAGCTTCAGGTACGAACGCTCGCATCCTCGGATGCAGATTATGTGGTTGATAGAAAGCTACACCCAAGGATCAACTATGCGTTTTAAGCCCGCCCAATACCAGAGTCAACTCAATGGTATAGCGTTGTTTTCCAAAAATCGGAACAAACGAGGACGTCTTGGAAGGATATTATGGTTGCTTACTTGTAATTCAAATATTCTGGTATATGGAGCCCAAGATCAACTCCCCCAAGAGTTCAATCGTACAGATCTCTATCATAATCATACAGATGTCGCTCAAATGCCAAAATACAAGTCCCAAGCATCCGTTAGCTCATTCAAACAGTCTCGTAAGTCCCAGCATCTTGACCATAAACAGCCTTGACATCTTCCCTCCTGTCCAACAATCCTCTCCTCCCCCTAGACGTCCTCAAATTTCCCCTCGATGCATCCAACAACGGGCGGACCCATTCTTCCTTGACCTCGCCACCCACCAACTGCCCATCCTTCTTCAAGTACGTTGTGTTTGCAAGCAACGTTGGTTGGAAATTGACATACACTCCTTCCCACATGCCTGCGTCAGCTTCATACACTTCATGCATGATTCCAATGTGGTTGAGCTTCTTCACATTGTCATTCCACCATCTCCAAGCTGCAAGATGGGCAGGACCGTAAGCGAAACGGTGGACATCGTCGATAGACCTCCAGTAGGAGATCGTGATGTTCTCTGTGGCGCCATTGTTATCTTTTCGCATCACAGCCGATTGCCCCAGGACTGTTCGTGTATTAGCATTTGACACAATGCCAAGACAAAATATGTATGGGAACTTACAGCCTGAATCCTGAGTGGGATCTCCGTTCAACTCTTCCGTCATCCTTCGCAAAAACGAACCAACCTTTCCGAATCGCGGTTCGAACATTCCCAATGGATGGTTACTCTTCGCCCCTAATAGCATGACGGCAATCTTCTCTTTGCCAGGACCGCTGAAGTTCCCTTCCCGATCATGGGGCTGGGCTGTGACTTTCTTGTGAATCGCATCTTTCAGGTACGGATTGGGGATGAGATTGTAGGTGATGAGAGTTGTGTCGATGATTCGAAAGAGCAGCAAGCCGATAGCTGGTCCGACAGAGTAGAGCTTGGGAATTGGTAGGAGGAAGAGTGCTGTCTGGATGCAAGCTCCGATAAGGAGAATGGTTGGAAGAGAAAGGTTATTGTGGAGCATCTGGAGCTGTTAGACTTCTTTCAAACATGAATCCAAAGTATATGGAGGATTTACGTTGAGCTTCAGCTTTGTCGAGCTAAAGTTGGGCCCAGCAGGCCTTGTTGGCGTTGACGGAAGCATATGTCTGTAATCCATTCTGGATTTGTCGTTGTGTCGCAGAAAGACGAATGAGGATGATGCTGTTTAATCCAAGTATCGCTTTAAATGGCGTTTAAGATTTGCGAAATTCCAAGATTGCTGAAGTACGAAAGATGAAATGTCAATGTGTTTGGTGTTGTGCAGCAAGAAAGCTATTTCCACTGGGGATCTCGCCCTTCATATAAACCTCCCGCGGTCACTGCATCCTTCAGCAACATTTGCATCAATACTCCGACCCCAGATGTACGTCCGTAGTCGTGAATGGTGGAAAGCAGCCCCGTGCATCGCTAGCACACCTCCTCGTCGGATTCGGATTTGTACATCTGTGGCTGTACCACAGTACAATAATACCACTAACACGCGCATACGGCCGTTGCCAAAGAAGCTTAGTGTTCTCGCATCCTCCCGTTCGGCACAACATCAGCCCCTGAGCCAATCAACAACACCCCGACTCGTCGCATCCTCATCGCACACAGGGAATGAACTTAAATACCCGGATGCGCAATCAGGAACATGACGACTATTGCCTTTGTGCTGGAATCTGAATACACGGTATTACCAGATGGTGGGGTAAAGTACGATTCCCTGGCGAAAAGAATCCCCGACGGACTGAACAATTGCACATCGACGTGAAAATAACCAACAGGCTTCGGCGATGGAGGGACGGACGAGCACAACAGCGGAAGACGCCACTTTAGTTTCTTGGAGATGGCAAAATGCTTCGACATCATCGGGTTCCGCGGATTGCTTTGATCCGATAACCTCCAGATGAAGTCATGCGCGTAAGAACACCACTGGCAGCCCTTTTGAAGCTCGACGCATCATGTGGTCTTGAGTTTTTCCAGACAAGACAAGACTGACCGCCAGATACCAGTAAGGGACAACCATCTCGTTACTCATCTCTGCATGGGCGATCAATGAGAGCAAGTGGAAAAGGAGAAGCAGACCGTCAACGAGAACAGATAGGCCGAAGGACGGTAGCATCTCTTTGCTGATTCAGAGAAGTCATCTGCAGAGATTAATAAGGAAATCTCAAACCTGATAGAGAACAATGCCGACGAAACAGCGACTGAGATGCCGAATGGATATCACAATGCTGGAAACTTGAAGGATACAGATGGGTGAGAGTGGCTAGTGGTAGCTCTGGACTTAGAAAAGTTGCTGACTCAGCTTCGGGGTCCGAGTTTGTCCACCAAGAAATGGAACCACATATCTTGACTGCACATTCGAAGGACATCGTCTTCATTAACTCAAAATTGCCAGCTATATCTTCTGTCAAAACAAATTTTCGAGCCATCTGCGAGGAGAAATCGCAATGCGAGCGATCTACAATTATCCTCTTCGATGAGAGTATCGCCAAGAAGCTATTATCCAACACAGTCGTCGAAATTAACGTAGCAATCTCCTCATCGATTTGACCTCTACAATCCCAGGAAAAGGCTGACCTATTGAACCCGCGCTGTTCTATTTCGGTCACCCCGGTCATTCAACAAGAAGATGGCCTCAAACCCTGAGAAGATATAAAAATATGTAGCGAAAGCAGTAAAATGCTACATAGTCCCAAATTTGTATTCTATTGCTGGTGCTTCGTTGACATGCTTCAATTCTAATCCTGATCTACGACTTCTGCAAAGCTAATCTTAAGACAGGTCAAGATATGGGGGTAGCATTTTCAGACCTTTTCCCTTTGAAACTGGCGAATATTCGCATTGTGATCAATTTTGCACAGCCAGCGCATGGTGAACCTGTTGCGGTTGAGCAGCTTGACAGCGAGTCTCAGGGTCTCAAGGTCTCATATGGGGAGTTGGAGACTGAGTGATGAATAGCGGACACCAAGAATGTAGTCATCCCCTTGATCAATGAGACTTACACTTGCCTGAATTTATGTAAAATGATCGGGAACTGGTATTTTAAAAGATCAAAAATTCACAGCATTTGGTCCCACCAGCTTCGGAGTGATTATCTCTCCCATACATCATCGAACTTCCAACACCCCATCATCTAAAAGGCATTTAGTCGGGACAACCCATATATTCCACCCACCAACAATTTTGCTCGCTTAGCAAGTCAACAATTCCCTGCCCGCATTACCCAATACAAACCCATTTCAAGACCCAAAATGAATGAGAGAAACATCTCTCACTAATTCAAAGTCCTCCTAAGCTTGAAGGCCTAACCATTCAATCACAACAACCCCACCAACAGCCCCATCAAGCCAACCACCCATCCACCAACCCCTCCACTGCCTCCAGCTCCCCTCGCAGCCGCACCCGTCGCCAAAACCGCACTCGTCGTCGCACTCCCACCTCCACCACCTCCCTCAGCAGGAAGTGTCTCGGTCGCACTCTCGCTCGCACTAAGCGTAACGCTCGTCACACCTGTCACAGTAACGACACTAGTCCCTGGCAGTACACACGAGCAGGTTGTACTCGGTCCAGCAGTCGGACAAGGGAACGGTCCTTCTGTACCCGTCCACGTCGATGTCTGGCCCTGACAAGTGACCTTAGAAGGGCATGAAGTGAGTGTAGTGATGGTTGTGGATGTTTTGGTTATAGTACTGTTGCCGTAGTATTTACTTGATATTAGTTTTGGTGGGGGTGTATACGTCGGCGGAGGTTCAGTCTCAGTTGTTGATGCGCTGTATGATGGGCTTGGGGAAGGGGAGGTCGGACAAGGTGGGTGCACGACGCTGTAAGTAGTTGCGCAACCGGTTGGACAAACTGTCTCGCAGCTCGTGACTGTCGGGATGGTGTCGCAGCCGCAAGATTGGGTCACAGTGACGATTCGAAGACAGAGGAGGCGGATGCAAGAGCTAATGGCTGTGCAGGATGGGCCTTCGGTGGAGGTGAGTGTGAGGCAGGATGGCTCGGCGGGATAAGAGGGAGATGCTGTGATGGTTGATGGAAGGTATGTGTCGGCGAGTGTGAGAGGAGTAAGGAAGGAAAGGGCTGCAATGATATTTGTGACTAGGTACATGATGGTTGAGCGAATGTATGCTTAACGAGCGTGGTATCTTTTGAAGTTGCCAAAGCACCTAGAAGAACCAGAAGGAGCTTTCGAGACGGCTCGTGGGTTTTTGCCATTTCTTTATACACGTTAGAAGGTCAGATGGACCCTGCATGATTAGCTATGAACGTGACTTTGGGGTTTCTCGTATTTCCTATGCCAACTCATGAGTGGCTTGAGCGACGAGACGTAGCATAGCGTGCGGGGTAATCATCCCGATCGACCATTCGACTAACCCCTTGCATACAATATACATCCTCGTATTCAAGGACTTGGCTGTATATCTGATTGAGTCAGATTTCTCGGTTGCTCGTCGCAATGGAGCTCTTGCTTGGCGTGTGGCTTTCTGTTTTGACATCAGACGTTGAACGTGCAGACGTGCGCTCATATTCCTTAATTGTTATATTGTTTCGTAAGAATTTATAATAGAATACCCTGCGTGTTTTGTGTTGTTTCATCTTCAATAAATCATAGATTTATCACAATATCTTCAGATCTCAGGCCAGCAGCTCTTCCAGAGTGTCCCCAAGGAAACAAATCTTCGCTTAACCATCTTTACCTCCTTCATAGACGCCAATTGCTCCGACTATTTCCTCTGGTACCCCCTATTCAAGCTCTATCTTCATTCAAAAGAGTCCTACAACTGCCCCTAACACCCCCAAAACCAACCCTCCCTTCCCAACACGATCCTTCTTACCCGCAGCCCCCGTGACAATGACTGTAGGACTCGAAATCGTACTCGTAGGCGTCACTATTACCGTCCCATTCCCAAACGACGACGTCTGAGCAGGTGGAGACACAGTCCCAGATTCAGTACCCGTCGGAGTCACAGTTCCCGATTCCGTACTCGTCACCACCGTCCCCGACGTCACACTCACACTCACACTCCCACTCCCAGACGAACTGGGGCTCACCGAACACGGCAAATACGCAACAGACGTACTCACCGCACATCCCCTCCCACACGCCGTCTCACAACTCGTCACAGTCGGCACAGCGCCGCAAGAGCATTGCTGCGTGATAGTTGAGATTTCAATGCAGAGAGGCCGGATGCAGACGGGTGTGATTTGTGGGCAGGTTGAGCCAGTGGTTACGGTTATGGTTGGGCAGGTTGGATCTCCTGGAGGTGATGTTTGGCTGGGGTTTGGGGTGGTGATGGTGGAGTCTGTTTGTGCGAGGGTGAGGGGAGATAGGAGGGCGAGGGTGGTGAGGATGCGTGCGATTTGCATTGTGAGTGAGGGTGTTCAGTGTGGTATAGATGTAAAGACCGTAGAAAGTGACTTTGAGACGCAACGTGGAAGTGCGGCAGTGTCGGATGATGATTTCGTTATTGATCGATCGAATTGATTTGGTTCAGAGTGACCCTGTGCAGTATTTATACTTAGAAAGGTTGAGAACACTCGAAGAATTAAACAGAAGACCGCCTGGTTAAAGTACCGTATTTTGGTATGCGTCAACGTCAGACTTTCGATTTCCGTGCCGGAATGAGGCTGGAATGGCACTCATGTTTCCAGATCAGGTGTGGTGATGCGGGTGCGGGGTAAAAAGCTCCCGCATGCCTCTCGGCCCTTACAGATAAATGTAAGATCTTACGTAGGTAACAAGCATGCTTACTCGTATTCCAAAACCAGTCTTACCGAGTTGAGGAGTGCTAATTGAAGATCGCGATATAAATATATCTGGCTGGCACAGCGCTTGTCTGGCTTCATTCTCGCATCACAGTTTCGGAACTTCATAATCAAATGATCCATAGGTCTCCACTCCGACCTAAGAGATCGATGTAAGTTCCAAACCTTGAACACAGGTGCCTCGTATGAGAGTGGAATGTAAGTATTTATGCTTTTTCCATTATCCTCATCATGCTGTATACAGAACAGGACCCAAACCTCAAGAGACTCAAAACATGAAGGAAGTAATTGCGCCAGAAACACCTCCCCGATGAGACAGGCAAGCACGCAGCATCTCCTTCTCCCCAATTCATCTACTCCAACCTCCATCCTCCGGCCACCATACCTCTTCCATAATCAAACAAAAGAAATCCATACCGGAAGGTAAGCACGATTATGCATAAATAGATGCCTCCAGGGCTGAAGACAATGGACTGTGAAGTCGAACCGATGTATTTGAAGAATGAGAAGCGAAGGTTGAAGTGAAATCATTTTGAACAACATCGTGCGTCGTAAGCCGTGTTGTATCGTTCGTCATCAGTTCCGTTAATTTGGTTCGCTTCAAAAGACGGTGCTCTTCGTTCGCTGATGATTTCTCGAGGTTTTCCTGGTGGTTCCTTGCTCGGCCTTCTTTTTCATACTCTCCTCACGCTTCAATACCATATCACACCAGCTGCCCTTGGCACTATGCTCCTTGCCGATGCAACCATCAAGAACTTGCATCCAGCCTTCTTTGTCGGCAGCTGTGTCCGCGTAAAAGTCGATGACTTCTCCATTATTGAATCGGATGCGGAATCCTTCTTCAACAAACATGTATCCTTCCTCTTCTTCTGCGAAGCCTGATTTGCGGCGCTTCCCGCCTTTACCAGTTGTCTCCTTCTGTGTCAGCGCGCGGCGATCGTCGATCAACTTGCTAGCATTGGCAAGATTGATAGTGGCACGAGGCTGGCGGGTGGACTCGTGGTAGGCGGTCAGCTTGCTACCAGCGAGCTTGAAGAAACGGCGGCGCCAGTACTGTAGACTGTTAGCATAGACTCTCACAGGGAGGATCAAGAAAGACTTACAGGACAATCGCCACCCTGTTGACTAAGATGACCTTCGAAGTTGCGAGCCTGAGCTGTCTCGGCTTCCTTCATTTCCCGGATGCAGGAATTCATGCTCTTTGGCATGTCCTCATCGGCGGCGCCCTTGGGCTTCGGCACGAAGAGAAGCTGCAACTCAAGCTTTGCAACCTTGTATGGGGCTCGTCGTTGAACACTAGTGTTTCCGCGCTTGCTCATAACACTTGATCGGTGGGATGCCTCTTCAGTTGCCCATTCGTTGAAGCATGCAACATCAACAACATACGGACGCCCGTAGCAGCGAGACTCATGGTCCTTAAGGCATACATAGGATCGACCAAAGCTTCCGTCTTCGGCAGCGAGAGGAGACAGAAGATCCCATGCGGTAGGTTGAACCGACATTCGTTTGGCTTGCGCTTCGCGTTGATTCTGTTGAGCGACTCGCTGCTCCTCTTCCTTTTGTCTCATCTCTAGCTCTTTGCGCTTCTTAGGCGATGCGAATACTCGGCTGAAAGTCGATGGCTTTTGTGCCTTGTGCATCTTGGTGGGCGATTCGGTGACTCGAGATGGAGGAGGCTTGACCAACTTGGCATTGAGAGTCAGTTGGAATTCGAGCTCACTAGGCACCACTAGTTCGAACTCCTGGCCGATTGGAGCATTTCTTCCAAGTTCAAGCCATGCTGTAGTAACACAGTGGACTCCGTTATCAAGAGTTAGACTAAACCATGTTTGTTCATCTAGGGAGTATGTCAGCGATCAGCCATTGTGCGAACCATGGAAACTTACTCTTTGGTAAAGGTAGATCAAGATCCTTGACACCAATGACCTTGACGAACAGTCGTCCTCTCTCGCCTCCTTCTTCGGGAACTGGATCCGCCATGGCTTCTTCAGACACGATGCCCAAACCTGCGACGTTACTGTCCTGACCGGGCATTGGAGGCATAGGTCCGGATGGAACCTTCTTGCGAGCGTTTGATCTATCACGCATGCTGTTCTTTCGCATGTTACCATTCCAAGGTTCAACAGTCCACGATTGAGGGCGGTCCTTCTTCACAGGAGAATTCCCAGCAGATCTAGTTCCGTGGAAGGCATCCCCCATATCATCATTGCTTGAAGCAACAATCAGTTTGGTGTTTTGTCTCATCAAGTAGCCACGCTGTTTACGAGGAGTAATGTTAGCATATATATTAAAAGAAGACTTGATGCTGATATTGGACGCTTGTCCCACAGCGTCATAAACATGTGGATTGAAAGAAGATTGGTAAGACGCCACCTTTTGGGCTTCGATAACTCGATCAAAGTCCTGGTCGAGGCTCAGTCCGCCATCGTTACCAATGTCCAAAGTGAGAGATCTCTTGTGGAAGCTAGGATGCCTCTCCACACCTGGTTCGGAATCAGCCGGTGGTTCAAGTTCGCGATCCAGGCTGAGTGATGGACGATTGCGGTGTCGCTCTGGTATGGGAGGGATAGAGTGAGTTTCGCCACTAACGTGTCGTCGAAGCTCACGCATTGCCATGAGATCTGACGGTGTGTTAGATGGGCGGGTCTTGAGCCTAGAGCCAGATGATTTGATAGTGGCAACTGCTTCTGGGATGGTTGGAGATTCACGGGGTGGTGAAGGTGGGACTGGATTATGGATAACAGAGTCTGGAGTTCCGACGTCGTACTGCTCCTCATCCTCCTCTGGTCCCCAGCCAGTTCCGTCGTACTCAGGTCTCGAAACAGGCTGCTGGCGCTCTTCTGGTGTTTCTGGGCGTTGTAAATACTCATGAGCTTGTGCCATCTTGGGTGCTTCAGCCTTCAATTCAACCTTTTCCTTCGGCAGAGGAGGTGAAGGTGTCATGTACGATTGCAAGCTAAGACCGAAGTCACTGTTGCTCATAAAACCAGTGAACTCAGGGAGAGATCCGCGCTGATCTTGCTTCACTGGATCAGCGACCAGGAAGGAGGTTTGAGGCGGGCTGTTTGCACGAGGTGTAAGTGGGCCATCATCCTCGGGGCCGCTGTTTGAGTTGGGTTGTGGACTTTGGTTAGATGGAGTAGGATCAGAATATTGGCTCTCTGCGTCCTCCTCCGGTGGGACTTGTTGACCAGCCTCGGCCTGAGAGTCGGGGCGCTGGTACATGTCAGGGATCGAATATACATCTACTGCCTCATCATCGTCTGGCTCTCGCTTGATAATGACACTGTCATCGTTCTCCAAGACCGAATAATCTTCTGTAGAAGGGAGAGGGGTATCTGGATCAAGCGCTGCTGGCCGCTCAGGACTTGAGCTCGGCATTGGTGATGAAAAGTTGTAGTCTGACTCCCGCGAGAATGGATCCTGGCCATTGACCTTTCGTAGAATCGACTCTCGCGAAATTCGCTCTGGTAGTTGATATGTGCCAAGACCTGGAAGATCATCGAGAGTATCCTCATCCTCGTGGATTTGGATGGACTGTTCCCGCTCGCGCTCAGGGGTTTGGCTGCTTCGATCTGAACGTGGTCCGCCACGCCTCATTCGGCGCTCACGTTGCTTCTCGGCCTCAGTCTTTGGTTTCTCCTCATCCTGGATCATCATCAATTGAAGTCTTTCCTCCAATGTCATCTTTACTCCACTCATTCCTTGAATATCAGACTTGCTGAAGGATGCGGCGGCTGGTGGAGAAGGAAGGCTTCGTTGCGAGCTTGTGGCGCGCTCCGCAGCCGCTGAGACGCCAACGGAGGAGGTTGAACCACTGCGTTTATGTTGATTCATCCCAGGGAGAGGCGGGAGGGGTCTGTGTTCGCCGTTCGAATTAAGAGAGTCGTTGCGAGTGGCAGCTGGACGACCAGAAGAGGATGGTCGTGCATCAGGCATGGGGCTACCCTCTGGACCACTGAATGGATCCTCGAAGCGTCCTGACATAATACCAGTATTATGCTCGCCAGGACTTGTGTGTCTCCAATCTTCCGGTCCTACAACTGGAGTCTTGTCTGTGTCCTCGAGTGAAGCATCAAAGCTGTCGTCTTGCTCCATAGATTCTCCACGATTGTAACTATCTTCGTCTTCCTCCTCTCCAGAATCATAGCTGTTCTCGCGCGATCCAGTCCCGACAGAAGATAAATCCGGAGTGGTCATTTCATACTCGTTAATTTGCGGAGGAGCAGCATCGAACGTAACGCTCTTGGCATGTCTATGGAGGATCTTGCCCGGTGGAAGTTGTCGTTCGTCGCCTGATGCATCCTCTTGCCAAGTACCGTTCTCTGAGTCGTAGCTAGATTTTCCATTGAAGATGCGAGAGGAGAGTGCAGATTTGGTTGGGGAGACCTGGTCTTTGCTGGGAGAGCGTAATCCATTTGCATTCGTGGACATTGGGGTTTTGTTTGGACTTGAAATTGGACTGTACAATGGAATGCTACTCTTGCTGTCGTTTCTCTGGTGGCTAAAAGGGCGTCCGCGATCTGCAGACCGAAGTCCATCCAAGCCTGCTCCACCATATGCGTTTCCTTGTAGCTGTTTTGCCAGAGGTCGCTCGACGACGGGAATTGATGTAGGGTCGTACTCTTGCTTCTGCTCACGCGCGAACATATTGCTGTTCTTGACACGCGACGCGCGCTGGAGGCGCTCGATGGATGTTCGCCGGGTGGGTGAGGGTGATGTCTCTCGTCCTGCGAAGAAGTTCTCGCTGTTGAATCGATTCGGCGTAGTAGGGTCGCGGCCTTGCCAGAAGAGTCGAGGGCTCGAGTTGCTGGCTTCCGGTGATGGTTGAAAAGGTGAGCTATCCCCATTGAGCATCATCTTCTGTTGTCTGGATTAGCTTCTAATTTTCCGAGGCATGCTGCTTGAGGAATGCTGTACCTTTGTAGCGGAATTGTAGCTGGGGCTGTTTCGCCTCCTCTCGTGGGGCGCCAATTCTGATAAAGGTCTCGGGAGAGAAGAGCCTGCCATCTTGAGTGGTGATGTAGAAGATCCCTTTGAGATGCGGAGCGGTGTCTAGATGACCAGTAAGTATTGGTACCTTTTGTTTATCAACAACAAAGCACATACAGGAGGGGCAGGAGACGACTCCATTCTGGCAACTATTGTTATGCGCTGCGCCGAAACGATAGAAGCTCAAGCTTTTTCCAATCCAATCCGATCGGGAGGTACTGCTGTACCAATGTCTCTCCCAAAGTAGACGTAGTGCCGATGAAGAATGTCGCGAAGAATCGAAGCGCGTATCGTAAAAGGCCAATAGCTAAGGGATCTGATATCAAACTGATCCTCCCTCCCTCGAATGATTTGAAGTGCGAGGAGAAAGTGTCGAAGAGAAACGATATTTCGTCTCGTGAAGGAGTGAAGAGAAGAGAGAAGGGCCAGTCAATAACAATTGTGTGGTATATGTGCAGTCAACATAACAGCAGCACACAGCACGGCACGGCGCCGTCTTGAATTAGCACAGTCGCTGGCACGGCAACCGCGATGCACGGGCCAAACCTTGGGGCCCACCTGCCCACCTATCGCCTCAGGCGAGCGCTGCGGGTCTTCTCCAACTTTTCTTCTTCTCCCCGATCAGCCTGGACATCATGATGCACACGCTTTGAATAGGTCTTTCTGAGTAGGGGGATCTGTGCCCATCTCTTCATATGTTTAAATTCTGTTTACAAGACTCAAAGCGGCGTTTTCATGATGCTTTTACTGTCCATTCATCCGATGTTGTCAGCTAGAAACCTGTTTTCTTGGGGTACATAACAGCCCATATTTATCCACTGCGGTCCTGCAATATTTCGCGTTTATGCAATGCAATGCACAACTCAGCTCCAGTGGAGACCAAGGGTCGACTTTGTGTTGACGACATGTGAAGAATGGGGGGAACTTCATTGAACATCAGAGGATCTACAAAGCGGAACAGCCTCGATTGAACTTCACTTTCGTATGGGTGTGTCGCGTCCGAACCATCCTTGGGTAGTACTCGAGTCGAGTTATCATCGGCAGAGCTCTCTCTGTCTTACTGAAACTCCCGCAAGACTTGTAGCACCGATCAAATCTAGATCCCTGTTTTCAAAGCTTGAAGTCGGGGGTTTTTGGTGCCAGGACAACAATCATAACAATCATAACAAAACATCGTTTACCCCTCTCGCGGACCCGATGTTTTGAAACGCTAGGCTGGTCACTTTGGTGCCAAGGCTACCCCGGTCGAGGCAGGATTCAGCCAGCAGCAGTTCATCTTGTTTTTACTTCTCGTGATTTTGCATTTTGAGTTTCCATGAGCATGGCTTTGTCTTCTTGATTCAACGCGTTCCTGAGTGTTCCTGGACTTTATTCTTCTAGCTCGTCACAATTCAAACCAATCAAATGTCCTTCGCACAAACTTCCCCGCTAGTCGAATAGGACAAACTGTAAACACTCCAATTCAGCTATGAACTTTCTTAGTACTATTTGTACTACTCTTGCTCCGAGTTCATCCCTTCCAGAAGTCCAAGCTCTCATCTATTCGTGTGCTGTTTGGCCCTGTCTTCCGGACACCTCTGTTACTCTCTGCCATAATTATCATTCTCAGACTTTCAGCTGAATATAGCAATTGATTGGATGAGGCGCTCTCAACCATCTGCAATTTACTTGTCTCTCTCCTGGGCCTCCAGGATTTGGAGAATATTAATGCAGCAAGTCGTTCGCCTCGTCACGTGAGAGACACAAAAAACAGGTACCATGGGAGCTCGGGACTGAGTACAATATTATACCTACAGTTATTGAGCAGTCGATAGTTAAGCTACCGTCTGGGGACTGTTAATATTTTTCTAGGTAATTGTTGGCAATTAATCTTGATTTGACTGTTTTAGGACAGTGTACACAGAGCAGCACTGTCCTCTAAGGTAGGTACCAAGGTAATTTTGGTCTCAATTGTCCTTTGGAGAGATAATATATCACAGATCCGGACTCGAGTGGAATGAAACGACGCTTTCTGTATATGTACCATTTAATTTAGGGACCAAAACCCTTCATCTCTTGCACTTCTGACATCACATCACGTGTCGTACCTGGACTCCTTTCCGTGATGGGTTTAGAGACGGTGTTCACTAGTACGAACCATCATCCACACAAAGGCAGACGGCTACTTTCTTAATAATAAATACTTCACGATGATTCCCAACTTCTAATAGAGGACGTCAATTTCCGTATTTCTATCACTGTCAATATCTTCCAGACACCGACAATACTCAAAACCAGCTTCTTGCTCGATTCCGAAACTAGCCATTATGCCATCCTTACAGCTGGCTTCAATGAAAAAGAAGTCGACATTATCGACAACTCAAGATGAACCAACGTTCCACAGATTCCCTGAACTTCCCAAAGAATTGCGTCTTCAGATCTGGGGCCTCACTTTACCTGGACCCAGAATAGTTCGTCTCACATCCGCTCATTTAAAGCCAGTCTACTGCTTGCGTGTTCGTTCAGATGCCGATATCAATACAACGGCATTCTTGGACATCCTGCCTGTGGATGAGAAAACCGTGTGGTACTCGCAGGAGCTGTTCACAGGAATCCGCAGCAATTACCCTCCTCCAGACATCTTGGCCGTTAACAAAGAATCCTTCGAAGTTGTGTCACCGCGCTACGAACGAGTATTCGGCACAGTGTATGGGATTCCACAGACGTGGTTCGACTTTGATCGGGATTTTCTTTACGTCGATTGGCACAGCGACCTCGAATTTGTCCAATCAGAGCTTCGCCGTGTACAGAACTTCGTGATCGATTTTGGTAGATATTATGATATCGGGCTCGTCCCTGGTATTCCTGGCGGGCAATCATGTTGGGAGGAGAGCTTGGCCCTCTTCCTGCGGGACTTCCTTGGTGCTCGAAACGTCATTTTGAACAATGGAGATGTTCAGGACGACTATGACGAGCTTACCAAATTCGAATTCGGTGACGCAGCGGCGCTGGAACCATTGTTCTCGCGCCGTCATCAATGGATTGAATCTCTTGCTGGACAGATGCGCTCACAAGGGATTACCAGAGGCGCGGATATCCTCGAAAACTATCTGCATAATCGTCAGGTGTCATTGGACATGAAGAAGTTTGAGAAATTCTTCAGGCGCTTCAAACTACCCGGTACTTTTGTACTTTCGACAATCAATATTTCCTGGAAACGGGTTGCGACGCCTGAGCAACACGAGTTATATCGGCTAGTTCACAGGCTCTGGGCGGACGAGTTGGCCAAGAGATCAAGTGGCAGTCGCCAAATTAAGTGTGTGCATAGATGTAGAGCTCGCTACAAAAGCAAGTTTGTACATTAATTCGGCATGCTGCTAGCATCGCTTCATGGATGCTTTGGAGGATCTAATTTTACGCTGATGACTTTTGGCCATAGCACTCCAAAACGCCGTTGGTCTAAAGAATAGATATCTTATGTTCAAAAAATTCATTTCACGTGCTCTTCAAGAATGCAAAATCAGGGACAAAGAAGTTAGCAGAATAGCTGAATATGTTAGTTGTATAGATACAGCCATCGTCAAATATATCTCTTTACAAACCATTTAGTTCGAAGTTCGAACACAGAATCAATAGGAGAGGAAGATAGAGCGCGTAACAAATAGCTTTAAATTTCCTTGTTCCAGCCAATTTTCACGAACATGACGCAAGGTTATCCAAATCTTTCGTCAGTATCAGAGTTGGTGGCAGTCCGCGTCGGGTACAGCCGATAGTGTTGTCCGCCTAGTCCAGTTCTTTACTCGATACTACCCATCTCCCATATAGCAATTCGGATTATATCACCATCACATATTGTAACAACTTTCAGGCTAAGAATGCGTGTGAACTTACAGGAAATTGTATAGTCTCGCCACCCACACAGCGGTTCTCCCTCCCAGAGCCCAAAGCAAACCCACGTCCTACGACTTTATCTCCACAAAAGTGACTAAATTAATATCCAGACACCATCCTCACTCTTCCCACAACGGCCAAAATTCAGCAGCATCATCCTCATAGTACACGGCATCCACACCAACATCAAACTTCTCCTAGAACCCGGTCTAGACCTCACGCACCTCTCAACAGTCAGCAAAGTCTTCGATACAGAAGATCTCGCAAGAATCGCACTCCTAAAAGGGGTACAGCCTAGCCGCACTAATACAAGCTCTCAAAATCCCACATAAGAATCTACTTTCTGCAGCTTATGATTCGAATTTCACGCTGAAAGCTTTTACTTATGCTCGTTCATCGAAGCTCGAGGGACTTTCCCAGTCCGAAGTTTGAGGGAACAGTTTTTAAGACGATGCAGGGGAGATAGTTGGCCTAGGTGCAGGCTGTTGCAAGGCAGGAAGTGCCGGATGTTGGGAGTAGGATTGAGAAGTTGCGGGTTGTGAAAGGTGTGGGAGAAGATGTGTTTGATGGGGACGAGGAAATAGGTCTTGGCTAGTTGTTTGAGTTTGAGGCATGGGATAATCTGGTGGAGGAGCTGTAGAATATAGTTTTGGGCATGAAACAAAATACCAGGTGCTTTAGCGAGGTGCAAGGACAGTTGAGGAAAGAACAGGAAAATGTGATCGAGAAAAGAAATTAAGCAGAGTTGCCTTACTGACGACTAGCTGGACTGGAAATTCTCGGTATTGACACATAGTAATACACTTATGACATTCTGATTCTAGAGGTACTGTCCCCTTTACCTAAGGGTATCGTTCACGGTCAACAGTGTAAGGTAGGTAGTTAGTGCGTTTCGGCTGTACCTGCTGCTTTAGGACTCGTTCAAACCAGATGATGGATAGGTATGTTCGATCGCGTTGATATAACCCTCACCATCCTCACTCAAACTTCATGGAACTGGATTAAACTTCAATATATCTTGCAAATTTCCGAACATTAATGCGATCTCACATCTCCAAAATGGCAACCAAGACACCAACCCGCAACCTCTCCCGCTATTTCATGCCCGCCGAACACAGCACGCAGTCCAGCACGCTGTTGGCCTACCCAACCGCACCTTCTCTCTATCCACACCAAGTTCAAGGCGCGCGATCTGAGATCCTGAGTATCGCGAACGCAATCTCAAAATTCGAGCCTGTCACAATATTCGTACATCCTGAAGATGCGAAAGAGTTGAAGGCCAACCTGCAAAACCATGTGATGGAAGCTCGCGAGAATGTGTCAGTCAAAGAAGTCGAACTCGAAAGTCTCTGGATCCGCGATTCAGGACCAGTCTTTGTGCTCGACAAAGAGAAACAGGTCCGAGGAGTAGATTTCGGGTTCAATTATTGGGGTCGGAAACTGCCCCTCGCATCAGACATGGGCCTAGCGAAGCGTGTATTGAGCACCTCCAGTATCGAGAGAATCGACGCGGGGATCATAGCTGAGGGCGGTGGGATTGAAGTCGATGGCGAAGGAACCTTATTCGCTTGCGAGAGCTCGATTGTGAATAAGAATCGCAATCCGGGGATGAGTAAAGATGTTGTTGAGGAGAAGCTGAAACAGGTGTTGGGTGTGGAGAAAGTCGTTTGGCTGAAAGGTGTAAAAGGGGAGGATATCACGGACTGTCATGTTGATGCTCTCGCCAGGTTTGTAGAGCCAGGAACAGTGGTGCTGAGTCGGCCGTATGGTAGGGAACGTGGTGTCTGGATGGATGTGTTTGAGGATGCGAAGAGAGTTTTGAAGAGGGAAACGGATGCGAGAGGGAGAAAATTCAAGGTCGTGGAAATTGAGGAGCCGGATTGGGATCTGGTTGAGCAAGAACCGGAATGTTCTGGGCCTGGTGAGCAATTCGCCAGTGTCTATTCGTATGTCAACTATTTGTTGGTGAATGGAGGAGTTATTGCACCGAAGTTTGGGGACGACAAAAGAGATCAGGTATGCAGAAAAGTTTTGGAGGAGTTGTTTCCGGAGCGGAAAGTTGTGCAAGTTCATATCAATATGCTGCCGAGGGCTGGAGGAGGCATACATTGTGCGAGTCAGCAGGTGCCTGCTGGAAAAGAAGCTGAGTAGAATAGAGAGAAAATTGATGATGGATTCTAGGCAATGGTTTTGGGTGCGCTCATCGTACTAGACGGTACCATCTTCTACATGTTACATTTTGAGCTAGTCATGTAACTCTGTAGCTGTTATCTTGCTTGAATAGCACTTTTGGCAAGTTTACAGTCGCCCTCTGGTACCTCAGCTATCCATTGCTCACTGTGGTAAGTTTGACTGGACAGGAGTCCACATCCCTTCTTCCAGTTCATGGCAACTGCAGCTTTTCATAAAGACTTAATTCATCTTTCGGATTCGCATGCTCAATTCTCAGATTCTCTAGCACATGATCCTTCCACCTGAAACCCCATACGAGCCAGTCCTCCAACTTGACCTTGATGGGACCTCGGCACCATGTGTTGGGACAGAAGTACTTTCATGTGAGATTGTAGACTGTTTTGTTGTAGCGCCCAAAGCCTTTAGGCGATTGGAGCGGCATAGGTAACTAAAAGACTCACTAGAGACGATCGGAAGTGTATGGTCTCGCAGCTTCGCTTAAGCCTGGCCTGGGGCCGCGAAGAAACCATTGAGGGTCAGGGCAGGATCCAATAGGTCGGTAATGACGTGAAGGTGATGGATTTACCGTAAGATGTATCGTATTGGCAATCGTTGTCTTGATATCAAGAATGGAACAGGAATGTTTGTTGTGTTGGGATATCTCATGTCTGTTTTTTTTTGGTCTTTGATGTCGTTGTCTGAAGGCTCTAAATTCAGCAGAATCACGCACTTAATTTGAACGCCTGTTTCTCAATAAAATATCTACTGAAACTCGTCAAGATTGCACGTCAATGGCGGTTCAATGCCGGTCGTTCCTTTCACCAGCTTAATTCCTCCCTTTTTCACAACGGACTATGACTTCATGCAGAATTTGGCTGGACGAGGGACAGGGAACCTTGCTTCGGGAAAATAATCCTGGAGGAGGAAGTTTTCGAGTCGGAACGTATCAAGATGCAGCGTGCTGTTTCCAAGGAGGAGTAAATAGTTTTGAATGCAGATGATACAGAGTTAAAAACGCAGTAATTGGACGACTTTATGACCCGCTCTGTGCTCTTCAATCAAAAACAGCCAAATTATCAAACCCAAGTTTCACTCCACACCCATATCCAGCACAACCTTCCCCCTTGTCTTTCCACTCTCCAGTCTCTTAATCGCATCATCAAACTTCTCAAGTGGATAGACACTGTCCAAGGAAGCCTTGAACCCCGCACTCTCCCAATTTTCCGTCACAAACCTCAAATGCTCCCCAATCGGCTCCTGAATAAAGAAGAAATTCTTCACGCCCTTCCCATCTCCCTCAAGATCTCCTGGTTTCTGCTGCTCCGGCGGCTGGAAAATACTGATGATGGTTCCCTCCGGCTTCACAGCATACCACGTATCAGCAAGAGACTTTCGTCCGATACAGTCAATGACTAGGTCGACTTTCTTGGCTGGATCGGATGCCCAGAATTTGATATCCACGGTACGGTAGTCAAGGACTTCGTCTGCGCCGAGAGATTTCACACGTTCGAAACTGTCAGCGGAACAAGACGCAACAACTTCAGCACCAGCCCATTTCGCGAGCTGCACAACCCATGATCCAACTGAACCAGATGCGGCAGTGATATAAATCCTTGTCCCTTTCGCACCGCTTCCCGCTTCCCGTTTCAAGCCAGCTTGCACGAAAAGCGCTTGGTATGCTGTTTCGGCGGACATGCCTACCGTTGCTGTCTCGGCCCAGCTGATGCTTTTGGGACGGAGAGCGAGTTCGGCGGCTGGGCAGACGGTATATTCTCGACCGGAACCGGTATGCATGTAGCTTGTTCGGGAGTAGATTTCGTCGCCGGGTTTGAAGGGTGAATCGACTGCTGAAGTGATGATGGTACCAGCCATGTCATAGAGAGGTGTGGTTTCTTTGCCGGGGACATCCACGGCGAAGTTTTTGGGCCAGAGGAGTTCGCCGTTGGTGATTGCTGCGGTGTGTACTCGGATGAGGTGCTCATCTGGTTTGGGGACTGGGAGCGACGTGGTGGAGAGGATTAGGGTGGTGGATTGGGGATCTGGCTGGAAGAGTGCTCGCATTGTTTTCGGGAGAGTGTTGGTTGCCATGTTTTTGCTTGGGTGGCTAGAGGAGAAGGCTCGCTTGTGAGGTGGGTGAAGAGGGGTCAAGTTAGTTGGATGGCGCTGCCAGGCTTGATTTAACCGTCTCAAGTAAGTATTGAGCTGCCTACTCGCGGGTATGATTCTCTTTGGAATGATGTTCATGATGAGACAGTCTTGTTCAAGGGAACTTTCGCCATCTTATATACCTCTCGTACCAGCGCGACCAGATACAGCGTCAAGGAAAAAATTACTTGATGAAAACAAACTCCAAGTGGCATATTAAGCAACTGACAGGCATCCTGTAAGCCACTTTGAATACATCGTGTTGAATCGGAGGTGGAACACTTCCGAATAGGTTCAAACCCCTGAAATTTAGAGTGTGGTGCAGTGATGACGCAGCACCTACCACAATGACACAGGCTCTCTCGCCAATACACTTAGTTCTCCAAGAATCAGTAGAGAAGAGACAAGTTTGCGCGGAGATGCATTATTGAACGCCGGGTGTCGGACAAGTTTATGGAAGAATGTACGATGTGTTTGTCAGCAGCCAGCAGCGGGAGGGTATCGATAGGCTACTGATTCGAAGTCCACAGTGCAGTGTCAAGCCTGCTGTCAGCGCTAGGCTCTTCGGGAAATTATCGCGACACAGCCAACCAACAAGCCTTGTCCGCTACCAAGAGCCAGCCGTGGAGATGTGGAGAGTGTGACGAGGACGTTACCGATTGTTGGCAAAAATGTCTAGTGGTCGGTTATCTTGTCTATGACTAATTTAAATCTTGCAAAAAACGAGAGAGATGCAGGAACATATCCTTTAGCTCTCTTAGATGGAGTTGTGATGGCTAGCACTAAAAGAATTAAGTCCTAGGTACAGAAAGCTGTTTACGAGTGCAAAATGTTCTCGCTAGGCCGGGGCTCGAACCTGTAACCGGGGAAAGCCCATCCAGTTCGCGCTTAAGCTCGTGTCGCATGTGGAATTGCCACCACCACTTTCTGTTAGGTAATATTAAATAACATAAGACTTTCTTTCCCAAATCAAAGGCAACTTGGCTGAGTGGTTATAGCGATAGACTAGAACATCCCATTGTTGGATATCTGGGTATCTATTTCCTTCGGGAGCGTAGGTTCAAATCCTGCAGTTGTCGATTTGTTTTTGCATTTTTGCCTTTATCCCCTTTTTTATTTCGTTACTCTTTTATTCTCACCTTGGTCGTGTTTCTCAACATTAGATCCCTCCTCTTTGGCACATGTTCAAAACACACCTTTTTTCACCCCGGGCTAAAGCTGAGGCACTTCCCCTGCACTACAGAGAACCTCCAGAAACTTAGAATCTCGCTCCAGTATTGCGGCCTACAAAAGGGTGTTATTGGTAGCTTAGGGGATAGTTGGCTATCTTTACATTCTGTCGTTCGGCCTTTCATTTTTGTAGGTTCTTGCCATTGTTACGGGTGGACGCACAAGCTCCATAATGTAGCGTGATCATTTCTATACCCGTGCTCCGTCCCGCAATCTTCCTGCAAACCACCCGACATTATGCAAACCGCTTGTATAAGCCGAAGCACATCCGTACACCCACTCCCATCCCCTATATTGTCTCGTGGATGCGGCAATTGAATCTTCCATTTTCCACTTTACATGTCGTGGACACCACTTGGACATCTGCAGCACAAAGCGTAGTCTTCCACACATATGATTGTCAACTCTCCCAAAACCAGTGCTGCGGATCGAGACCTATACCCGCTTTTCCCCTCCATCGAACATCACCAGCCACCACAGACACAGGCATTTCCAGAGATGGATTATTTCGCGATGGATTCCTCGCAATTTTATCTCGATCCGGATTTTGCTTTCGACCCCAGTTTGGTGGAATTTCCACTTCCAGATATGGTGCAAACCCGGTCGTCTGATTGTGGAGAGCCTATTGAGACGGGATTGGGTTCTGGACAGAAGATGAAATCCCGCATCCGAGCCTCAAGAGCTTGTATTGCGTGCCGGTCTCGGTTCGATCCCCTTCACCTCCAAGAAATGAGTTTGACATTTGATCTCGTGATTAGAATGCTATTTTTATATTCCTGCGAAGAAGTACAATCTGACACTCTCGCAGACATATGAAATGCGACTCCATAGAGCCAGTGTGTACCCGTTGCCAACTGTACGGCAAACAATGTATTTACACCAAATCCCGACGAGGCGGTTCCCACAAAGCACCTCCAGTACCAACAACTGAGCCTAGATCCACCCCTCAAACACATACCCCTGGATCGGGACCAAGTTCAGCTCACCGAACCCCAAGTACGAACAACGAGAACGACACCGAGAACGACAACGTCACCAACCTCTCATGGGGAACCCTCAGTAACCCTGTCACATTCCCAGAAATCTCACCAACCTTCTCCCCCCTCGAACCTCATTCCAAGAAGCAAGATGTAGATCTCCTAGCGAGTTACTACGAGTTCTTCAACAGCGCTCACCCCGTCGTGCTGCCGAGACGTCAGTTTCAAGCACATATGCGCTCCAATCCATCTTCACTAGAATATCTCCTCCCAGTAATGCACTACATCGGGTCTGTCTACCAGCCCTCCATCGCCTCGGATCCGTACCTCGCAGTCGCCGAATCTGCACTCTCATCCACCACACTACCTATCGACGGCTTCTCTGTGCAAGCACTAACGCTTCTTGCGCTGGCACGGCACTGCTCAGACGAGTACGATATTGCCGAGAAGTATGTCGATAGAGCAATTGATATTGCTCTTGCATTGGGGATGAATCGACAAGAGTGGGCGGAGGAGAATAGTCATGGGGATGTGGTGTTGATGGAGAGTTGGAGGAGGACGTGGTGGCTGTTGTTTACACTTGATGGATTGTTCTCCACCATTAGCCATTACTGCACGCATCGATTGCAGAATATCGAAATGGATGTCGACTTGCCGTGTGAAGATGCTGAGTACGAGAGTGGTGTAAGTTATTCTCTCTCTTCATCATTTGTTGTTTACAGTCCGCCCGAATGATAAGCGAGCCTGTAATCAAAATGTCGCTGACACCACTCAGCGCATTCCCCAACCACACACCTTCACCGAATACGACTCCCGCGAGTTAAATGACCAAGAAATAACCTTCTCCTCACTAACATACCTCCTCGACGCAATCCGCATGCTCAGCCACTCCATGTCAATAATCCACGCTCCCCACGAGCCAGGGGACAACGCCCTCACATCCACTGACGCCAAACTCGTGAACTGGGGTTTGTACTTACCTCATTGCAAAAGAGAAATCGTGCGACCTGATGGAACCGTAGATGAAACGATGTTCTTCGCTCATCTGGTGGTCAATACGTATGTCTCCTTCCATTGCCCTCAGATTCTCCCATGATCCATCCCAACAATCTCCACCCAAACCCGTCTTCCATACAACCTCTCTATAAGAACCCAACTAACCCTCGACTTCAAAAAGCGAACTCCTCATCCTCCACCGCCCCACCTCCCACCTCCCCTACAGCGCCTTCGAAACACGCTCAAAATGCACCCCTCCCCACCCACACTCCAGCTCCCCCTCCCCCTCAATCCAACGCTCCCTCGCAATGCACACGGCCAAAGCGCTCGAGGCCCTCTCCACAACAATCACCATGTTCGCCCTGCCCGGTGATCATATCAGGCACTCGCCTATTGCGACGTGTGGGCTTGCCTTGGCGGTTATGGCGCAGGCTAGTGCGTGTAGGTTGTTTGCTTCTGGTTCTGGTTCTGGTTCTGGTGGGACTGGGATGGGTGAGAGGGGTTGTATGAAGTCAGATGGAGGAAGGGAGAGGTTATACGGCGAGGGACGAGACCGCATTCGACTTGGGCTGGGCGCGTTGAGGGCTGGTGTTGGGATTTGGGGACTGGCGAGAAGGAGTGTAGGGGAGGTGGTGGGCGTGGCGAGGGAGTTGCTGGAGGGCGATGTCGTCTCGAATGGTCATGGGAGTCGTGAGACGGAGATGGCTTCGAACGGTAAATCGAAGAATGCTGTTGCTGTGAGGTGTGAAAGTATTGAGTGTGGTGGGGAACAGCTGTTGATGGGGAATGCTGAGGATGTGGGTTTTAGTGAGTGCAGAGGTATGGCTGTCTAAGTAGATACAGGATGCGGTATGTTATTATATAGATTTGTAGCCTCTCAAGAACCCCTAGCTTATTAAAATCCAGCCCATCTCTTCTCAAGCTCGCTCGCTTTTCACTGCGCAGACAAATCCAATTGACATGTCCCTATACGGTATTTATATACTAATTTGCGATTCACTGACACATACGACCATAGACTGGTGAGACCTGGGCATCCCGTCCGCTCTGCCATACATAAGCACCAGATCGGCAGATTAGTAGTTGGGTGGGTGACCACCAGCGAATACCTGCTGTTGTATGTTTTTTGTTTTGAGTTTTCAAGTCTTTTGTGGGTTTTGTGGATGAAGATCCACACCTTGGCAGTCATGGTTGATAAGCGAGAGTGGTAAAGACGTCCGTCCGGGTCTGGGTGTTTCTGGAGTTTTGGAATTGGGTTCCATGAGAGCATGCTTTTTTAATAGGTCTGACAATTGAAAATTATGCTAGGGCACAAGGAGAACTCTGCAAATGACCTAGGTACTTATCTTGTTGCTAAAAGCGATACCGAGACCTTCGACTCCAACAGTAGCAAATAATATATCCTCCACCCACCCAACTATTAACTAACAAACCACATAACCCACACATCTGCCGAAATTGAAAGTTTTATACTCATCTTCTTATTCATTTTCTAGTGCGTAATCTAAGTATTTCCCCTCATCAAGCCAAGCAGCATCCAGTTCCACAATCTCATATCAAGCAGAAGTGAGAATATCAGCAGAGAAAGCCACAAAGACGGGACGAGACATCGCCCAAGAGCACATTATCATCCATCCATCATAGCAGCAACACGAAAGCCACCAGCATAATGAGAGAGCAGCATCAGCCACCAGAAATGCGCGCAAGTACCATAGGTATCAGGAACAGAAAACTAGAGACACAAAGCAACCAGAAGTTCGGAAATTCAAAGAAGAAACTCCTCAAACTCCATTGCAAAAGTTACCCTGCAATATGCTTATCTCATCCTTCTACACATATGTGAAGTCATCAGACATCATCGTATATGTGTACCTGGAAACCCAAGTGTAATGCATGAGATGCAAGATACTGTGGGTGGTTAGTTATGCATATCGAAGCGAGAGATATCGAACATACAATCAAGCCCAACGAGAAGCCGACAGGCCTGTAGCCTTCTTGATCTCTGGGACAACTTGGTAAACGGGAGGAGTTAAACCAGGCAGGCGATTATCAGAAGCACTTGGTGCAACAGCAGAACGAACATCCTGAGGACCGAAGGGAGATGCTTCGTAGGTGGGGGCTGCCGGCTTGGTACCGTACATACGACGAATATCATTGTCGATGCTAGCAGCCAGCTTAGCAGCGTCGGAACCGCCGTAACCAGAGACTCTTGCTGGTTGACTTGATGGGCTACCATTGGACATGAATGGATTAATTCGTGCTCCTTGGCTAGTAGAACTGGACTGAGAAGCGGCTCCAGAACCATTTGATAGGAGTGGATTAACCTTGGCTTGAGCCATACCTGTAGACTGGGGATCTGGGAAGCCGTGAAATGCCTGACCGTTGCCAGAAGCACCGCTAGGTCCATTTACAACAAATTGGTCAGCAGGAGCAGTCTGCGAGAAGCCAAAGCCACTGGAGGATACACCAGGTTGGCCATTTGAAGCAAACTGAGCAGCAGGGCCTGCTCCACCTGTAGCCTGAGCACCGAAGCAGTTAGTGTTGGTCTGAATAGTTAGAGACTGGGACCCAGGTTGAAGAGAGGCACCAAAACTGCCGGAGGGGAAGCCATTTGGACCATTTGAGGCAAATTGATTTGCAGATACAACAGGAGAAGGGGCAGATGGAGCGCCAAAGCCATTTTGGTGTGGAATGGATGCATTCATCAGCTGACCAGTCGAGTTGTTGTCAGAGTAAGAGGCACCAAAACCATTTCCACCCGTGGGGGAAGAATTATCAACGGTTTCATTGGCAGGAGGCGCAGAAGGAGCGCCAAAGCCATTCGAAGCATTTGTGACATGAGCAAGGGACTGAGCGGAAGGAGGACCAGCAGCATTGGCCAAGAAGGGATTGATACCAGCTGAATGAATAGCAGCGGCACTAAAACCGGAAGCATGAGTTGGAGTCTGGACAGCTTGGCCACCATTGGCAATGAAGGGATTGGAAATTCCTTGACCAGGTGCTCCATTGAAGCCGAAGTTCTTCGCGAGATCTGCAGCAATATTCTTGTTGATATCACCAAAACCTCCAAGACCTTCTGCTAGTACATGATTTGTGGGCTTGATATTCTCATTGCCAACATTGGATGTTGCTGGTGGCTGTGGAGCTTTAGGGGGATTGCTGGCGAAGGTCGAAGGAGTAGCATATCTTGAAGCTGCTAATGTTGGAAGCTTACTCCACTCGACAGGTCCTTGAGGTGCAGAAGATCTGTTATTGGCTTGGATATCTGACATCTCTACATCGCCATCTCCGGAGGGAATGCGGTTTGAATGATTGCGATTGGTTGCTGCGGTCATCCATTCGGTGTCGTTGACATCGCCTTGGTGACTATTGGGATTGGCTCTGCCAGCAGAGTTCCAATTGTTGCTTCTAGCATTACCTGGGGCATGAATAGAGCTCGAGACTGTCAGAAATTAGCTATAAACACTCCAAGGCTTTCTAAAGGATTTCAAATTTATCATACTTCCAACAGTCATCACACCATGACAGTTCGACGTGGCTACATTTCTTAGTGAATGATCCCAACTCGCTTCAGGACATTACTGCTTCAGGAATACAACTTACGAAGTCCCACATTACCAGCGATCTCCACAATAACCTTTCCGCCATCTGGCTGTCTCAAGTGGCCGGGGATAATTGGCTTCGTGGAATCTTCATCTGTCCAATTCGTGGTGATGCGAACACGACCAGTATCGGGTACGGCCTGATTAGCCTGTTGACCAGCGTGGGGAATGGAACCTTGACCCTGATTGCCATTGAAGGGATCATTCGATGGCATCGTGTTGAATTCTTGAACAGCCGTGTTTTGACCATGACCCTGCATACCATTGAAGCAAGCATTTGTAGGGATGGTGCTCTGTCCTTGGACAGTCATGGTTTGACCATGGTCGTCGAAGAAATTACCACCTGGCTGCTGAGCCATTGAATGAGACGATTTAACCGCCATGAACCGAGGATCAACATCATGGGAGACCTGAGATGGAACCCATCCACCAATATTCGGAGTGGGATTGACATTGGCAGACACTTTCTCAGAAGCATTGAACCAACCAGATTGAGGAACGACTTGACCTTGAGGATCACCATTCATTGTATTGCCAGGAGATGAGTCAACTCGTTGAGCAGTATCGGCAACCAAGATGCTGCTTCGCAACTTGGTTGGAGATTTAGGCTTGGGAGCTAGAACAGCAGCAGGACCTCCAAATGCACGAACTGGGCTTACAGTACGCTGTCTCGGAGGGCTCTTGAAGGTGGGAGCTGCAGTCGAGGCGCCGACACTATACTGGGCGAAGTGGGGGTTGATCGCACCAGACTTCGTAGCACCTGGAGCATGTGTATTTCTACACGCAGCTGTAGAGGTAAAGGAGTGGTAAGGGTTGGGTGGCGGAACGGCAGAGGCAACAGGGCGTGTCGAGGCCATAGCATGTCCGCCACGACCGCGTCCTGCTGATGTAGCAGGTGAGGGTGCAGAGCTACGACCGCGACCTGGTCTGGCTTTAGATCCAGCGGAGGTCATACTGTTTTGGAGAGCCTTTGCAAATGCCACCTGGTCCGACGAGTAGCCAGCACCTAGGCCATCTCTACCAGAGATGGTAGACATGGTGATGGATGTTGAAGCAGTTCGGGATGCGTGGGATCTATGTTGCGTTCGAGGTGGTCAAACCTGGAACTTCGAAAGATTAGAGATCGTTCAGTCATTGAGAAACACTGTCAAAGGCTAGCTCTCCAATGAGTCTCATCGCGTTGAAGGTGCTTGAGCTCAGGAGTAGGAGATGGGAGATAAGAAGGGGTTGAGGAGAGGGAATGGGAGAGGAGGAGAGGAGATTGAGAAGAGAAATCATGGAAATACAATACTCACAGAATCACAGCTGCGCGAAGAAGGCGCGACAGTATTGCGTTGCGGAGCTGTTGTCTACGGGAAGGAAGGAAGGACCGAAGTTGCAGACCAGAAGATACTCAGCTTTGGTAGGAAACGGAAGGTAGGCGGGTAGCGAAAGAGGCAGAAAGGTGAACTTAGGCGCTAGCGCAGAGGAAACTCTCTAAGAAATTAAGGCAGTAACGACGAGGCTGCAGATAATCGACTTGATAGGAGTTGTGTGCTTATCTTATCTTTTAAGAATTCGAAGTTGTCTTATTGAAGACAGAGTGGTGATGGGAAATGGCTTGGTCCATCTTGTGTTGTGCTTGAAAGTGCTGTTTGCTAACCGATCAAGTTCACTCAAAGGCATAGCTTTGTCACCATAACAGTGTCTACAGAGGCGCGTGAACTTCTGAAGTCATAAAGATAGAGGAGAACTTTGATTGACGCGTCCTTGATATATTCTTTACTTCGAAGGACATCGAGTGGCAGACCAACCCTTGCACGTGATGTTTACTTGCATGCCCAGCTGGCTGTGAGCAGGTACAACAGGATTCACATGGTACTATCTTCGAGCATTTAGTTGAACAACGAGTCCAAGTTGACTCAGTCAAACGCAGTTCTAAGAATTTCGACAATTTCGACCTGCGAGACATCTCAAGGCTCCTTGAAGAGGACAAGTCCACCAAACATCCAAGGGACACCGTCTCCCTGCCTCCTCCAGCCTCGAGTCATGATTGTAGCTTCGAAGGTAGCAGTAATGAAAACACAGCTTCATATAAAAGTTCTGGACACCCCTTGACGCTGCTTAGATTTTCCTTGTTCACAATATTGAAAGATCTTAGGCCCAAGTGGTAACCCAAATATGTGTCACGTGATATATACTTTCACCACGTGGAAGGCCAACGCTTCTCACTGAACAAAACAGAAGAAGAAGGGAGGAGGAAACTCTTTCCATTCTCATGTCTCTTCCTTCTGAGATGTGTCTGTTTCCCTTCCAAAGGAAAGTAACAAATGATTCAAGCAAGACTGTGGACAACGAAAGCCGATCAAAACCACGTGTAATATCAACCGAAAGAAATAGGGACATACAAAGCACATTAGGTGTCTCTGTCATCATTTAGGAGTCTCTTTTGCCATTGTTTCTCGAATATTTCCGATCCAAGCTGTATCCAATCTGAAGGCTTATTGTCTCTCTAGGGTCTTGCAGGTATTTTCAACCCCTTGAATCGAGAGACAGCGGTAAAACATGTGTAGTGGCATACTCAAAAAGATAGAAAATCAATTGCATTTGATGAAGGCATCTCTTGCACCTCCTTTCGGCGTTGCATTTTGCTCTTCTGCTGTGGCCATACCGCAGTAATTTTGACCGAGGAGTTGGATTGAAGCTTGGATTAAGAAATACAGAAATGGAAGAAAATATTGGCATGTTTTGATTTGCCATGCCTCAGGGGCCGAGTCCGGTGGTATATCACTCCGCTTTCATGATGGCCACTCCCACTTTTCAGGCTCCGTGTGTCTTATTTGGACACATGCGGCGGACGAGCTTCATGTTTGAAGCAGAGACTCTCCTAAGCAGAACGGAGGATTTGCAATTCATTCCCAAGCCCGTTCAACGTTTCACGCACTCTTCTTCTCCTTCCCCACCACCGGCGCAAAGGTTTCAATTGCATTGACCTTGACCTTCAAATACTTCTCCTCCTTTACTTCCCTCAACCACGGGACATCAATCTCCGGCACTATCTCTCTGACAAGATCTATCAGTGCCTTTGACTGCGGAGCGCCTTCCAATATACCAATTAATGATACCCGAGGGAGACCTAAAGCATCGCAAAGCCTTGCGTCACTCCCTTTGGGAAGCTGGACAAGCCGTGTGGGAGGTAGTGAGGGATTTGCGAGGGAGGCGGTGAAGATCAGTTGTGGGAGGTGTGCCTTTAGAACTGCCGGTTGCGTGGACGATGGGACGAAGATGGCTGCGATGTGCGCAGATGTTTGTGCTGATTTTCGGGTTTCTGCTGGAATATCGAGCGCGTGTGAAGCGTCAGCTGTAGAATTGGAGTCATTGGTGGCAGGTTTGAGTTCAAATTCTGGCTGGCCTTGAGAAATTTCCTGGCTTGCTGCGATGGCTGCTGGTTTGGACGCTTGAGATAGTGCTTCGAGGCTTCGAGTGATGTGGTTGAGTCCAACAATCACGTGAGATGAGATCTCCGGCGGAGGTGGTATGCTTGATGTCTCTTCAGATCCAATGCCGGATTCAGCTTTCTTCTTCTTCTCTACTCGCTTGCGCTTCTTGCTTCTTTTGCCCTTGGATGGTGTTACATGATTTGTGCGGTGTTGGCCGACTGGTGACAAAATGCTGAGAATGGATGTCAGTAATTCCTTACTCAGGTTGGGAAGAGGTGTTCAGAAGCATTTATCTTGATGAGGTGTATCAAATAACAGAAATTGGAAATACCTGCAGAGAAGCTCAAGGATAGTTTCTTGATTCTGAGGAGATACTTCGGGCCTGTGATAGATGAGCTTTCTCCCTTGCGAGGAAGATGATGATGAAGCCATACCATGAGACTGTTGTGAAAGGCGAATCAAGCTGGTATATTGTCTTGGGTTTTCGTTCTACCGCTGCTGATGGTACTTTCCTGGGAGTCGAAGACATGGTGATAAGAGGGGTGAGATCTTTTTGTTCTGGTGCTTGGGCTGAGTCTTCCAATGCGTAAAGGTTGGGACTTGGGCCTGGACCTTCAAATCCCTCGGTCAAATGAGGATTGCGGTATAGTGACAGCTGAGAAGTATTTTCTGTTTTGGTGAAAGTGGGGAGAAACTCGGACCATTTGACCCAATATCTTGAACAGTCAAAGTTCAGTCAGCAAGGCAGTCTCTCAAAGGAGTTGTGTAGCTTGTTTACCTCTTTCCTTCCGAAATATTTTCTGAAGGCGTAAGATGCCCGAGGAAGAAAAATTTGTTGATCGGCAAGCTCTCAGATTTTGGATCAACCTGAATGAGACTTGATTAATGGCGTTTCACAAAAGTAGATGAATATTCTTCCAGCAATTTCTGGTGTCCCTACCCGTCACCTTCCTAAGAAGATATGCCGCGGTCTCTGGCAGTCAATGACGTTCTCCCTCTGTTCAGGCTTAACCACAACTCAGTCTCAGAGATCAAGTAACACATCTGTCCACCTAAGCAGCCAATCTCATCTGTCCGGTTTAGACCTTGGTGATGCAGACCACAAGGCGCAGTGCAGATAACTTTAACATGAATGCGGCTGGTCCGTTTGCACGGCTCTCGGTAAAGTCAAGCCATTGGCTGAGAGGCTAGGTCGAACAGGGAAAGGCCTAGACACGCTCATAGATCACGGTGCAGTTTGTTTCTGCAGCACGTTGGTATTGGAAGCTTCCAGTGAGATAAGACAAACTTCCTGGGTTACTGAAAGCTAGCATCCGGGATTTTTACAAAAAGCTTTGTTTAAATTTTTGTCCTGTAAGCTTTACAACACGGCGTGCACAAAGAGTATTGGTTGCACAGGGCGGAACGTCGTCCAACGCAAGACTGGGATTACGAAGTTACATGAGACATTCTTCCAGGGCATTGGAGAGCGTGAAACGAAAATGGCAAGCTCTCTGTCTCTTCGGGCGGTCTGTAGTCTTTTGAGGACATTGCTGCTTAGACTTTCCTGGCCCTGTAAATTTAGATTATACGCCGAAGTAAGTAAGAACTATGCGTAACCTTTACATGCACCTTTCTGCTGGGTCTGACATCCTGTCAGGTTGGAGAGATGCATTGCAGTAGGTAGCTGATGCCCAGTGCCATGCCCTTGCAGCGCTGGTCCTTTATGTATGTACTGAATACATCGAGCAGCCTCTTCGTGCTAGATAGGTAGATAATGCTGAAAGGTAGCATCACGAATCACATAGTAGTGTATCGCTTTTATTAATGTCGTGAATTATTGTGAATGTTTTCCTCATGGTCAGTTGTTGCATCGAATGAACGATGTCATCATGAGCATAAGGCATCAAGGCACCCAGCAGGAGTTGCCTGCTCCGTTGCGATCCCATCTGGACTATCGTAGGCTCGTAGCCCGCGCAGAATGCCACGCTTTTAGACGCGTCCCGACCAGTTTATCCCTCCCGTCCCCGTCCCCGTCCCCCCGTTCAGTCTAGGTAAGGTATTCTAGGTATCCAAGCTCAACTCGCGCCCCTCCACGCCGATCGATAAGCCGGCAGCTCGAGGAAAGGACCTCTTCTATTTCCTATGACCAGATAGCAACAGCTCTTACGCATCCCTTCGAGCCTCACGAAAGGCGGGCATTTCGTGCACCACAAACAAGTTGCTGCAGCAGCTCTTTATTCACCTGCAACGCACTTGTGCTCTTGTTGCTCGCTCTGCAAGCTCAGCCCATTCACGTTCACCCCGCTGTCTCTGGTATGAATGCACCCCTCCCCCCCCCCCCCTCCCCTCCCCTCCCCCCCCTTCCCCCTCCCTTACCTCTTTCCAATGATCCAATTCCATTCACACTCAATCACTTCAAAGACACCCCGCACCCCTGCAATTCGAGCTTCCTCGCCTAAAACATCCCTAGAGCGCCGCAGCCCAGAGCAAGGCAACCTAGCACTGCAATACTTCCTGTCGAAAACCCATGGGAAACAGCAACGTCGACCTCCTATGCCCTCACTCTAGAAGCTCTTGAGCTCGCTCTCTAGCTGCAGAGCTTCTGCTGCTCTACTTCGACCCTCTTGTCCGACGAATTCCATCCGTCCCTCCTCCGTTCCTGCCAAATGGAAGAATCTCCAAGAGAGCGTGCGATTTCCTCAGAGCCTTGCTCAGGTCGTCCAAACCCCTTTGACGACATCACGGAACACTCCGCCCGCAAACGCCAGAGAGTTTCCCTTGGAGGTTCATCACGGAGCAGGTCCGTGGATACAGTTCAGGACGCAGATATCCCCCCAGATTCTATGTCACTGCCCGGCGACAGCGAAATCGAAATCGACAAGGCTGAAGCCTCAACCCAATCCGAGCCTCCTTCCACACCTCCCAACAACGCCGCAGACTCCTTGCCTGCAGAGCCAACATCAAGTAGAGTTACCATAAACCTCCGAACAAACCGATCCATTGAGTCAATACCCTCATCTCCTACCTCTCCAGCAAGCCCTTCGAAGATGCCAGACGGTGGAGGTCAGGATACGGCTAGGGTCAGCGTGGAGTCGGAGAGCGATGCCTTGTCGACGATTCCAGCAATTGAGACTCCTTCTTCCACTCCCTCTGCGGTGTCAAGTCCACAGGTTGAGCTAGTGAACATGGATGATGACGATTCAGACTTTGCCAATCAGGAACCTCAACTGGCTATCATGGACGATCATTACATTGATGTGATGTATAACTTCCCATATAGAGGCAGGGAAGAGACGGCGCTTGCGGCTTCGCAACGAGTTGCTAGCTTTCTACAACAAGGCATGCAGAGCAAATCGACGTCTCATATCTTACTAACTTCTGTAGACGATGTTCCTACCCCCGACTGCTTCTTCAAATTACGGGACTGGATGAACCTGTACCTAGCTTCCGCTACTAACGTAGATACCTTCTATGAATGGTTCCTCAGGGATCGCGAATTCTGGAGCAAGTTCCCGGACTTCATCTGGGGTTTGAGCCAACGCAGGTAGGTCTATTATGTTGTGGATAACCTAGCGCATCTACTAACTGCTACAGCAAATTCTTCGGTCCATTTCTCCGAACTAACACAGAATCACGTCAAGCTCTGTCAGACGTATTCACTTTCTTTGCCCGCCTGGCTGGTCGATTTGTTGCTATGGACGTACATGCACTTACTCGTCCAACCAATGGCAGCAAGTCAGAGCCTGAACTCGGAAGTCGCCCTCTCCTTGCTGCCCTTAGCCACTTGATTCGGGACGACGAATCGGCTCACATAGGCAAGAACCTACAAATTCATTACAATTGGGCTTGGAGTGATGATTGCCAAATCATGATGGAGGGCTTCCAACGAGAAGGTGGAAAACTTTCGAATATGATATCCCTCACACGAAGTTCTTTGGTACTGATGTCCGCAAACCCAAAGATAATCGACTCTTTCGCCGACAACTCGCGGGTTGTCCTGAAGATAGTAGTAGAAGCCTTCTCTATTCTGGAGGACCGTACTGCACACCGAGAGCAAGAGGTCCGCAGCGCCATTCATAAGCTGAGAAGCGGATACGACTTCTTCGTCCTCATGTCAAGCGGTCTTGATACCATCATTGAGAAGCATGTGACCCACTTGAGTGGAGAAAGTGCAACGAATCAACTGGGCGCTCTCCGAGACCTCTTTGCCGCTGCCATTCAATTTCGAATAGAGCCAATTCGCGAACTTCTGATTGAAAAGCAGAACGAGCACAAAGACCTGCATCATGACTTGTTGCCGGAAGTCATTTCGATCGGTTGGAGGTTTCGAGTTTTGAAGAAGCTTATCACTTCATCACAGATGCAGTTACGGGTGACAGGAGTTGCCACGATGTGTAGTGACCTGCTCGCTTTGCATGCGGCTCACAAGAAATACGATCCCTCCCGGCAACCCATCCTCTTGATATTCGCTAAATTCATCCTCGACAATCAGCTTGTCGACTACCTAGTTGGTATCGGGTCTCACCCTGAGATCATCAGCGAAAGCTATAACATCCTGGGGTTTTTAATTGTCACGAAGACATACGAACATAAGCAGACCGACATGATCTGGCAAACAGTCGTGAACAGTCAAGACCCGAGAGTCGTGGATGCCATTCTGTTCATGCTCAAGAAATGCCTGAGCCTTTACGACTATGAGACCCTTCTATACCTCTGTAAGAAGCTCATGGGCGTCCCAATCGAGTCATTCACGGGTGCCATGCGTGACTTTTGCGCGAACCTAATCAAAGACTTATCAGCGAAGGTTCACCACGAAAACATCAGGCCTCTAGACCAGCCACCTTACGATTTGTGCGTTCGACTCATCCGCGAGTCGTCTGTTGTCACTGCAGCATCCCCCGCAGGATATCCAGATATTCAAAACTTTGCAAGTATTAGATTTCGAGATATCTTGGCTCTCGGCCCAGGTTCAGAGGCTCGTACTGCCATTCATCTCAGTTGCATCACTGATATCGCGGCGAAAACAGCTACGGCTCCAGGCAGTATTTGTGTCATCAACATCCTACTCAAAGCACATCTGGGTAGCGACCTCAAAAAGCTGACAAACGAGTATGGCTTAACGGGTTTGCTGATTGAAGAGTTGGAATCGGTTGTTGAGGCTGAGCGTATATCTGGTGATGTTCCAACACGGAGCAGTGCGACAAGCTCGGCACGCCGTGAGCTCATCCAGATGATTATTGTGAATGAGTCTGACACAATATCCTCGGAACTGGGCACCCGCTTATGGAATGTTCTTGTTGGGAGCAAGTCCAACGCGTCCACTGAGAGAAATATCTCGTGGCAGATTCTGAACAGCACAGCAAAGAATCACCCTTCCAACGGCTTCATTGCATCATGTTTCAAAGATCATATGCAAACTCTTCCTCCCCATTGTTTTACCACTGGGTCATTAGACTTTGTCCGAGAAGCAATCTCATCTTGGTTTGAGGAGGTTCGAGAAGAATTCGTTGCCGAGAATCGAACTTTCGACTCCATGGCGCTAGAACAACTCTGGCGTATGATCTTGACTGCCCCTCCCAACACAGTTGATGCGCTTGCTATCAACATCTTGGTGGAATCTTATGTCAATAGCGCACTCATTATGAAGATCCCCCGCCCGATGGCTCGGTCTATCCACTCAGCTTTGGTCAACCGCTGCCTTGAGCAACTGAAAGGGGCTGCATCCAAACTCAAAACTTTCAACGGCGATGCCTCCACTGAATCCGATGAGGGGATGGTCATTGTTGCTTCAGAAGACCAATTCCAAGAACAGGAGATGATATTTGCTCGGTCTCTGGCTGTGTTACGAGAATTCTTAAGAGCATATCAGACCAAACCACAATTTGCCCCGCCTAAATCGAGAACGACAATCACAACTGCCCCTATTGACATGGATGGCGAGTCGCTGGCAATCAAGTACCAAGCCTTCGATGGCAACAACAGAACCGGTATCTTGGATTTGAATCTTGGGAAGTTGAACACTGTTGCGAGCTTCTTCGCGAGTCTGGAGAAGGTGACAGGCTTCAAAAACTACAAGGTGTACTGTTGTGGCGTGACTTTGGATCCCGAAGACATGGATGTAACTCGAAGCCTAGAAGAGCTACAAATCAAAGGGCTAGTTTTGGTGCATAGACAAGGTGATGGCGACGGCTCACCCGGTCGTTTGAGCAGTAGCAAGACCACTCTCGAGTTTGAAATCATGAAGCATTTCGAGGACTTATGGAGCTATCTTGGCATGCACGAGAAAGTTGCCCAGGAGGTTTGTTGTGCACAATTCCTCTTCTTAGGGGAATGCTGACTTACATCACAGATCTACTATTTCTTGGTAAAGTTTCCGGTCTATGACCGGATGCTTGAAAGCTTTGAGTCGGATGCCACACACAGCGAGATCTTCCCGGCTGGCCAGCCTTTCAAATCCCTCTACGCGGTGCATTCTCTAAAGCAATACATTGCTCAGTCTGCAAAAGTAAGGTCCTTAAAAGGTTCTCAGCCGGATTTGAATTAACGTTCTTAGGGGACTGTCAGCGATGTGACTCTAACGAGAGCTATTTCTTTAATTGTTGCCGCAGTCTCGGACCTAAACGTTCTTGACCAATGCGGTAGTGATGATTTGAAGGATGTTCTTGCCCTACACATGATTGACTGTTTACTGCAGTTCTTGAAAGGTATGCATTATTGATGGATCCCTGGTCTAACATTCTAACGCGGTACAGAGCCGGTTCTCCCAACTTCTGTGGCCCCTTATCTGGATGATTCGCTTCTTAATCGTCTTCTCTCGTTCTTGTACGCCGCGAAGGAAGTCCAGGCCTCCCAAAACTCGTTGCATCTAACCGCACGTTCATTCGAGGCTATTTTGGAGGCATCCATCCATAACCTCGCGTTCTGGGATCTTTTCGTCTCGCATCTTCATAGCAGCACGCTATTGCAAGACCTGGTGTTGAAGCACCCTCAACAGTTCATTAGAAAGAATGCAACCAAGCAAATCGTAACCAAGTCTTCGTTCATCCCGAGGTATGTTCTTCGCTATTTTCGATGTTCCTAGCTGACTCAACCCAGTCTCGGACAGCTATCAACGACCACATTTGTTGCAACCTTCTGGCCTATGGTTGCTCAACTTATTCCACTGGCTGTTCACCTACCATCTCAATGTGAGGAGACATTCTCGTTGAGTCTCACGTTGTTCAAGCGTTTTGCGGATGTCGCCGTCAGCCAATTGAATCTGGAGGAGCTTGTCAAGCAGTGGGCAGGCTTACTGCTCTCACACACATGCTTAGAGGTACGTTCGTCACCCTTCTTGTTGATGCCAGAGCTCACAAATTTACAGAGCGTTGGACATCCAGAGAGCATGGATCCTGTAGCACAAGGGCTTAGTATTATGGTCTTTTATGCTACATCGTTCACCAAGGCTTCCCAAAAGACTCTTTCTTGCAGGTGAGCTGGAAATATCATGAAAATCCTGGACTGTAGCTGACAATTTCAGTACTTTGGGAACACAACTGTTCCGTCAACACCTGTTTCCAGAGCTCTCCATTGAAGAGGAGAATCATGAATTGGTCGCTAGAATTCCCCTGTTGAACCCTTCAACCAGACGTACCCTCGCCGAGACCGTTTACTTTCTAGTAAAGGATGATGAGGTTCAGTATAAGGCTCTTTTACTAGAGCTTTCACGCCTTGTACCTCATGTTGACACTGATGATGGTGTGTTCAGGATATCACTCTTCACTGCAATGTATGCTGACTTTTCAGGGCCATATATCTACGACCTTACCTGGCAATTCGACCGAAGCAAATCAATCAGATCTCCTACCGGATATGTTGGCTTGAGGAATCTTTCAAATACCTGCTACCTGAACTCTCTCTTGACTCAACTTTTCATGAACATCCCTTTTCGAAAGTTTATGCTTGGTGCTCTTGTTGCTGATGGCGGCTCGGCCCAAAGACTATTGTCCGAAACCCAGAACCTTTTCAGCTATATGCAGAACAGCCTCCGGAAGTTTGTGGATCCGGCCAACCTCGCAAGTTCCATTCGTACTTATGAAGAAACTCCAATCGATGTCTCGATCCAGATGGATGTTGACGAGTTCTACAATCTTCTCTTCGATCGCTGGGAGAGTCAAATTCTGGCGCCAGATGCAAAGCGAGAGTTCCGATCCTTCTACGGCGGCCAGCTTGTGCAGCAAGTCAAGTCGAAGGAGTGTCCACACATTTCGGAACGCCTCGAGCCATTCTCGGCTATTCAGTGCGACATCAAGGGCAAAAGCACACTTGAGGAAAGTCTGCAAGCTTATGTGGATGGTGAAGTTATGGAAGGCGACAACAAGTACAAATGCTCGACATGTGACCGCCATGTTGACGCGGTCAAGAGAGCATGTCTGAAAGACATTCCCGACAATCTCATCTTTCATTTGAAGAGATTTGACTTCAACCTACGTACTCTCATGCGAAGCAAGATTAACGATTACTTCAAGTTTCCCAAGAGCATCGATATGCGACCATACAAGGTGGAGCACTTGAACAACGAACCTGACACGCCTGAAGATATGTTCGAGCTTGTTGGAGTTCTGGTGCACTCGGGAACGGCCGAGTCAGGCCACTATTATTCTTTCGTCCGGGAACGACCTTCAACAGGAAATCTTGAAAGTTGGGTGGAATTTAATGACGAGTGTGTCAGCTCTTGGGATCTAAACCGTATGGAAGGTGCATGTTATGGAGGTCCAGACTACCATGGTCCAATCGATAACAACAACTCCCCATACGACAAGAGCTGGAGTGCATACATGCTCTTTTATCAGCGATCTTCGGTACTTGCAGAACAGAAGCAAGCGATGGAAGGTTCGGGACTGATGAGTCCTGTCCGTCTGACTGTTCCTTTGCGTCTTTCCAACCATATCGCGATGGAGAACGAATTGTTGATGCGCAAGTATTGCCTTTTCGATCCTTCACACGCAGCTTTCGTATCAAAAATGCTCTCGAATATTAAGAACATCAACGGTGGCACATGTTCTACCTCACATACAGTTGAGAAGCTGGCTCTAACTGCTTCGCTACACCATTTGGATCAAGTTTTCGCCCGAACCAAGGACACCCCAGACTTTCCAAATTTCATGATATCTGTGAAGCACATCTGTCAAAGCTGCGCGGAATGTAGTCGGGACTACCTAGAATGGTTCATCGATTCTCCAGATACTCTGAAGCAGCTCCTTGTCAAGAACCCTGATGGTCTTATCCGCCATGAGATTGCAATGTCAATACTCGCCGCCTTGGCCAAAGTAAAAGCCGATGCATCCTATGCATATGGTTTTGGCGACGATGAGGATAGTACGGACGATCTGGATGGTGGTGATCCACAGTTGATTCAGCGAATTGTTAAGGGTCTCACCAGACTGTGGGATATCTTCCACACCAACTGTCGTGCTTGGCCAGAATACTTTGGATTGCTAGCAAGCATCGCACAGATGGGCAAGCTCGAGGCAGCTCTATTGCTCGATGCTGGATACCTTCGAAAGACGTTGGAGATCATTTCCGCAGATCCTCTCCTTCCTATTGGACCACAATACGCACGAATGCTGAACATTCTTTCAAAGCGCCTTGCCAACAGACCAGTGTCTTTTGACGCTGTGATCACGCTCATGTACAAGCTCTTGATGACATGCGATCCATCAGTGATGCCAGTCGAAGATTTAGAGGAACGTCTTGAGCTGGCAATGAGTAATGTCAGCATCCCTCACAGCGAGACCGAGCGACATCTTTTGATGCAACACTGGACGAGAAATGACGCCCACATCCTGGTAGAGAAGCTTCTTCTCCTTCGCCAGAATCCGGAAGCCACTCAACAGATCCTAGTTCGGCTTCTGAAATGGCCTGATGCACTTGATTACAACATCTACCAAGCAATCACCCACGGCATCAGAAAAGGAAGTTCTACAATGCAGTGCACCCCATTCCTTCGAGCCGCGACAGTCTATTGCGAGTCGTCGAAAGATCCAAAAGCGTGGAAGCAAATGGTTGCCTACGTTGCTGACATAGCAACCAAGCTCGACAATGGTGAAGGCGGCGCCATTCTACAATTCTTCAAGGAAGCCTTTGACCCTCCCTCGTCTGTTGAGGACATGCCGGCTGATGAATTCTTGACATTCTACTTCGATCAACTTCTCATCTGGGCCCCACATCTACTCACAGATTATGACAGCTCTGTGCGGACCGATACCGAGGATTTCATCCAGAAGCACCTTCTCCAGGATGGACCTGAGTATAACTTTGGATCAGAAGAAGAGGATATTGAGAAGGCCAAAATCTTCATCGCGGCTTCCCGAAGTTTGGGACAGGCATGCCTTGACCATTGTCATGATGTCTACCTTCGACAACGGCAACAGGCTGTACGTGCCGTGTTGATCAATATCATCAACGTAATCGAAGCTTGCCATGGATTCTTCGACTTCAAAGAAAAAGACCCCGACACTCGTAGATACTACGATATGACCAATCGTGAGTAAACCCAGCCATCTACTCTCAACAAACTCTGACCAAATCCCTTCTAGATACCCTTCCTACCCTGAGAAAATGTATGGTAGATGAAGCAGACGAGGAAGTGTCAGGTAATTGCTTCCTTTCCACTTATCCTGTTATATGACTAAATTATGAGTACAGACTGGGACGGTTCCGAAGGCGAGTACGACGACTCTTCAGAGCCCATCGGTACTCTGAACGACGATGAAATGCCCCTATGATCAGGATGTGAAGCTATGGACGATTTAACGACTCTTGTGGTAGTCCTTTTTTCTGCTTTTCGTGTTTTGTTAGGCGTACCGGAGCGAATGAGCGACATCTGAAATGCGGGAAACACAAATGCAATTACACTGGCGGGATGGCACAAAAAGAGAAAATGCCCCGAAACATATCATAAACTGGATCTTGCAGGGAACACACGGCGTAAATACGGAGGTCAGGCATCGGGCCTTGATCTACCCGGGGCATGCGGCGTTCCTATCAATTTTCTTCTTCTTCATATGGACTTCTGTCCAGTAGGTGGATGCACACCTTCGTCTGTTTGGGAGGGGTTTGGCATACCACTGACGCGATTGAGGAATGAGTTGAGTGATTGACCGATAGATGGATGGAAGGGTGGCGTTTCCTTCTCGCAGATCAACATACTGACTGCGCTTTGTGCTGGATGAGCCAGATAGTTGCCCATCAGCATACAAAATGTCAAAATGAGAACTTTCCCTCCGTGAATGTGGGTAGTCTGAAGCTCTGGTGGCAAGAGACTGATATCATCTCCGATAATGACTTGATTTGTGTGACGATACAGGAGATGCAGTGACGATTCAGCTTGTAGACCATTATTCCCTTCGAGCTTTTAAGAAGCCGAATACTTCGTGGACCCCACGTGTTCGCGCTTGCCATACGAGTACCACGATATCGGTCGCGCGCCCGAAATAACGGACCAGCATCGGGATGTAAATACTCACATTCGGGTCAGGTAACATCTCGGCACACCGTAGAACTCTTCTCTTGGTACGGGTAAGTCTCGGTAGGTGGGTTCCCCCTTGTTTACTAATCTTAGGCCTTAGGAGATCAGATCACCAGCTGGACTGCAAGTCGTCCACATATGTTAATCTGATCTATTTGATACGGATATATGTGTCTGTGATCGGATAGCGGTTTCCAAAGACGTGCTCTTGGCTTTGATACTAGTGTTTGATGCTCCAAAGCTTTATTGAAGGGGTGAATGACCTGGTCAGTTGAGTCCATAGATTTCGCTATTGGGGCTCTTGGCCTAATCGCGTATGTCTCTCATTTAAATACTCCTGCGCTCGCTGGATTGCTTTTTTTCCTCCCTCATCGGCTTGATCATATTCTACTTTGCTAGTACCACATTCGCTTTACTCAGTCTTCGCCACATTCGTTTATTCGTTCTGTCCATTCATTCAGTAACTTCTCTACCACTGTCAAACTCTTCAAGACGCAGCTCTCACACCCGCCAAAATGCAAATCCAAACTCTCATCACCATTGCGTTCCTCGTTCTCAGCACATCCGCGCAATTCGTCGGCCCTAAGGGCAAGAGAACTTGCTTCGGTGGTGCCATTTCCTGTACGTTGACTTCTCTCCCCTCCTCATCCTCCCATCTTCCCTTTTTGAAATCCAACAGTCTATTGTAAGAGTCTAACTTCTAGCGTTTCAAAAATATGCCAGTACGGCAAGCATCGCTGCGCAAACATCTGCGGCGATACCGTGACTCTGGAGAATGGCAATGCGCCTGCGTTCTTGGATCCCCTGTGCTCGTGTCCGGAGACGCATGAGGGCGCCGCTTATACGGGTGCGGCATGTATTGATGTTATTAGAGCGCTTGCGAGGTATGGGTGTTAGGTGGGCGGGGGTTTGAGGACGTTGCGTTGATGGGGAGTAAGGCGGGGAAGGGCGAGGAGGATTGGGTGGTGAGGTTGGTGTTTGGGTTGAAGTGTGGAGTTTATCATTGACGTATCTCTGGGCAGAGGTGGAGATGTCGAGAAGGACAGGGTGAATAATGGAGGGAAGGCGGTCCAATAAGCGGGAGAGCTTATCCTTTGGTGAGGGGCGGATTCAGTTGACTGAACAACGCATAGTCGGTCTATACCTAATGAAGCTCCCTTGGAATTTCAAGACTTCACAATTTGTATAGCTTTTTCCACTTCCACGCATACTGCCTGCCCAAGAAGGACTGCGTGTTTACACTCTGCCTGTTGGCCGGATAGTTATATGGCCGATGGAGGCACCTTAAGAACACAAGATACCAATCGATTGAACACTCTATTATTTTATTTACAACTATGTAAAAGAAACACCGTTTTGAAGCAAGTTTTTAGCAGTAGCTAATGAATATATCTATTTCCTAGTTTTATTTCAGTACATCTGGTGTAACGAGTTATTTCACGGAATTGAGTACCTCGATCGGCCACCTTTTTCTCCTCCAAACAGTCTGCCGTGATCAATTAAGCGAAACCTTACAAGATGAAAGTCAACAAGCTAAGCACACCGGGGTCTGAACTAACATAACGTTCTGGAACTCCAATGGCAATTTTAAGTAAAAAAGCTTAGTAATCCCAATTTTGCAGGAAACAATACATCAGACTCCCCAAAATCTGCCCCCCCCCCTCCCCTCTGCACCCGTCTCCTTGGTTATGTTTAAATATTGTGACCTTTCGACGACATCTCGAGCTACCCTACCTAGGTGACCAGTCTAGACATCTCGAAATAGCATGACGTTTAGGAAGAAATTGTACAAAAGACTTCGAAGATGGAAATCATGTTGAGAATGGATAGTTCGCAATTTCTGCACTGCAAAAGAGATCTCGTCCCGTCCTGAAAGCTTGCACAGGTGGATGTTCAAACATGTCTTCCATATTAGATACTGCAGATCAAGACCAAAATAACAGAGGTGAAAAGACCATCATTGAAGCAGGGATGGCTATCTTGCTGTACATTACATGCTTGGAATTTAATACTCAAGTAATCTGTACTAACAACACTAACAATCAAGAAATATTCTTGATGGAGGAAGTTGCCTGCCCATAGCCTAGTTGCCTGCGCCACAAACTTACTTGTCGATCTGTGGCTTGTGGAAGCTACCGATCATCGACTTGCATGGCCAAGATGTGGCGTATGGCTGGATTTGGGAAAGCTTGGGGAGCAGGAGAGTTCACGCTGAGTTTGAACTCTCAGGCCAACGTTCCGTCATGCCCAAAATGGGATATCCATCAGAGAGAGTGCAACTTTTGGATAAACAGAAGGCCGAATGATGATCGCAAATGTAGATGGGTGATTACTTCGTGATTGCTGAGCGGGAACAGGACAGGTCATAACGAGGAAATTCAATGTCACAAGCAATAGGGACGTCAATGTGATTCGAATGCAAGTATGCCATTGATCAATATGCACCTACTCCTTCTCCTATCCGAAAAGCAAGTATGGAAGTCTATTATTACAACCCCCTTTTTTCCATTTCCTAACCAGACGTGTCAAACACCTTTCCAGCGGTTATCCATTACACGCTTGCGACAGCCCATTCCACTCCATTCCAGTTTATGACTTGCAAAAGGTATACAGGTATGTATTTACATGTTGGCCATGAGCGCAGCTCCACCGAACAAAGCTCCGAATCCAACAGCAGCAGTCTGGTAAGCGGCACCAGCGGTACTGCTCGACGTAGCAGCACCGGCAGCGCTCGAGACTCTCGAGCTAATGGAGCTTGCTGCGCTGCTCTGGGCACCCGAGATGCTGCTCAGCACACTAGACAGCGACGACGAGCCTGCTGCGTCGGTGGCTGTGATGGATGTGCTGGCTGCTGAGGCGGCGGATGAAAGGGACGAGCCGATGGAGGAGGCTTCGGAGGAGAGGGAGGATCCAACGGACGATGCGCCCGAGGCGACGGATGAGGCGAGGGAGGCTGCGTCTGAGGTTGCGGTGGAGAGAGCTCCGCCTGCTCCAGAGGTGATTGTGGAGCCGATGCCGCCGGCGACTGATGTTGCTGATGAGATGGCGCCTCCGAGTTCTGAGGTGAGGGAGTTGAGGCCTCCTTGGGCGGAGACGGCGCTGGTGAGAGCGAGGACGGCGAGGGTCTTGAATTGCATCTTGACGGTTGTGTGGTTGTTTTGGTTTGGTTGGGAGGTGAGTGAAGGTTTTGTAGTTGGAGGTTGAGATGATGCAAAGTTTCTTGGTATAGAGAGGAAGAGAAAGTAGGAAAAGACAGACGGGACTTCTGTTATATATATGTGGCTCACGGACGGACTCCCAGGAGCCTGGGCGGAGTAGTGGAGTAGGAGGCAACTGACAAACAGGGCAAGTCAACAAATGGGCAACGCAAGTCCCGCAATCCCGCCAACTGACGGATCTCGATGCTCCTGCCGGTACCTGCAAATCCGGGGCTGTGTGCTTCAGGATCCATCTTTACGTCACTGGTGTTGGCGGCAGCGAGGCCCGTGAATGGTTGGATCATGGATGCTGGGAACAGAGTTCCAATCTTAAATGGTACAGTACAGTAGTGCTGTCGTTTAAAGTGCCCCTGCCTCTTGTCCGTCTCCACAACAACGACAAACAGAAAGCAACAGGAAAAAAAGCAAAAGCAAGGCCCACAAGCGTCTCCAAGCGTCTCCTTGCGAGGAGCCTGCCTCGCCTGCCTGATGTGATCTGCCACAGACCAAGGAAGAGTAGGAGCTTAGCGGGCCGTGAACGCCACTCGACCGGGATGAGGGTCTAGACTACTGTGCCAGAACCCTGACGACCGCGTTTACTTGTGTCAGGCTACGCGTTCTAGATATTTCTGGCCAATAATAATGGCTGCTGATCTTCGGCTGTCTAATCCAAGAATAGAGTGAGTGCAGGGCTGGCTTGGCTCACTGCAGATGTTGGAGTCAGCCTCCTTAAAACAACAACAAACGACATGAAGGCACGGGGAAAACAGACAAAAGCAAAGCCCCGTAAGAAGACGCATGCTGAGGAGGAGAAGGAGCTTTCTTACACTCAGCCAATCGGCACCGTACAAGCATGAGTAAGCATCTCTGCAGTGGAGAAACGTACAGTACAGTACGTGGAAAGAAGTTATGCAACAATATGCAAAATATGGCGAACACAAAGAGTTACATCACACCATCGGGGCTTCCAGCCCAGATCGGATCTCGGGTGGCTCAATCCCAAACCAAAAACTGCTGCTTAATGAGCCAAGCGAGGACTGGGGCAGCTCTGCCTTGGTTGTTCCCGGCTTGGTAGATGACGAGAGCCAGGGCAAGGCTGCACGGAATTGCTCAATTGGCGTGTACTGTAGCTCCCGGGTAAGATTTGCATATCCCCATGTTTCATAGATTACATAGAGCACAGCACTGCACTGCACTGCACTGCACTTCGCTTCATCTCACCTCCACGCTCTCCTCGATCCTCACATTATCGCCCCTCAACCAAAGCACAGCAGAGTTCAACACGCGCCAGGGTGTTTGCTGAAAGAGTTTTATTACTGGACTCTGACGACTCAAGATGATCAGGATGGGGGAAGAGGGTGCAGTCCAACCCAATCAAACCTGACGTCTTCCTGCATCGATCGGATCGCCCGCTAGGCATTGGAGCCGGGTGGGCCGGGTGGCCCAACAGGACCCCACATTTGACGACTCTTGGCGGGGCTTAACGCTGCAGCTGAAGCGCGCTAACATCCCTGATCCTGCCACGGCAAGCCAAATTGGCAAGTCTTAGACGACCGTCGTCATCGCTGCCGCTCTCGTTCTCTTCCTCGCTGTTCCTCCTCTTGCCTTGAGCCACATCATCCACAATACCTGCTCCGGTGGCGGATGGGGCTGGCTGAGGCCGGTTGGTGCGGCTGGATAACACGGCAGGATCTCTGCTGAGCTCCTCATCTCCGTTTGTACTTTACTTTACTTTACTTGTTGGTACTGTATTGGGTTTGCAACCGAGATTCGATTCTCGGGTATTGGAAACAGCCTGTTTGTTCCGTCGCAAGAACATCAACATCAACTTAACCATCTGACCCGCTTCGACTTGAAACTGACAGCTGCTCCAAGGCCGAGCTCGCTCCCTGCGCCACAGCAAACAGAGCTTATTTCCCTCTCTGGATTCCGAACCGGAATATCTGCAGGTACCGCCGGCGTAGTAATTGCCTTGACTCAAGAAAACTGGCGTATCCAACACCTACACGCGATTCGCTGAGGCATCCGAAAACGATCATCTTGCGAGCTTTGGGTCGGAAATGCTGAGGAGTAGGAGCATGATGTAAGCTCGAAGCCACCATTGCCGTGGCCATAGCGTTGGATTTACCCCCCGATCCACTCTTTTGGTCATGGCATGTGTCAAGCCATCGAATCGTGAAGCCAATTATTCATATGTTGTGGTACGGCGAGATGCCTTTCTTGATTTCGAAGACGATCTCTGCTGCTTCATCGGCACTCTTGGCCTCGAAGTCATATCGTTTGGTTTCTGTCGTTTTGTATATCACGATCTGTACCAGTGTAAGCATACGGGCATGAGAGAATAAGTGTAAGGCATACCTTGAAGTTCGTCGGATGCCTTCGCGTGACTTTGCATCCAACGACTTTACTAAAGTGCACTGTGGTCGTTTTGCCCTGGCCTTCAAACATAGTCTTCCCAGTAGATGTAGGCATGATATGCAAATATTCACCATCAATTGCCAATATTCGCTCGTTCAATCCCACGAACCGCATAGGCTGCTTCCGCCACACTGTGTATTTCCTGTAATTCGCACTTCCGAGTTCATCCTGCTTGATTGCCTCTTGAGCAAGTGGATGATTTCCCATCATGGGCCCCTTCCTGATCTTTCGAACATCAGGTCTCTCGGTCATCATTGGTATCTTGGGCGAACTGCTACTCGGGGATCCCGACATAGTCAATGGCCCATCTGTTGCAAATCGGCGACGGTACAGATCGAGTTCTGTGCGATTGCCAATCGATTCAACTGTACGGTCCAAGAGTACGACAGTGCCAGTTCCTGTCAACTTCAAAACATGATTAGCTTTGTCCAGTTGTCTCCGTTTACAGACAACATCCAGTACATCAGCCAAGTACGTGTCTGTCGTGACATCCAAAGTGATCATTTGACCTGGAGCAGCGTCTGCAGAATGTATGTGGATCCGCAAAAGCTTTTTGACACTGTTCCTTGCAGCGGGTGTAGCAACAGTCCCAACTGCAGGCGAATCTGCTAGAGTTGCATTGGAACGGAGCGCAGACATTGTTGTCAATAGTGGATTCAAGCGAGGCTGTGTGCCGGCCAGAGGCGTGGACGAGGACAATGTAGGGGTATTCTTTGGCATGAAATCATCGTCGCTGGCAGAAGCGACAGCTTCTTGTTTAAACTGTGGAGTAATGGCCTGGTTCTCTTGGAATTGTTCATCAGTTGCCTCGACCAAAGCGAATTCATCGTAAGGCTTGGAATTTGATCTTGACCTGGCTGCTCGGTTATTCGCTGTTGTAAAAGCAACAATCGGTTTATTTCGTTCCAGTGCCGGGAAATCGTAGTCAACCTCCTCATCCTCCACCATCCGTAGAGTCCATCTATTGACATTGAGTTTGTCGTCTGGAATGGGAGGATCTAGTTTCTCCTCCGTATATCTCCAAAGACTTAGTCCAATCAAATCCGCTACCGCGACAGGTCTGTCATTAGCCTCGTTCTCATGAACACTTCTGCGAATAATGACCTCAAAAGGTTTGCTTGTAGATGTTGCGAACGGAGCCCAGATCCTGAGATTCAATGGGTTTGGTTCTCCTTGACCAGATAAAGATGCGAATGACTCGAACGGCATCGAAGCCTTGGTTCGTTTGGCCTTGATGGCAGCAGAAAGAAGACTTTTAGGCTGGATCATGCTAATCGGTCTTGGTGGCGGAAGCGCTTGCAGAACAGGTGGTGCGGGCTTTGACTTCTTCGTTGGAGACCGCTGCAGACCTCTAGGCATAGTACCGACAACATGAGTAGGTGAGGCGTTGACAGGAGCATCTACACCATCAATAATAGATGCTGAGTCAATACTTCCAACGAAATCAGAATCCATTCCTGACTCGGATCCATCCGAGTCCTCCTCTTCCTCCTCAAGCAAATCACTCTGCTGCCTCTTCACTCCCACATTGGGATCCGAAGTATGCCGTGCGAGAGCCCTACTAGCTTTTGCAGCATTCCTCGAAGCATCCCGCTGCCGTTGAAAAGCAGATGCATCGAACTCGTTCTCAGATGACATCTCACTGCTAGTGACAGTATCTCTCCTCGCACGTTCCTTCACTGCTTCTAATGCCGATTGAGAACCTCTTCTAGCCTGGCCACCTGGCGTCCGTGATGGCGACGTAACCGTTGAAGATTGTCGCAAATTCGAGCCACGAAGTGGTGAAGAGCCCGAGCGGTTCCGAATTGGCATCTTGGAAAACTTGATCTGCTGTGCAGCTCGCTGGTCGCCTTCATCGTCGCTCTCATCACTTAAATCACTGCTATCTTCCTCCTCCATCTGTTCTCGTCTGCGTCGTCTCTTAGTAGCAATGCCAGGTCCAACTGTATCCACTCCTCCACCTGTGACCATTCCGCCTTCCTCAACATCGTCCTCGAGCCCATTTTGGCCCAAACTGATAGATCTCGGTGGTGCTTGGAAGTACTCGGATGCTATCGCAGTCGGTATTGGCGGGGAATGCGTACGTTTTATATTCGCGGGATTCGGTCGCCAGCCAGCAGCTTTGAACCCAGCAGTGTTCATAAAAGCATCATTGATAGTAATTAAACGTTCTCCAACACCGTCTGAGATCGTATCCAGGTAATTTGTCCGCAACTGGTAAGAGACCAGACTGCATGCTCGTGTCAGTAATCGTGCAGGAGCTCTCTCTGGCCAAGATGAGATGGTACGCACTCTTCCACTTGTAGGACGGACATCGTGGATGCCCAATGTGTACCTGACAATCGGGGCTCCACGTGTAGGATTAAAGAGCGAACTCAGATGGGTCGGTGACACCGACTCAGTTGGAAAACCGGATTAAATCTAGGGAGGGGGTTTGGGTGATCTAGCTTCACTTCAGCCTTACCATGACACTGGGGTGTTACACTCGCTAGCGCATGTCTTTTGGCTTGGCATTCAGCCTTCCCTGGAAATTGTTAACTTCCAGTTTCCAAGCATCAACGGCATCAACATCATCACCAACCCAAATCATTCAAAGCGCGACAATATGGGCCTCGTTGACTATTCGGATTCGGACGGCTCGGATGCTGAGCAGAAGCCAACAGCCAAACTAGCACCAACTACTTCCAAACCAGCTTTCCAGAAGGTTGTCGATCGATCAAATCCAGGCAAAATAAAAGTCTCGTTGCCACAAGCTGCACTCAAAGAAGACAAACAGAGCGACGAACCTCCCGCGAAACGAGCAAAGACTGGTGGTGGGAGTGCATTTAGCGGATTCAATTCGTTTCTTCCTGCCCCGAAACGAGCAGGACAAACAACCGCGACTCTTGGTGGCGGCAATGCAGCGAAGAGAGGCCTGGGAGCTGGTGTGAATTTAAAGACTGGAGCTGCACCTGGCTTCAGCAGAGAGCCTGAACCGGAGAGAGAGCCTGCGGATGAAGAAGATAATGAACCAGCTTTTTCGAATGAAGGATCCGGGATGAGCCTTCCAGCACCAAAGACAACACAGAATGGAGAGCAAAAGCCCGCAGAGGAGGTTAAATTGGTGGGAAAGCCATTGATGTTCAGACCACTATCAGTTTCGAGAAAGTCTTCAAAGAAGAAGAAGCAAATCCCCACACCTTCCCCCCTTAATCCAGCAGTTAGCACTCCAGTTACTCCGCAATCGAAAGAGACAAAGCCAGCGCAGAGACCGAAGGTCTCTCTATTCTCCATGGACACACCGGAGGAGAAGCCTATCACACCAGCGTCCAAGGGCGAATACCAACCTATGATGCTCGAGGTCGAGGAGGCGGGAGAAGATGAGGGGGACTCTCAAGGCCTCGAGCCCTCTTACGAAGATTACACACCCACATCCTCACAGCATATGGCACCTCCTGCTGTCCCAACACCGCCTGTCTCTCAATCACTCGACGACATAGCCGGGGATTTGAACCTATCAGCAGCTGAGCGGAGACGATTATTTGGGAGACAGAAGGGGGGCCGTGGAATGCAGTCGGCGACGAAAGTCATCAATTTCAATACTGACCAGGAATATCTTCATAATGAAGAAATTCGTGCTGCTGGCGAGCAAGTCACGCATAATCCTGTCAGGGCTATTGCGCCTGGCAAGCATAGCTTGAAACAGCTTGTCAATGCTGCGCAGAGTCAGAAGGAGGCTCTGGAGGAGAGCTTTGCGAAGGGGAAGAGTAATCGGGCGGAAGCTAGTAGTAGATATGGATGGTAATGTCCTGGTGGTTAGGACTCCTTTAGGGCTGAGAATGATACCCTTGTTTACGCGAGCCAGATGATGCTCGTAATGTTGATGATTTTGCCCCAGACCTATCCATTCAAATGAAATGTAAAGCAAAGCCTCCAGCTTGAGTTGGTTCTGGGAACTACACATAGCTTCCCAGAAAACGTCTTCGCCATTGCCCCTACCATAGCTTCATTTTCGCTGCTCAAATGTTATTCATAGCACCAATCAGGCGTACGACAATGCTAGGCATAGATAAGTACATGCCGTCTAAAACCTTCGGTGAGCTACTGGCGGCAAGCAAATCCCTTTGATAACCTTGTGAACCATGTCGTGACGAGTGTGCTCCCTTTGATAATACTTTATCTCGCTTTGTCTTGATGGAGCGTCAGTTAACGAACCCAGGTCTACAAAGCGAAGTATCTTACTTCCCCGGACGACACCCACGACTGCACATGAAGATAGTGGGAGAGGTATCAAGCTCTCTCTTAGTCCATAAGTCTGGCGGTGGATGATCAGTCCACAACGCCAAGCTGAGTTCCGCCTATTGGAAATAGTAAGTCGATAGTATATCATCATTACATCTCCTCCCAGCTGCATATTCACAAACAAAATTCGTTTCAAAGAACCGCCGAATGATTACATATAGTTGATCAGATTCGACAAACCCCCAAATAAGAAATGTAGACTCAGTGGCAAAATGTGACGATACGACGCATCATTTCATCACGATCACCATATCCCTTTCCCGTGCATCATAAATTTTCTTGATCCGGAACACCAGATCATAATAACCACGGTGGATCCACATCATGAAACAAGCTGAACACAAAATAAAAGAGGCAGAGCAATGAGAAACGATCTGTACGCGCTCAGGATGAAGAAACCACTTCCCCACCATCCCGAGCTCATGGAAAAAACATGCCAAACGAACGACAGCCGAGCAGTGAAGTATATTTAGAGCCTTAACATTGTCAGATACGGGAACGGGGATGGCTTCCGTACCCGTGGCCAGCAGTAATGAGCGAGCGGATTGGTACATGAGCCTGGCTTAACATGTTTCATGTTTTGCTCTGCTGTCATGATGATGGCTTCAGCTCGGCAACAAGGCAAAGGAAAACGTAGAATTTAAGGCTCGGTAGGGTATACGATCTGACTGAACACTAGGTCACATCGTCCCGTGGCTGACCCCGTTGGGGATGGCTGCATCATAGGTGACCGACAGGGGCCAGAACTTAGAAACGAAGCTTGATATGGAAGGAAGGAGACCTTGCTGGCGCTCGACACTCTGTTCGAGACGACACTATCAATAAAAATGTCCATCAATAAATGGCAATCAGTAAAGGTCCAACAATAGATGTCCACGACAAAATCGCGTGACGAGTAGCTCGCGTTGACGTAGTGCAGTAGTGTGTATCGTTCCTGTGGAAAATGGGCAGCAGTTCTTCCTTTGGCGGAAAAGCTGCTGCAATGAAGATAGGCAACGATGTCGAAAATGTGACGACTTCTATCTTGAGCGATTTCCACATGCACAATTGTGATGTGAGTGACCAGTGAGAACTCATGACAGACCGTACCCCTGACTTAGGAAGGTCTTAGCGTGGGCAACGTCCCGGCAGTTTGGGGTTTGAAAACAAAAATAGATTCTCGGCAATTATTCTCACACTCTTTTTGCTAATCCTCCTCCAAGCGAGTCCTTAAAAGCCTGTTTATTTGCTCGCTTCTGCTTCAACAGCCAAGGAGCCGTGCGTGTATCCAAACCCCACCTTCAAGAGCAACGCTAGAGAAAGCCACGCTTTCTAAATATAAATGCATCTTCACGATCCCCCCCACAGCCAGTAACATCCCCAGTAGCACATCCGAAATAGCATCACAAAGAGCCTCCTGGGCGCTTACAACCCCAGATCTGCTCTTCGATGGGTCCAGGCGGGGTTATGAGGCTTCTATTTCGATATCTACTTAGGATGAGACCGCCCACAGGTAAGGATGTTGACGCTCACTCACAAAGGCTATTCGAGGTTCGGCGTCAACAGCTTGATCTCCTGAAGCTTCCCCGCCTTGACTTATTGTTTGTATAACACTACTGAGGATCTCAAATCTCCACCTCATGGTCACCATACTAAACCTTTCTCTCCATCACATATGTTATTGTGACCTTGCAACGGACAGTCGAACGTCCATCGGATCGTCTTCCTCGACATTTTGAGCTGTGTCAACATGCCCTCTCTCACTACCACCATCACCAAGGCCCGCATTTCTTCTCCTCTCGAAGCGGGTCATTCTCTCCTCGATGCTAAACAACTCCCACCTCAACTCACAGCAGCTTTGGACTACGTGTCCAGCCGCTTGGCTCGAAAGCGACTTCATCTGTCCCTCATCGTTATCCGCAAGGATGTGCAAATTCCACAATCACCAGTTACATCCCCCCAAGCATCGCCAAAGCGACCCGAGTCTCCAGGTCACTCTATCACAACATCTCCGGCAAAGTCTCTCTTCGGTGGATCAGCATTCGCGCGAACACCAAGCAAGAGTTCTCTATCGTCCATGTCAGATTCTGGCTCTTCAACGTCAGGATCTTCCTCCACAAGCTCCTCTTCTCTCTCGAGAACGAATTGGCCTAGTCTTCCTGCTTCACCAGCAGATCGCAGCGCCTCGCCTCCATCTACAACAGCTCAGCCAGCTACTCCAACAACACCAAACCCATACGGCATTACATTGATGCACGCGAGCACTCTAACACCAAAGGCTGAGAAGAATCTCCGCCACACTATCGCGAAAGCCGAGAAGAAATTCCCTATTGGGTAAATATCCCACTTATATGTTCCCTCTCAATCTCTGATAGCTATATTTCTCTTGTGATGCGGGGCATCTTCTTTCCTTAACTGGAATTCAGTTACAATTCCAGACTCTTTTCACAAACCAAGGAAACTACTAACAAGCCTCTAGATCAGGCTGGCTCTCCCCCGCCCCACTCACAACATCCACCACCTGTCCTCTGACCACCAACCTAATCCACCGCTCTCTCACCCAAAACGAAGTGATCTTCTCCTCCGAAGGTCTGACCCTTCTCTCCCTCGATCACGTCTACACCTTCAAGTGCCACCTCCACACCTATTCCCGCACCCTAACACCAAACGATCTCACCCTTGCAGTTGACGAGCTCCGCCGTCTCGTGCTCGCCCAGAACGGCAAACGCATTACCAAGGGCTACCTCATGCGCGCCTACGAATGGCTCGGTGTCAGTCTTGCTGCACTCGTCGACGTCAACGAAGGCTACAAAGTCGCCTATGGCGGCAAAGAGCGCTTCGGAGGCATCGATGTCCAGAATGAGGAGCGTAAAAGCCCGCCTCCTCTCAAGACAAACTTTGCTGCTGGTGAAGTTGGCGGAATGAGGAAGATGAAGCTCAGTCTGAGCGTGAACTTTGCTCCAGCGTCTGAAGTTGGGAGCTCCAGAGAGAGTACGTGTGAGAGTACGTGTAGCGAGGATGAAGCGAAGACTTTGGTTTCAGTGAATGTTGGGGAGAGTGCGAAGGGTATTGACAAAGGTGTTGAGGAGTTGAGAGAGGATAGAGGGCCACATAGGCGAGGGCCGATGACGCCGAATGGGTTTGAAGATATCACTCCTGTCACTAAGGGCGAATGGTGCTTCTTGATGGTAGGAGAAGGGTGGAAGGAGGCGAAAACCGCACCAGTCGAGACTTGTTGAATTGCCATTCCCTTGGGGAGCAGCTTGATTCGAGCGTTTTTTATTCTTTGGTTCTTCACTTTTTCACCTGACCAATCTGAGAGCAAGAGCTGCGATTAGATCCGGTATATTCAGCATTAGCATAGGCGTTATCATTACATATACAATACAGTATCATTGGACCATACAGAGTCAGATTCAAGTTCATGATACACGAAATACCCACAGAGGCTTCTTGCTCCGTTCTCTTCCTCCATCTCTCATGCCTTCCACGTGACACGCAGTAACTCAACCACTTCCTCGGATTTTGTTGCTTATCGCACTTGACCGTTGTTGTGCAGATATCGGACGGCCGCATGTTTGGCCACATGGGAGCCAATAGCCATTTGTCAAAAAGCCACGAGGCGGGCGAAAGAGCTATTCTTAGGGAATTGAAAGTGCCGAGGGACTGGTAGCGAGGTGTCATGAAATCAGTCATAAGACCTGGCGGGTGTGATACGTGGTGGCTTAATATAATATGAGCTGTCAGTATATTTATAGCAACGTGAGAACGCAACTTCCTGTATACAAAGTCTTCGGTAGTCTGGAAAAGTGAATTTACCACACTCTCAATGCTACGCTGATTTTGCCTCCTTGCTCATGATATACAGCGAAAAACACACACCAGAAAGCTGAGCCTATATTCCCACATGAGATCAAGACAACAGAAGCATTAATTTATGTTCAACCCTCTCTATCTTTGTGCAAGGAACCAGGCTAGGATACTCTGACGTCGTGATTTTCGAGAGAAATTTACTTCTTGACATGAGCTAGCCGAGGCTAACAAAACAAACACCCCCTTTTTCCCCTCGCTTAGTACACGACGGGGGTTTTGGGTCTTTCTGATCGCCTTGGAAAGTGGTCAGTCAGTTTGTGGATTTCTCATCGTACGTTCTTGACAATTTATTCATGCCTATTAGATAGAGAAATTCCCTGGCACAGCTACAAGCTGGTGAATTGCCTCTGGAGGAGTAAAGGGCTTCGCTCAAGGGCCATGAATACAGTTAATTCCCAACGCACCATATTTGCCGCTCAAATCACTGTCGTCATTATTTGATGCCAGCACGATCGAAGAAGTATTCATCAACTTTGATGTAGCATCTAGGGAAATTGGCTTGAAACCTAGCAGGTGATTGATATGTGCACACCTAACATTAGTCACGCGGTCTGGAGGCATATTTCACAGACAGATGTCTGTACTTGTGAGACCTAGATTGTTACTGATCTCATTATATCCTAGATGTCCTTTACGCCTACAAATTCAAACCGGCAATGAATGTTAACTAAGGAGCATCTTCGTGAATTATTGAAATACTGGAACACACCTCCAGGAGGATTAAAGTGCCATGAAGTAGATGATACACCACAGGCTTGAAGTGACTATGAATAGACTGCAAGTCTATGTAATTCATCGGTGCGATGAAAATTCATGTCTGACTGGCAAGTCGTAGCAGATCTGAACCTCCCAACTATCTTGGACCCGACTCTGCTTTCTTTCAGGGTACTTTGAAGAACTTGCTCGATATAGAGAAAGATCAAGACTGTATGACTTCTTATCGGATGTTCTTAGGCAGTTGCACCACTATATTGAGCATAATGTACTGCATGTATGCAAGCATGACCGCGTCGCTTACCTCAGCTCCCGCTGGAAACGCCATGCAGCGCATCATATTCTGTCATCACCAGCACACAGGTATTCCCACAACTTCTTTCAGAAAGTGAAGGAGTTAATTTTGGAAACTGAACTTTTGAGCGACTGTTCATGAAACCTCAAGGTTGATAGCATTCATGGCTTTCCTTTCATGAAAGAACGTTGTCTTTGGCAGTCGAGAGAAACATGCGGGGTAGGTATTCGTCTTTCTCCCCCACGGTGGGACCAAGATGAGTGATCAGTGGCCTCACATCTCTCTGTATCTTGTCGGGATTAGGCGTTGCTTGGTACGGCATGGGCCATTTTTCTTGGCCTGTCACCTGTTTGTGTCATCCTTCGTGCATGATACTCTGACGTTTTCAGCTTTCAGACAGCCTCATTGCAGCATATAACCCTCTGATTGGAGAGAAAATATGCAGAGTACTGATTGTGCTTCCGCTCACCACTCACTTGTCGAGCACGCGACACATTGCCTTTCTAGATATAATTGACGAATTTCTCCTCAGACGGAGCTCAACTTGATCACTTCCCTCAATATTGTTTTGGGGCACCAATCTTTCTCGCTAAGTAGCCGACACATTCGAACAGGACCATTATCATGAGTAAACAAGAACTCCTCAACAGCCTCTATGGCATCGACAACCTCGTCACAGTGAACATCACCATGCCAGCTCAGGACTGGCAAAACCTCATGCACGCAGAGCCTCGCGGAGGAAGATGCAATTTTGGGTACATCGGCGACCGCTTTGACTGGTTTAAAGCAACCTCAGTCACAATCTCCGGATCCAAGTTTCCTCAATCGGGGACTTTCGCGGATGTCGGTATAATCAAGAAATCATATTGTGGATCATTTAGCACGACTAAACCGTCACTTCGTCTGGACTTTGCTCGCAACGTTGACGCGAATGAGGCGCCTGCCGAGAATCTGTTTGGAACGAAGACGTTGACGCTGAACAACTCCATTCAAGATTCTTCATATATCAGACAGACACTAGGTTATGAGTTATTTCGTCAAGCTGGGCTCCCCTATGCGCGATGCAATTACGCAAAAGTGGTCGTGAACGGCAACAACATGGGGACATACGTCAATCTTGAGCCGTATAAGAAGCAATTCCTGAAGAATCTGTTCATGGGAAACGATAAGGGCAATCTCTACGAGTTGGAAGTCGGCGAAGATCTTGATCCAGCGATCGTCTCAGCAGGGAAGATCAGTTTCGAGTCGGGCATTGCTCCAGATCAGAAGGATCTCATGATCGCAGCTTCTCAAATGGCTACGAACGGTCTTGTTGGCGCGAAGCGTATCGTCGATTATCCCTCGTTCGTCAAACTCTTCGCTATGGAGACTCTGCTGAAGCACTGGGATGGGTTGACCATCAACACCAACAACACGTATATGTACAATGATGTCGTGGCTGTTGCGAATCCCACCATGAACAATGTCAAGTTCAAGTTCATTCCTTGTGGACTTGACCAGATCATGCAGGAAGGACGGAATTTCGAGATTGGTGGGAAGGCGATCATGGCGAGACTCATCCGAAATGATGCAGCGGGCAAGGCGGATCTCTTCGCGGCTATTCGTGACTATGCAAATACGATATTCAGCAAGAAAAACTACGAGACTGTTCTGAATCCGTACATAAGTCGGATGGAGACTATACTCTCAAGCTCTGGGACCACGCCATCGGGAGAGATCAGCACAGTTAGAAAGCAACTCCAGCTTATCAGATCAGGGGCATATCAACTGATTGGAGAATTTCCTCCAGAACCGTAGGTATTGGTATCTCATGTTCCAGGTACTCAAATAGACTTACGTTTTATCCTTGAATCTTTTGTCTCTCATAAATTTCAACCACTTTGGCTGTTTACTTGCACTGGGCTAATATGCGTCCTAGGCAACTCTTCCTCAACCGCACCATAGGCAACTGCCTCCACGCCAGCAACACAGAATTCATCCCTCCCAACAGCCCACCCGCCACCAGCCCGCAAGAAGTCTACCACTACCAACCCACCTCCGTCCCCTCCGACAACTGGTCCATCCTCCCCTCCAAACCACCCACCATCAAACTCAAAAACCAAGCCTACAACACCTGGCTGCACGCCGACAATACCGTCAAAACCCCCAGCGGAAAACTCAACGTCTACGCCTCGCGTACTGATCCCGATGATGCGAATAACTTCCTCGTTGAGCCGTCTGGGGGCTTTGCTACGGATCCGTGGATCAAGACGGGGTATTTTAGGGCTAAGAGCGCGGTGACGGGGAATTTTGTGATGTTTAGTGAGACGGATTTGACGCCGAATGGGAAGAAGGAGGTTTGTCAGACGGGGGATTCGGCGCAGGCTGCGGTGATGTATCTGGGTTGAGTGAGGATGGTGATTGTGAATGTAGGGAATGTGAAGGTCATTTCGGAACCTAAGTTTGGCTTGAGAGCGTTTTTTTTGTGTTCAATGGGAGTGTCTGGGTAGGATGATAACGACGTAATGACAGATTACGAAATCATGACTGACAATTCAAGGCGTGGGAGCTTTTCTTCATTTCCACTTCCCTGGTCAGCTCTACACGGACATTTTAAGATCGAGAGAATTGGTCAAGTAAGACTTAAGCCACGTTCTGTAAGTCTACGGAATCTCGCTTCTCAATTCGGTTCAGCCCATAGACTCGAATTTTCTCCACATTCGCTATCCAGCCGCACAAGAACTAACCCTACCAATCCCCTCACGACTCCCCTATCCCTCCACGTCTCCAAGACTACCCTCGCCGCCTTCCGATCCTCCACAGACCCATAGATGCCTACAGCATGTAAAGGTAACACTGCACTGATGAATCCACAACCAAGGTTCTGCGTCTCAAGATACGCTGCGCAAGAGAGGATAGACGCAGATGCATGGTGAATCACTTCGTCTTCTTGTATATCCAGAAAGGGCGAAACATCGCGGTTACCGATGACTCGACATAAGATTCTTGAGAACAAGAAGTAGGATTCTATATATGCCGTGAATGAATTCGGGTAGTCAACTGAGCTGTCCGTGGAAGTGGAGGTGGAGGTTGACGTTGCGGTTGCTTCTTCTGTTCCAGGCTCGCTTAGCGAACCTGGATAATAACAAGTTTGAAATTCGATCCAAAGACCTTGCAGGTCTTTCTCGACATTGGTGAGAAATATAGGACCACGCGTAGGATGCTCCAGTCGGTTGTCAGAAGGGAAGTTCAGTTCCTCTATCAGAAGCGTTAGGATGTCCATCAAGCGCTCGTGGACCGGCTTTATGCCGCCTTGACTTGGGATGGAAAGATACTCGGGCGTGGCGTAGATTGATGGTTTCCTTGTCAGAAAGGAGATAAGGAGCTACGTATTGATAAATGCAAGTCAGCTCCAGAAGTGAGACTCGATTGAACTTCGTGGTGTAGAAGAAGAACAGACGAGATTTTCAACACTATGCAGGATCTTACCATTTGCCTCCTCGCCGTAAAGAACAATTCGTTCACCAAACCATCTGCACAGCCTTCCGGTCCAAGAACCTCCACCATTTTCGCCGCTCCTTCAACATGTCGCATGTACCCCTCTCCTCCAGACTGCGTGCTACTGATAGCTTCATAGAAGCATAGAAGGAGAGTCGTGCACAGCAATTGTGCAGCTGCGATAGCCCGGACTTGAGATCCTGAATTCCGAAGGGCAGCAATAGATCGAGAATGTTTTTGCAGCGCTTCCCCATAGATTTTTCGAGAGCCAGCATAATATGACAGATTCGATGTGGCGCTTGCGCAAAACGCAGTTGACGTTGCTTGAACTGCCAATTCGAGTCCGTTTCTCGTGCCAGACGTTGACAAGGAAGGCAATTCATGTAGCCAGAATCTACCTGGTGAGCTGCTAGATCGGGAGGCGAAGTAATCTAGGAACCGGGAGAGAAAGTTCTGGATAATGATTGGGCTTTGAGAGGGAGATATGAGTTGTGCTGGCGGGTTTTGTGTTTGAGGACGGTGGAAAGAGTTAATAAGTTTTGAGCGTGCGCGAATGACAGTTTGGGTCGTGACATCTACAATTATGGCTCCTGAGATGGGACCCGGACATTGACGTCCAGCGCGAAGACATTGGTCGCATTGAGGAAGAGTCTCGTCGCATCGCATGCGGCGGGAGCGACATGCTTGACAAGCCCGTGTGCGGCGGACCATAACGGGTATTGAGACGATCTTTGCTGAATACTTAATACCGAACAGTATTGATCACGAAAGTGACATGCCGCTTTACTTACCTGTTGCTGAGAACACTTTACCATATGTGAAAGTTAAGGCATGCGTTCAGACTCGACTTGGCTGACAAATGTTCCTTCCAACATGAGTGCTGAGTAATAAAGCCGTTCCACTGAATAGTTGGAATCCGCTGCCTTCGCCCCTGCTCTACCTCCTAGATTTTAAGTCGCAAACACTATGAAATTTGATCAGTTAATAACTTCACAACTAGATACTCTCTAGACTAGAAAAGTCGCAAACTGGTTCATTAAAGTTCTAGTTTATTTCTACAAAGTGGTAGTGTTTTTTCGTGAAGATGCAGGTTGGTGAATTTCTAGAAGGGGGGGGGGAAGGGCAAAGCACGCGGATTCTAACTACTTAGTGGAAGGGCTGTAGAACGGTATTCTACGCGCATCTTCGAGAATCCGGTTTGATACCAAACCCTTCCATCCTGTCTGAAATCTCGAGGGGCTATCAGACAAGTAAAAGTCAATTGAGTGAGGCCAGATGCTGTCACCACTGAATTGCAGGTGCTGGTCTAGTGCGAGTCATAGCTATAACATTTTCGCTTCTGATTCTCAATCATATATAGGTACCAAAAGTAGCAGTAAAAATGAAAGCCATAAGCATACTATAGGCGGCGGAGGACAAAAGCGTCGTAAAATTCAGAGGCCTTTCGTATCAGTAATGCTGGACGAGTTAGTGACACTAGCGCTGATGATAAATTTTACAGAGACTCACCGGTACACTAGTTTCTTCGAAGACACCTTATTGTCAGCCAGCAGCTGTGATCCTCTCGCAACCTCCTCCAATCCTCCAAGAACCTCAAAAGGATGAGGCGTAAGTCTCCCATCTTCAAGCAGTCTTGAGAAATACCTTCAGATAAAATCAGCTCATTATTGTACGGCTCAAACCAAACAAACACACGAATAAGCGAAGCCGGGCTCACCTGTACATCACAAACGCAAAGTCCTCATCCCATCCTGCCTCTTCTTCACTCCTCTCTTTGTACGCCTTGCCGTACGCACTCGAGACGTATGTCCTCATATACTTCACCCCATGCATCTCTACCGACGGCCAAGGACTCACGCCCTTCGGTGGATCAACCATGGCAATAGTCGCTCTGCCATCATGCGGCAACACGCCCAAGATGTGTTTCCAGCTATCATGCGCACATATAGCATCAAACGCATGCAACACTTCCTTTCCCTTCAACGCCTTTGTAATCTCTGCAGCGACATCGACGCTGGGGTCGCGATAGTCGATAATGACATCCGCGGCATTGAGACTCTCCACGAACGGGATTCCGTTCCCAGCGACCGTGATGATGGGGCTACAGCGCGAGAGCTTTGCGAGTTTGAGAGCGTATGCGCCTACTGCTGATGCACCACCATAGATTATGATGGGCAAAGAAGCGTTGGAGGATGAGGCGGAGACGGGGTTCCACGGTGGTGGGATGGACAGGTGTTGGTATAATGCTAGTGCAGCTGTCATGCCTGCGAGAGGGAGGGTGGAGCCTGCTTCGAAGGAGATGTTGGGCGGGAGGTGGAAAGTTGTGCTTGAGGGTGCTATGGCGTATTCGGCGTGTGCACCGTGAGGTTCCCACATGGGGTGGAAGGCGGCGACACGATCGCCAGGGTGGAAGTCTCTCACGCGGGACCCGACGGAGGAAATGATGCCGGCGATATCGTCCCCTTGGTTCATGTACTTATTTGCGGATGTGGCCTGGGATTGTTATTTGATGTTTGGCAGATGAGGAGGCTGATTAAGTCTTGGGTAAACTCACTTTCCAGTCCTTAGGATTTGAATCTGTGGCCATGACTTTGACTAAGACTTCGTTGTCTCTCGGAACTCTGTCATATGTGATCAGTTATTCCACAGAAGTCAGAACGGAGAAGTATCACTTACGGTATGTCGACATCACGAAATTCTCCTCGAAGAGGACTTCCGACAAGAAAGAGTTCTTTCATTTTGGTTTTCGGGCGAACTTGGTACAAAAGTGATTTGGAAAAAGGTGAGTAGAATCTCATCTGCCTTTGATGGCCTTGCCGGAAGTGAGTGCAGTGCAGAGGATCACTGCTGACTTTATACCTTTTCTATAGCTGTTCGAACCTATGCCAGGCGGTGGTGCCAAGCCACTAGCGAACATTGCCGTTTTGGGATGCAACAATGGGTTCGTAAGCTACACACAACTGGATGATGATAGGTGAAACCAAGATTTGCCAATGTATGGCTCTGCTGATTTTCACTTGGTCCTGGGATCGACTAGCCGATCGAACGAGACGAGCTGCATGTCATCTAATAGTTCCAGGAGAGCAGACATGGTGGGATTTGGGAACATCTCAAGGTGAGCTAATTGGCCGCCGCTATTGGTGAATGACAGAGAAAACGCCCGCAGAAGCTCGTCGGTAATGCATGTATTACTAACTCCACAAGTGGAATTCTCAGCACACTGGTGCAGTGGGAACCCCGAAGCATGCCCAATCATGCAGTCAGACGTAAGTAACTGAGCGTAAAAGATGTAATCAGAGCGATTTCGAACCATATCCAACGATTTCATTGATCCCGGACTTGCGGCTGTGGACTAACTCCAGCGCATTAATTCCATGCCAAAGTGCTCCAGACCGGAGCACTCGATCCCGATTTCAGTGCTAATAATGTACTGCTGCCAAAGTTCATCAACGCAAGCTGCAAACCAACCAACCAATCCAGAACCGGCACGGATGTGGGTCCGTGGTAACACCGCCCCGGCCCCTCCAAGTATCGCTGGAGACCCAGCATTTTCGCCGCCAAACCGTGACTTTCGTAAAACAAGGAAACTCGCGAATATGAGTATATGCGCAGATCTAGTGATGTGCGGAGAGGGAAAGCGAGTGTTGTATCAAGAATGCGCGAGCGGGTATGTCTAGAAGTCGCGGAAGAGTTTTCCATGTCTGCGGCATGTTAGCATTACTCGGTCCACTGGGAAGTCTCTCAACTTACTCATCATGGCCAAGTTGCCCATACGATTCTGTCTCCTCAGGATACTTGTCGAATTGACTGGCATCGCCAACACCAGCCTTGACAGGTGGTACATATGGGGCATCAATATCCTTCTTGGCCAGTCTCTCCCAAGTGACTTCAGCGAACCATTGATGGTTCTTCACACCTTCTGCACCACCATGGGTGTTTCCAAGTCGTTTTGTCAGGTCGGATGTGATCAACCGTTGGAGTAAGTCTTGCGCGTCGGGATGGATGTAAGGAGGATACTTTACACGGCCCTTCAAAATGTTCTCGTAGATTTTCATGGGGGACCCGCCATCCCAGAATGGAGTGAAGCCGCACAGCATTTCAAAGATCAATATACCAAGTGACCACCTGTGCAGCAGTTAGTTGGAACTGACTAGGTCAAATCGGATAACTTACCAGTCGACAGATTTGTTGTATCCCTTGCTCGAAACAACTTCAGGTGCAAGGTAGTCGGGGGTGCCGCACAATGTCCAAGTGATATCTGGCACTTTCTTGGCAAACCCAAAATCGGTGATTTTGAGATGCCCATGCCTGTCGAGTAGCAAATTCTCAGGCTTCAGATCCCTGTAGATAATGTCTTTCCCATGTAGGTATTCGAGCGCCAGGGTGACCTCGGCAGCATAGAATTTTGCCACAGGGTTTGGAAAACGCTATATGACCAGTTAGTATTGGCAATTACCCCGCATGATCCTGGCTCACCTGGGATTTTCTCAGCAGTGAGAATAGTTCACCTCCTTCCACGAAATCCATGACCATGTATAGATTTTTGGAATCCTGAAATGTGCCCCAGAGCGTGATGAGAAATGGATGCTTCACTTCTTGCAGCATTCTCCTTTCGTCATTCGTATGTTCGACCTGCTTCATCTTCACTACTTGCTGTTTTTTCAGCACCTTGACCGCATAGAATCGTTGGTTATGCTTTGATTGGACCAGGTGTACCCTTCCAAAGCTCCCCGTTCCCAATGTTCGCAGTATGTCGAAGTCTGTTAAAGAATATTTGCCTTTGGTCTGTCTGATCTGGGTAGGCTGTGGAACAACTTGTGCCTGGGGCAAGTGGTGGGCGGCTTCTGGCTGTCTGGCAGAGCCATTTTCGGGTTCTGATTGACCCATGTTCGGTTTTGATTGTGATGCACCATCGTTTTGGGGAGGATTGATGAGGTTGTTAATGGTAGGCAGGTTCTGGTGCTGCTCCTGAGGCTGAGAATAGGTCCCGTACGCCTGTTGCTGCTGGTGAGAGACCCCTTGCGTCATTGGTTGTTGCTCGCCCACAACCGCGGGACTCTCTTGGTTGGGATCGGCGGATTGAGGCGCGCTCTGGGGTTGGGGAGCGGTGGATTGTGTGGAGACGGAGGTTATTGATTTATCAAGGGTTCTGGAGGTGGTTGGGGTAATCGGACTGGTGGGTTGGCTGGATGTAGAAGTTGGAGAGGCTAGGTCTTTCTGACCCGGCGACTCCCTCGTCCGTTTCTTCTTGAGAAATCCTAATGTCGGCATATGAAGCAATGGAAGATTGCTGGAGATGTCGAGGCGAGCAGTTGACACACCTGCAAAGCCCGGGTTTCAAAGTAACGCTGGGCTGGGGACTTCGGACAGGTCAGCGAGCAAAGCTTCTCTGCGGCGCGCAGAAGGGAGACTTTGTTGAGAAGGTTTGAAGCTGGCGGGGAGCTGTGACAAGACGAAGCCGGATAAAGGTTCTGGAATGTCTCTCCTGCTTGGTCAGATCTGTTGGCGGCTGAGGTACAGGTACGGGTGGGCAAGCAAATGGAAGCTTTGACGATCGAGAGAAGGCGGCTTCTTGCAGTGTGAACAGCAGTGGTGGTAGCTTAGCTCCCGTGTCGCAATTGGAGGAGGAGGGACTGAATGAGGGTTGTCGACACGCACGATCCGTGAGCTGAACCTAAGGGGGGCTGGGCTGGGCTGGATCCGGACGTTAGAAAGATAGAGTTGCAGGATGCAAGGTAGCGAGCGCAGTGAGATCAGGATGTATGCGATGTAGTGTGGTGTAGGTAATGGTTGCTGAGAGCGCACGCACGCAATTGGCGATTGAGAAGGTATTGATGTGCAATTGTTCGCTGTGGAGGAGAGAACAGCGAGGGGAAGAGGGGTAAAGAGGAGCGGAGTGGTGTAGTAGGTAAGGTAAGGTAGTAAAGCGTAGCGCGAAAGATAGAGGAGAGGTAAGGTCGAGGGGAGTAGGGGAGTGAGGGAGTGAGGGAGGCAGGGAGGAGGGGGAGGGGGAGGGGGAGGGGGAGCGTGAGGCCGAGCGAAAGGGACCAGTGGCCTGGGGGGGCAGGGGGGATGGGCGAGATGCGAGCGCGAGAGAGGAGGGAGGGGGAGGGAGGGACAGTAGCGAGGCGAGCGAGGGTAGCTGGGGAGGGGACGTACTCGTACCTTACGAAGTTAGCTGGCTGGACTGGACTGGACTCTCAGGACTGCAGGTGGCCTCTCCTTCTCCTTCTCCTTCTCCTTCTCCTTCTCCTTCTCCTTCTCCTTCTCCTTCTCCTTCTCCTTCTCCTTCTCCCACCTGCAATGGAAGTAATAATAATGGAATGGGCGCCGGACTTGAACCCCACCTCAACCTTCACAGCGATCTTGTCGAGAACGGCCTAGCGCTCCTGTACTTGAGCAGCGCAGCGCAGCGCAGCGCAGCGCAGAGCTGAGCCTGACCCGTCCCCTGGCGCTCGCTCTGAATCTCTCGCGCTTGGTCTTTGTCGTTGAACTCTGAAAGCAACCTGCGCCTTCAAAGCCCGAATAGCCACATGTTGGACGTTGGGGAGGAGGAAAAAGGAGGAGGTGAATAGGGGAAGAGAAAGAGAAAGAAGAATGGATCGAATGGAATGGACGGGTCTCTTTGCCTTACTCATATTCACAGGATAGGATGGAGCCAGGCCAAGACTGGATACTGAGAACATGGACGGCACTTTATTGGACCAATTGCCTGATTATTATACTCTTCACGTGCATGCACTGTTTTGTTGGTTTGGGTCTCGATGCATCAGTCTAGCCTGTGTCTCTCAATGAAGCCGAGCATGTTGGCGAGTTGAAAATCTCTCTCGAGCAGTTCGCGATGCACTTGCAAATAAGACTTGCTTTCTAGCTGGCACGACGAAAAAGGGAGCAGCTTTGGAAAGCTGGACACCCTTCCAATCTTCACAATGGAGAGGTGACATGGCCAAGACGAGAGCCGAATAAAAACATAGCCGTCCACTCCAGACGTGCAGAGATAGTGGACGACCTTTTCTGCGGGCACTACTGAATATTTTGTGCTGGATATCTAGATACATGAGACTTATCATAATGCTTCGACATTCCATACCTTGAGATACAGCAGTGCGAGCGTGCAAGGCAATTCCCCACCCCTCTTCTCGGCGTCCACGTTGCAAAGAAAAGCAACGTGCTTCAAAGCCGCACAAGATGTAAAACCAATTATGTCTTTCCATAAAAGCTCCCCGCCATTCCTAATGTCGTTATCTAGCAAACTTTGCTGAAAAGAAACATCCGGCAGTATTCCGAATATAACGCCGTCGCCATGCTATACAAATGACCCCATTACTTCCCAGTAGCCCTTACCTCGGACCACATCCTATCAATGACCTGAAAGACAGCAGTAACTGCTTGCATAACATCCTTATTGACGTCCTGGCCTCCAAGCTTTTGTTGTATTTTATCTGGATGCCAGCGTACTCGTTCAACTTTTAAGACCTTTGCCAGTTGGGCTTCCGTAGGCTGTCCAGATGTTGGCGCATTGAGGAAAAACCGCTCTATCTCCTTCAACTTGGTTGTATCTGCCCTTTTGCCACTCTCCACTGGCCAAGGTATAGATGAAGTATGAATCTTCCCAGACTCCCATTTCTGGATGTATGCTTCCCACCTATCTCCCCATGCCTTCCTAGACTTCCTTTCTTGTCCCCTCTTCAAACTTTCCTCGACTTTCCTCCTAAATTTCTCGGCTTCTCTCTCCTCCTTCGCGCTCTCCTTAGCTAGCCGTTCCCTTTCCTTCTTAGCAGCGTCTCTGCGCGCCTTTTCTTCGATTAGGTGCTGATGTGTTTTCTCATACATCTTCGCCCTAACAAAAGCCGTATATTCCTCATCTGTCATACGCTCTAATTCTCCGTCCGGGCTGGGCTTTACGTTGGGATACGTATGAATCGGCTGTCCGTATACACCTTCCCAGAATTGCGCCCCTTCATCATCAGCCATGGCATCAAACAAACTCTCCCGAAAAGCGATCTCGGGGTCTACATATTGGCTCGAGGAAGCGTTCGGGAGGTGCGTATCGTCGTACAGCGCGGGGTCATCTTTGGCTGGGCTCGCTTTGCGCCTCTTGCTACGGTGGTGATGTCTGTGATGTCGTTCTCGCTGTCTCTCGTCTGCTCTGTCGCGTCGCGCCCAGTCTCGGTCAGACCGCTCAGCTGGGCTTCGTGATCGATCGTCGCGTTTCTCGGATCTCCTCTTGGACTTGTCTTTGAATCTGAATCTAGAGGGCTTTGGAACTGCGGGGGGTATGCTAGGAGGGGACTCAACACCACCGTCGGAGTTCATTGTGGTGGCCGAATTGCTTGATGATATGCCTGTGTGATGTGGCGGTTCGTCATCTGCGATTTGGAGGCCCATGCTTGGTCTGTGAGAAGCGTAAATAGTGCTGGTTTTGTTGCGGTTTGCTCAGGCAGGTTCTCGCGATTCTTCTAGGCTGTGACGATAAGAAGCTTATCGGTTAGTGCAGCCTACTTACAGTAAAGTGGACCTGGGGAAATTCATAACCGCCCCAACGTCTACTTACGCATGCAATGCAACAACACCAACTCAAAGCCCCAAAATGTCAGGCAAAGGCTTGTCTTACGGACTCAACATTACAAAAAAGACACCTTTAGGAAGCAGACCCCTGCCTGGCAAGAGGAAACCAATTTTCGACGAGCCTGACGATTCAGATGGCGACGACAAAGGCGACGCTGAAGCAATTGAAGAAATTGGGGAATTTGGCGGTCTCACAAACGATGCCCCAGCTCCCAAACTCTCCAAAACAGGCGCGGTAAAAGGTCGAAAACCGATGATGAAGCTCGGGTCAAACAAAGCGCCAATCAGCATGTACGGCGACCTCTCCTCGTCCTTCACATCCAAGAAACACGCAGATAAAGCTGAGGAGCTAGACGCCAATATCTACGATTACGATGCAGTGTATGACTCTCTCAAGCCACAGAAGAAAGTCACGGAGGAGGACAAGGAGCGCAAGCCGAAATATATGACGAACCTCATGGCGGCCGCAGAAGTTCGACAGCGAGATGCCAGGATCGCGGAGGAGAAGAAGCTAGCACGAGAACGAGAAGCTGAGGGCGATGAATTTGCTGATAAAGAGAAATTCGTTACATCCGCGTACAAAAAGCAGCAGGAGGAGAATAGGCGGTTGGAAGCTGAGGAGAAGATCCGCGAGGAGATGGAGGCGAAGAAGAATAAGGGAACAGGCATGACGAGCTTCTACAAGAATATGCTGGAGAAAGGAGAGCAGAAACATGCGGAAGTTGTTAAAGCGGTGGAGGAGAGAATTAAGACTGGCCCGGTGGAGGAGGTGGAGGAGGAGAAGGTCAAAACAGAAGCGGATATTGCGAGGGAGATTAATGAGAAATCTGGTGGTTCGATTGCCATTAATGATGAAGGGCAAGTGGTGGATAAGAGACAGCTGCTTAAGGGAGGTCTGAACATTGCTGCGAAACCTAAGAGTGCTGCACAGTCCAATGCGGCGAGAGATGCCAAAGCTTTGTCTGACCGGACGAAAGGTCCTGGATTCGTGGGTGCTGGTGGTGGTAAGCAAGCTATGCGCGAGAGGCAATCGAGGATGATGGAGGCACAATTGGAGCAGGCGACCAAGAGAGCGCTTGAGCAGGAGGAAGAGGAGAAGGTGACTCTGGAGAGGGCTTCGAAAAGTAGAAAGACAGAGGGCGACATTATGAGTGCGAAGGAGAGATATCTCGCCCGAAAGCGGGAGGCTGAAGAGGCGAAGAAGAGAGGAGAGTAGACACATATAAGAAAAAATAAAGCAAAAACTTATCCCAAAATTTGGAGGCTTAGGAAACATCACTGTCAGTCGACTTTCTTTCATAACTCTTCCATCTTAGTCGTGAGGTCGGCACTTGACGGTAGTGTCTACACGTCCTCCTCTAACAAGGTAATATTCCGATATTTTGACAGAGTCTTTCAAGTTCAACAGTTAAACCAAGGCTGCATACTGATTCGAGGGGACCCTCCAAACTGCCCTTCTCCCAGACTATATGAGAGGCAAGCAAAAGGGGCACGCTCGCTTACCAGATTTCAGACCAAAAGTCAACAAAGCCTAAAAAAAAGAAGATGAGTTCCATCCACTATTTGGAGAAAAGAATATATAGCAAAGACAAAGGGTATGTGATATATACATGAAGACTCAACGCAATATTCGTCGGTTTAAAAGCTGGAAACGAGAGAGCGAGCAATGGCAAAACTCACAGACTGATCGCGATGAGGCGGAAATATATCCGACCGAGAAGCGATCAGTCTGTTTAGAAACCATAAGCATGTTACAGTTTTAAAGAGGCATCACCGTGACGTAGGAACGTGGGTGCTTGGTCAGAAAGCTGTTTATTTGGTTAGATGAAGGGGTTAGTGACAGGAAACGTGGGTGCGAGAAGAGTGAATATGTGATAGTGAAGGGTGAATGGTGAATGGAACGGGTGGATTTTTGCCTTTGGATCTGCGGCAAGTGGTGAGATGAGGCGGAGTTTTTGTATGTTCGTGAACTTCGGTCTTTGAAATTCATTGCTCACTGCTGCGTAGGTTTCTCTGGTCGGATTTCAATGTTTAACGGTCGATTTTGAATACGCCTCACCAAAGTCATGCATGGGTGTTTACAACCTCTTACATTTCAAGTATTATACTGCCTACCCTGTATCTTTCAAAAGGATTAAATGCCCTGATAACACCTTTATTAAGACTCGAGAACCTTCTAGCTTGGCTTGTGATGTACAAAACTCCCATCGGAGATCAACGATCTACTCGTATATTTTTGCATGGGCTTTGCTCTAGTGAGCAAACAATATCTCCAACTTTCTGAAAGGCTCTATTTAGGTACCTGAAGTCATTTCAATCATGTGAAGTAGATGCTTGGACGGAGATAGTTGTGGTAAACCACATGAGAATGGCGTCGGGCGGCGAGGTTGTTGACCTATTTTACTGTAGGTAGATATCAGAGTCTGCTTTGTCGCTAGTGCACGCTGCTAGAGTTTATGGAAACACTTACCATCTCGAGTGTCGTATGGCCATATCTGTGAAAAGTGAACTCTGAGATTGATTGGTCAGTGATATTGTGGCGCCTGGAGATGAACATGAATCCATCCGATATTGAGACACAGCTAGTCATTCTTTCAAGCACAACAGCAGTATTGTTGAGCTCACCAACCATTTCACCCTCACGTGTGTACCTCAATGTCAAAGTCGTTTCGCGAAATTGACCTGGAAGCTTTCACCGCCCATATTGTTGACAACCACGCTAGTCGATCGCGACTTCCGAAGCGAGTTGACCGTCAACATAAATAAACATGCTCACATTGACCGCTACAGGTTCACAGCATCGACAAACCACCACATGGATTGCGTCTTGTAATGGTATCGCCGCACGCTCGGGCTATGGGCGCATGCTGTGCGTTGGTTCGTTTGGTAGAAGGTAGTATGCGACATAAGGCGCTCGTGCGAGCCATTCTGCAGGTATGTTTCTCTACTTTATATCGGGGACATCATTGTCGCATGGCATTTTCAGAAGATTGTAATCTTTGAGTCTTCTTGCATGAGAATGGCTGACGCTCAGTAGGTTACTGGATATCGGCGAGCTCACATCAAGCAAGCTGGCATGATCCTACCTCGTGCCAATGGCGACTTCACGTCGGAATTCAAGGCTCTGGTCGAGCATTTCCTTGAGAAGCTTGGATGTGGCAGTATCTTCTTTCCAGAAATTGTACCAGATTATGAAGGCTGGGCTGATAGTGTAAGTCACCTCTGCACATCCAGGGCTCCACATCACGAAATATCATCATGGCAGATTAATTCTGGGTCTAACCCCTGAACTACTCACGGTGTTGAATCGTGAGCTAACAAATTGAGACTATGCAGTGGACCCATGGCGACCGGTACACATGGGTACGCGGAAAGCCACAAGGAGAGCCAACTGAATATGGTGGACTGCCAACACCAAGCGACAAAGACCGAATCCGAGAAGCAGTCATGCTCATGTTCGAGAACTTGCGAGACCATGGGACCGCCTTGGACTTGGACGACAGTATTGTGAGTGTCGAGTCTATAACATTCCTCAACCCCCTCTAACATAATTATAGACTTTACAGAGTTGCCTCGCGGACGGATGCTGTGAGATCTGTGCCGGCGAGGATTATGAGGATCTGACCGAGGACAAGATGTTGTTTTGCGACGATTGCCACGTTTGTCGTCATCAAAGCTGCTACAAGGTCAAGATTGTTCCAGAAGGAACCTTTGTGAGTCCTTACTCCCCAGAAAAGCAACTAAGATTCACTAATACATAATCAGTACTGTAGATCCTGCACTGCAAACAGAAATCGTGAAATTGGTAGAGTCATGACGCCTTGGAGCAGCAAGAAGCCTGCCACGCCTGCATCTCTCATCGTAGACGAAAACCGTTTTGGTCCGCTTGTTGGATCTCCACACCAAACAAGATCTACCAGAAGTAACCCATTTGGGGGTTTTCAACAATTTCCTGATCCCAAAGCCGCCAAGTCCAAGGACAACCCAAGCGCAGCCCCTAGAAAGCGATCCGCTTCCACTGTTCAGAGATCTTGTGGTCCTTCAAAGCGTCAAGTCAGTCGAGGTAATCGAGCAACCAGCCACGGCAATGCATTACGGTCTACCTTCGAGCATGCAACAGCCACGTTTGATGACATCAAAGTTGTCCCCCACTTAGGTGCTCGTCTTCCCACTCCGACTCCAAGTGATGGACGAAGCCCTTCAGGTGACATTTGCTACAGAACTCCGGCCAGATCTGCCACTGATGAGTCTGCAAAGTCCAATGACATGGATACTGCTTCCTACAAGGTGGAGAATGAGGCATCCGTCAGCATTCCCGCACCCTATGTCGACCAAGCCTCTGTTAATCCTTCAAGACTGGCCCATGATCAGCAAATCCTCTCCACAGAGCAGCTAGACAAGACTGAATTGCGAATTCGTCTTGGCCCAAAATCCTTGATCAATCGCAGTCTTAAGCTAAGCCGAGTCGATTCTCTCGATGACCTCTTTGAAGCTTGCATCAATCGCTGGAAGGACAGACTGAAGGGCGAAACTCCTCGAATTCTTGCCTTCTTACCCAAGCATCTCGAAGGTGTTACAGAGTTCACTCCCGATTTCCAAGTATCTGACTTCTTGAGCTTAATCAAGGCTGAATGGGATAATGGTGTCGAGAAAGATTTGTTCATCTCCATGATTCTTCTTCGAGATGGAGAGGACTTTTGATTAACTGGTTCTTTCTCGAGACGTACTGTGTCGTGCTGAATATCTTCGCAGACATACAGGGTGGCGATATGGTCTTTGATGCTGTGGTATGATGAATGGACATTAAGTCTCCAACCTTGCGATGCATACTAAGTGGGCAGATTCCCAGAAACTCAGGAGATAAACTTTCTGCCTCGTCTACTGTATTTATTGACTTGATTAAGCGAACTCTTACCCAGGTGTCCAAATCGACGAAAACGACGACTGACCATCGACCGGTCTTCAGATGTCACTGTAAATTCGCATAAAATTTCCAATGCCAGCTTTAACTAATCCGACAATAGGACAGCACGTACCTCGGTACATCTCCCTTCCAAACACTTCAGATCTGCCACGGAGAACTGCAAGTTAATTAAGCCCTAGAAGCCGCAAACTCATCTATAGCCTTTAAATGCAATTTGAAGGGTTTTCAAGCACCCATTATAGCTCTTGCGGAGAAAATGCTCTAATGTCCTTGCTTGGAAACAATCAAAACAAATGATGAATGTTTCGATTACGAAATCTCCGAATTCTGCTGTGGGAGTGTGCAGTGGAGCAATAATAAAGCGAGAAGAAGAACCTTAGTATCATTCCCTATCGAATGTGAAGGAGACACAAGGGAATAGCGATGAAAGCCTATTGAAATGAGAAGTTAAAATGGGAAAGGGCGATGGAAAGGAAGACTTAAGCAGGTACTGATGCTTTTCAACCACCGTCTCCCACATGTTATCATCAACATCAACAATAGTATCCATCCCAGACACGATACTTCATCATAGAGATGTTTCACCGCGTTGTAGCAGTCCCTGAAGATATCGATTATTTCGAAGCACCCAACCTTGACGAACCCACCTCAAGTATCCATTTTACCGACCCCGGCGACCAAAGCCTCAGAACCGCTGTCCCGTTCCGACTGCGACCAAGTGACTACCACGAGGGCTACATTCAAACCCTAGCAGGCCAGATCCCCAAGGTCCGAGTCGGCCCAACACTCAGCATATCCTGCAATGGCAGCAGTGGTAAGCGCTTCTACGTCTCTCTGGCCGACCAGACATGCGCAACCCTCAGCAGACTCTGCAGATCCCTTGTCGGATACAAAGACATCCAGATATATTACTGGGACCCGTTGTACAGGACTTGGACTGAAGCACGGGCTTGTGGATCCTTGGATCTGATGATGAAGGATGTCAAGGATAAGAAAGTAGTACATGTTTTTGTCCTAAGACCCTGGGAAAAAGCAGCAGATTTGCCTGATGTGAGGGTTGATGAGTGGGTGGATTGGGGTGTTGTGCCTGTGAGGGGAAGAAGAGAACGTAAGTCGACCATTCTAAACTATAGAGTAAGGGGAAGGCTGACAGATGTAGCTTGTGTCAAGCCTGAGAGATGGATTGGTTAAGAGGGTTGCAGAAAATTAGAAGGCTGAAGGGGTTTGGAACAAGTTTTGATTCTGGACTGTAGCTAGAATATGGACTGCAGAGTAGATTCAGCATACTTGAGATGGACCAGGCATCGGAGAGTTTCTCAACAGAGTTCTAACGTAGACGATTTGGAGTAGAAGGATTCTTCAGAACCCGTGAACCCTATAGAAACTCATTAGTCTTCCTTGGGAAATGTGCAGTGTTGAAGAGGTGATTCATTTTGATACCATCTATGCAGCCCTTTCATATAAGCCTTCCCCTGCCCAGATGCTTTGTCACATATGATACAGCCGATCATAATCGTACAATTATACACACTCCATCCCCATCGTGCCTCGGTATTTGCTTTTCCGTTATAATACAGCCTCCCTTGACCACCACATCAGCAGTTGTCCATAGCCATAGCCATTCCTTAGAAGATGCCTCCACTAGCTCCATTCTTCGCATTCTCTTGCTGTATCCTGTTGATGTATTGCCTGCTGACCGTATTCCAAACCGCCATATATTTATCCATACACTGTGTCACACAAGCGCCCTCGCCACTGGATAATGAAGCTCCAGGTTTTGGTACGCACTTCTCAAAACAGTGCTCATTCACTTTCTGTTGATAATTGATCAGCACTAGTTCTGGACATGCTTGAAGGGCGAGAGTAGTGATTGGGACATACCTCGATCAATTGCCGGGCATTGGTCATGGCTGCCTCTTGCCTGACTTGGTTCATGACAGTAGCCTTGGGATCTTGCCCAAAGCCGAGACCATTGCTGACGTTGTCCATGCTTAAGGATGTGGAACTCGGGTTCCAGACAGAGGATGGTTTGGAGCTGCGACTTTGCTGGGACTTTCGGCTCGAAGTTCGTGGATGCTGAAATGCAGTTTGCTGTTATTTCCGTGGAAGCTTCTTGCTGATTGGAGACTTTGGAGAATTGTTGTTCGGCGAATTGCGAAGTTGAGAATCCGTATCTGTTTATTTTGTTGGTCGTCTTCGAACTTTTTCTGACGTTGATGATGCCCACTCGTTTAGGTAAGACAGCTCCCAGCACCAAAAATCGGGCCTTGCAGGGATCCAGTTCCACCCCGGATTAAAGTTACAGAGACGAGAGAGAGGCCAGCTAACGGTAACGGTCTCCAAGTCGCCTTGACATTTTGTGGAACTGACTTCTGCTTCAACCCCTTCAGGAGACGAGCGCCGTCCCGTCGTTGTTCTATTTTCTTTTTCTTCAATTGCCTTTTCGTTCTTTACTCGCTTTCATCGACTCGGAAAGAAGGAGCTGAGACAGGATCTTAGAGGCAATGTGGCTCTCTACTTCGCTGTCGGCATGGGCGCTGGCAGCATGTGCTCTAGCAGCTATTTCGGACCACACGACCACCGACGAGAATGGCATTAGAAGTATACCGGCAAGTCAAGGAATACCCGAATGGCCTCAAGTTCAATAGCACAGTTCGGCTAATTAAATGCGACAGTTACGGACGCATTCCCTCCAACAGGTTCGGATTGGCACACCCTCTTGCTTTCACGGCACCACTGACTTAAGATACGAAATAGCCATATCTCGATTCGGACATGCAGAGCCGATGGTTTGATTTTGGAGGAAATACAATTGTTCGCGCGGATCAGTATGAGGGCCGTTTCTCCTGACGACAAGCTCGCGTGCTAATACGAAATGCAGGTATATCCGCCTGACCTCAGATCGCCCCTCACAAGAAGGATGGATTTTCTCGCGCGTGCCTTTAACGGCTACGAACTGGGAGGTTGGTCTGTCCATTTGCAGATAGAGTTTCTGTCTGCAAATACGCTTGTACAAATAACTCACATTTCGATCTCCAGATTGAAGTCGAATTCAAGATCCACGGAAATGGCAATCTCCACGGCGACGGCATGGCTCTCTGGCTCACCAAGCAGCGCGCCTCACCCGGCCCAGTGTTCGGAAGCATCGACTCTTTCGAAGGCCTCGGCATCTTCTTTGACACCTACAAGAACAACCGTCCTGGCACCGTCTTCCCCTACGTAATGGCTATGGTGGGCGACGGCAAGAAAGTCTACGACAAATCGAACGACGGAAAGGACAACGAGTTCATGGGCTGTTCAGCTCGCGGTCTCCGAGGCGCATCGATCGCTACCAGGGCGAAATTGACGTATTTCCAAGACAAGAGCCTGAAGCTCGAATTGCAGTATAAGACGGATGGGCAGTGGGAGCTGTGTTTCGAGACCAACGAGCCGCCAATGATCCCCTCGGTGGCATACTTGGGTTTCTCCGCCGAGACGGGAGAATTGAGTGACAATCACGACTTGATCAGTGTTTCGACGCGGAATTTGTATGATACCAAGGGACGGGACAGCACGGCGAGCAAGCCTGGTCCCGGGGGCAAGACCGCTTCGACAGGAGGGAAGGTCAAGGCTCCCAAGGAAGGAGGGAGCTGGACGTGGTTCTTCTTCAAGATCTTTATGTTCTTTGCGGTGTGTGGTGGTGGATACGTGGGCTACACTGCGTGGAGGACGCAGAAGAGTAGAAGTCATCGCTTCTGAGGAGTTCAAGTCCGAAACTTACGCGCGAAGGACTTGATATTATATGATACGATCAGTGGGGAGGGTAGGATGAGGAATGTATATTCCATAAAACAGCAGAGACCAGCACGAGTGAGCGAGTCGAACAAAGCCAAAACAAAGTCTCTTTTCCATAATTATTGCTGCATTTTCAGGCTGGAAGCGAACTGGGACATGTATGAATGGCAGAAAATATATTCATTCCTCTACCCACTTTCCTTTGCTACTGCACGATCAATAATGGTATATGCAACACGACTTATTGTTTTGGAAGCGACTCGCTTGTGTTTCCAACTTTTGTTAGAAGCGAAATGTTTGCGTATTAACGATCTCGCGCTGTCTTTCCGTCTTTCAAAAACACCAGTTTTTGTAATTTTGGTGTCGATTGCCTCTTAAGGACTCTTTCAATTTCTCAAGAGGCCAGGTGGCCATGACGGGGAATCATTCTTCTCCCTGTCTCCATTTCCAATCAATCAATGCCGAGACGAATCGCCTCTACCCAGTGGTATGCCAGCCAATATAGAATATTTAACCAGCAACGCTCGCTACGCTACCCATATATGTCCTGCCCTTCCCTTTATCTACCCGAAGAATATATACGGAGGTATGTCTCAGAACCAATCTACCTTAACGCCTATGATGCCGTGCTGCATAATTCATTGAGCTGAGCTTCCATAATGGAAGCTGTTTCTATCCAGCTCTCCGTTTATACCATTCCATTCCTGAATCCCGTTACTCCTTTCATGATGTCAAAGCATTGGATGTTGCCATAATTGCCATGCCAATAAACCCGAATGCAATGCATAAGTTGCGATTATGGTTCATACTCAAACTCTCCACGAAGAGCGAGAGCGCAACGCTTGTCATAACACCCCCTGTAAGGGCAAACATGACGCCATATACAGCCTCTCCTGGCTTGTTGCCTTCGTGGCCAGCAACTTTGAACCATGCGGCGGCTATCCCAGCACCTACTGGCTGTAAAGCTCCACCTAGGAGAGCAGCCCAGAGCATAGCGCGGAAGCGAGACTTGAGGGCCAGAAAGAGCGGCAATGCTAGAGCGAAGCCTTCAGTAATGTTGTGAACGAATAGCGCCATGAAGACAGAGAACCCAAGAGACGGGTTGGCATGGTTTGTCGCGTAGGTGATAAAGCCCTCGGGCAGTTTATGAACTGCAATAGCGATGGATGTTTGGAGGCCAATGCTCATGAAGGCATTCTCAGGTACGTGATGGTGGTGTTGCGCTTCGAGATCTTCTGAGTCAACATCTGAGTCGTGGCCCTCTTCCATCTGCTCACAAGCTTCTTCAAGTGTCTCACAAGAACGTGCTCGTGTAACTCGGGTCTGGCTCAGTGTTCGTGGAGTGCCACTTGAGATTTCCTCGCCGTCTGGCGGGGCATAATGTGTGGATGGATGAATTGATCCGGTAGCTGTACGCAAAACGGTTGGATTGCGGGTAGTAGTGGGACTTCTGTTGGAGATGAGGTGCTTGAAACATTCTTGACCGCATGGATCGGAGTAACCAAAGCAAGGTCCGCCAGAGTCACAATTTGTTTTTGTATCTTTGACGAAAGACATTACTCGTTTCTGTACCTCAATCATGGAGGGTCTTCTCGAAGCAGGAAATGTAGCTTGTCGTCTTATCTGGTTGTCTGAAGGGCCATCTACATGTGTTTGGTGTGGTGAGAGATTGGTGCTGGATAGATTGGAGCGAAGTAGTGGGGTTGCTTCGCCAGCCTTTCCATTCTCAGGATGCGACACCTGTCGACCTCTCGGCTGACTAGCACGAGAATGTCCTCTGCTTCGTGCGTGGTGCGAATGATGTCCGTGATGGTCATGGGCTGCTTCTTCGTGGGTATGGTCGCAGTCTACCACATGCGACGGCATGAACCGGTGAAAAAACCGCGATATGATCTGGATGCCAAAGAAGCCTGCTACAAACCCCGCCAACAGTATCCAACCGGCAGTCGATGCTGTGTAGCCACTGCTTATTAGGTACTTCTTCGAATTTGGAAGGATGCTGTAGAGCGCAGAGAATATCTGATTGGCAATTAGCTTCTGCGGTTGGTGATGGAGGGGCAATAATTACCATAACCCCAAAACTCAAACTCAACGAGGATGCCATAAACGCGTCACTTTCCTGTATTCTGAAATTCCGTTTACTCGGTATGTGTTGTATCAACAGATCTACGCAGATAATACTGGCTCCTAATATACAAGCTAGGTGCATCTGTCAGTCGAAATTCTCTGCAACACTCGGGAGAACAAAGCATACCAATACCGCTCACAACGGACATAATCCACCCCCGAGTATCATTATCGAGCTGCATGATTGCAATCCGCCCGTTCTGAGGAATACTCGCCCTGACTGCAAGGGATAGTTATCGTATCAACCTTCCAACTTCTCCTGGCGATGTAGCTCGCGGATCTCTTTCATGCAGGTGACAGGACTTTGTCGGCGTCGTGAACGAATGGCAGATTCTTTGAGAGGGATCGAAAACAAAAGTGAAGAGGGCGATGTCCTAAGAGACAACTGTTAGGTAGGGAGAGAAAGAAGTAGGGAGAGAAGGTAATAGAGGCTGCTGCTGCTCATACTTGCTGAAGGTGTGCAAGTGTGGTCGTGGTCCTCAGTCTCGTCTGGTCATCGCGCCTGCTTTGCTTCGGCTTGGAAGCGGCCAACAAGGTTGACAACCTTGACAGCCTCATTCGCGAGTCAAGGCCCATGACCCCCACGCATGTCGCCAAGCAAGGGACTGACATTCAGCCGCCCTGGCTGTGATTGGTTGGTTGTATGTTGTGTAAGCATCGGTAAGATATCATTTCATTGTCCTGTCCTTAGACCATAACGAAATATATCCTTCCATGAGAGCGGTTGTCCATTCTTGGCTCTGATGAGCTTTCATAATTCACTCGAGCTATGGATGTTCAATGATATATTGGAGCAAGCTTTGTCGCCCACGTGCACGTTGTTCTCAGACCAGATCTTATATGTCATCAGCCATGCTCGCAACTATAATCGATTACGAGATGCGTCGGTATGTGAGTCCCTTATAGTGTAGAGTGGTATAGCGGGACCTAAAAGAAATTTGAAGGCTGGACTGGCAGTTGTCTTCATGTCGTCCAAATTCAGAGAGAGAAAATACTGGGCTAGAGTGAAAGAGGGCAAGTGGCACTCCTAGCTCGGTTCCGGGTTGGACCTTATTCCGTCCTCTACCCCAGATAACCTTACTTCATCTTCTCAGCATCTTCAAGGCGTCATCAGCACGGCTAGGAATACTTATTCGACTCTGTTCAAGTACCAAGTTTCAAGTTACAAGTCACATGTGGTACCAAGACAAGGTCACTCGCGGCAGTGTGAACTATGTTCCCTTGATATTGGGCTTTATTCCCCCTGAGAGTTCATTGAGTATTGCTAAAGAGTGTGGTTAAGAAATCGAGACGACTCAGATCCTTCAGTCATAGGCTCGCACAGACAATCATGCCGCCTGTGCGAACGTCTCTTGCAGAGCTGAGATCGATGGAGAAAAGAAATACTCTCCACCCTTAGCGATGACCCATTCATCGGACAAGTCTAGTGACTTCCCTTGGTCTTCTGCATCGAAGCCGACCATTTGGCGACTTGGCTCCGGCTTATTGAAATGAGCAGCGCCAATGATGGGGTCGAAGCCAGGACGTGTAATTTTAGGATCAGTTCTGGTTTTGTTGGGGAACCCTGTGTTGTTTGCCCAGACTAAATGGTCAGTATACTTCAGGGTTATCATGGTGGAGGATACCAACGTTTTTGAATGAAGGAGAACCCTTTTGAGAGGTCGCTCTGGTAGCAGACGAAAAGAAGGCCACGCTCGAGCTTGAGATCTGGTGAGCTTGTTGCAGTCGTAATCTCTTCGTCAGTAACTTCAGGTCCATACCTAAGGGCATTATGAGGTTAGCCTTGATGATCTGAGTCGGGGCCTTGAGAGGATGCGAAGGCACGTCTCGAAAATACCTGACCGACTGATGGAAAGGACAGGATTTAGATACGTACTGTATGCCACGACGGATGATACGATGTTCCTGATGAGCATCGATATTGAACGGAAAGTCATCTCTGGGATTCGTCTTGCGGGTATGTGCTGCATATGGGCAATTCTTCTGCTTGACATTCTGTTGATAGCGAAAGTTATCATTTTGAGAAGAGTCTTTAGCAGCAGCCTTGAAGTTGGCTTTATCGTCCTCTGAAGCAGGTTCAAGCGGGAAGTTCTCAACAGGCGCTCCTAAGAAGTAATCACGTCAAACACTTGCCCAAGGAACTTTAACCGGATCACTTACCATTTTTCCATCTACCGACCAACTTGGCACCTAGAAGATCAGGAGTGAGCCGATTCTTTGGGCCTTCGACGTCGAGAAACTTCTGAAATTCTGGGACCTTCTGCTTGAGTTTACGGAATACAAGAAAGCTTCCGTCCAAAGCCCATGAAGGTCTGCTCTCTCTCAACGCGTCTCCTGGTCGACCCACGAGGATTATTCCTTGATGAATCGTGTCTGTGCCTCGATGGACCAAGGTCGGAACGCCATCGACTGCAGGTTGGGCGATACCATCGGCAAATCCGAAGCTATTATCAATGTCAGTAAATATTATACTATTGGGACTGAAGCAACCAAGACTTACTGTTCATGCCCAGCTACATCGCCAGGTCTGACGTGTCCTTCGACATGAGTTACTTCGGTAATGCTAGCTCCATTCCGGCCAACCTTGAAGATACTCTTGACCTTTGAAAGAGTTTCTTTGAGCTTTGGGTGGCTGCTACCGGTGATGAGAATCACTCCGTGGATCTCTTCATCACGGAATTCTGGCTCCCATTGGCTCAAATCATCGTTGAGATATTTGGAAGGTTCCCCCTCTCCGTCAACGTCGCGGTCTTCCCCATCAGCATCTGCAACCATACCCTTCACGAAGACATCATCACCAATGGGGTCTCTGATCCCCAACTACGAGGTTGCAAACTCGAGTCAGCGGAAGCTCTGCATAGATATTATATGGCTGGATAAGTTCACTCACAGCTTTGAGGCCTTTATGAGAGAACGCAATATTGATGCCACTCAACTCCAGAAGTTTCGGAGTTGTATCATGCAATGCAGCTCTCTCCTTTTCCTTGACGATCTTTTGTCTGTCATCCTCACACTGGGTCACAGATGTGACGTGATGAGCAAGCTGACCGACTCCGGTGCAGAAATCTTGGAGGAGGTCCTTGTTGATCTGAAAGAAGAAGAATATCTCTCCCTTCTTGGGAAGTCCAGACCTTGAATAAGTTAGCTTCTCAAGTCGAGACGTAGCACCACTTAAGGGACTTACAAGATATCACCCTGGATGTTATCGAGATTCAAGGGAGAAGCCATGTTAACTCAGCTGTCTGATGATTATTGACTGGTGTCAAAGGTTACTTGGGGTCTGTTATTTGGAGACAGGAAAATGGAAGGCTCAGTAGTCAGTTTTTGAGTTGCAATCAGGACTGCTTTGAGAAAGTCGTGGGCCCAAGGTCAAATAAGAACCTGCTAGGCAACTACCCTTAACGTGGCTGAGTGACCTGACGCAAGTCGAGCACTACAAACATCGCTTTTTATTGTGCTCTCCTTCAGCTGTCATTTCTCGTCTCGGCTTGCAGTTCTGTCAGCAATCAATTATTATCCGCGCCTCACACGAGAATTGCAGCTATTCGAGCGAATGGTGTGTGCTCTGCTCAGCCTTATCCTTGATGAAGCCAGCCCTCATTCCTGAGCAGAGTCTTGGCTCTGAAAGCCCAATCGGATAGAGATAATCGTAACAGAAGACTCAACACTAGGAATTCAACTGGTCTCTATTGAAGTTACCTTAAGCCTCTTTGGGTGGCGTCGCGGATATCTCCTTCTTGGCTGTCTTTGTTTTTAGTAGAGGGCTACATGACATGTCTGGCTTTCATGTCAGACTGTACTCTAATTACCTGGGCAATGTGAGCATATTACGCCGGACAAGAGATGTTCAATTCTAGGTCAGCGTTCAACTCCGAAAGCTTTCATTATCGACAAGTGCATGTATACACTCCAAAGGCGAACTGGCCTTCAAAATTCCTTACGTTGTAAAGGGTGCTTTCTTCTGGCAGCACAATATCTCTAGCAAATCCTCCCTTGTACTGACTCTGTCTGCAACGCGGGAGTCTACTCCAATTACCTCTGTTGCTTGGCCTTGTAAAGTATGCCTAGCTAAGGTAGACGTTGTGCAACTTCAAATGGGGTGCCAAGGCTTGACCGAGAGCCACAATTCTTGGATGCTGCGCAGCTGAGAAGCATCCTGCAGAAAGTGAAATGAGAATCACGATATCGCCAATTGTTTCTGAGATGTATAATATCTGTGAGGGGACCGTGAGATGCTTCAAGCGAATGGCGCTTGGTTGGCGTTATGGAGTTCCGGATACCAGCTTGGCGAGTTATCAATACTGGATTATCTGTTGTGCGATTGGCTGAAAGACGCCTCTATGGCCTTCGTGGCGCGATGAAAAGGGGTTATGAGACGCTCAATGCATCCGTTCGGAGGACTAGTTGCTTCTGCGTTCAGCCCTACGAGTACGGCATCGTATGTGACTATGCACTGCCCTCTTGATTTACTCGATTATCTATTGGATAATTTGGGAGCCTATTTAAATCGTCTCGTGTAGTCTCTTTGTCGCTACATATGATACATAGGCTGACTTGTTGTTTTCCTCCCTCGCGTCTGACCTGCTGAACGTCTTGTAGCGCTGGTCAGCCAAAACCCAGCCTCGTTTCATTATTTTCATGTAAGAAATCATGGGATTAAGTCGAAAGGAAAGATCGGATCGGAAAATGTAGCCAGATATACTTCAAATGAGACCAACTACATGCTCTTTGAGTAGAAGACCCGCCTTCACAAACATCCCACATCCGCCTACCCTCTTGCATGACTTCTGTCGTCCATTGATCAAGTTTCTCTTACTCTTCAACATGCGTCCCAGCCGCATTGGGCCCCTTCAGTCTAGCCATTCCACTCATCTGGCTTGCAAAATTGCGCCAATCAAAAAGGCTTCTGACCTGTTGTGCTCTCATTCGTTTCAGTGTCAATGAATAACAGCTGCAGGCTGCCAGCCGTATTGCTCCTCCGCCTGCTTTAGCACTCTCGCTGCCCGACATAAACTGTGGCTTCAGCGACTAGGCATACAAAACATTGCACATCTGGATAATCTATGTCACCCAAATTCTCCACAAGCTTTGACCTCTCTACGCCGTATAGTATCTTAGTGGTGTCGAATGTGAACTTCGGATACCTTTCACTAGGCACACACACGACTATTACCCTGCCTGGCCCGATGTAGACTCTTGCGCCTTTGGAAGCGAAAAAGAAGATTGTTGAGAAGCCATTTTTGTTATTGTCGCCCTCTCTCAGGAATACATTCCCTTCAAATGAACGAAAAGAGGAGGGCTTAAAGATCACGGGGTGTAACGCCAATTTCGTGCACCTGTCCTCCATTATAAACTGCAATCGGGCTTCTGGCTGTGGAGATAGGAGGAAAAAATTCGAAGGCCGTAAAGCACGCGATATGGAGCTTTAGTACTGGAGACAAAGCTTGGGAGTTAAGACCTTTCCCTCATGTCCAGCTGCAGTGGCTCTTCCATGTCCTAACCTGATGAACTACAAATAAGCGCTATCATGATTTGCATTGGAATATTTGATCGAAGTGGAAGGCCGAGCAGAAAAGGTGCTCCTTGGGAAGTTGGTGGTTGATATGTGCTTATTAGAGTATTAGGGAGGCTTCAGTACTTCGCCATCGACTTTCGAATTTGAAAGGCGAAGGGGCGATCTGTATTGGAAAAAGTCAAAACCTCTTTCAACAGCACAAAACTATGTATGAAACTGCTCGCCATGTAGCGCATACTATCCGCACTACGATAGCATCCAGAACTGCTCGACCTTCTGATGATTTAGATCTCGAGCCAAGCCTTGACTGGTCTGATTTCCCTTCCATGGATGTTTTGTTTGAGGTTGAGGAAGCGGTGCTGCCGGGATCAAGCGAGCCTGGAAGATCCACAGCGCTTGCCTCGAAAGGGGAATTTCCGTCAGCCGCGTCTCTCCCGAACCAACCGCCAACCCAAGTATTATGGACAGGACTCTCGATATTCTCTGGTACAAGCCAAACCTATTCTCTCTCTGGTAATTTTCATCACATACATGTTCCTCAACGCAACGCATTAGACCAGTTTTCGCGGCGTCAATTGCAATGCCTCGGCCATGCCTCCACAAAGGGACTTTGGCCTCATCGGACAACTGGGAATCAGATATCTGGAAAGCGGATGATGACTGGACAGAAGTTGGCTCCAAAGAAGAGAAGAAACGACGGCAGAATCGAATCAATCAGAGAGCGTATCGCAGACGTAATCCAATCAATGGGAAGTCATCCAAACAGCGTTCATTTCGGGTTGAGAGGTTTCGAATAACCGATCTGCCCGTGTCCGCCGCGGTCCAGAAGGAAAAGCAGGATAATATTACTGCCTCGGTATCTTCGCAGGTTCCTGTACGAGAGGATGACCAGACGGGGCAACATGCTTCTCCGGCCCAGGAGACTTCATCATCTTGCGTTGAACACATGCAAATTATAGAGGCACAAGCAATGCAAGTTCTGGCGACTCACCCTGAACACATGGTTGCGGCCCCCGACACAGGTAATATATCTGTAGAGTATACTAATTATAATACGACGGGAATTGATCTGTTGCTTAAAGCTGCTGCCGGACAGGCGAGGTCAGGTGTCAAAGTCATTGATCCTTATGGCAGCAAGGCTTCTGCTGTCTCGTCCGCTACATCTACACTGGCAACCGTAAGTTCTATTCGGCATCCAATGGAGTACCCTTTTCCATGCGGATTTTAAGAGCATTTGCTGACATACCGATCATCTAGTGGATCCAAGATCCAAGTCAAAGCATTGTGCCTCAGATTCCTCAATCTGCAAAGAAATTTGCGCATCTTCACAGCAGGGATCCAGATGGCCAAGGTTTGTTCCGCGTCTCGTTGGAACAACTTGTCTCTCCAACTGCGCCGGAAAACGAGATTCTTACCGGCAAGCCGCTGCCACTAAACCCGAACGGCTTCCCCCTCTCGTCTGATCACCTTCTTCGTCTCATTCACTTCAATGTTTTCCGAGGTCTGATCACTAACAAAGCTATACTGAGTGGCCGAACCTTCCAGGTGAAGGTAGAACTCGATTTTGTTCTCCCGGAATCCAATAACCTCTGTGACGGACTAACAATGGTTCGCTCTAAACCTGGTCAAGCACTACCGAAGTCTTTGTACCCAACATATATCCAAGCGAGCGTAGCGCATTCATCTTGGATCAACATGTTCCCCTTTCCCGCCATTCGAGACAACCTCATCCGCGCAGAGAAAGATTTTGATCACGAGGATCTATGCTATGATCTCTTTGGGGAGATGTTCATCAGCAGCCCACTCAACTTCATTTCCAAGGAGGTGCAGCCTGGAGATGAGGAGTTTGAAGATGATATTACAGCGAGGAGAAAAGGGCTCATAATCTGGGGAGAGCCGTGGGATGCGAGCAGTGTGAGTGTTCTTCAAGCCATTTCCCCTCCGTATGCCTCTTCGGGGTGTTATCCAAGCATGCGTTATCCTCTTAAGACAGCACTCCCTCCCTTTCTGCCCCATTAGTTCTGGCAGCTAAAGTATTTTCCATACTGACTCCAAGTCGTTCCAGTGGGAAGTTACTCCTGGGTTTGCTCGAAAATGGGCTTGGGTACTGGAAAACTGTCATCAATTGATTGAATCGACAAACCGTTGGAGAGCAAAACGGGATGAGAAGCCTTTGGACTACTATCTTGATAATATAACCCTTTGATTGGCAGCAACGACCGCCATGTACATTGTTTTTTCCTCAGGAGTTCTATCTTTGTAGGATTTGGAAATTCGTTTTCTCCTATCAACGACATCAGCCACTGACGCTCTACTCGAGCTTCTTGTCTTGAGACACCATGCCAGTTAAAGTAACTTGCTTGTGTTTTGAAGCCTCGTCTTTATATTTTGTGGTGGAACTCTGCTATGTTTCCACTAACAGCTGAATCCACACCTGTCGACGCTATAACCGAAGCTTCTATTTTCTCTTAGATATGGATATTGGGCACCTTGACTTGTATTCGCCATTAATATACTCCTAGTAATTAATTATACATGCGTTGTTGTATTTTGAGGACTTGGACCTAGTCTTGGGAGTGGAAAGCGTAACTCACCAGCAATGGCGCCAAGACAAGCAATTGAGGCGATTCAGGGGCGCTCGCTTAGGGACCTCAGCAGGTCTGAAGACACACCCACTTATGATGACTTCCACATGTCCGACGAACTATCATGCGAGATTTTTACAGCCGCCTATGTATATTCACAGTTCTGTTGCTACTGGAGGATTCTTACAGTGTTTAAGTGACTGTCGTTGTTGAATCGGCAGGATAGTGTCAATGTTGACATCGCTAAGCGGATTTGTCATTGCACAAAAAATCCCAACAGGACTTGTTCATTGTCCGCTATCTCCGTCGACTGTGTTTGCTTTAACTACAGCGGGTACCCAACAGCATTGAAGCTGAACGCCACTTGGTCGCAATAATGTGACTTGGGAAGCATCGTTCTTCCCGTCAGAGTCCGGTGTTGATCCGGTATTTTCGGAGTCTTAATTGGGTCACCTTCATAATCCTAGAGCTATTTAAGTGTAAGGTACACGCAAGAATCAGGATTCGTACTCGTAAGCAACGCATTCGACAGTGATACCTCGCCATAGGAGTGACGCCAAGACATTTACACGTGACCTGGCGCATGAATGTTTGAAGTGGGGGCTGACGTGTTTCGAGGTATTGGCAGTTTAAGCCAGCATCACCAAACTCGCGGTAACTCATCCATTCAACCCAGCTCATACATACCTGGGCACTAGTGATTTGTAAACCGCAGAGTCGACCAAATTTTCATATCCAAGCCAGCTTGTCCAACTCAGCATGACGGACACAGGGCACGCGTCAAACTCCACGGCTGGCCGAATGGCTTGTGCTTTCTGTCGCAGACGCAAGTTAAAATGTAACAAAGAACTTCCGAAATGTCAATCCTGCCTGAAATTCGGCTTCGACTGTGAATATGTGACTCCAGGTACACCTGGAGGAATGAAGAAGTTGGAAGGGGAGAGGTCATCACGTGTACGGCAGCTGGAAAGCCGTCTAGGTTCGTACCTGACGACATGCCCCTCGTCGCCTCGTGTACGGAGTATTTACTTCAAGCAGGACGAGTTGAGCAATTACTCCGAGCCAAGAACCAGCGACAAGGGCAAAACTCTACAGCAGTCTCGTCAGGGGCCGGTACAGTGAAGACAGAGTCAGACGAAGTCTCTCTAGATGATGGTACTGCTACAGCCTTGTAAGTATTCCTCCTTTTAGTAAGGATCTTTTTGACATTGGATTCAAGAGAGCACATTTACTTTGAATTCGTTCACCCAGCTGTAAATATCATACATCCCGAAAGATATGTTCAGTGTCGACCACCCACATATCTGCAACACGCAATTTACGCTGTATCCGCTGCTATAACAGAGGATTATGCAGTCCACAGAGAGGGCCTTTACAAATCATCACGAAAATTGCTCCAGGAAGCTGAACTTCAAGATAAGAAGCTTGACAGCTTGAGTCTGGCCCATGCACAATCCTGGATTTTGATCGCCTTCTACGAGATCTTACAGGGTTATTTCCACAGAGCTTGGATGAGTTCATCACGGGCAGTCCGTTTAGTTCAAATGATGAAGCTCCATCGTATAGATGCGGTGTTGAAAACTACAGATCCTAGTCTTGTTCTTCTGGATGCGGCAAAGGACTTGACTGAAGTGGAGGAGAGAAGAAGAATCTTCTGGATGACATTTCTGATGGATCGTTACAGTTGTATATCCATGGGCTGGCCAACTTTGATTGACGAAAGAGATGTAGGTTTCGGCATCGCTTTCTACATTGTGACTAAGCTAAGAGCAGCAGATACGAACATACCTGCCTATCTCCAATGAGGCATTCGCAAACTCAGTGTCTGAACAGCGCCTCTTTCTATCTCAAGCCAAATCGGCTCAAGAACCTGAAAACATATCGACATTCGCCTGTCAAGTCGTTCTCTCCTCTCTATGCGGCAACAAGTTGAGCGAGCTTCAGCGGTTTGACCCTAACGTACCAGCAACACAGCCACTAAGAAACGCATGGCTGAAGCCACAGAGACTGAATGACCCGCTAACAACGATTTTCTGCGTCCCTCAGTACCTGACCTCGCGTCCCACGCAATTGACCCCTGCGAGCGTGTTTTTGGACATTTTCGCTGCTGCTACGACAATCTGTGTTCATCGTGCAGCACAATCACAAGTGAGAGAGGACCCAGTCTCAGCCGAGATGATTGCACAGAGCAGAAAGCAATGTCTCGAAGTATCTTTCAGCATTTTCAGGCTCATGGAGATGACTTGCCATTGGGACCTCCGTGTGGTGAGTTGCTTCTAAATCGCTTGTCCGACAATGCTGACAATTACTCATTCTAAAGTTCTATTTGTGCTTTCCCTTCTGTTTGTATAATGCGGTGACTGTTTTCGCCAGCTTCTGGCTGGAGCAAGAAGTCGAGCTATATGAGAGACCCCTTAGGTTTCTGATTAAGTGCATAGACTCTTTCAAGAACATGCCACTGGCAACTATTCTTCTCGCAGATGTCGAAGCTGAGTTTCCAGGTCTGATTGACCGACTCAACAGTAGCGCTGGACAGCATGTAAGCTCCCTCTAGGCGCCATGAATCGCAATGAGCTGACTTCGTGGATACAGGGCTCATCCGACAACACGGAGTTTGCCGCTCCAATACAGCTGCAAGCCGTGGAAAATTTCTCCGCTTCGGACCCATCTCTGGATATGGGGTTTAATGCGGATTTCGGAGACACCGGAAGTTTTGATCAATTATACGGTGCAGAGACTTGGGAGATAGACGATTCCATTCTGAGCACTATGGGAGCACTTCCACCGTCTAGCTTTGATGCCTGGAACAATAGCCTTGAAAAGGGCCCCGACCTTTAGCTTCAACCTCTTCCCCCGCATCATTAACAATCGTTCGCGTCTTTGGGTACACGGTTCTGCCTTCAAGCTCAGAGGTACTATCGACAAATTTAGCAGATCTTCTGATCATGACCAAGCTCTACATTGGAGCGAAGAGAAGTCAGGCCAAAGGAGACTTACTCGTCGCACTTTGTGATTCGGTGCGGACGGATTCGGGATGGACTGTCGCAGATACTCAATGAAAACGACCTAGTAGTATACGCCGAGTTCGGTAAGAATGTGCCACCTAGTTTTGTTTAGCTGTCTGTTTCTCCTATCCCCTTAACTGCCGAAAACACACTTTTCCAGGGCGCAGCGCTAAAGCGAGGCGCTAAGGCTGCCTGGACGATAACGAATTTCAGCGTTCTCTGCTTAATTACAGGGTCTCGCTACAGGTGTGTTTGATACGGCAGTTGAGGGGATATCCGGTCGGTTTGGGTTGCGAAACATCCATGTCCTTCGCTTAAAAAGCAGAGGCATCCCAACTTTGTCTCTGGAAAAGAGAAGTTCAGCGCAGTATGCTGTGTCCATTTTCCAAATGAAGATTCTGAATATATATGAAACTAATTTGTCTTAGTCAATATTCAAATCGTGAATTTTGGTGTCCTTACCGAAGCCGTAATGCGCAAGCTGCTTCATGCTCTTCAGCGCGACAGGATCCGAGATTCAGGTGGCAAAGCAGCCAGAGACTCTGCAGGGAACCGATGAAGACTAAAGACGTGAAGAAGAGGAAGACCATTCACTTAATTCTCAGGCAGTAGTGTACTACCAGACGCTGCGAGGATTGCGATAGGTACCAGCACAGAAAGCTTTCGATGGCCTACTTGAACAACTGTCACAGCGAATGCACCGTATATGATTGTTGCAGTCGTATGGAGCATATGAGCTTCATTCACTGATATCGCCAGTGTTCTAGAGCATGAACGGGCCAGGGATAACGCATTTGGCCTGCGTACTTGATGGGTGGCATGATAAGCTACAGAGCCCAGCCCCACTTCTATGATCATTGCATGGCCGAGGATGATCACAGTGTCTTTCCGTGGCGTCGTGTGTTTGCAGTGCCTTCGTGGTCCCCGGTATACTGTTTCCAGAGCAGAGATACTACCGCTTGCGGAGCCGGGACTTCTTACCGTACGCATTTCATGTCACAGTGTTGATACATAGCAGTCCTGCCAACCAAAGTCAGCTCATGGGCGTGGTATGAGATTATGAGGCAAACAGAACCATTTCTTAAAATCTGTGCATCGATTATTTTGTGGTGTAGCCCGCCAGGTTCAGAGACATACACCTCTTTGACATGATTCCCTCGTCGCTGATGTCTTTCTCCCTATGTAGAGATTCACCTTCCACGTACGGCCAGGAGAGGGAATCCATGATTAGCTTTTCGTTTTCGCGTTACACCTGGGTCGACATAGCTTTATGTTACATCTCAAGATCCTCAAACCAAGAGTCTCCGAGTGTTCTCTATCTGTCCACGTCTTGAGGGCGGCGGCGTTGTTTGGGCGCGCATCTTCGCTGATTGGCCAAAGACGGAAGCAGGAAACCACCCGTACACAGCTACAGTACAGCTGTCCAAGGCAGGAAATGGGAATATTGCTCTTCGAGATATTTGGCTCCTGGCACAGTTGAACGTGAATCCTCGGAGCGATCAATAAAATTCGACTCCGTCGTCAATAACAGGCCAATGAATATCAGAGCCTATGCTTGGGCTAGTTGGTGGTGGGAAACTTCGAGGTCAGCCGAGACCCGAGAATCTTCCCCACATCGCATCTTGCACTGCGAAGGGCGTCGGCCAAAGACCTTACAACCGCACGAGATAATATATAATGACCAGCTTTGCGACTTCTAAGGCTCTTAAATAGTCATGTCCACTCTGGATAAGAAACAGCCAAATCGCTAATTTCAATAAAGCACCCTCACGCCAATATTCAATGACACTCAATGGCCACTTCAAAGACAACAGTTCCGGAAACGTTCGTGGAGCTCAATATCTGGGGCCAGCATAGGACCAGTAACAAGCTTCGGAACAAAGCACAACCAGGATACTCTAGAGCAATAACAGATCCCGAAGGAGACAATGTCGTGATACAACAATTGTTGCCTGCGGATGGTGGCCTAGCCGCATGGAGGCTGTTGATAGCAGCTTTCGTTTTCGAAGCATTGTTATGGGGTTTGTAACTTTTATTGAGGAGCTCTGTTGATTTTCTGACAACTAGACAGGCTTCCCCATCTCCTTTGGTGTCTTTCAAAACTTCTATTCCAAACAGCCAGAATTCGAAGGAAGTTCGCAGATTGCTCTCATTGGTACTATGGCACAAGGACTGTGCTATCTAGGTGCACCAGTATCTGCAGTACTCACTAAACGATTCCCCAAGTACCATCGGCAGCAAATCTGGGTTGCATGGCCAATATGTATCGGCGGCCTAGTCGCAGCATCTTTTACGTCTAGTGTTGGAGGGTTAATTGCGACGCAGGGCGTAATGTACGGTCTTGGATTTATCATCTTGACCTACCCCATCATTTGCATGATCGATGAGTGGTGGATCCAGCGGAAAGGCATGGCTTTTGGAGCTATCTCCTGCGCATCAGGAGCGTCTGGTGCAGCGATGCCTTTCATCACCTCTGCTTTGCTCGAGAAGTATGGCTACAAGACAACTCTTCGAATAATTGCAGTCGCGATGACACTGCTCACTGGGCCTCTGATTCCTCTGTTGAAAGGACGGCTACCACCTTCTGAGCAAGGAGCAATCGCCAGAGTCGACTGGTCCTTCCTCGAGAAACCTCTCTTCTACATATACGCCACTGCTACTCTAGTCCAAAGTCTTGGATTCTTCTTCCCTGCCATCTATCTCCCCACATATGCTACGGCTGTGGGTTTGAGCGCGACAGAAGGTGCTCTCATTTTAGCCACAATGTCCATATCTCAAACGTTTGGTCAACTCGCTATTGGATTCATGACTGACAAGAAATTTCCAGTGGCGGGGCTAGTCATTGGTTGTTCAGCCATCGCTACTGTCGCTGTGTTAGCCATCTGGGGGCTAGCGAAGTCTTTGGGCTTGCTGATAATCTTCAGTATTATCTATGGGTTCTTTGCGTCTGCGTTCAGCCCTTTGAGAGTCGGAATGGGAAAATCCGTGAGTGATGATCCCTCTGCACTGGTGGCAACGTATGCCATATTATGTTTCTGCCAAGGCATTGGGAACGTTCTCGTAGGCCCGATCAGCTCAGCTCTATTGTCTCAGAGAACCGCTGTAGATTCATATGCAATTTTCAGATTTAGGAATATGGTCATCTTCACTGGTGGGAGTATGTTCCTGAGCGCCGCGGTTGTTGTACCATGGTTGTTATGGTCTCATCGGCCGAGAACTCGTCTCTATCGCAGTTGAATCCTGATTTCTATGCGATGATCGATGAAATCAGACAGTGTCGGATCATTCATCCGTATTCACATCAGAATTCGAAGCCAAAGAACGATGATTTCCCACGTTGCTGCCATCGTGGTAAAAGGGTTTGATTGACATTAGGGTCAGTTGGATCGATAGCAAAACGAACACCCAGGGGTTCCTGCTTGAGAAGACAACAGTCGCTGAATTTACTTGAACTTCATGAAACACAAAACAAAACATTGAGCGAGCCCCGGAAGTTGCCGCGATGGCTGGTTTAGCGATGGAAATGCCAATACGAAGTAATTCATACCAAGAAGAAAGTATTCTGACATTCATCGGGGTTCCATCCTCCAAGCCTAGTCTCGTTTCAGAGCTTACTTGCACAAGGAAGATAGCAAGCAAAATATGTACTCACATACCAACAGAATCAGAAAAGGGACAGCATCGTATCATATTGCCCTACGAAAAGAGGCAACCTTGTGATGCGGTACCGCTGGTCAAGCCACATTGACTTTGTTGAGAGTTGGCGCAAGCGGTTGAGAAATTCTGCAAACAGTACACCATATTTGTTGGGCAATGGAGCCGGTAGCAATCAGAAGCTCAAGTGAATAAGGATGAAAGTATATGGTGCAAACACCAATTTTGGCAAGACAATAATGTCTACGATCCTCTGCAAGGCATATGCAAGAAAGTTTCCGAATGAAAGAACCTGGTGTTTGAAGCCCGTTTCGACTGGTCCATTGGACGAGGCCGATGTCAGACATGTCACGAGATTCTCGCCTGAGTCTAAAATGACCTATCTGTTCCAGATTGATGAAGCAGTCAGTCCTCATATCGCTCCTAGGTCGAGTAGATTGAGCTTCCTCGGGCTTGAAATTCTGGGACTGTTGAGCTTATTTATAAATAGCCACCACCTGACTCGGAAGTCCAAGAACTACCTAGTCCTCGGCCAACTAGTGTGGGAGCAGGGCATGACTTTCGGAGCTTTGATCATGGAAGTAGCAACGCCGCTCCAAAAGTTCAAGGTTCATATGACTTATCAAGAGTAGCCTGTGATACTTGGAGCAGGCGGAATGCTCTTGGCGTAAGTCCAAAACATCGTGCGATAACGCCGGCTGACACATAAGAGGGATCACCTCTTCCAACGCTGCCTCGTTGACGAGGTCCGTAACAGTGCGTATATATTCGGCCCAACCACAACTACCAACGATGAAGACTCGAAGTCATGGATGGGTCTCCCAGTCGTGTTTGATGAAGTGTTCATTGGCCTTTACCGCCTTGGGCAGTTTAGCATCGTTCTTCCAAGCTGAAGTTGATATTTCGCTATGCGAAACTTCTCACCGGAGGCCTGGTCCCGCTTTGCGCAACACTTGCGAGTGAGAATATATATGATGCATTTATCGGCGGCGAAAAACGAGATGCTTTGCTGCATGTGCATAGCCTGCTCATCCAGTAGGCTGTCATGTTGCTAACATTTCTCTGGAAGTGATGCGGGATTTGGAATCGGGTGATAGCTGGAAATTTTACAAAGACGACTGGGAAGAGAGTCCAAAATCTGTAAATGCAGTAACTACAAGAAGTACGATGCCACCTTATTCCAGTACAGACGTTTGGAGTGCGTGGCCGAAGGAATTTGTTGATACAATATCGCACAGCCGAGCCGTCGAAAGCGGCATTACTCTTGGATCTGTGCTCGCCATCAGCTTGCAAGATCTAAATGCTGGTAAACAAAAGTCGAAGAAATAACTGGACACGAAAGCACTGACGGTGACTAGGGTATAGCTCCACAGCTGCGAAGGGTCTCCAGAAGAAGCTGTTGAACAGAAATCCAGAATTAAAGATCCGTGTAAGAGTGGTAGGAAATGTCCTATATATGTTGGCAAGTCAAACATCGAAGCCCGAGTCCATCAGGAGTATCGAAAAGTTCCTATTAGCAGAGCTGGACTGAAGATAAACGAAACCGTGATGATTTAAAAGGACAAACATGGAGACACCATAGAAAGTCGCTCCATGTAGATTCATAAATTTGCTGAAAAGATCGCCCAATCAGAGGATTTAAGGTGTTGTGGTATTCTAGTATCCCATGACGTATGTTCCATCACTACCTGGACCATCTCTCAATAAACTGCTCTCGATGAACATTTCTAGCTTGCAGGCTATGTAAATCTACCGCCTCGAGATCATCTTCCAGATGCTGGACTTCTTGCTCAAAATTCGTAACAGCAGCCTCCAGGTTCGGGTCAAGAAGCTGGACTTTGTGATATAATGATTTTGACAATAGAGAATCGTGAAGGAGCCCCAAAGTCATACGAGCATCAAGCAGGTGTGAGGAAGTCGAGGACTCGGTCGTGGACTGTAAACTGGCTGCATGGCCTTCCAGTCTGATAAGTCGTTCTGCCAGCATCCGTTCCAAGAGATTTGCACGCTCATGGTTAGAAACGCCCTCGGGAGGAAGTGCAACTCCTAGGTTCCGAGCAAGCTGCTGCTCGGGCTCTATATCCTCGTCGAAGTGGCCGGAAGATCTTCGAGTATTTCGGACGCGTAGGGTAGACTGGGAAGCAGATGACTTCCGGCGCCTTTGGGTATTTGGTCTGGTAGGGGAGCTGGGCTTGATCGCGGGGGCCGATTCCCTGTGTGGTAGCTCTTTATTGGCAGAGATTATTACAGCTTTTAATGCCATTTTGTGGCATTGGCTCTCTTCGGCACGTTCAAGGAACGTTTCAATTCTGTTGACAAGGAAGATCATACAGTCATGAATCTAGCTGAATCAGAAGATTTGAGGCAAGAAGGAGTAAGATGACCTACATATTTGACGGCCTGTACAGTTCGCTCTTGGCCTTGCCCGTCGCTGGCTGCGATCGCCCTGAGAGCTGGCTCGAGAAACTGCTGTTCTGCAGACATCTGCGCAACGGGCAAGATTTCAGTATACAAAGACTCGAGTTCTTCTTGGAGATCATTGGCCTCTTCCTCCTCGGCATGGTCGTTGGAAGCTTTGGATCCGGCCAGACCTTCCAGATACACACGATCAAGTCTAGTTCGTATTCCCTCAACCCTATGTTTGATCAATCTGTTGTTATAAGCCAAATTATTCCAGAATATCAGAGACTGGCCTACCTCGCACACAGCTCTCGTATCCTCGCAATTGTTTCCTCGTCGTCTGAGCGTCCATGTTCCAAGTCGCTTGACAATTTCTGTAGACTCAGCAGCAGCTTGTCGTCGGATTTGAGGATGCTATCCACGGTTTGCTTAATTCCAGCCTCTGACGCTTTACATTGTTGCTCGAGATCCGTGGTTTGGTACGTCAAGCTCTGGGACAACTCTTCGATCTGCGAAATGTCAGAATAGCACTTTGATCAGCCTATTTCCTCCTACCGTGGCAGTAATATGGCCTTTCTCTACATCCCACTTCCTCAACTGATCCCTCTCAGTATGCGACCTGGCCTGGCTGGTACGCTTCTCGCTCCTCACCAATGAATTCATAGCATTCTGTTGGAGCCGTAGTGCCTCGCTTTGCTTCTCAATAGCTGCCGTCGATCGTTTGAGTTGTTCAATGGCGCTCTGGATCTCTTGGTCACTGAATTCCTGAACAAGAGAAAGGTCGTGGGCTGCGAGGGTGTCCGCCTCCCCTGACTTGGTCAGTACCGCATATCTATGATGCGTTAGTAGAAGATTCATTCATACCAGAGTGTTCCTTACAGGTTAGCTTCATCTTTCGTGAGTAAAGTCTCCGGAGACAAGTACTCGTCTACCCAAGCTTGAATGGCGGGCTTGCTCTCTGGATCCGCAAACGCAGATATGATTGCTTCTCGATCGCACGGCAGATCATGATCATGCAAAGCTTTGACGAGCACCTGCAAAGAATCTTCTGCCATGGTTGTAGCGTAGAAGGCTGAAATTGTACCTTGTCTTGTATTGTACCGGCTCAACGTTGTCGCGAAACATGAGCCTTTGACGCGAAGTGGAACTCAGAGTTGCAGCCTTCCCCGCCTCGGTCGCTTTCTCTGACCCAGGCCGTGCTATGGAACCCACTCTACAACTCTGCAAAGGATGCCACAAGCTTCTCTAGACGTGTAGTTCCTATTTGTGGTCTTCATAAGATGGTCAATGACCAGGGTCACAGTACTCTTACCTCTGATGGTATAGAAGCCTTAAGACTGGTGAGTAAGTCTATGGTAATGTCAATAACGTTGATGACAACCGCGGGGCAATGCTGACATTTCCAGGTTGCTCTCAGAACGTGGAGTCGAAACCTTACAGCGTGGCTTCATGTGCCCATAGGAATTATAAGCATTCTTCTTGCATGTTTTGGCATTGATTCTTTGATTGGGATGAGCTCAGTGTCGTTCCCAGCATCTGTTGCTTGCTTGATCTTGCTGTTGCTTGGTCTGATTTTAAGCGATTTTGCTATTGGAGATCGCAAGACAAGAGCTATCGTCAAAGTGATTGATATTCCGGTATGGCGATCGTTCAGCGAATGCCTGAGGTCGAATCTAATTTTTTTTTTATCAAGGCTGGATTTGCGCTCCGATATCTCAACATATTTTTCACACCTTCGTAAGCTGCACCTGTCTGTCATAAGCAAAGGTTTTCTAATATTTGGCTACTAGTTTCATCCTGCTTCCGCTGAGCCCTCCAATCGGGGGAATAGAGGTTGCAAAGATCATTGCAGTATTCCGTAAGAATTCGTTCTTATCGTCATTGCTATTGGTCTCTCCAAACCTCGATGCACCTCGACCAGTCAAGTACTAAATGTGGCTGCTTGACAGTCAACCAAATTCTGCTTTATTGCAACGCTGGTCCCTATGCAAGACTCGACGAAGTTTCTGCACCCCGAATCATGTTAACGTCTCTCAGTCATCGGTTTCGTCGTCGTCATGGCAGCAACAGCCTACTTCGTTCGATTTCTCCAACTCCTTCTCGGTTCATCTAAGCGAGCAATAACAGCACGAGCCGAAGAAATGGGCGACGAGACCGACGAGATTCCCCTCACAGATATCACACCAGTAAGAAATAACTCCCAAGTCACCATACTCATGAATGGAACCAGTACGCCGCGTTCTATGGACGAATCTACCAATGATTTGATAGCACCGCAGCGAGCCCAAGATCCTTCTCTAATCCGAGGGACTGGTGGGCCGCCAGAAGAAAATAACACACCCCCAGCGAGTACTCGCCCGAATCCTATGTTGCAGACACCGTCTCCTCTCACACGTCCACAGCGCTGGGCAGCGTTCATCAACTCCAACATCGATAGACTTACCTACCTCATTCTCTTTCTCTTCGTCGGACTTCCCATCTACTACGGAACAGGCTACGCAATGCCAGCACAACTCACACTCACAACGATTGCTTACTTCACCGCCCTCGCTCTCCCTCCAAATTGGAAACGAGTCTTCCATCCTGTCCTAGTCTCAGCAACCATCACTGTACTTGGGGTTTACATCTTGGGCGTGATCAAAGGCGACAACCTCCCTACCTCCTTGCACTCCTTCAGAACAGGTACTCGCTATCTCGACCTCTGGCACGGGAAGAGGAACCTCAGAGCACCAGGAGCAGGAGACGTCCTAGTCAGCATCCTCGATGCCGGTATCGTCGCTCTCGCTCTACCCATGTTTGCGTACCGGCAAGAGCTCAAGCGGCATTTCTTCGCCATCGTCATACCAAACGTGTCGGTATCGATCGGATCTCTTTTTGGCTATCCGGCTGTATGTTACGCTATTGGGATTTCGGCTGAGAGGAGTCTTGCTTTTGCCGCAAGGAGTTTGACACTGGCGCTGGCGACGCCGGCGGTGGAGAATTTGAAGGGTGATGTCAATACAATCGCGGCTTTAGCGATTATGAGTGGGATACTGGGGGCCCTGGTTGGAACACAGATGCTTGATTGGATGCAGATACCTGAAGGTCAGTGAATTGGTTTTTATTCCGGTTATTGAGGATGAGTTTCTTGTTATCTGGTGATCAAGTCGTTCAGATGACCTCGGCCTGTGTCGATATCAAGCTTAGAAGAGTGAAGTTCGGGAAATGGGGGGTGTGGGGAGATAGTCAACCCTAGTCATTTGGTCTGCAAGCCATCCGGAACGAGCTGACATCTGCGCAGATGACTACGTAACAAGAGGGGTAACTCTGGGAGGTAGTTCGTCTGCGATTGCTACAGCAGTCTTGCTTCAAAGCGATCCAAGAGCTGCGGCTTTATCAAGTTTAAGCATGAGCTTATTCGGAATTATCACTTTGGCTTTGACTTCAGTTCCAGCAATCGTAAAGGCCGTTGACTCCTTGGTCGGTTTATGATTCTGCGACCATACATAAAAATTTTGTAGTCAAGCACTTTTAGGCACGATACAGTTTCGAGGTGAACCGCCAGCCAGTTTTGACCCCAGTACCATAAATAAAAGCCAGCCGAGCGTGGTTTCATTAACGTGTTGGATCCAATACTCACACATCGAGCCATCACTCCAACCTAAACAGATGTAAGCATTGGGCATTTATGTGAAAATTAATTGGAACTTGCCTCTCAATCAAGTGCAACCCCGAAGCAGTCTCGACGACATGGCTCATCTCTCCAGGTTTGAGCTGGAAAGCAGCCTCCTCGAATTCCTTCTGCATATCGCCGCGGCCGAAGAAACCTAGATCTCCCATCTTTCTTGCACTGCTGCAGTCCGACTCACTAACAGCGAGTTGCCCTAACGACGATTGACCGCTGCGAATGCGAGACTCGTGTCCAAGAATGATGCTCATAGCTTCTTCTTTGGTGCGTTTAATCTCGGCCTGAAAGCTGTCAGTAAGGCAGCCTTACACAATTGCTCCAAAGCCGTCCGGTATTGTAACGTACCTCACGCCAGCTGCTTGGTCGTCTACTATCTTTGTGCTTCACCAACAAATGGCTCGCCCTGATCTTTCCACTGCTCCCGCCATGGCCGTTGAGTGCGGGATCGGATGTGATCTGGGGGGCGCTGTGGTGCTCAGCCATATAGGACTTGAGCTTCTCGGTATCGGTTCCTGGCGGTGGCTCCCATCGTGACTGTTTCTGTGACTCGTTGAAATAGTATGGAAGGTTCTTGGAATTCGAGTGACGGACTTCCCAGCCTGCGGGTAGTCCTGCGTCGGCCTGGTGGAGCTGTTAGCAAGCTTCAGAGATGGTGGGAACAAGGCTGAGACATGTCGAAGTAAACAAAAAATGGGCTGGGAAGTATAAAAATATCACTTCCCATATTGTGAAACGTGTGCAGCGTTGTGTAGAGTGCGATTCAGACCGCGAGGGAACTAGAGCAGAGAGAGGTTGTACGTGGTACAAGAGTCCTTTGTTTTGCAGTGACTTTGTTGGGTTGGGTTGAGTTGGGGTAGAAAGGAGTTCACGGCGCTGCATGTACACCTGCTTGCTGCTCATGGATGCAGGCCAGTTCCAGTCACGCGGTCGCCCTGGAGAGGAGGGGTAGGGGTTGACTGTACTCGTACGGTCGTACCTCAGAGCTACTTGTACCGTAGGCGTTTAGCGCCGCGCCTTCTTTGTACTGCGTAGTGGGTGGTGCTGGTGCAGCGGCTGAGGGCATCCTTCCGCGAACGCCAGTTCATTCGCCGCCTCGTCTTCGATCCAGAACAACCCACCCTCGCCACCCACCTGCACTGCACTGCACGCCGACACGCCGAGAGCCTGAATAATTCTGAAGACGGCCCTGGACATTGCCCTCGACATCTTTTTTACATTTGCACGTACAGACAGCCATCGAAGCAACGCGACACTACAAAACACGTCCCCAACGCCCACATTCTATCGCATTAGCAACACAATCCCTTGTCACCAACCCCGCGACTCGACCTAGTTCGGCCCTCAAAGAAACACACCTGCCCCCATGGCTTCTCCAGCATCCAGCGCCGGCGATGAGCCCAAGAAGAACATGGAGCAAATCACTTTTCGATTCTGCAGCGAATGGTAAATAATACTTTTCCCCGCCAGACTTCTCTGGCAACGTGCTAACGCGGTGCCCCCAGTTCCAACATGCTGTACCCCAAGGAAGACCCAGATACCCACCGCCTGCAATTTGCCTGTCGAACCTGTCAATACTCCGAAGAAGCGACCTCGTCCTGCGTGTTCAGAAACATCCTCAACAACGCAGTCGGTGAAACTGCTGGTGTGACTCAAGACGTTGGATCGGATCCGACTGTGGGTTTACCTCTCTGTTTGTTATATGGCTCTGTGGTCATCTGTGAAGGAAGAAAGAGTGAAGATGCGCCAGTAGATGAAGAGCGCTAGAAGTCGAGGAGACTCCTGCGGTCGGCAGTGAAAGACTGAACTTTCTGTGACAGTCGGAAAACTCAGCAACTTCTGCTAATGTGGTTTTTCACTTTTTAGCTTCCTCGGTCCAATAAGGCTTGCCCAAAGTGCAAGACGGAGGACGCAGTCTTCTTCCAATCTCAGCAGAGATCAGCAGAAACTGGAATGGTATGTGTCATAGTCCACGAGCAATCGCCCAGAGCTAAAATCTCCATAGAAACTCTTTTATGTGTGCTGTGGTTGCGGTCACATCTTCTCATGATACCCCGACTCGAATCGTTTGGCTTTCTTAATATGGATTTCGGAGTTTGGGGCTTGGCGTACTTAGACAAAATGGTTATGGAATTGGCTATAATATCCGGGGAGTAGATAGCAATGGGGGAATGTTGATACATTTTCAATAAAGACAGAAGTCTGAACGCCGTTCTCCTTCCATATGCTACATGTTTCCGTGACCTCTATCCTATCCTATCCTTTATGTGTTCCTACAAATGCATTGGTGCCAACGACAAGATCTTTGACCACTTCATTTTCCTCAATTCCACACCTACGACACCTATTTTGCATTAGTCCGCTCCAGTGAAACCAGGCCAGGACAACTACTCACCATTCAATCTGGTACCTATGGGCTCCCCCGCTTTGTTGATCAACACGCACGCGTTGTCGTCGAACTTCACCACACTGCCATCAGGCCGCTGGAGCTTCTTCGCCGTCCTGACCACAACCGCATGCCTGATATCTCCTCTCCGGACCTTGTTCGCTGCCGATGTTGAGACACTTGCTCCAGGTCCAGACTCCGAGAAGTTTCGTTGCTTCTGTACGACCACAATAACACGATCGCCTAGTAATTCCTTGAGCTGTGTTTCCGCTTAGATAGAGGACTTGGTGGCATACCAATCTTTGCGTGTCGTTTCATTCGCATGACCTTTACACATTCGACCACAGCAGCCCCCGAGTTGTCGATGCAATTCATCATTGTCTAGGTAGTATTCATTAGCGCAGGAGCCTGGTGTCCAGAGAGTGCAGACACGTACCTTTAATTGAATCATCGCGAGATCATATCACCGCTGCAGGGTATTGGCAAAATGGTATTGTGAAGCTGTAGGGTTCAGAATCATGTCTCTTTGCTTACCCCTGCCGATAAATTTCCAGGTCCAGTCGTGATCCATTCCATCCCATCTTAGCCTCGTATGCCTGGCGAGTCAGGCCGCCGTTTCAATAAATCAATGGCGCATGTCAACATCGCTTTCTCCTATTGTCTATGAACTAGACTTATTACTGTAATTGTCAGTCGTATTGTCAGACCTTAATTGGATCTGGCCCTTTGCACAGCCCGAATTTTCTGTTACTTATTGATTTCTTAACCTATACTCCTCATTTTCATTTCCGTTGCTCCATGCAGCGCGCAGATCGACGACCCCTGGCTACGATTGACTGCTGAGCTGAGAAGGGGATCCAACAAGCAGCACGAGGATACCTTTCTACGATTTTAAAGGCGCCGTCTTGGTGATACTGGAACTCCTCGCCAGCCTCTTCCGCGAATTCATTTTCCCTTGTCCAAAAGTTACTCATTCACTTGTCTTTAATACCGCGGCTCGTCTACTCTTCACCACGGCTACTCCAGCGAAACAACATCACCACCACCTTTCGACGTGTCGCATGAACCAGAATACCAGATATTTAGTGTCGCGATGCCTTCTCAACCCGTCTCGCCCAAGAAACAGCGTCTTACGCTTGGACAATTGGCTGCCTACGACGATATCTTGACAGATGCTCTCGTGGACCATGTAAGTCCTCTTTCCAAAGTTGACTTCATGTTACTCATTAGTACAGGTATACTTCTGGACCACTATCCGCAAAAATAAGAACGCCTACCACTCCTCTCGCGGGATCACAGAAGAAGCAGTCACTGCAATTCTCCAGAAGCGAGTGATTGTAGAGAAGGATGCGGCAAAGGCAGAAGCGGAAATCCTGGAACTCCCCGCGCTCAAGAAGTTCTCGCAAAATCTGAAGACGGAAAAAGAAAAGGACGACTTTCGGCGCCACTTGCGGAAGTATGTCAACATCTATCTCCCGGATTGTCCTTTCGAGGTTTCGAGCACGAATCGGTACACCATTAACACTCATGAGGCCGCGGTCACTGCGCGGAGGTATATCAAGAAAGGGGAAGTGGTCAAATATCTCTGTGGTATTCAAGTTATCATGACTGAGGAAGAGGAGGAGTTGATTAAGTCAAGTCGACGTGACTTTAGCATTGTCGTTTCCAGTCGGAACAAGACGGCATCTCTGTTTCTAGGACCAGCTCGATTTGCCAATCATGATTGTGGAGCGAACGCTCGGCTAATGACCTCTGGAGCTGTCGGAATGGATATCATTGCTGTTACCGATATTGAGGTTGGGGACGAGATTACTGTGTCATATGGTATGTTACGCGATTGGGAGGCATTTTGGATGCTCATTCCTAACTTTGGTAATAGGCGAGAACTACTTCGGAGAAGATAACTGCGAATGCCTTTGTCAGACTTGCGAAAACAATGGTCTGAATGGCTGGGCTCGGGGTGAAGCTGATGAGCAGAAAACACTTGTCCCTCAACCGTCTATCGAAGAGGAAACTGGAAGCGGGCGTGGTTCTTACTCTTTGCGTCGACGCAGAAGACGAGATTCGACCGCCTCATCAAGAGATGAATCCATGACACCTGAAATCAACATTCGTCCTTTTGTGTCGAAGGCAACTCCTAGGTCGTTATCACGATTCAAGAATCTCGACTCGCCCCAAGGAAAATCACCTTCTGTCGAACCGAACGTTTCTCCCCTGAAGCGGAAGCGTTTGGAAGATTCGACGCCCTCGCCGTCCAAAAAGTCCAAGAAATCTAGGTACAAGCTCCCGAAAAAGTCTGAGCCATCCAATCTCAGCATTTCGACTTGTGCAAGCACAAATCCCTCGCCACCCAGCTCAACCAGATCCAGACGCTGCAGCGCATCCCCCTCTGGAACTGACAACCAAACAGGTACTGATGCTACATCTGTGGACGAGGACACTATTATTGTCGAACATCCGCAACCCAGAGTCATCAGCCCAACGGTTTCAAAACTACGGAAGACTAAAGCCAGAAATCAGCCACCCTTGGAACAAGCTCAATCAGGAGAGCCAATTCTTGTCGGCGAATCAACTAGCTTGCAGCATCCAGTCCTTCAGGATGACAACTCGAGTACCTCGACTCTCTCGGACATTAGCAGTGAAATTTTCTCTCCAGAGGAACTGAAAACCATAGAGAAGTCTATGGCAGCAAAGAAATCCAGAGGAGGAAATACCAGAAAACGTAAGGCTCCAGAACAGGCCTCAGATGACGAAGATGATGACGACGAGCCGGCCCCAGTCCGCACACGAGGCGATTATGTGCTCACATCACGACTTCTTGCCGAACCAACCTCTGCATGGATCACGTGCAAGATCTGTGAGGAGTCATTTGTACAACAAAATGCGTACTTCACACGTTCTTCCTGCCCAAGATGCGAGCGTCATAGCAAGCTCTATGGCTACATGTGGCCAAAGACTGACAAGGAAGGCAAGAATGACACAGAAGAGCGAGTTCTAGATCACCGAACTGTCCACCGCTTCATCAAGCCACAGGAGGAGCGAGCAATCCGGAAGAGAAATCGAAGCACGACCGAAAGTCAGGTGGTTTCGCGAGACGTTAGCGAAGTCGTGCAACCAGAGGCTGTAGAGAAAGCGAAGGGGAAGAGCAGACCACGGAAGAAGAGAGCTAGAGCCACGATGTAGGGAGAATTGGTGCATAGACATTTCGGAAGTTATTTTGAGCGAGCATGTGTACTTGAGGGGGCGTTTGGGAGGCATTCGGGGGAGCATCATTGGCATTGGCATGGGCAAGCGCTGTATTCATCACAGCGCCTTTTATGTACCAATAGGTAATACATTTGCGGATAATTTAAGGAAGTGAGGGGTTGTATTATAGTTCTCTTGGATGGCAAGCCGCGTCGTGAGGTATTGATGGAGAGCTTAGCTCTGAACCGTTCGCTGTTCAGCTCTCGTCTCTTAAGAACTGGATATTTGGATTTGGAATTGTTGGTTCACGGTCGGACTGAAGTACCATGTTCTGTATGAAGGCGGGATCAAGAAGTAATGGTCCATTGCGTATGTTGAGGCTAGGCTAATCTAACCAATCAATCAATCGAATCTGGCATAGAAGTAGAAGATCAGATTGAAGAGAAGCTCGGACTGGTGCAGATCCTGGGTATCTTGATACGCAAAATAATATTGATGAATCTTCAAGGACTTCCAATCCGTGCTTCTCTATTTCTTTCAATACTTCGACAAACAAATCGTCGCTGTGCCAGGTCATTATTTAAGTGAGCTTGGATAATCTTCAACAATCCCGCCTAGCATTCGTCTGTTGGTCATACCATGTCAGACAAGGGCATGTGTTTATCCCCTTAGCTGCCAGACGCACACTCTCCACAGGGCACGTTCCGCTAAGCCGAAAAAGGTATAGCGCCAGTTTGCTGGGGCTTCAGTGACCAGAGTGAGTCCTTAGGCCTGAAGCGAACACTATGTCTCGCTTGTTAGAGGCCCGCTACAGTGAGCCTTACAGGGCCTTCAGGCTTGTGCGGCTGGTGGCAGCTAAGGGGATAGCAGGGGTCAAGCTTAGCGAGCGGGGTGACAACTTCCAAGCCGCCTTTCCGCGTCGTAACTTTTCCAATTGTCCAAGCCTCAACAATAACATTGAGCGTCAACAACAAAAGATGTCTTTCCAGCACCGCCTCGACGGGCTCCTAAATAAGGGCAAAGCCAAACTTAAAGAGTTTACAGACCAGCATCAAACACCAAGTCAAAACCAGAACCAACACCAGCAACCCAATCAGTACCAGCAACCCAATCAACACGGACCCCCACCAATCCCCTACGGATCAAGACCAGGAGGCCCTTCACAACAATCTCCAAATATTTACTGGCAAGCTGTCTTTAATCCTCAAACACCAGTCTCCCACATCTTCGAGCAGGAAACCGGCGATCACGGCTGGGGCAACAACGAATCCCAAAACTACACCTCCGACCCACGCAACTCCTTCTTCACCCCCGATGGCAAGCTCGTCCTACGAGGCATCGTACAAACCTCCGCACCTGACAACAAATACACCAGTGCGCGACTCGTAAGCCACCAGAAGCTAGACCGGCAGAGAGGATGTCTCACAGCGGTGCTGAGCGCCCCGTGTGCAGGCGGGATATGGCCGGCTTTCTGGCTGCTGCCATCGAAACCGTTCACTTGGCCCACGGATGGAGAAGTTGATATTTTTGAGAGTTGGAATGGGGATAGTGTGAATCATTCTTGTTTGCATTGGGGTCATTTCAATGGGGAGGATTGGAATAAACATAGGGTTGTTGATACGCCTATACCGAGCATGGCGCATCAGCCGCAAGTTATGGCGTTCGCGTGGGATCAGCCGGACAATGGACAGGGTGGAAGAGCGGTGTGGTATATCAATGGAGGAGTGGTCATGAAGGCTGATATACCGCCTGGGACGAGGAGAATCAGCGATTGGAATATCATCTTGAATGTGGCGATGGGGGGGAATGTTTGTGGTGGGCGGCTGCCGAGCGATGGCACGTACGATTTTGTCGTACATGAGTTGAAGTTGTCGGAAGAGCCGATTGGGGGCTGGAATCAGTTTGGGATGGACTGGCAGAGGGGGAGAGAGGGGAAGACCATGTGATGATTTCATGAGTTATGACTTGTGGGGCCGGCTCAGAGAGTGCGACACTGTTACAAAATCCGTGGAGTTGTGATTATCACATTTGATCGAATGGTGTATCATTTGAAAAGGGCCATCACCAATGATAAGTTACAGTCACTGGTGTATGAAGCAGACGGGGAGATACTGAGTAGGTCTACCGAGAACTTCATGTCGATCGAATGAAATTAGGGATTGGGAATGCGATAGGACTCGATGACGGTGGTGACCCTTCTAAAATCATATTTCTGCCCGAAATTTCTATGCTCAACTTCTACTAGATGAAATATTCCCTCATCTAAAAGAATAATCTAAGACACACCTCAAAACACTCAGGTCGGGTTTCTCGTACTCATAAAGGAGAAGATACGGATCTAGTAAGAGGATACTGTGACTGCCGTCATGCTCCACTAGTATACTGTTGTCCATATTCCCTACAAGATTCGGTTTCCTATACGCATCTCCAGATATCGGCTGAAGTATTCGTAGTAGCTTGAGAAAGGCAGCCTAAAAATTGCAGTTTGAAAGTAACATATCGGTCGCCACGACTACTGCCTGTTTCGATTGACCGTCTGGCTCACAAGTGGATGGATGATCACCTGCGAATGCTTGCCATCTCATGGTGTCAGGGCTGGACACCCAACTCTGACCACAAATACGAAACACATCTGATGTAAATAACCTTCACAACTGTCCGAGTATAAGTTACATTCAATTTTCATTTTTATTCAATACATATTGATCATATTTGTTATCATAGCCAGTTTGTCCCATCATTACAACTAAATATAAGGAGTCTGTTTGTTCCACAAGTTCTGCCACAACTTGTCTCGCCGTATATCTCAAGGATCCGAATCACACCCTAAACCCTAAACGATTACTTTCACAAAACGGCTGTCTATTCTCCCTTTCTCAAGCCACGACAGGTTCGGGCTTCTTGACACTGCTACTCATCGACTCCTCTGACACAACACTTTTCCAATCAATCTCGACATCTTTCTCCTTCTCCAGCTCCTTCACTTCTGCAGAATAAGGCCCTTCACCATACGTGTATGGTGGAGCCGGTCCCGCCCTTGCCACCTTCTTCGCGCGTCTATTCTCTAAGATGATGACCAACACCAAAAGGAGCTGAAGGAGGCTTGAAAAGTGTCAGTACCGACTAGTTACGCCAAATTCGGGAGACTTACACTGAAATTAGCAAGCAGCTTCCACCTGCAATCTCCTGATTCAACCATGGACCATTGTCATACTGTAGATACATTCCATTGCTCAGATAATGAACGGTGTCATGGCGGAGGCCGATGGCTCCAAGAGCAGTGAGGGCGGCGGCAACCGCGACGTCGCCGAATGCAAACCAAATTGGTCGTGTGAAGCCTGCGAATGCAAGGGCGGCAATATTCCAGAGAATGGAAACAACAGCCTTTTACTTCAAATCAATACATGCTCTCTGTCAGTCTTGCTAGACATGGGAAGTGGCTTACACCTGCAACAGGCAACGCAGTCAGACCTGTTTTGGTAGCAGGGAACCGCTCATCTATCACTCTAGCGAAAATAATAGAGTAGAGAGCAAGTCCAGCGCCGGCGAATATTCCAGCGCAGATGCGAACTGCAAGAATAACAGACATTAACGATGTAGCTGCCATGGCGTTGGGTTCTGAAGTTCTGGTGATAAGTTTTGGCTCTGGTATTCGAGCATTCGAAGGCTGGCTACCACGATCTTATAAGTTCTGACAGAAATGGCGTGAGAAACGCAAACGTCCCTTACATCCACAATAGTCGGTTCCTAGATGCGGGGTTCGTTCCCGTTTTCACTGAATCCAACCTCGTATTTACCATCCGTGGTGCTGCGTCAGCGCGCCCATCAAGTCTTGGCCTCACTAAAGGCAAACAACCAACAACACATAAACTCACTTGCATTAGATTGGTCAAAGCTTGGAAGTATACGAGAAGGAAGCTTAAATGTGAAACGCTCTAGTCAAAAACAGGTGATTGTATCTGGGATAGATTGTGGGAATGGTAACTCCTTCAGGAACGAGAATGCATCTCTCTCTTGCTAGCGAGACTGCGCCTCCACATCCACTTTTATACGAACGTCAACACATCGGCCGATGACTTCCGGCAAGAGTGGTGTCAAAAATTCCGTGACCTCACAATTAGGGTTGATTCAACCTATCAATTCATTACATGATCAGTCTGGATGAAAATCTAAATGCCAAACCTTCTGGGATGTGACCGTTGTGATCGTATCTCCTTGCCAGAAGTACTACTCTGAAATGCATCGTGGATCGTGTATTTAAAAGACATAACATCTAAAAATGCCGCATGTAACCAGTGATCACAGCTATTATGTATCCTATCCACTTACTTCGCTTGGACGAGACTGAATGGAGAAGTCGAAGTGTTGGTAGTGATCAGCCCATCTGGCCACTGTAATGGGATATTTCTCGTGTGTGACAAACATGTCCTGGTTGATCACCTAGGCGACAGAAACTGACAAACCAATGCCGCTATGCTTCTACTCGTAGCTGGTATTGAGCACTTCCCCACTGTCAGGAGCCAACAGTATGAGCCTCCAGTAAGTCCGGGCTGCTGTGCGCAGAGCAGGACGCGTACTCACTCAAGCCATTCGACGCAGCCAAGGACTACAAGGATACAAGTCACACCATTGCTCCTTTGGCAGCAGGAGAGCGCCAGTTTATGACGGATTTAGTGCCATTCATCTTGCTATCAATGTCGACAAGAGTCGGACAATCCAAAAGAAAATGTGGAGGGGTATGTTGCGGATCGACAACCGTTTTGAACAGAATATTCCTGTTCATATCACAGTCACGGGAGTAACAGTGACGACCATGTGCACAGAAGCCCTAAACTCCGTAATGACAGAACGTCTTTCAAGTCCGGCCGCAGGAACATCTTCAAGCTAGGGGGCAGTTCATTTCGAGACCATTGCTAGTGCCTGATTCCAATAGAATGAATGACCAACTGACTCAAAGATTATGACTCTGTCTTCGCAATAGAGCCTTATCGAAAACGATAGCACATAATTGCTCCACCGATACTGCGATGCGACGAAAACATTGGAGCCCCAATTCCTCCTCGCCTTATCTGGTTCATTCCTTCGACTGTGTCGTCAAATCCACCATTCAGAATTTTGAAAAAGAATGACTTCAATCCCTTCGAAAGGAAGACACATGTTGATAAAAGCGGTCAACGGCTGCATGGTCTGTAGGGAAATCAGGATACTTGGGTCCAATGTGTGGTAGCCAAGCGAAATCTCGTCCAGTAGCTGGAATGACATGATCATCAGTGACTTGACACCCGATATCCCAGTTTGGGCCTCCAGCAGCCTCCAGCAGCGTGATAACTTCGTCACCTTTGCTTTCGACGATTTCAGCGCAGTGCTTGGTCGATTTTCCTTCAGAGTTACAATCCAAAGTCCGTGATATGTTCGGAAATGCTTTCCTGTTTTCTTTGGATTCTCCAGGTTGACGGACAGCCGGAGGCATGGTCTGCGCTGGGGCTTTTGACATGGCCGAAGGACCTTGGTGCTGCAGACAATACGTCAGTATATCCTGTCGCAACTTTTCCTCTGGTATATTTCAGAGAAAGCCACATGAAGAACATCTCGGACAACGCACGGATAGCAGAGTATAGGTCCACCCGAAGCCCCAGGGATTCTCGCTTAAAGTATTTACCGAATATCAAGCAAGTCAATAGATCTGCTCCAAACAAATACTATGCGACTCCCGTCGATGGCCATAAATCGGGATCTCTGTGTTCACAGCGAACACGAAGTCTGACTGATAAGATACATTCTCCAATTCGCCATAAATCTAAATGCGGACACTGGGAGGTATCTCGCTCTTCACAGCGTTCTCGGAGCTGCTAATGGGACTTCACTTGATGGGACCTCTGGACTAACTTGCGCTAGGAACACGACATGATTTTGATAAGCTGGGATGAAAATTGAAGAATTTAGACCATGGAGAATAAAGTGAACGGCGTATTTGGCAGACCGAAACAAAAGGTACGTGAGATTGCCATGATGCCAGAAGAGGACTCAAAGGCAAGTTCCAGATACAGGAACAGGTTTGCTGATTATTTATTGGGTGCAATTTTCCCCTCCAGTATATGCAAACTATCCATACCGTGATGTATCCGTAAGCTAGCGGTGGGATTTGACTGGGGCGCCACTTACAGGGTATCTGAGAACCTGGGACGTGTATTTCATTTTGAAAGAACAGATAACCAGTAACCCACAACCATCATCTTTGCCCGGAGCTGTACTGATTGTCTCTGGCTAGATAGAACGAGTCACTTCAATTCTGCGCATGTGGCTGGTTTACCATGCTGGATGCCTGTGATCGAGGCCCGAAGAGGGTTTGTGAGAGCCAGAATTTCCATAGCCACAAACTTAGCGGAACACGGCTACCATAAAACAAGAATGGAAAAGTCAAAATAGTACAGTACAGTACAGTACTGTAAAAGGTTGCAAATCAATGCATGTTGAGTTTCTGAGGCGTCGTCGCACAAGTCATGGAGTTGTAACCAATCAGATACGAAAGTGTTCATGGACGTCGCATGCTGCCAGTTTCGGGAAGCCGGCGCATGGCTGTTGCTCGCGTGTGCGTAGGCGAATGCGTGTGCGTAGGCGAATGCGTGTGCGTCTCGGGTCCAAATTTACTGTACTAGGGCCACCCACTGAACCGGGATCACTGGTTGCTCACTTCCAGTTCTCAACAACCTAGAGCAGCTCCTAGTGATCTTGGCCAAAGCTAGTTGTACTGTGATCTCTGCATTCCGAAGACTAATTCGGAGGATTACAATCAGTTACAGTATGGTCATGGCCATGGCCATGGGCAGCAAGGACTCGAAGTCTACCGAGACATGTTCGCATTCAACGGGCCATATCGATATCCATATTCTATCCATATCCATGTCCATGTCCATGTCCACATCCACCAACCTCGAAGTAAATTACAACCTGGACAGCGGCAGACGATGCATGGCCCCACCGCCCCATATTTCCGCTTTCTTTGGCGTTCTTGGCAGGAGTTGTGGATGATGAAGGCTTGTAGATCTTCGTTCCATTGCCAAGATCCGGCTGAAAAAGATGTTATCACTACTGTACTTGGCTCCCAGGGCCCGTCATGCATCCTCTCTTCACGTAAGTATGACCGCGTCCTGCCTTTCGCTCGGTGCCTTACTTGCCTTCTGTTGCATGCTCCTTATCTTCCTTCTCCTTTCTTGTCCTTCTTTTCGTCCTGCCATGTCTACCTAGGATTGTCATTTCAATACTCCTTTCTATTAAACTTCCAATTCAGTGGTCTTGCAGCTTCTTGACGCGGTTCTCACCATATTCATTCCGCCGTGCTCTTAACCTGACGAAGATATTTGCGAACCGTCTCACACTCATTTGTTCACTTCGGCAACCCGAATCTTAATTACCACCTTAAATACAGTGGCAATTGATGAAGTCTCATCGAATATTGTGCTGAGTTTTGAGACACCTAGGAGGAAGATCTGGCAGAAAGGGGAAGCACTGGCATTTGGCAACAATGGCAGACCTCAATATCTCTGTACCTTACGAGGAGCCGGAATGGAAATCTTCCCCGGCTTGGAGATTACCTGGATGGGCCGAACCGATCGTGGGACTTCACACCAATTCTCTGAGAAATGAGCTGACACAGCGTCCAGATGGTTGCCAGTATACTGGTTGGCTCCATGATAATCACACGAAGACGCGGATTTCGTCTGCTAGGCGGGAAGGGGAATAAATATGGTCCTTTGGACGACGACTTAGACGATGATTCTTCTGACGACCTCCTTGCCCGAGAAAACATGCTGGGAGCATCCGATAACTGGAGCGAGGATTCCATCTCCACAATGAAGAACCCGCCAAAGAAGCGATTATGTTGTGGGGCTGTCATATACACACCGAACACGTCTCGGTTCTCGAACCACCTCCACAGCAGGGTTATGCAAAAGTTCCCCTTTTTGATGGAGATGTTCTATTGGATCATAACATACGCCTTCTACCGCTGTACGAGCATCATGTCGCAGGCTATCTTTTCGAAGACGGGGATATGGATTGTAGCACAAGATCACGGATTGTCCATACTGGAATTCGAGCAGTTTTCCTGGCTGAGCTTCCTTTGGCCGGTTCACGAGAGAGATGTTCAACAGTGGTTCATGCACGGACACCAGACCTTCCTGACAGTCTTGAATCGCTCGTACGCCTTGATCCATATCCCAGGAACTGTAGGGCAAGTGATCCAACCACTTCGTAACTTGGACTTTTGCTGACCTGATCTCAAGCTTTATCGCATGGTACTACTATGTTGCTCCATCCTTTAGCACCTTTTCTGTTGTGAGAAGAACTATGACCCTCACCAATCTCCTGGCATTCTTGATCTTCATCTCATACCCGTGTATGCCACCTCGATTATTACCGCGCGAGTATGGCTTCCTCGATACCGTAGGACACAACAACGCAGAGAGCGTATGGATGAGCGGAAAATACGTCAACTCGCTAGCTGCGATGCCTTCCATGCACTTCGGGTATTCTTTCTGCATCGGATGTACCATGTTGTACCACTCGGGAATCATGCGAAAGTCCCTCCAGCCGGGAGAGACTCGGAAGTCGAAGCCGTGGCAGCTCTTTTACCTGCTAGTCGCCATCGGATACCCGTCTTGGATTCTCATCACGATAATTGCGACTGCCAACCACTATTATCTAGATGCGTGTATGTCATTTTTCGTGGTCATCATTGCTTTCCTCTGCAATAAGGTGTTCTTTGTAATGTTGCCTTTAGAGGATCTCCTTCTGTGGTGTTTGAGAATCGAGAAACCGCTTCCTTCTACAGGGGATAGAGCTCGAAGGATGGCCCGGGTATAAAATTTTGGATATGAGGGCGTTCGAAAGTGGCGTTTCTATTCGATACCATGACATAGCTGAGGCATTGGCGGCGTTTTGGACGGGGAGTTCGATACTGTTATAGACACATGGGGACGGAAGGACAAGCCTGAGATATCATGAAAGGCTACTGGCGCCTCTTGGCCAAGTGAAAGACATAGTCATATACATATTGTTCATTGGCCGTGTAGGATATTCTTGTGCAATCTTTGTGAAGCTCCGACAATGCCTAGGTAGAGAGTATTGTTTCTGCTCTCAGAGCTGCTAGGAGATAACCTTAGTAACCTGCGCTAGTTTCTGGAGAACCCTCTAAACAGGTCTTCGAAGGACGCCGACCTCACCTATACATGCCTGACCATAAGTAGCTTAAGTCGCTTGTGAAAACTGAGACAAATCAGACAGCTCCTATTTTGCATTTCTTACTACTACCTACCAGCTCCTGTGGAGAAGGATGACTTTTATGAGAAATTCAAGCTGCTTGTACCACTAGCTTCTTTTAGCTTGGTTTCTATTGGTGCTGTACCTGCATTGACAGGGGTCGATCGGACAGGCCAGCAGGCGCAACCAGCCCCAGCCATTTAATATTCGAGCTCGAAGAAGCTCGTGAACAGCTCCGCCACATTGAATCATCCACCAACATCGATCCGACTGCAAATAAACACAATCTCACTCGTTTTACCAGTCTCTGCCACTGCAATCATCACTTCTTTGTTTTCAAGTGCCGCTTGACCGTTTAGTTTCAGCCAGCTTCAAGGCTCTTCATTGACGAAGTTCCCACAGCTCTTCGAGTCCATCAATCCACCCTCCTGTAACATTACAGCACAATGGCGGACGGAGGCGAAAATTACGAGGAGCTCATCCCAGCCGATACACCGGCAGACGTTGAGATGGGGGGAGATGTACCGGTCGTTGAAATCGAAGCTGCTGGCGAGGCTGAGGGTGGAGACGGCGACGGCATGCCATTCCAGGGAGAACCAATGGAGGAGGTCGCGGCTCGAACAACTTACATAGACTACCTGAAGAGTCCGGTTATCAGTTTATTGGTGGGACAAGGCGATGAGCAGGCTCTCTTGACTGCTCATCAAGCTCTCCTGGTCAGGAGCCCATGGTTTGCCGACGCATGCGCCAAGTTCAGCGATGATGTCTCCGTAAGCATTGCGCAGTTGCCATCTCATCGATGTAGCTGATCCTACCACAGGAGCGCGCAATTGACCTCGTTGACGAAGATCTCGATGCCGTTGGATGCTTCCTCGAATTCCTCTACACTGGCGACTACTTCCCGCGCAAGATTGCTGGCTCCCGCGACCTCGAGAGAGACCCAAGCACGCCTGAAGTCGACGAATCAGGCGATCAGCTCTTGAAGCATGCGCGAGTCTATACTCTGGGCGAGACGCTCAACTTGCCAGCACTCAAATCTCTTGCATCCTCGAAGATCCACTGTGTCAACTCTACCGCAAAGGGCGAGATCGCATACGCCAGATACGTCTACGCCCACACGCAAAAGGACGACACAACTATCCGTGCCCCAGTCGCCAACTTCTGGGCTACTCGCAGTCACACTTTGCGCGCCGAGGCCGAGGACGAGTTCCGCTCAATGTGTTTGGAATTTCCCCAGTTCGGATACGACGTTCTAAGTAAGCCTCCTCGTACAGGTGTTTGTTTGCCGCATACTAACTACTCAATTAGCCCGTGTGCTGGACGAGAAGCTCAAGCGCGAGAAGCAGGAGAAGATGCACCCGACTCCAGGGAGTTCTCGCAAACGTCCTCGCGCATAAACAATTCAAGCATAATGGGAGCCTATGCTCCAAGAATCACAGGAATTCAAGTTGTTTCGATATTCATAACAGTACAAAACTTAACTCTCGTCATTTTAATACGTGTCATTTCTGCAATAAGGGGGTTTCCTTCTCTCACTATGGCACTATACTGGCGGTAGGTGGCATAATCAAGGTTCTGGAAGGTTGGATGGAGAGATGGATGGCAGAATCTCGTATTGCCTTTGTATGAAAACAAGAACTGCCTTGTATTCTAGCAACCGAGTAGCGCAATTGGCGAGAGCCAAATCAAAAATAATTGTATTCATGAGTTTGCATCAGTGTTTTCATGGTATTTTGAGATTGATATTCATGTCCCATGACAAAGCGCTGCCGTCAAGAAAGAAAAAGGTATCCATTCCCACATATTTTGCGCCATTCCCTCGCTGTTTCGGAGATCCACCAGTTCAAAGACACCTAAAGCAAGACATCAATCATCAAGGAGACCTAGCTTGAAATTCCAAGCAAACTCCCGCACCACGGAGGCATCATATCCATCGTCGCGGGTGACACCTCCACGCCACACAACCATCCATTCAGCTTAAGAATATCAATACCCTTCCATCCTGTCCGTTGCTCTATCAGCACTCATCAACAACTATGAACCTCTAAACAAGCATGTCAAAACTGATCGTATTCATACCTCTGGCCAGCGGGCACGGGACCTTGACCACCCGTCCCCGACATGTTCGGCGGTGGTAACCCCTGGCTTCTGGGGATTTGGGCGGCCGCTGCATAGCCTTTATTGATAGGATGGTAAAGTAAGGCTCCAATGTTGTGCACGAAGAGGGGGTACAACATCTCGGTGATTTTCTCTTTGTTAGCGAAATCGAGAGCTCGTTCGAATGGGATCCTTAGAGAAAGGTTAGAATGAGGAGTTTGTAATGAGTGGAGTCAAGCGGGGTCAAGATACCAGACGCCTTTCAAGTGCATGGGTCCGATCTTAACTACATGTTTTTGTTTCTCGCTTTTCAAAATTCCATCTCGCCTGCCGCGAGTCATGCCCGCTACGTTCAGGAGCTTGGTTCCATTGATCATGTGGTTATCTGTCGAGGAGCGTTATTTGTCGGGATATCTCAAGTCCTAGGACTAGGTGGGGGATCTACCTTCTCGTCTAGCAACACAGGTTCCCTTGACATCGACTTGAAAGCACAATGTTCCTTCGTCTTCCCACAACGTAGCCGTAACTCGAGGTTTGGCTCCAACGGGTGCAATTTGTCCCGTAGTATCCATGGTCATGCTCTGAGCAGCATAGTCCCCATTATTTTGCCCAGGGACAGACATAGGCGGCAGCTGTGGGCCTTGCTGCTGAGATGGTGGGGGAGGGTAGGAACGAGTGGTATCTTGGGGATAACGGAGTCGGATATCGTAGGAATACTGAGGATATGGGTTCGTTGTCTGACCTTCCTGGCTTCCTTGGGAATGTTCGGGTTGAGGGAGGTAAGGCTGGCCGCCGGAGCCGTTGCCGGTGCCTTGTGCAGGCGGGCCATATGGGGAGATGTGCACTGGGAGCGGCATCTCAGATGCCATGATGCTGCCAACGGGTTGGCTTGAGCTGGGGGTGGGAAGAGTAGGATCTCCTGGAGAATTGACGGTGCAAGAATTGATGCTGTGGGGTGAGCTGGGGGAATACTGTAATCTTTCGAGACCACCTCTGGTTGTTATTAGCTGGGCTCTGGCTAGGTGGCTATCGACGTGGGGTAGCTGACCAGGGTCCGGCTTACTCTGCACGGCACGATGGATTGCAACTCCCAAGGGGGAACAGGCACTGCGGCTAGAATGGAATAAAACACGAGACGTAATTGATAAGACAGAGCAGCAGCAGACACAGAACAGATGTTTGAAAAGTGCAGCAGAGACGAAACAGAAGAGGAGAATTCAGTCCAGCTGTCGAGCACAGCCTTGAGGAGAGGAGAGGAGAGGAGAGGAGCCCAAAGTGCTGACGGACTGCATGGGGGTCAGCAACCAAGCCTCCCCTCCTACTGTACTTATATCAGCCATGCCCTGCACCGTCCGTCTCAGTGAAACCTGCCCAGTGCCTCCAGCCTCCAGCCTCCAGCATCCAGCCTCCAGGTGCCTGTTTGCACCTACTGTACTGTACCTTATTGCCCCGACCCGGGAGGGGGGACTCTTGTCTCTGCTGTGAGGCTTGGTGGTCTTGTTCTGGACGTGGAGTAATGTAAGAAGCATGTTCTACTTAGCTGCTTCGGTACCTAAGGTAAATTTACTTTCGTACCTAGGTATGTACAGTAGCTCGAGTAGGTAGATTTACCTCCGCAGGTACTCTCGGTACTGTACTGTGCTGTGCGTACAGTAGCAAGAGCTTGTGCATCTCTGCCCTCCCTTGCCTCGGACGCAGAGCAGAGTCTTCTCGAGCCAATGGGCCAATGTGAATGGGAAACAGCTGTGATATTTTTGATAGAAGGAACTCAGCTCAGCTCATCTGCTTTCTCTGATCTGATGATGATACGGAGGTACAGTACTGTAGAGCCCGGCTAGATCCTTGGTGGTCGGATAAGCACCTTGCGAGCTTGGCTTGTTAACTTCTGATGGAGCTGGAGCTGGAGCTCTGCTCTGCTCTGCTCTGCCTGTTCTGCGGGTGGACGGGCGGGAGCAGCCAGCCAGCCAGCCAGCCCACCAGGATGGCAGGATGGCAGGATGTACGGAAGTAAGTACCTACCTACCCTCCTACCCTCCTACCCTCCTACCTTACGCAGCGTCCTCCCCTCCGTACGAAGGCTCGGAAGGATACAGTACTAGTATGCTGTGGACAGCAATGGATTGGCTTGCTAAGCGAGCATCGACCCCACTGCCACTGCCACTGCCACTGCCACTGCCACCGCACTCCGCACCGCACCGCACCCAGCGAGCCAGCGCACCCAAGGCACTCGAGCCTGCCTACCCTAAAGGTACTAAAGTACGGAGGTACTAGGAGCGTAATAATGGAACATGATCCTGTCTACCTACCTACCTATATTCACCCCGCCATTTCAATTTCACATGACACATGACCTCCGTCGACTCCATCACACGGCCTCACATCTCACATCGTCCATTGCTCTCCTATTCTCTGACCGGCGCCAATCTGGAGATACCTGTGGGATATGTTGTAAACCGTTGAGTCGGAAGCATCAAGATCCGCGCACAAGAAGCCCCCCACGATGGCTTCCAACCCCACTGCCACCTTGACCTCCCTCCTCCGAGGCTCGACCATTGAAGACCACGAGGAGGTTCTCAAGGCGGCCAACGCGGTTCTGAAGTCGTCCAAACCCAGTTCCGATGCTCTACACACCCGCGTTGTAGCGCTGCTCAAGCTCGATCGATTCGACGATGCCCTGCGAGCTCTGGATGACGGCGGAGACAAACTGGCCGAGCAATGTGTTCTCGAGAAGGCATATGCGCTGTACAAGACTGGGCAGCTCGCTGAAGCTGAAAGACTTGCCAGTGGCGCAAAAAAGAGGGGCTTGAAGCACGTTGCAGCGCAAGTGGCCTACAGAGCAGAGAAGTTTGAGGATGCTGCCCGGATATACCAGGAGCTGAGCTCGCAATCTGCGGCAATCGAGGGCGAGGAAAATGACTTGCGAATCAATAGCTCGGCAGCCGATGCACAGTTGGAGTGGCAGGATAATGGTGACAAAGTCGAGCCGGGAAGGAAGAAACCTTCGAGGGAAGACCTGGAAGCTTTTGAGACATCCTATAATGCCGCATGCGGATGTATTGCCAGAGGTGACCTTGGTCCTGGAAGCGTGCTGTTGAAGAGAGCCAGGGATCTCTGTGAAGCTTTGGACGAATTGAGTGATGAAGAGAAAAGGGCTGAGGTCTTGCCAATTATGGTTCAACAAGCCTATGTGTTCACAAAACTAGGAAAGCTGGAAGAGGCCGAAGCTCTACAGAGAATGATCAATACTGCTGAGTTCGTAGTTGTCACCTTTATAAGCCTGTCCATTGCTAATTTCTTGCAGCGTTCCGGAGCCTCCTTCGAGGGTCGTAGCGCAGAACAATGGTTTGGCTGTCTCGGCAAAGCACGACAACCCTTTCATGACACAACGAATCTTTGAGTCTGTTCCAAATCTTTCTCCCACAGAAAAGCTGTTTGGGCATCAAGCAAGCATTCTGGAGCGCAACAGATACATAATCGACCTTCAATCTCAAAAATACTCTGGAGTTGCATATTCCACAGCCTCAATCATCTCGAAGTCTCCATCCCCAACCATCTCTCCATATATCAGCTCTCTAGCCGTCCTCAATGCCGCTGGCCATGCTAAAATGGGAGTTGGCAAAGCGAGTTTACAAGCAATTCTACCAATATTAGAGAAGCGTCCCAAAGACGTTGGCCTAATACTCGTCATCATCCAACTCTATATGATCACTAACAACCTTGGCCCAGCTATTAATCTCCTTGAGTCCCTCTTCAAGCGCTTAGAACAATCTACGACACCCGCAGACCAAGACGTGCGATTTGCACCTGGCCTAGTAGCCCTCGCTGTCTCCCTGTACCAGCTTTCGGGTCGCAAAGCACCCATAAAGACAGAACTGGGGACAGCAGCTTCTCACTGGCGTCGGAAGCCAAAACCATCAATCCCACTTCTTCGCGCCGCTGGCACAGCTCTTCTCCATTCCTCCACTCCAGAAGATCTCTCCGCGGCCGGCGAGATCTTCTCCAGTCTTCGGAAACAAGACGCCAGTGACCGCACCGCCATTGCTGGCTACGTAGCTTCATACGCCAGAACCAATCTCGCCAAGGTCACTCCTGATCTCGAGAAGCTGACTCCAGTGTCCCGTCTCGTGTCCGGCATCAACGCAGCAGCTCTGGAGGACGCAGGTATCCCATCCCTGCCTACCCAGTCCGCGGCGAGCAAGAAACGAGGCGCCGAAACCGAGAAGGAGAAAGCGTTACCGCCAAAGAAACAAAAAATTCGCAAATCACACATGCCGAAGGATTTCGAGGAGGGGAGGAAAATGGACCCGGAGCGATGGCTGCCGTTGAGGGATCGTAGCAGCTATCGACCCAAGGGCAAGAAGGGAAAGAAGAAGGCTATGGATCTGACTCAGGGTGGTGTTGTGAAGGACGAGGAGAGTCTGGAGCTCGCTGGTGGAGCGGGTACTGTGAGAGTTGAGAAAGCGACTGGCGGGAAGCCAAAGAAGAAAAAGGGAAAAAAGTAAACAAATTCTCGGCTACAATAAAAGTCCTAGAACTCTAGAGGACGCCCAAGAACTACGGTATCTATTTCTAACACCTACCATTCCCATCACTGGAGTCATCCTGACATGCTCAAAATGAATGTGTCTATCAGAGAAGCAAGATACCCATCTCATACCAAGTCATTTCTTTCTTCAAAGCTCCCATGATCGGAGCTAAAATCTACCTGAGCCAGCATAAGCAAGTCTGCACTGCTCAGCCCTGAACTAAACGCCAACCGATTCTCTCCCCCAAATCATGAAAGGGTCTGGGAATACTGATAGTCTACCATCTAATATACACCCTCACATGCCTGACCCGAAAGAAACCGTGCTTTTTGGTTGCAATGTTGTCGCCTGATTCCTTGATACCCCCCACCCAAATTCACGCCATGCCTGCCAAACTCCAGAAACGTACACGAAGGAGTGTTGAAGTGATCTGATCAAATAAAACATATAAAAAGTTTCCCGCGTTATGCCGTGCCTCAAGCGCTGATGGCAGTCTGCAATATCGATAATCTCTCGTTCTCGCCTTGGGCATCGAGATCCATGCCATCATCATGTCGCAGTGGTGTGAGGTTCTTCTCTGACAATGCCCGCACGGCCGGGGAATTCGAGGCTTCAGGGGTGTAGAACATTGCTTGTTGAGCTTGGCTTACGGGACGGCTGCTACTTGTGTCTCCGTCTTCGTCCTCGGCCTGCGGCAGTGGTGTTCTCCGGCCTTCCGACAAGCTGATTGCAGCATCACTGTCTTCGCCGTCGGAAGCCATAGAGTCAGAAGGGCCAAGCGAGTGGCTTGCTAATTTCCGGTGCAAGTCTCGGAAACTCCTCGCAGTCGCTGTGCTGGTCGTAGCTTGCGAATCATGGCGCTCGTGAAACACATAGGGCTCAGCTAGAACAGAATGGAAGTCATCCTCAATAGCTGTGGAGGATAAATGTGCTGGCTCATCTTTGTGTGGTTGTTTCCGGAGACGAATTCGCTCCTCTTGCGACATGCTCTGGAGTTCCGATCCGAAAGTTATTACAGATGCTTTTTTGCCATGAACGACAAAACTTCCGGTGCCTCGAGACAGGACATCATCTTTGCCTTCCTCTGACATGCCCGCACTTGAGGAAGAGTCTTTGCCTTTTCGACTCCGCGTGTGTGAAGGAACGTGGGTTTCTCGAAGGGTCCGGTGCAGGCTCCGACGAATTTTTCCTCTATCCAACCTGTCTTTCTCTACAACCTGATCCTTCCCTTCTTCATTCCCAAGGCTGGTAACAGGTCGCTTGCCATCTGGAGTCTTGTCCATGTCTATAGTTACAAGTCCTTCTTGTTCAAGAACAGCCTGCTCTGCAGCGTCAATGTTTGGTGAAGGAGCTCGTTGAGACTCGCCACTTGCTATTGGCTTCAGACTGGATTTTGATGGGGTGGCAGCTAAGTTGGGGCTAGAAGGCAAAACAGCGCTTGAGAAAGAAGGTTTGCGTGCACTACGTGAATCAAAGGTAAGTGGTGGAAGCTCCCACGATGCTTGTGCCTTGTTAAAACTCGAAGATTTTGTCAGCTCGGGCGGGGTTTGGAAAATATCATCCAACTCATTTTCATGGCGGATGGGCGAAGTGGGTACATTTGCAGTGGATGGGCGATTGGCTGACTGTGCAATTGGCGAACGAGGGGTTCGTAGAGGGGTATTGCTACTTGCCTTCGAAGGCAGGCGAGCCAGATTATCGCGATCGGACGTGGGAGTCTCTGCCAAGTCACGCCGAGGCGATGCCACCGTGGGGTTCTTCTCTTCCTCAAGGTCCATAGTCAAGATATCCTTGTGGCACTTCAGACGCCAGATTTCCATTCGTCCCCATTTCAGCTGAGCAGCCATCCGCCCAGCAGCTAGAATGACTTGCTCCCTGGTCTTTTGTTGGATTGGGGCAAGGATCTGAAGATGGCGGGCATTTCTGAGTTGTGCGTCGAGCTGTTTTTGAGCAGCAGCGAGTTTGACCTCGGCATCGGCAATCTTTTGCAACATGATCTCTCGTCTGGCAGCAAGAATGTCTTGTGCCATTTGTATATCAATCCTCCCACTAACAATAGTAACTTCACCTGTTGGGGTCTGAACAGATTTTGTGGACTCGTTGTGGCTATCCAATCGTCGAATTCCTCGGGTACGTTGGCCTTCGTAGTTGCCCCCGACTACACCTCTCATCCTAACACCCGACGTTCTGAATGCCGCGGCATAATTGAGTTTCGCAAGCCAGTCGTTCATTTCATGCTCATTGTCGGCGAGAAATGTCTCTTCGAAGCCTCCATGTCGAACAAACACGAAGGCATTCTTGTGCTTCTTGTACGTCGAATCCAGCAAGGCAACAGCATCATCCGTAGACATCAGTGCGTCTGGTTTGAACGAATCTAGGGGAGGCTTAAAGATGACCGGAATCCCATCATGTCCTTGCTTAACATGCGTTTCCAACTGGTGTATCAAGCTCTTGATCCAGGCGGTATTTCGAAAAAAATAGAGCTGGGCACCTGTTAAGATAGCACCCCATTCCTGCCAAGGCGATCTTGTTTTCTTCTTTTTGGCATCCTTGCGCCATAGCAGTCCGACCTTGGTAATTTTGATGTCGACAATCCCAGGATGGGCTTCTTCTGGGTTGTTTAGAGTCTTATCGTTCATGAAAGCGTCGGGTCTCGATCTCGCAGATACAATTTGCAAAACCCCAGTCCGGAAAAATGTCTTCTGTAGGTCTTGCAGATTAAGAGATGTAGCTGTGCCCAGATAGCTGTAAGGTTCCTCCAAACACATCACATCTTTAAGATTGGGTCTTAGCGAATCAAGCTTGCTATCTATGATGAGGGTGTAGGGATCGACCGGTTCCTTAGATGGGCGTTTGGTGGGATCTACAGCTCCACGAGGAAAGATTGACTTCTTCTTGGTTTTGTGCTGTATAATGCGTTCGCCGTTTATATCAAGATCATCCTCGACATGGATGAAAGGTGTGTAAGAGATGTTATCGTAGAAGCATTCGAGTATTTCATCAAATATGCCTTCTCCTCTGGTATTCTTGAGATAGTCTGGTTTCTGCATCTTGTGCTTGTTGTTCTTGTTGAATACATCAGTGTGGAGAATGAGTAGAGAGAATGCGATAAAATATGCTTGATCAGGAGATGCATATATTCCAGGATTGCATTCGTGGTATCTGTTAGCAAATCCTTGTAAGCACCTGTCAATCTGCTGAGTTTCCTTTGGAAGCTCAACTTCCATAAGCAGTTTTCGAATCGCCATATCCATTGGGTCACCAAAAAACCCAAAGCCACGCATGTAACTTCGCAGGACGGCCTGAGAGAATGGATCCGTGCCTTTAGACAGCACACTAGCGACGACACCTCTGCTGACTGCTTCCTCAAGACGAACGAGATATTTCGCAGGTGTATCATCTTCATACCTTTCTGGCAATACTATCGGTGCTACTGGCTCTCTGACTAGCTGCATCGAATTGTTCTTTGATGTACTGGAACCTGGAGTAGCCGGTCCAGATCCGTAATGGAAAGGTGGTTCTGAGTTCTGTCGAAGTCTGTGGGAAAGGCCAAATAGATCCCCAAAGCTTTTCCTCCCTGTCGAAGTTGACGTGCGAGTAGAAGGTAACGTGGGTGTTGGTAACGAATCCTCTGTTGGCATGTTTCTCAAGGAGCTCAGGGTTGAAGATCTACCCCTAAGGCCAAGCCTTGCGCGATTTGGAGATGACTTTGTGGATGCTGCAGAGCCATGTCGCAACAACGGAGTTGCAAATGCGGTGGAAGCTTTGGCAAGAGCAGTATGTGAATGGCTGGGGGACGGAAGTGGTGACGCAAAGCGTCCTTGAGCTCCCACATCGTCCGCCGAAGGAGACCGAAGCGCTTTCACCGCAGGAGATTCTGTTCCTAGAATCCTTGAAGAACTTGCTGAATTTCGAGGTGCAGCAACTAGAGATTGGGAGGACTCTTGATTGTGAGTCTTTTGGGGAAGATGCGACAGGTCAAACAGTGGCGCAGGCTTCTTGCGACGGGGCAGACGGAAGAAAGTAGTGGTTGTATGGACAGTGTGCGTAGTGGTTGTGGTCGTTGCGTACACGCCATGATCTCCAGAGCTGCCATCCGACCTGGAAGATTCAGACAATCGAGTAATAGGGAGTGCCAGGGTTGAATTGCCGTCATCGCCATATGCTGGGGGAGAGCCTCCAACATGGGTTACAGGGCGCTCTGGCTCGTCAAATGTAACTCTGCCTTTGGTACCAGATGGTGCTGACTCGGACATTGTCTTCCTCCGCTCCTTCTTTTCATTCTTTGTAATATCTGAGGAAATTGGCTCTTCGGCTTGGCTGTCCATGGACGAGGTCTTTGTTCGACCTGGGAGCTTAACCCTCGACTTCTTCTTTGTTGGTCGTGCCGCGTTAATGTCCATTGTTGGCGCGGTCGTAATTATCTCTGGAGCTGGCATCTGGTCAAAGGTGAAGTCAGAGGGGATGGAATTGGCACTTACGTTGAGGTAGAGGAGGGGTATCAGCATCAGCACGAGCTTGCATGCGGGCTGCCGCCAAGTCAGCATAGAATTGCTACCAGATGTGCAAAGTGAACAAATTTACGTACCCCTGGTGGCCAATTGAGAATCTGAGGCGTGCCGAAACTTCAACATGCTGAAGCGACGATGTTTTTGGCTCTCTTCTTGGATTGGTGGTGACACAGTTCGTAGGGACTCGGCACCACCCTCAGCTGGTGTACCATTTGAAGATGAGCCATCTACTGCAACATCTGGCGACAAGAAATCGGCGGCCGATAGCCGTCGTGGAATTTGTTCGCTGGCCCTGCTATCAACGACGGGTACTGGCAAGTTGTTCGAGGACTCGGCGGGATAGAAGCTGTGTCGTCGAAGATCTGCATTGCTCGAAGGACCGCGGCGCCTCAACAGGCCGGTCATCAGAGGCATGGTAGAATCGGGAGTCGTGAAATCATTGATCTCGGCGACTCGAAGTGCTTTGGGGGTATGTGGCTGATCGAAGGCACATTCGTGATGATTGATGCAATGAGTGCAGTGTTTCTCGTTGCTTGTTTCGAAGGGAGGGGAGGCGAGGCGCGGCCAAGGGGCTGGATCGAGGCTGGATCGAGGCTGGATCGAGGCTGGGAAAATCCTGGCAGAATATAGTAAGGAACCAACAGGAACTTCAATGCTCAGATGCTGGACGTCGAGATCGGATTGGATTGGATTGGATTGGAATGATTGATTTCAAAACGAAAGACTAGGGACAGGAACAAAACGATCGACTCGGCTTCAGGATATCCGGCAGGGACCAGGAGAGGAGGAGAGGAGGAGAGGAGAGGAGAGGAGAAGATAGGACAGGGCAGACAAGGGTGCGAGGATCAATCAAGAACTCGAATATGCAACTGTGATGGTATACTTCGTAAGTACCCAGGCAGCTAGGTAGAGCGAAGGATAAGGTAGGGAAGGTAATTAGGGGGAGGTGCAGGCAGAGAGGCAGAGAGGCAGAGAGGCAGAGAGGCAGAGAGGGTGTTCCCCAAGTCCCGAGTCCCGACCTCCGACCTCCTGCTTCCCTCGCTTCAAGCCACCTCCCTGACCCAAACACCTGCAGCCAAGGTTGTTTGTTGGTCGAGTTGGTCTCGCTTCGCTTCCCTTCGCTTCCAGCTCTCCAGCCACACCACACTCCTCTCAACAACTACAACTGTTCCAGCAATTCTTGCACTTGAAGATCCGCTGCCGAATGCGCTGATGCTGATGCCGATGGCAATGATTCTTGGTGCAAGATCAGCTTATTATCGTTTCTTACGTCTTTCTTGTTCTGACTAACTCTCTTATCTCGGTTCTGATCATCACCCAACCTAACCTCCAGCTTTTGCAGTCATGCCTGCTTGAGCCGTGTCTAGAAACCAGACTGCAACCGGGGAGTCAAATCTAAATTGCTTCATTTAGCAGGGAAAATGCACGTTGCGTAAGTAATTAAGTCTTTGTATCCTTGATTACACCCCCATTTCGTTCCCGCAGTAGTCATGTCTCGATGGTTTTGCTCCCTTTTGCTACTATGCCTCTGTCTCTTCAAACTGCCATCACTCGTCTCACGACATTTCAATACACTATCCCTCCTACAAATGATGATCCAATCGAGTATATCGGTTCTGAAAGCCTTGAATGTCTCTGGAGGCTTCGGTGAATGTGTCGTTGGTCAGCTCTTTCCAAACACTCGTACTGGTGGGAAGTGCTGACTTTAGGCAAATTGGTTAGTAATTTTACCGCAATAGTATCAACACTGAAACGTATATCTTTTTATTCGCTCTGGTATTGTTAATGTTAAGTCACGGTCTTCCTTCACTAGCAATCTACCAGTGTCGCATTCTATGGACTCTGTTGCTCCAGCCGATTCTGTCGTTAGTGGTAGCCCGCCTTCTAGCAAAGCTACAAATGATATTAGAATATATCACTGCCACTCATATCCATGGCATCAAGGGACTTTTTCCCTCTTGAGATAGATCACCGCAAGGAGTTCAACGATGTTGCCTTCAAGTCTCGCTATCGATCTGGAATACACATGGCCTCACAGCACCTGATTATACGATTTCGATAGATTGATCTCGCTGGCGGATTTTGTGATCGTTGGTAATAGATATAATCGTGCCCGTAAACACCCAACCAGGTGAGTGGTTCAATAGAGAGTTCGCCTGACCTGGCCTGCTCGGTGTTGCTTCGCGAATATTTGGCGTGCCAAAATTAACACTGCTCCAGGAGCCTAGACCAAGGGTCGGATGAGTCCGAGACTCCTGAATATCTCAGATGTGAAATTATGGCGTACTCAATACTATGGGCCTTGATTTCTGTCACGCTTCCTTGGCTGGCACACTCAATCGCATATATAATGTAAAGCAGTCAAACCCCACACAAATGTGCTGAGGCGAGGTATTTGCCTAATTGAAATGGCAGCCTAGAGGCAGGTTATCTGTCGGAGTAGCCCTCAAGTTCTCTATCAGGGTATAAGTCCGGCATGCGTGGGTTATTACCAGTCAATCGGGGTACTTGAGACTCATGTTGTGGATGCTTGCCTATTTAGGCCAAGCGCAAGGTAGAACTTAGATACAGGCTATCATAGGGAACGAATGCATACTCACAGAGGGATCTTGGGTCGCGGTATCGATATCTCTAGAACGGATGGTTGGATGTAAACCTATGTACGATATGGTGATGTTTCATTGGGCGATCTCTCTCCAAGCAGTTGTCACTGATGCTTACACTTACGCATTTTCCCACGATGACGGCCCTCGCACCATATCCATTGAACTACCTCGACTTGTCATATTCAGTGTTTCTATATGGTCAGCGATCACTCAGCTCATCACCATCATCCGCGGTCATACTTCTCTCCAAACTTCTCGAGAAGTCAACACGTCAATAACTCAAGGTCGTCAACTAATAATATTGCTTAAGGTTGTATTTCTGCAATATCTAATAATTCTGCTCTTTGCCTCTGAAATTTGAGTGCCACATTGACCTTGGCACTCTGCATGCTTCAAAGGGTCTAGAATCTCTTCAAAGAATGCCGACAAACGTTCAATTTGACAGGCCATTGTAAGGCACATGACAATAGTAGGTACACGTTTAGTATGAGTTAGGCGTATTCAGCTTGCGCTGAACATTGTGATCTTTTGGTCCCGTGTTAGTGGAGCTGGTGTGAGCCTAGCGTCAGTATCATTACAGTAATCACATGAACAGTTGCTCAACATCACAGTGGCATTATTCCTCGAGTCTAAATAGGCAACTTTTCAAAGCAGCAACATCGCAAAGGCCATTACTCTGACCACTGAATCACTGATAACGTCCCAGAAGCGCTCACCTGCTGTAACTCAACAGAGCTATTTGCTTGGCGATCAAATTACGGTTATCAGGACATCTGGTTGTCATCGCCTGCTACACAACTTAACTAGACTTAAGCAGTGCCGCCTCTACAGTGAGATTCACTTGCACGCCAAGGCGATTTCAAGCACGAAGAGATTGCTAGAGAGTAGCTAGAGGTCGGCCAAAGATACTGATATGACCATAAGATAGCTGCCAAGGAGGGAAGAGGCTGTAGCACCCGAGTTTCCCTTCCATAGCGTCTGGTTGCATATGATACTCCAGGTACGAGCCTTCCAGTCTCGATTGAACGTAAAAGCCCAATTATACTCAGGTCTGATACGATCTAGGTAGCCAAGGCGTGGAAAAAGGGGACGCAGGAAGCGAATAGGTTCTTCTAAAACCATTATTTCCCTGACTATTGTCAAGGGGACAGGGATTATTAGCATCCATTCGAGGATTGAGCATGAATCCATCCTAGCTCTCAGTCGAAAATAGGGGGGGCGAATGTCAGTTTTTGCGGTAAGTTCACTCTAGATATACTCATACGACAACCCGCAGGGCTATATCTCCTTGATTATTCTAGTATACTCATAGTCACGCCTAGCTTCCAGGTAGCTGTTACAGAGAGCACTGATTTTGAATCTCTCCGGATAGGAAACCAATCTGGAGTTCTGGTATCCATGTTACTTAAGAGTATCCCTTCTAGCTTGAAAACGAACTTTTTGTTAGTGCACTTAATACTCTACTGAAAAGATACTAAGAGCTACAGTTATAGGTAAGATCTCCAGAAATAAATAAAGGTTCTAAGGTAAAATAACATAGAATCTACTACCTAAAGCTTAAGAAAGTAAAGTAACTTGTATCTAATATAAAATAACAACTGTAAATATAAAATTAAAGATATATTAACAAAAATCAGTACAAATAGTATAGTTTAAAGCACTTCTTATAGAGAAACAAAGAATATTCCCTATAACTCTTATAAGTGATTTGTATATTCCCTCTTCCTACTTCACCTTTTAAGACCTTATATTAATAGTAATAATAGTTAGCTCTTTTATTATTACCTTGAATAATATAGTAGCAAGTAGTATATTAAGCTATATTTAGCTTATAGAATAGACTCTTCTTATAGACTCAGATTAGACTATTATAACAAGACGCTAGGTCTTTTAAACTAATCAAATCCTCTACTAAATACTTCCTAAAATACTAGTAAGAATAATAATAACACAGTTAAAGAGCTAAAAAAAGTAGAGGAGCTAGTTATATCAAGTCGACTGCTTTATATTAAACTCAGCTCTTAGCTAGTCAGCACGATCTACACTATTTATATTATAGTTATAGTCTTTAATAAGGATAATAACTAGTAGAATAAGCCTACTTATAAAGAATCACTAGAGCTATTTCATAGAAAAGAAAGGAACTACCTCTTCAGGTGTAAGTATATAAAAGGTCTAATAAGTAGTCTTTATTATAATAGCTATATCCCTTAGGCAATAATAGTTCTAAAGTATATAACCTAAGCCGGAGTGAATAGTACTTATAAGGCGGATTATAACTTAATCCTACTATATAATTAAGAGAACTAGCTCTCCTCCTTTGTAGTATAATATCTCTGTTCATATCTCCTCCTAAGCTATTATTTTACTATTATTTTCCTTTAAAATCTTATCCTAAAACTAATCTAACATCTAATTACGTTGTATAGTCCCTACAGCCCTGATTCCGTATTTACAAAGTATAAAAAAGAAGTCGTAGCTTATAAAAAAGTTATTTATAAAAATAATATATTTATATTTATAGTAGGGGAGATTAAAAGTAAAAGTTAAGACACTATAGGCTATTAGAGAAAAATAAAGGTAAAATTCTTACGTTTCTTAAATATCTTATGTTCTTAAGGTTAATTAGTTAGTAGCTATCTAACTAATAAAAAGCGATAGAGTTAGTATAATAAGAGAGATAAGATAGTGTGGTGGGGTAGTGTAGTTCCGGGTTAGAAGATAGTTAGCCTGTTCCGTAGATCGTATAAGTAAGCGCGATAGCGCGTAATAAATATATTATCTTCTCTCTTCTACTCTTATTACCTGTTTAGTTAGTAATCTTCTATATCCCTGCTTACTATATACTTTAATAGTACTACCTTACTCCTTTATATTAGTAACTTACATAGGGAACTGGAAGTAAAGTAAAGAAATAGTTAGAATATAGCTAAGCTAGTAGTAAAAGTAGGAGTTAGAATTTTATCGCTTAATATCTCTATTATAGAGATAGATAGATACGTAGGAAGTAGCTAAAAAAAAGAGGCTTTAGGAACTCTTATTTAGTAGGTAGGATATTAGGAAATAGCGGAATATAAGTAGAGAGAGCTAAGGAAGTATAAAAGGGAAAGTTATTATACGAAGCTTAGAAGATAAGGTTACTATAGTAATAGAGAAAGTTTATATAAAGAAAATAAGTAAGGAATAAATAAATACGAAAAGAAAGTAAGTCTAATATAAAAAAGGGGCCTAAAGTAAAGTGAAAAAGGGATATAAGGAAAAAGGGTTAAGGAAGTTAGAGTAGTTAAGGGAGCTAAGTCTAGAGGTTATAAGAAGTATAATCGCTA